TATCAAGAAATTCGGGCTTACGTCAAGGATTAGGTTGAAGTCGTCACCATCAAGATCACCCCCACCCAGACACGACGCAAGTGCTCGCTGACCCCTGTCGACAATATGAGCATGCATTTGTCGTAAGCCATCAAACAGAACTCACTCGCAAGAGAACACAACGACATTCTTCAGGTGCGCCAACTCTGGGCGGTCTACAGCCGTCACGACTTGCAGATCGCCTGGATGAATCTGCGGGCTGCGCGTTATGGCGGCCTCGCCCAGGATTTGCTTGTTCAATCCTGTCCTTTCATCATACACAGCTGCGTACACCTCTCCTTCCCTGAGGCAGCCCCATTCATCGGACACACCAAGCAAGGTATACGAACCCGGCACTTCTATGTGCGCGCGATACTTCAACTCCCGCAAGATGTGCGTTTCGACGCAATGCAGGGTACTTTCTATGAGCTCGCTTGTCCATCGTGACTGAGACGTTTCTTCCTCCGTATTTCCAACATCCAGCTGCAAAATGGACGACAAGTTTCTGAAGAGAGATGGTAGATGAAACGATGCTCCCAGTCCGTGTTGCTGGATAACTTTCGAGGCATCGAGGGATGATGATCGGACGGATTGAGCTTTAGTGATTGCATCGTCCTGCAAGTCAACGATTCGACTGGTGTCCACTCCCAAGAACTCCATAAGTACAATGAGCGGACGATTGAGGAACATCGCTTTTGGTTTCGCTGATGTCGATTGGACATCAAAAGTGAGGTTCTCCTGTCCGTCAAATTTAATCTGCGATGGACGAAGGCGAACAAGTTTGCCTTCGATTGTCGGATCCTGGACGACCATGCCTTTAGCACCACCGAGACGAAATTGGAAAGCGGATGGAATATTGCGTAGCTTGGCAGGTCGCTTCTTGCCTTTCTGCAAAGACCTCCATATGTCCTTTGCAAGCCCCACCGATATGGGGCTACACCCATCTGTCATAACGTTGCCAGAGGGCGATTTTCTGTCGGGATAGTCATAATCGATTTCTTCGGGAAGAAGTGTTATCGACGGATCGGTGCCAGAAAAGGCTTGAGACCACCTTGCAGCCAAGCGAGCAGGTTGGTGCACAAGTTGAGAGAAATCGCCCTAGCAATTGCGTTCGGTCAAAATCAATCAGGACCATTAGCGACTCACCAGGCTGCCCCGGATTGATTCTGCATCCAGCAGTGTCCCGCTGTCATCCATGAATGGTGTCATAAACCACACTGAATGATCTCGCAGGCCGCTCATCGAATATCCCAAGAACTGGAATTGGCGTCCAGCAACGCGATAGCCTCTGAGCAGAATTGGGCGATACCGCTCCTTCAGAAGGTCGGTAATGGAAGATTCGAAGTCCCGACGAAGCTTTGATCGATTCTCGTCCTGAAAAGTAACGCGTAGGAAGCATTCGTGATTATTGTATTTGCGCAAGACACTATTGGATTGATCTGGAAGAGGACCCTCTAAGATGTGCCGTGTCGGCGTTAGGATCATATGGTAAGACTGGTATACACCACTCTGTGGTGGCGGAGCTAGAAGACGGAGGGGCTTTTGATGCTCTCTTGTGAACTCATGGATTACTTGGCCAAGAAGAGAAGTTAAATCTTCCTGGCTAGCATGCCATTGCGCCCGGCGTTTGCGGCGTGGTTTACGCTTCGCGTTGTGTCCTTCGTGCTCGGATGCAAAGGATTGGAAAATTTCTGATGCATCAGGGCCATGTTCAGTGTACAACGAGATAATTGCCTCTTTCAGCGAAAATATTTCCATCGGAGTGAAAACAAATGTCGTAACGGTCTTTTCCACCTGGAACGCAAGCTCGTATGGTATCTCGGAAAGAAACTCGTGTAGTTCCTCGACAGGGTTGCTATTAGAAGTGTGGTCGTGGATCCGAACATGGGGCACTGGGGAGTACCGCAGATGAAGGCGATTGCGACATGCGTACATGAATGTTTCCGCATCTGGCTGGTTGCTGAACGCCAGCATCAGGCTATAGCTGCCTGGAGGCATGGGATGATAACGTGTCAAGCCCGCCAGACGTTGAGGGCTTGAATTTGAAAGTCCAAGTCCACCGATGTCATTCTCCACGGAGAACACTGGGGGCGCATCGGCACGAATGAAAAGAATGTGGGTATCATCGTCTTGGTTACCCACTAACGCTGCAATCTTTAGTTGCGCATAAGACGCAATAGACGTCGAGGTCCAAAAGAGGTCGTCACTGTCATCATGGGGCGTCACAGTGAAGCGTACCTGCCGACGCTCCAGATCACAGGAGACATTGGCAACCCCAGGAAGGGCAAATTCCGAAGAAAATGAACCATCCCGATTGAAGCGCCCAAATGAGTAACAAAGGAGCGGGAAAGGCCTCGATTGCTGGAGAAGCCTTTCCTTCTCCTCTCGCAGCTTCACTGGGTCGACCCATGGAACAGTATTCAATCTCATGATACGGGCATTATTGATCGATTGCGTGCTCTTGCTGAGGAGGATTTGGCGGCCTTTGACGGCAATCCCTACGTCACCATAAGCACGCAAGAGAGTGATGCCGGAATCCTCTGTGGGGAGAGCAAGGATGCCTCGCTTGCCATTCGGGTGTGACTTGTAGAAGAGTTGGCATTCAAAATTAAGAGGAGGACTGGTTGGAAACGGGGGCTTGTGAAGTATCTTGGCGAATTCGAGCGTCAAATCTTCTTGGGTAACTGCAAAGGCGATATTTCTCAAAAAAATCTCCATCTAGTATAATCCGAGTTAATACGGAGTGCGATTTACTAGCTCACTGGCCAGCACTCACCTTGTGCGATTGGTATCAAGGGGGATATGATTGGGATAAGATGATTGCTATCAGCTGGCCATCCGCATCGAGTACTAGTATATAAGTACTGGTGCTGTGACTCAATGATCAAGGATATTAATAAATCACATCATATAAACACGTGAAATGCTGTGGAACCTTGTCAGACCCTTTCCTACCAATCACTCAATATATAACGTATGATCAAGGCAATGCAAGGGTAATGTGCGGAGCTATCAGGTGCGCTTAGTCCAGACGTCGCTTCTTCTCCCTAAAACCATCATCGTCTCTATCCGGCGCTCTCCGTCTGTTATCATGGTCGGGCCGGTCTCGCCATGATGATCGCTCACCCCATGCGCGTGATGTGCCAGTGGCTGCGTTAGCGCCAGACGCTAAGGAACTGCGGGCTCCTGGAGGCAGTTGATTATTTTGAGGACAGTCTAGAAAAAATTGAGTTTGATAGGAGGGTCCCTTAAGACGCATGTCCTCACCCTTCTTGAGATGCGGACCGCCACATAAGAAGCAGCCACCCCCTTCTGTGGATCGACCCCCTGTTTTTACTGAACCGGCGCCTCCAAAACCTCCGGTCCCGTGCGTCGTGTCCTGATCCATAAGGTGGGTATACTTCGTTCTACTGCGTTTACCGAAGTTCTTGACTCGCATGACTTCGGGCAGCATCGAGATATCTACCGTAGACTCGGTAGCCTCCGTGAAGTCGTGTCGTTTGAGGATTTCCTCGTCCTGAATACCGTGTAAAATGAAGAACGAACGACACAGATGAAATAAGTGTGACTAACCTGGTGGAAAGCACCCTTATGCCAATACTTTTGAAGGAACTTCTGCTGACCTTTGGGTTTCTCCTCCCGTAACTTGTTAGCCCGTTCGAGATCTTCCTTTAAACGTTGCTCTTCTGGAAGGGCACGTCTCCGCTCGATCTCTTCTCTTTCCTCGTCGCGTCTAAGTTCTTCTTCCTTTTCCGTTTTGATTCGTCCCAGCTCTCGCAACCGCCAAGCCTCAAATTCCCCAGCTGGATCTGCGCCGTCTGTATCATCTACATCAGGTATCACCTCCTCCTTCTCCTCTTCAAGTACGTGAGTATAACAATCACGACGGACGCATGAGAACGCACTTTCTAATAGTTCCCGTCGTATACTTTCTGCGACGAGGTGATGACTCTGCTTCTTCCGTTCTTCAGCGATTTCTTGTTTCCGTTTCTCGGCTTCCTCGGCTTCTAGAGTTATTGCGTCGCGTTCAGCAATCGTCTCCCGACCTCGTCTGTAGGAACGGTATATAAATGACTCAACAAAAGTGTGTTTAGAACGTACTTCGGAATAAAAACAGGTCGGTATAACGTCTTTGAGGCTTCTTCCTCAGATTCGCTAGACTAGAGATGATTTAAAAAACATAGTACATGCGTTAATTAAACGTACCTCGCTCTCATCCTCTTCTTCATCCTGTGCTTCCTCCGACTCCTCTTCCGACACAACATCTATAGCATCCTCCTCCAGTTTGGTCCGTCCAGACTCTTCTCGTCCCGCAACAATAACCTTGCCGTCCTTCGAGATATTGACATCCTTCAAAGCGAGATTCATCGTCTTCACTGGAATCGACGTTTCCTCGTCATCCTCCTCGACGATGTCTTGCTCCCCACCAATAAGCACATCTCCTTCCTGAACCTCGAGTTGCTCCTCGTCGTCTTCATCTGAAACGGATGCATATTCAGTTCCTTTCGGCGCTTTACCCTTCCAATATCTGCCTGCCGCTCGCGTTGGCTTTGATGTGTGTTTGCGAACTTGAGTCGCGAGAACCGTTGACATGATGCGTAAATAGGCACGGGTAATCACTGCGTTGAGCCGGTTAGTCGCAAGTGTGCTCAAACGAGTGCTTACTAATCGAGGAAGCGCATCAAGGCGGACTCGTGTCGTTTGTTTTCTTCGCCTCCTTTACCCGCTGCTTGGTTTCAGGGTAAAGCTGCGGAGTCGTCAGACAAGTCAATACAGCCCCCTGCCAATTGTAATTTGGTACACACGTTCTCTGCGTTCAACATGTTTTATACGAGAACAAACTGCGCTTCTATATCGTCACCTCTAATGCCTTTGACTCGCGGCACCGGATTGTCAAGATTGACCGCACCTCACAAACCGACACCGCCATTGTAGAGGATAACACCGACTATAGCGGCAAGCAAATGAGCAACATGCTCAAGATGCTGGAGGATGGTAACAAGGGATCTGGCGGGCTTGGTAAGGCACACATAATCTTTGGTATTGCAGGTACGTTTATCGTAGGTCACTGACCAGACCAAGGATTCGTGAAGTTCACCGCTGGGTGGTACATGATCGTTGTATCAAAGCGTTCTGTTGTGGCACTTCTTGGTGGCCACTATTTATACCATTGCGAGAACACGGAGATCACAAGATTGACCGTCCCGCCGAGGAGCAGCGCCTTGTGAATATGTTCAATCAAGTTGACATGTCGAAAAACTTTTACTTGAGGTGGGCAATATTCAAGTGTGTGAGCTCTCCTAATTGGTTCCACTATGCCTCAATCTAGTTACTCATGCGATATCACCTCTACGCTTCAAAATAACCTCACCAAGCCAAAACGTTTCAATGGTACCAGATGGCCCTTCAATGATCGATACGTTTAGAATTTTCACATGATCGCTGTACCTCTTAAGGATTCCCCCGCCACTGGTGTCCGTCGTCCATGGCTAACTGCCACTCATACATGGACATGTGGACCAGGCCAGTAAGTGCATCGGCAGTTTGCGCTCCTGCATCATGATGCTCAGTGCGCTACCAGAACTTACTGTACTTGGGCGTGTAGTCTTTGTAACGCAAGTTATTGCCCGTCGGTCGCGCCATTATGCTGGAGCTCGATATTTGACCCGTGGTGTCAATGAAGAGGTACGAAACTAGTGTATCGAATAATGTTTTCCCTCATGCCATCTACCAGGGAAACGTTGCAAACGAATGTTTATCCGGATATCCATTAATCGTCGAAAGAATCCATTGCTTATATGTTCGGATGCTGTGCTATAAAATCACGTGCATGTTTTGTGTTGTTTAGTGCGACATTGTACCTTGACGGGGGCGCGAGGACTACCGTGACCAGAAACAGAGATGATTAGCATGAATATTGAATAAGTGGATGTACTGCTATGCACGATTCTATACCGGAACGATGATAGAACGTGCTTCTAACTTAATACATAAATGGTGTGTGATATATCAGAAGTGAATATACGAATTGATAGCAAATATAGCGATGTACATAAAACAGTTCATAAACCCAGGGACGACTTGAACCTAGACTATGCCCAGAACAATGGTAGCGCGAAGGCTGCTTAATCTTGGGGCTGGAATTGTAGGTTCGGCAGGTTGCCCGTCAGGGCCAACCTCTAGGTGCTCAGTTCGCAAGGAGCTCGACTTCCAACCCCAACTTTGACTGACTGAGAACACATCCGGAACGCTCGTGAATCGCGTAATAGATGAACCAGTAGAGCTGGCACAAGAGATAGTAAAGTAAGCTGCGATAGCAGGCCGGGGATCGCGATATGGCTGCGATGGAGCAACGGCAGGCGATGTGGCTGGAATGGTGCTCGGTAAAGAGGTAAAGGACGTAGCAAGGCCGGATGATGTCGGTGGGGATGAATTGGGCGTCGTGCTTCGTGATAGAGGGCGAACGGAAGGGGAATAGTGCGTAGCTACAGAGGGTGAGGACTGCGACGTAGAAAGTTGTGGTAATGACGGCACTCTGTTGGCGGGTGCGTGTCCCGTGCGATTGAGTGACAATGGCGCCGAAGGGGCAGGGATAGGATCAATGTTCGATTGTCGGTGAAGATAGACTCCAAGCTGAATGCCCTTCTTCCTGATAACTTGCACGTATACGTTGAACAAGCTTCCTGCGTACCAGATCGTCTGTGAGTGCAGGCGGGACTTCTCCTTCAGTGCGTCGATATCCCAGAACTCCACTGCAAATCTGAACGGAGGGTAGGGTGACCATCGCGCTTTACCCGTTGCGTCAGATGCTATACAACCTGACGCGGTTTGTCGTTCTGGCTTCAGACCAAAGAAATCAGCCTCAGTAGTTGTTGCACGAACAGGCGCCTTGCTGTCCGTGGTTGGACTGGACAATGATGGAGGTGACTCGAAGAGTTGGTCCATAGAAGCACCTTCGATGCCCCCGCTATCACCAATGCGTACAGATGAATCGTGTCCGACGGGATAATATGGCTTATCTCTGTCGTCTACTGTGTTTGGTGAAGAGTTCGAAGTCGGCAATCGAGCAAGAATCTCGGCAGTCGTGATGGACAACCCAAGTTCCTTCTCTCGCGAAGGTGGAGGGCTCAAGGATGGGGATGAAGGAGAAGAGGTTGGGTTGGGTTTGCTTGTAATTTGACATCGCAGTAACGACTGGTCCCAATGAGCTTCCTGTAACACAGAAAGGGGAACAAATGGTCGACCAGTGCTAGGAGAGATATGCTGCGATATCGTCATGATATCATCCACAAGCTTTAAGCCGTTATTAATAAAAAGTTCTTAGAGGAGATATCTTTACTTACCAAATTGGCATAGTAAATGCCTTCACGGAACAATATTGCCCAGTCTTTCTCCTCTTCTTCATCAGTACCCTGCCGTCTTCTAAGCTCGACGATGGTGCAGGCCATATCGTATCGTTCTTTCTCCCCTCTCACAAAAAACAAATTGGAGCCTAAAATCTGTCGCACCCACTTCGAGTTTAAGCCACCCCTTGCCCAGATGACAGGAGTCACATGTGGCTCTGGTATGATAGGCTCACTAGAAGTTGAGGGTTTGACAGGCATCGTATCAGCTCTCTTGCGCGACGACACGTTTTGCGCAAGGACAGGAACTGGGGTGACGGGGAGTTCTGGACCACGAGATGCTTTCTCTTCGTGGATAAGCATATCCGCACCCCATCGGGCGATCCAGCACGCCGCGGCTTCGCCAATCTTGTCTGATAACAGTCCATAATGGAAATAAGGTTCGCGGATTGGCCCATCGTCTGGCTCAGATTCTACCTCATTCGATTCAGCAGGATCCTCTTTCTGTACATCTAGATCCAATAATTTATCGGACAAATCATCGGCAGGATCCAGCTTGGTGCTTGATGTGCGCAAAGGAGAACGCGATGTACTAGATGCGCAATTCTCGGTAACTAACTGTGCAATGTTCTCCAAGCCCACTGCTGCTTCAGCTTTGCGGTCAGGATCAGCTTCGATAGCTTTACCAATAGCAAAATTGAGGTAAGGAATAACGGTGTACGGTCCGACTGTGTTCATGATGCAGTTGACAGCCTGCGATGCCATGGAGGGTATGGAGAGGTAGACTGCTGTGGCTAGAAGTGAGAGCAACAACTGAGGAGTGGCGGTGTGATGCCCCTTGGGTGTGTCGAAAGATAAAGAGGGGCTAGAAAAGGAAGGAGTAAGTGGTTGGGATGCGGTTGGGATGATGGATGGTGGGACATATAGGGGTGGACCACCACCATATAGTCGTGCGATGCATATCCTGGAAAATGTCAATCCAAGGTCACAAGGTTAGTCCTGAACAACCTACTCAAAAGCTGAAAAGTCATCAGCGTGGAGCTATCGTCATCGGGGCTAGAACATACCTGCACGAGTGATGTTGCGGTCATCGAAAATGACGTCAATTTCCTCAGGTCCTTGTAGATGGCTACGTAGTTTGGGTGAGGACTCGAGGAAGCCCGCTGTGAATAGCGAGCTGAAGAACCCCTGCAAGTAGTCTAGTAAGTAACTTGGTAGGGAGCCGAGAAACGAGAACTTTACGAACCGACTGTATGAGGATTACTCTGTGCAACTTGTAGATTGCCTCCCATGTGCCATAGACATGCAAAGAGACATCTGCAGTGCGAGACTCTAGCAAGGAGTTATAGATGTGTTGCTGTAAATCGACAGAGGAGAGCGCTGCGGCAGTGTTCATAGGCGGGCTGCTGCGTCTCAGTCTATGGATGTTATAGGTGGATGAATAAAGGTCTGGGAGAGAAGGAGAAACGTGCAATACACGAGCTGAAGACGGAAAATTAGCCTCTGCTGCTGAAGTGGTTAGGAGTGTCATGATGATTAAGTATATCAGGACACACGCCGTCGTGCACTGGCAAGCTGCTTAGAGACCCACAAATTACTAAATTGCAGCCGAAAACTGTAAGTTGACCTCATTCCACCATGCAACAGCCTCATCCTCGTTTTTCTGTTCTATCCGGTTCTTCGCTCTCTTCTACAGAACATCTTTCACCAACTGCAAGCTCGACACGTTTCTCTTTACCTTCTGCGACATCCATAAACACTGCTCTCGGCACGCCAAAACCAGGCCTTCGACCTAATATCTATGACAGGAATCTTAATAAAACACGGACATCAGAAGTGTCCGCTTCCGCTTTCGCCTTCCTTTTTTCTGAGGTCGTTCAATATACCCAGAAACGCGTAAGCGGAATCAATGATCTCGAACGGCGGTGCGTTTACCCTGCATGCACTTCTATTATGTTCGCTTAACGTGGCGTCACTCAGATTGAACACCCTCGGTTATCGCGCCGGAACCCGTGTCCTCGAACTCATGGTCTGGCGGGCAGAGTCGTCGTCCAAAGCTCCAAAACGAGAAATTCGTTTTCTACCTGCTCTCATGTCCATCCACACCCAAGTGTGGAGAGCAGTCTTTGGACGCCCTGCAGATGCAATAGAGAAGAGTGTTGAGAATGAAGATGAATGTATGATCACTCCATTCATGTTATTTGACCGCTGAGCGATTTCCATCTGAAGATATGATCATCGACAATGATCCTCCTATCGAACGTCATATATCTGTCCCAAAAGATATGAACCAACTCAGCTGTTCTTCTTTCACTGCTGGGATCGTAGAAGCTGTCCTGGATGGACTAGGATTGGTCAGTATATCATTCTCGGACAAATTCTGTACTGATATGTGCGCAAAGCCTGCACGAGTGACGGCTCATCATACCCCTACTCAACAGTTTCCATCGCGTACGACCATACTCATTAAACTTGACAAGTCTGTACTAGAAAGGGAAGAAATCCTCAAGTAAACATGTACTACAGTCTGCCCCTTCAGGGATGGTCTTGAGGCTGCATTTCACTCCCTTTCGGTCAGTACCACATTCATGTCCGCTGGAGGTGACAGGAACCATATCATCAACAGAACCATCGTTCCAGGATCGCTCCGATGGTCCGTGTCCACCAAACGCACCATATCGAGTTTGATTACAAGTAGAGCGTCAGGTACAGGTGTAGACAGCTTCGTTTCGGGCTTGGCTCGGGGTAATCTTGGACCCAATTATGGTCTTGTATCCTCGAAATTGACTCATAGACAATGGAGCAATATCCATGGTGGCATCCCTTTGATGCTTTAGGACAGTTATCAAGCCGTTGTGGGAGAAGGTGAGGGAGATAATCGAGAGACGACTGAGCAAGAGGCGGTTGTGAACGGGCACACTGAGAGGAGAAGAGGCTACCAGTGTTTTCGGGGAGCCAAATGGACTGTGTTCCTGACTGATCAGCTCATTAATGATTGTTTCTTTTCATAGCTATGTACTTGCACATGCGGTATGTCTCTGTTCGATTGGTACCGGTAAAGTCTTATCGAGCTATCTCAAGCCAAGTTGACCGCTTGAGGCACGTCCGTAATAATAGGCACACTCGCGGTCTTCTCAACTGATAACACGGAAGAAAGGCCCGTATCAATACGCTCAGCGGCTCATTCTACAGGATCCATAAGACGTTTCCTGATCCTGATAAAATCCTCGATGGTTTTAATTCGCAGCATTGATGTGTCACCTTCCATGGTGAACTGCTCATGTGCATGGGCATCAGACTATCAACAGCTCAGTGGACTGTACCACTGCCCTCATACAGGCGCTGTGATCACGAGAACAGCTACTTTGGACGGTTTTGAAGAAGATGAAAGCCATACAGTACGCAAGACAAGTTCAGTTTCCAAAAATCTTCTATATGTCTGACGAGGTTGATCGCTCAGGTAGCGTTCATGAAGGACTCCCTTTCGTCTCTTAATTCGTACGGATATTCTCCCCATCCATTGTATGCATATCTCGGATGGATTCAGGAGTTCTTAGAAAAAGGATTGTCTCCCAAACCATTCATAATCAGCATCACAGAGTCTAGCGCCGAGAGGCTTTCCGAAATGTTAGTCACGATACAACAGTTCCGCGCGTCAAATTCTACATGGCGCTCTCGCATCGCTGTCGAGTTTAACTCTAGCTGCCCAAATATCAAAGGTCATCCTCCGCCCTCATACCACCTTCCTTCCCTCAAGCCATATCTCGACGTCTTCGCAAAGGCTTTCCAAGATGACTCAACGCTTACGATCGGGCTCAAGCTCCCGCCGTACATCATAACAACCCAATTTCATGATCTTATCGAATGCATATCGTCTTACACCCGCACCGATTCTGGCAACCCCACAAACCCAATCGTCTACTTCACGTGCATAAACACCCTCGGGAACAGCCTTGTCTTTGCTGATCAGACCCCCACCCTAGATGCAAAGACGGACATGTCCCCGTTTGCCGTGCCTCCAGGTTTGGGTGGCCTTGCAGGCGAGGCTATTCATGCTCTCTCCTTAGGGAATGTGTACACCTTTTCGCGACTTCTCGCGGAGTCAGATGACCCGGCGATGCGGGAAATTGTCATCATTGGCGCTGGGGGCGTGACATCCCCAGAAGCTGTTCGACGGATGAATCGTGCCGGTGCAAAGATCGTAGGTTGTGCAACGTTGTTGGGTAAAGAGGGCGTTAGAGCCTTTGAGATCTTGTCTGGAAACTTGTGAATGGGTTTGTTGTTGGCAAAAGGTTACATTCTGACGTCCGTATGTCCTTCAAAGATGGTTTGAGTTAGATGACCCGGCGATTTGGGAAATTGTCATCATTGGCGCTGGGGGCGTGACATCCCCAGAGCTCGCTGTTCGGATGAATATTAATCGTGCCGTTGCGAGGATTGTAGGTTGTGCAAGATGTGTCTTCATATTTTGTTCCCGTCAGAAAATGATATCTAAATTACATAATGTGTGCAAAAATACATGACTCACAATTCTTGACTAGGAGATGCAGTAACTTTCGACAGAGTTATGAACCAGAACAGCCTGCATGTTACAGCCAGCGTATATTCAATGGCTGTACATACCGACATTGGCGTTTTAACTCCCTACGATAATCGCGCCTTGTATACGATAGTGTTATTTGCAAATAATTGTATTAGGTCCAGATAAATAGCAGTTATAATCAAAACTCCATGCAACGCCCTAAAAGTAGACCCACGATTCAACCAAATCGTTCTGAATCTCTCAACACTAGAGGTTTAACAACACGGTCCCAATTCTCTGACCAAGAACCCCACTCCCAGTCAGCACCTTCTTGGTGTTGGTGATTATGGACATAACGCTCGACACTGAGCGGTACCTGTAATGCCCGCTGCAAATTTGTCCGTAAAGAATCAAGTGCAGATGAGGAAGGAAAAGAAGTGAGGAGGGTCTATGATATATAGTCAGTCTCCATCAATATCATATGGAGGACGAGTCCCACCTCCAGATGCTCTGCAAGCTGAGACGCATTCTTGAAAACCAAGCCATTAATACCGTCTTTGACAAGCTCTGGAAGACTATGAACGCAGGTATCAATATGGCAAAGGTCCAAGCACACAAGTCCTCACCATGCAAAATCGAGGGCACAAACGGGGAGTCCGCATCCGAACATATCAACAATTTTCATTGGTAAATCGAGCGCGGAGGAACTTGAGTGCAATGAGACGCCCAAGTCAGCAGAGCCTAGATGAGGTCAGTGAATGAACCTGTGACCATGCACGAACGACTTACCCAGCAAAAGGGGATAGTCTTCTGCTTCAAGCCATAAACTCGTGCACCTGACATACTGCCAGTTTTTTTGCAAGAGCTCCACTTCTGTCATGTATCGGTCTTTAAGCGGCCCTTTGCCTGTGATGACCATCCATATGCGAGGCAAGACTTGTCGTTCTTTTGAATTGTGCTTTGATTGCGAGTTCTCACAATTTGTAAGGTTTGCTTCACGAGCACGAGACTCGTAGAGTTTCAATGCCTCCAAGAGAATGCCAAAGTCTTCGTCTGGTGTCCATGATGTACTACTCACCAGCAGCGCTGGACGATCTTTTCGAAGAGTGGGCGTACTGAGAGAGCTAAAAGCGGATGTGGGAGAAGCGGAATACGGTGGAAGTCCACGTATTTCAGTAAGTTGGGTCGTGTAAGGCAGCGAAGCACTGGGGAGAAAATCTGCAAGTGATGGCGATATCGAACGTCCCAGTCGTATGAATAACTACATCAAAGGCGTCAGATATTATTGGATATAAAAGTCACTTTTGTACCTCATGGACTTCTAGAGGTGGACACTTGTGAAAGTGGCTGGGTGGACGATCATGTAAGACCACCTTGTGCCCTCTGGAACCAGTAATTAATCGCAAGTCGATACTGTAGGCAATTAGACAAACATCAGGCCCCATTCCTGCTCCAGATTGTTTCGCATAGCATTTGTAACGAACAGGTGAGCGTACGCAGAACGGCCGAACCTGATCTCAAAGCTAAAGGAGGATGGTAAAGAACGCTTGGTACAAAGGATGATGAACATACCGTTTTGCAATGTTGACGAGCAGATGTGTTTTTCCCAACTTCAATGCGAGAATGCTATACCCGAGGTTATGCCAGTCGATGATTACTTTACTTCCCGTTATCCCTCCGACAAGCCACACTAAAGCGAGAGTGGGAATACTTGGAGGATTCTGCAAAATTTATTTGAGTGTTGAAGGCTAGAACCACATTGACATCCATACCTGCACCATGATAAACTCGGGCGGCCGGGGTATGTCATAGACTAGCGTGTATAGAATGGTGGCTATCTGGTACATAATTTTGATCGGAGCGGCTAGAACAAAAGGAATCCGCGTAACGAGTGGCGGTGATTCTGACAAGTATGACAACCTGATATTGGAGAGGGTGGTTAGCGAAACTATCGGCTTGGAGCCTGACGTGTCGAACGTCAGTCTGAACAAACGCGATACGAGCAGTTCTTACCTTTGTATCCAATGAGATAGGTGTCAAATCCCAGCTTCGCAAAGCTCTCTGCATGATACATCATTCGCGGGCTGCGTCCCACATCGCCTAGTACGAGAATGGCGACTGAGCGCAATTTCGGGGTTTGTTGCACCTTCTGGGAGACATTCACAACAATAAACAGCAGGAGCGCAAAGAAAGATAATGTTGCGAATATAAAGAAGTCGTGAAAACCGTGATTCTCATTTGCTATCATCGCATCGGAAACCTCAGAGTTGGCAGAAGGGTAAGTATGGACAACATAGCCACCACCATACACGATCAGCCGCGTGCGGCACGCTCTGATTGCCGGTCGCCGGCCGCATTTGTGTTTGTTCATATTTTGAACCAGCATGCAGGTGAATAAGCAGCGAGCACACTGACGCATATACTAGTGCTTAGTACTTACGACCGTCATGTCTAGGCTTGCCTCCAGATCTATTAGAGCCCTGTCAAGCGCACGCTCTGCCTCGAACCGCACTATCGAGTCTGCAGTTCGGTCCTGGACAAGATCAATTTCATCCACGCCTGTACGTGCAGCAGTACACCGCGGACCCACTCTTGTAACTGCCTCAGGCATTCACGCCCCAAAAGCTGCACCATCATTTGGCGTAGCACCCCCACAATGTATGTCTCATTTTTTTTGTCTCTGACATGCTCCTGTGAACTATTGTTGTGCGTCCAGGTCGATCCATGTTCATACAGACAGAGGTCACACCAAACGACGATTCCCTTAAATTCATACCTGGTGTAAGTGTCATGGGCGAAGGAACAGCCGAGTTTCTTGACACGCGATCAGCGTTAAAATCTCCACTTGCTATCCGTCTTATGGGCATTGAGGGTGTGAAAGCTATTTTTTATGGACCAGATTTCGTTACTGTGTCAAAGGACAGCGAAAACCCATGGGCAATCCTCAAGCCAGAGATATACTCGATACTTATGGAGCATTTTTCTGCCGGTTTGCCCCTTTTCCGGTCGGAAGAGGATAAAGAAGCTGCTGGCCCTCAGGACACGCGGATTCTTGACACAGATTCTGAGACGGTAGCAATGATCAAAGAGCTGCTCGAAACTCGTGTCCGTCCAGCGATTATGGAGGATGGTGGTGATATAGAATACCGAGGATTTAATGATGAAGGCTTTGTAAAAGTTAAATTGAAGGGAAGCTGCAGAGGGTGCTCATCTAGCGCTGTAACATTGAAGTCCGGAATTGAGAGGATGTTGATGCATTATATCCCGGAGGTGAAGGGTGTAGAGCAGGTATGTTCAAACCTTCCTGCGGTGTTTGCCTTTAGTTGACGACGAACCAGATCTTGGATGAAGATGAGGTTATTGCATTGGATGAGTTTGCTAAACTCGAGGAACGGCTGGCGAAGAATGGAAAGAATAAAGATTCCAAGTGAGTTGCTTATGATATCAGTGGTGGATTAACGAGTTTACTCGCACAGGATGGCGCCGTATATGTCCGTATGAGAGCCTGTTACCTTACTTTACACTACTGAATATGACTGCATACTGTTTGCTGTCTCTGAATGGTGGCAGAACCCTCGACGTCTACCTTCAGGCCTTAGTAAGAGGATATCAAATCTTCTATATGTCCGACGAGGTTGATAGCTCAGGTAGCGTCCACGAAGGATTCCATTCCATCCCTCAATTGGAAGACTCTACGCTTACGATCGGGCTCGAGCCCTCCGCGTACATCATACACCCGCACCGATTCTGGTAACTCCACAAACCTAATCGCCTACGTCACGTGCACAGACACCCTCGGGAACAGCCTCGTCTTTGCTGATCAGACCCTGGGCCACCCCAGATGCAAAGACGGACATATCCCCGTTTGCCGTGCCTCCAGGTGTGTGGCCTCACAGGCGAGGCCATTCATGCTCTCTCCTTATGGAATGTGTACACCTTTTCGCGACTTCTTGTGGTGTCAGATGTCATCATTGGCGCTGGGGGCGTGACATCCCCAGAAGCTGTTCGACGGATAAATCGTGCCGGTGAGAAGATCGTAGGTTGTGCAACGTTGTTGGGTAAAGAAGGCGTCAGAACCTTTGAGATCTTGTCTGGAAATTTGTGAATGGGTTTGCTGCTGGCAAAGGTTACATTCCAACGTCCTTATGTCCTTCAACAGTGGTTTAATAAGTATGTATACACTGATCGCAGAGTAAAGCTAAAAGGCTACAGGTGAATGTGAATGTGAGCGTGATTAGGGGTCTCAGGCGTTTGCTGACCCGGGGTTAAGCGAAGTGATAGTATTGCATCGAAAAAATCGTTCAGTAGGATGGAAAAGTTGCGTACGAGTGAGACGAATGAGTACTATAGCACGAGGTTGAAAACGTGTCCCATGGGAAGTCAGAGAAGTCTGGAGGGGAGGGTGTGAATGCGGAGATATTATCGTCGTCATAGTTTATGAACAAGGTTGAGGGTTCGCTATAAAGTGGCACAGGCAGTGGCGAGAGCCTGGAGCTTTGGTGCAGAGGATGAAAATCAGGCTGGGTAAGGAGCAATGGATGTGCCGGCGAAGTACTCGATGTTGGTTGATTGGTGTCATACGGCGCTTGGTAAAGCTGCTCGCTACAATCGTAGGATTTTGGTATGGTCTTAATAGTAGCAAGCTGGATAGAAACGATGAGAGGATGTCAAATGTCGAGAGATAATATGCGCACCGGTGGAGAAAATTGAGTGGCACCTGCAATGTCGTAGATCGAAGGACCAGTAGACTTGGTAGTAGGTGGCAGAAGAGGACTGCGGAATGGTTGTATCTCGCATCCGTCAAAGTCACCTTCACAAGGTTCTATGCCCTTGGATGCTAACCCACTTCTTGAACCAGGGGATGATATGAAAGTCGTTACTTTCATAGTGTCATCGATTTCCTTGACTGCGACCTCGAGTTCTTCGCCATGCTTGCCTGCAAGAAGCAGTTCGGCGACTTGCTCGCAGCGTTTCTTGTCTTCTGTACCGTTCCTCTGAACTTTTCGTTTGGTAGGCTTTTTGGCGCGTAGGACAGGATGAAACCTGTAATTTGGGTACTTTATGGCATGAACGGCCTTCTCTGTTGCAGCCTTGTTACGCCAAACCTGTTTCTCTGACTCAGAGAGGCGATTCCAGCAGTGCGCGATTATGCGGGTGATGTGTCTATTGTCACGCTCAATATTCGTTCCGATTTTCTGTGCGGCTGCAAAGGCTGAGCGGAAGAGCATGAAAGCATTTCGTGGACGTGGGACGTGATCTGGGTCTTTGCTACGCGAGTAGCCACGAGAGCATGGTATAGGCATGCTTGCAAGAGCTGCGGAGGAAGGAAAGGACGATGGAAAGGGAAGTTCGGAACTCGATTTTGGGGAATTTATACTTGATGTGGAGGAAGTGGAAGCATATGAAGAAGACACTGATTCTTGAGGGGAAGGGATGCACGTTGATACCGACTCAACGTGGTGCCATTGAAAATCAGGGGGGACTAGAGGAGCCTCGAATTGGGGAGGCGATAAGAAATCATAGGGTGGATCACTGATATGATCCAGGAGATCTGATGCATATGCTAAAATGTTGGTTGGAGAGAGAGAAAAACGAGGAGAGGGTTTATTGTACGCACCATAAGATGAGATAGAGTTCAAATTGAACTGAATATTGATATGGGCGTCAGGAACTGCCATCTGAGATGGTGGAATGCAAGTGGGGTGCTAAGAAGTTCTGAAAGCATACTATCGACATCTGCCCTTTATAATCAGGACTATAATATGGAGGTGGCGGAACTTGGAGGTAAAATTAATGCTTACACTTTCACAAAGTCACATCGTGATATCCGAGTCTCCATTTAAACTGGCATCCCTCGCTATGATCACAATTAGTGTCTGTATATGGAATATGTGATATCGAGTAAAGGCAGTGTCCGCTGAATGCCGGGGACACGTTGCGTATCGAGTGTAAGGGTCATCACATTTGGTGAAAATTTCCGCTCCACATTGAAGAAGTTCGGGAATGGGGCCGGTGAAGTTGATCAGATCTCTTTACTCTCTCTAGCAAAGCCATTGTAGCACGTTTGAACCGTGTGGTCCGGAGAATGCCGTTTCTCTGGGGGAACTTGTGTGATTTGTTTCGATGGAAGATAAGGAGTCACGTACATACAACACCCTCGGCCTCGCTACCGAAATAATTTAACCGAACCGTGCTTCTAGAATAAGAACTCCCCTATCTCACGTGATAGGGCGGGTGTCGGGAGGGCGGTGCAGAGCGTGGTGGTCATGGACACCACACATCACCGAGTCAGTGACAGGGGCACACTATTTAATCCCCTCCGTTCTACTCTCATCTCTTCTCAACTTTTCCATGCCTCGCAAAAAAGCCGTCTCCTCCACTGACGCCGCTGGCGTTCCGATACCAGTGTCATCGCGTTCCACCAGGGCTGCCACGAGGCAGATAAACACCGCACCTGCTTCCACTGCAAAACCCGTATCCCAACCTGCAAAACCCGTCTCAAAACCAAAATCATCCAAGAAGCGCGTCCGCGACGATGATGAAGCAGATGTCGTCCCTTCTAAAATTGCCAAGCTGAACAAGGACGATGACACTAGTGACAACAAGGCGGACAACGACTCGGAAGCGAAGAAGATGGTGAGTACTGGATGCCCCATAAGCCATACAGTCAGATGCTTACCCTCTCAACTTCCAGGTTACTGTTGTGAAACGAGGTGCTGCTCCGGTAGACCCAACATCCGGTCTCATTTGTAAGTGTTGTAATCATGCGTTAAGAGCGTGGAAATGACCGGCGTGCATGTCTAGTTACACATCAAGTCTACTCGAATGCTGAAAGTGTTTGGGATGCAATGCTCAACCAAACTGAGGTTGGCTCTAACAAGAACAAGTGAGCACACGCGCGCATGAATAATTTTTTATTCTCATCCAGGCACATAGATTTTATGTCATACAACTGCTGCATCCTATTGGAAATGACGCCCAATGCTCCCTCTATACGCGTTGGGGCCGCGTCGGTGAGAACGGTGCAAGCCAAATCAAGGTTGGTCACACCATTTGAATTCTACACTAGAAACTGATCATGTTAGGGACCATGGCCATCTGCTTCTGCCATTGGCGAGTTTAAGAAGCAGTTCAGGTCGAAATCTGGCGTTGCGTGGCCCCAACGCTTTGGCATGGTGGCTGCGAAGGGTACGTGGATATTTTCTGGAAGTCCAACCCTCACATGAACACCAGATAATCAGGAAAATATACATGGTTAGGTAAACACATTATTAGGTTCAAACGCGAAGGAGTAACCTGATATCTTCTCCAGAGCGTGTATTCGAGGATGAAGATAAAAAGGCGGAAAGCAGTGGCAGCAACTCCAAAGAAGATGAACCTGTTCCGGAATCCAAGTTGCTACCCGAGTTGCAGGTAATTAGAGAAAACAACTTCCTCGCCTGCGCTAATGCAATCAATGGTCGCGGCAGGCATTCTGCAACCTTATCTTCTCATCCAAGTACGTGTCGTAGCCTGAACTCTCATAGCGTCAACTGATCAATGTAGACTTATTGATGCTCACTTGTCGTCGATGAATTATGACGCCAATAAGCTTCCACTTGGTATATCACATCCTTTGATGGGAGTTGTTCGACGATTTACAGTCTTGCAGGCAAACTCGCGAAGTCAACGATTCTCAATGGGTTCGCGGCATTGAAGGTTCGCTCATCACCACGAAATATTTGTCTGAAATATCGATTTAACGATTTCAGAAACTCGCGGAAGTGGTCGAGTATCCGGATGGCGACATGGCGAAGTCTCTAGGTGGCTTCCAAACTGCCTGTGAAACGCTTACTTCGGAATACTATTCGTGTGTCAAGTGGAAATTTAATTGTTTATTGCTCTGATGTGACTTTTTGGCAGCATCATCCCTCATGTATTCGGGCGCACGAGACCCACTGTAATCAGAGACCAAGATCTTTTGAAAAGGGTAATACACTGGGCTTCGTCACAATTCTCATGCTTACATTTCCACAGGAACTGAATCTCGTCGACGCTCTGGGCGACATGGTATGGGAACCGTATTCGTGCATATTCATCTGCTCACCACGTGTCATCTCAGGAAATCGCCCATAAACTCATAAATAGTACCATCAATGTTGATGACGACGGGAAGCCACTTAACCCGCTGGACGCGCACTTCCGCTCGCTGGGTCTCAATTCGATGGATCCTGTCGCTCGAGACAGCTCGGAATTCAATGCTCTCACACGTTACATCTCCGACACGCATGGACAGACGCATCACTTCAGGTCGGCAGTTCTACATGCATTTAGGGTGGAGAGAGGGGCAGAGACTTCTGCATGGCTCGCGAAGGGTTACGATAAGCTTCCTGCTGGTGATCGGATGCTCTTGTGGCACGGTTCTAGGACGACCAACTTCGCTGGTAAGAAATGTGCGAAATATACCAAAGGTCATAGACTCATAGCTTTACTTTAGGTATCCTCAAACAGGGTCTTCGGATCGCCCCTCCGGAGGCGCCTGTTACGGGTATGTCACTGAAGATTGTTTATACACGTACAACGTACTGACGTACAATTCAGGCTACATGTTTGGCAAAGGTGTCTACTTTGCAGATGTGAGTTTGTGTTCTTGTCCCATACCATCAACTAACCTGTTCCTTAGATGATGTCAAAAGTAAGTGCGGAAGGACATTTGCGAGCATCGATGGTTGATATCTGTCTCATTCCAGTCTGCAGGCTACTGCTACGCCAGGTGAGTAATGCAACATTCTCGAAGGGCGCCTCACTAACCTTGATGGATAGCTTGAGTAACAAAATAGGCGTGTTACTCCTCTGTGAGGTAGCTGTAAAACCGTTCCTCGAGATGAACAATGCAAATTACAATGCCGATGAAGATTGCAAAAAAAGCGAGACATTGTAAGTGCAATCTCTACCTGTTCCGCATGCAGGCTTCTCATGCTGCTCGTACTGCCAGGGCAACGAAAGGGGTAGGAATGGTACAACCTACCAATTGGCAAGATGCTGGTATGGCGCTTGACCACAAAGAACTTGAGGGCGTTTACATGCCCAAGGGAGAGGCATCGCAGGTCAACCCCCCTGGTGCCTTTCTTATGTACAACGAGGTTCGTGATCATGATAAACCGTTCCTGCGTCAGCTCATATTCCGCTAGTACATCGTCTATGACCCATCCCAGATCCGCTTGCGGTACCTGCTCATGGTAAAGATGGATTGAGTATGATTGAGTTGGGAAATATATGTAGCCTCACTTTTCTTCTGTCGGGAACTACTATACTACTTGATGGCTTCCATTAGATATGAATTCATTGATCTCTCCTAACAAGAGTTCAGCGCTATTATCGAAGGAAGATACTCATTTGATGTTCAGTGAATATCACGTGATTTCAGACATCAGAGGCGAGGGCGGCTCCCGGCTGACAGCTGGATGTCAACTCTCAAGTTTTTAGATCACTCCGACCATGACCAAAGGCAAAGGCAAGCAAGTTGAGCCTATGGTGCTCCTGCCGCCAATGCCTAACCCGTCTGCAGGCAGCGCCAACCCCTCTGCATCTCTATCCTCCCTCTGGGGATATTTACTCCCAGCACTAAATCATATCGTCCGCTCGCCCACAAACTCAACTGAAAAGGCGCCCGTTATCGACATTTCATATCACATGGGGATACACACAGCAACCTATAACTATTTCACTATGCAAGTTGAGACTGTCAGCACTAGCAAGGAGCGCGAAAGACTTACACCAAGCGGAACGGATTTGTATGAGCATATCGACAAGTACTATGCGGAAGTCGCTCGGGAACTGTTACTCGGTGCTCCAGAGGATGATTCATCTTTGATCCATTACATCGTCCCGTGTTTCAACCGCTACGCCGCTGGCGCACACTCCGTGAACCGTCTCCTCAATTATGTGAACCGACACTATGTGAAACGCGCTGTCGACGAAGACAGAGGCTGGCTCACTCTGAGCGATATCTTTGATGCTGTTGCGAAGGCTATACAGGACGGGGACACAAAAGATAAAATTACAAATAAGTTGAAGGAGAGGCGGACGGAGGAATTGAAGAAGTGGGGGTGGGATGAAGGGGGGACGAGCGAGCAGCTTGCGCACGCTGAGTCGTGCGCGGAGGCGGCAAGTCCTGTTGACCGTGTCGTACCACTGTCTGCGCTGGCGCTTCGACGGTTTAGAACGGAACTTTTGGAACCTTTGCTGGCTGTTCCCAAATTGAAAGGGAATAAAAGGAGAAAGGCAGGGACTCATAATGGGAACGCTCCCAATTTACCAAAAGGGCGCCTTGCGAGAGCTGTCAGGGAGTTGCTAGAAAAGCAAGATGTGGATGTGGAGGAGAGGAAGAGACTAGTTACAGAACTTGCAAACGCAATGCGCGTTACTGGCGTACGCGACGGACATCCTCTACGGAAGAGGCTGGATAAGTATTTATCAACGGGGACTGTATAGATTTATTATCCACTGTAGTTTGATCTCGAACAATTGGACTCGAAACACAACATGGTATGATTGGAGTATGTCATGATGAGTATCCAGGCCTGTGCGCTAATGATTGTACGACCAGAAATATCTATAAATGTGCGTGAGGGTAAGCATATGTTGATGATACAAATATGTATATAGAGAGTTCTTATCAGTAATTCAGGTTCTGGCTGACGCTACTGCCTGCCAAAACACTGCTAGTCATGTCAAAATGCGCGGTAACACTGTTCTCTCCTCCCCATTCACAAGGTCCTTCCAGTCCGTCTTCCACGGAAATTGTGAGGGTCAAATTCGACGAACTTTGTGACGGATCAGTCACAGTGATGCTGCCCGTGTCTATGCAATAGATGAAAACAGCATGAGCACTTGATTCGATTTTCATAGAACCGTAAACCTCGTCGGTGAATGTGAACGAACCGCCCGCTGCGTCCCAGAAGACACCGAAGACAGTGTAGTGGTCTTCATCCAAAAGAGCGCTCACAGAGGCGTCGTTCTGTATCTCCGTCAAGTGAGTATATGCGCGTTTGAGAACGAATGTGTCGTAGTCAACTGCAGGGTATACAGTATAGGAGATGGGGGCGCTGCGGTCCTTGTGGTGCAACCAAGCAGCGAATAATTCTACTGTTTCTTGACCAGAAAATATACCTGTGCTGGACCAGTCACCTGTCTTGTTGCTCCATTCGAGGGACAGTTCATAAGTTCCATTGACTCCCCGGAACTCGTACCCGACGTCACCGTGCCATAACGAGCGGGGATCTGTGAAGTTCCCTCCGAAAGCTCTCATATCATTGACAAATACGTCAGGCCCGCTGAAACGTCGTTGGTCAAGAACAGAAAACACAGGGGCATCCGTCTTCGAGGAGATGTTGGCGATCATCACATACTGAACGTCGTGCTCGAGGAAGAACCATGTCTTTTGCCATGACAAGGACCCGGTCACGGGGTTGGCATAACGCATCGCTGCGACGCCGACATGTCCGTCGCTGACGCCACCGACAAATGCTTCCTTTCCGATATATTTGGTGTGTCTACAGTCGAGGACCGTGGCATTGTAGTCGACGGTGATACCAGGGACGAGGTTCCAGTCCCAAACAGCGGCTATATCTTCATACTCATTGCCTTGGAGGTATGTGTAAACAACACCGTCCGCGAGATGGAAACCAAGAAGCTGTATGGGATAAGTGTAGTGATTTTAATGGGGGAGGGGGAAAAGGACCCACGTTTTGCGAGTTCGTACACTCTGTATTCCGGGTTCTTGTTGAGTACATCTTGAGAGACGTAACATAGCCAGGACCCCGAGTGACCTGGGAGTTTTTGAATTTGAATTTGGGGTGCGTAGGTACTGGTCGGCCTACCATATAATCATTCTTATAGAACATACGGTTTCCAAGTATTCCTCCCACATTTGCATGGGTTATATTGGACGAAAGACTTCTTGCGAAGTCAACGAGAACGTCCGAATTCCAATTCTCACCAAGTTCTTCCACCTTTGAGAGGTTTGTTAGGATGCCAGAACTTGCTCTATGTCAAAGTAGGTCATTGCAGTTGGACTGCATCAAAAGATGAGTACCTACTGGCCAGCGGCCACCGGTGAGCTTATGAAGCGACCCACTGGGCTCTACATGTATTCATAAGAGATGATCAGTAATTGTAGCTGAAACTTACAAGATCCCAGTGCAACACCTTAAGATAACCATTGAGCTTTTGCTGGGGCAGGAAATTCACGCACGAACCTGTGTTTCGACGTTAAGATTTATCATCCATCGGTTTCCGTCGACCAACGTCTCGAGAGCAGCCCTTGCCTTACTGTCAGCCGCGAATGAAGTTCCGGCTGCTGCGGTCTCGAAAACGAGGACACCATTAAAGCTATCCAGCAAATTCAGAACATGCACACGAAAAAAAATGCGTGCGTACAAGTCCTTCCCGTAGTTTCCATTATAAAGCAACCCGAGGTGCTGACCGAAGGAGCCGTCCGACTGGATCTATCAAAGAGACTCGTTGAGAAATTGAGTATACCAGGAATTCAGGGATACCCACCCCATCAGCTGCTATGCTAATATTTTCCTGTATGACGATGGTGTCATGGACTCTCCTGTACGCGTCTGAGAGCAAAGAGACATTGGACACAAGAAGACTTTGATCTAGACCGGTTTTGGCCATGTCCAGGATGTTTGCTCCAGCCTCAAAGCTGTATCCATGATCGAACACACCATACGCACGTAGGGAGATATTACTGCAGTTGCTTAATTGTGTATGTGTCAGGGTGTCGTTGAGGAGCAGACATGACTCTGCAACGAGACCGGGGATGAAGATGACCTGTGGCAATATTGTCAGGCTTCGGGAAAGTGGCACCAACATTTAGACGTACGTTAGCATACCAGTTCGTGTTCCAGAAACCAGGTGTGCCGCAAGGACAGCTGTCGGTGCCTCCTTCAACGAGACAGCTGACGTTCGTAAAGTCGTTATTAAACCAGTAGTTCATAGCATTGCCTATGGCAGTGAATATTGTCGAACTGTTAACGTATTGATCGTAGCCTTGGAGTCCCCCATGCCAAGCAGCAGCCATCGTGCCTGTGGAGAAGCGCGTACACTGAGTGTGAATCACATGGAGTTAAGCGTTGGGCAACTAACTTATGCGAACCCAATGAGCTGCAGCTGGCCAGCTTGCTTTTCGACCATCACAGCCAGCTGTATAGTCGACATCAGTGTCGGGCCATTTACCATCTCCCTGAAGATCTGTGAGCCTGAAACGCGGTTGCCTTCAACGTAGTCGTGTAGCTTAGCGAGAGCAACGAACCAAGTTGATATATTACTCGGGTCACCTGTGATGCTGTCTATGATCGTGTCCAATCTTCGAGAGTGGATAGTGTTGATATCTTGTAAGGCGCTTGAATTTAGTGCTTGGGTTGGATTACTAGCATGTGCACTCGTGCCAGTGGACGTGAAAGAAGTCGTAAATTGAACACCTGAGGTAGAGACGAGAGAAGCCGAAGGTGTCTCAACCGTTTGAGATCCCGACGTCGACGTTCCGCTGCCACTGGATGCTTGAGAAGCAGAAGATTCAGGTGCATATCTTCGCTTCCAGCGTTAAACACCACTGAAAGAAGACGCGGCACTAGGCTGACCTCACTACCTCTGGAGGCTGACTGGATTGCCTTGGGTTTCCTGGATGACGAGCTACGCGTCGATGAGAGGACCCAAGAAGGCCATGAAACCATTCTGCCTCCGCGAGATTTGCTACACACAGTAGAGAAGTGTAAATGAATGGACGAAGGACCACCATGACCATAGGCGCGCAGAAACTTGCTTTGCTTCTACTGCTGCTGTAACATCGAGTATTTTATACTTACGAGTTCTACAGCGCGGCGACACACTGATGCGTGAATCGACGCGCGGGTGTGTATTAGATGCATAACTTCTTTTGGAATAAAGTTGGCGTGGGTGCGTGCCAATTTCCACCAATCGGAGCGCTCAGTACTCAGCGTCAACGTACAGATTCATGGCTGCAATCACGAAGCTCAGAAGTCAGCATGCGAATCGCCGTTTAGGTGCTTTTGGGAGGACTGTGTTCACCACATGTCCGACAAGACTGATAGGAGGATGCAGATGGCAGGTCACAGGTACGGCTAACTGATAAGGTCACTCATTAGGATATTGATAAGCGGTGGCCAGCGATATGAAAAAAAATTGAAGCCCGTCTTCGACCATTTCGATAGCTTGCCGTCTTATGTCACATCATTAACTTGGAAGGTTTGGGTAAGCTGTTAACTGCAAGTGAGTTCATGATGCTGGTTTTGACCCATCAGAGTTGCCCCCGCCCTGACCCATGGAATCCAGCAACGCCTCCATATCCATTAAGTTCATATCTGAGGGCCGGTGGAAGAAGGTATGGTCGAAGTTGGCAAGATCAAGAGTAGACAAATCGAAATTGCTGTCCCCACTTGGAGGCTGGTGACCGGTCCCATCTGATTGAGAAGTAGCGAAACTTGCGAGAATCGCACTGGGGGAAGGTGCCACATTTCCAGGATGAGCACTCTGGACGCCAAGCGTAGAATGCTGTCCAGATTGCAGTCCATCAGATTCTGGTGGTCCAAAAATGTCACTGCCGTGGTTGCTGTTATCCACTGCTGATAATGCGCCAAGCATTTCCATGTCAAGACCGCCTTCTTGGGACTCTTTTGCGGGGTTTGAAGCCCCAGAATCAGGAACAATGGGGGAAAATATGCCTTCTACCCCACTGTTCTCTCCCGAACCTGTTTCAGTTCCATCTCCAAAAAGGTCTGTCATGGTTGACATTTCCATGTCGATGGAGTCAAGATCGAGCTCAATTGGCTTGTCTGCCGAATTTCCTAAGGACGCATCGATTGGAGGCAAGGGGGAATCATCTTCGACAGTTAAGTCAATGTCAACGTGTTGTGAAGACGCAAATGCAGCCATAAGGTCTAACTCCGTTTGAGCTGAGGGACGAGCTGATTTGGGCGCAAGGGATACCGGAGAAGGCAAACTTTGGGAAAATAAAGCGGCTTCTTCTGCGGACATTCGGAGGGAGGATGATGAGAGGTCTAATTTGAGAGGGAATGGGGGGCGGTGCAAGGATGATAGGGAAATGGTTGATCCGCGGCGAGTGGGATTCGCAAGACCTTGGGGAGGAGATGCTTGAGACGGAAGAGCTGGTGGACCCATGACGACATCTGTGTTGACCTCCAGTGGAGGTAAAGGAACTTTGCGTGTGGTTGGAGACTCCGATGTGGATTTGGAACGAGTGCGGGTAGCGATCGCGGCATTCTCGGCTTCGCGAGCACGATGCTGCTCGCGAGCTAGGTCTCGTTCTAGCACAGCGATAGCTCGAAGCTTTTGGCATTATTGGAAGACGCACCACGATTTGAAGAAGGTGATAGCTCACCAAACGCGATTCCATCGCATCGTAAAGTTGATCGAATTTTTCGACCTCTCGTCCGAGGGAATCTGTCAAAAAACGAGGTGGATATGGAGCATATTTGTTAATACCACTGCCGATAGTTAGTATACTGTGATAGTGAACTACTATAAAGCCACGGACAGTCTTCGGGAATCAGCATGAAAGGAATATATTTGACCGGTTTTTACTACCGCGTTCTATCAAAAGGACTCAAGATAGTGTTCGATGGTCAGGATTATAACTTACCTTGAAGCAATCCATGAGCGCATTCATTTCAGGCTCTAGTATAGCCATAGCTTTGGGTGGTACGGGTGGAGGAGGCATGATAGAGTCTGGTGATAGGGCGTCTTTTGACTCTGCGGACTTGATCTGGGAAGACACGCTCTTTGGCGCCTTTACGACTTTACGTGGTTTTGGTTTCGGCGGCATGAGAAGCGCCCTGTGCTATTTCTGATTCTGAGGACAGTGAAACGGGTCAAAGATATGTCACACCCAATTTAGAAAGTCTGCCTAGTAGCAAGTACTCCGACACCCGACTCATCACAGCGTTCTCATCGACCTTATATACCGACGGGATATGTCACACAGCGTCCATGATATAACCCCAACGACGAGCTTAGACAGCGTCAACCTCGAGCACGAGGTACGTTTATAGATATTCCCTGCCCTTGTTCCCTAAACGCCGCACAACTAGGAATGTTTCCAAAGACGTTTGCGTCATATAAGTTCCATCCAAGTTCGCAATCTAACACCTTTTCCTGTCCGAGATGCATTTGCTTCTGCTCTCGCTCGCCCAGCTGAGCACTCCCAATTCACGCCTCTGGGAAACCTCTCTGACGACCTTGATATAACGCTTTCACGAAAACGCTCACGCCGGATCTCCACAAACTCTGTCAATACCCTTCAAAGTGCTCGCGTAGATGATCATGCTCCAATATTGGACAATGGTGATGGGAGAGGTCGTCGGAGAACCCACTCTAAAGTAAGTTTCTCAGGAGGAGGGAGCGCAGAGCCCACGCAAAGGAGCAACGCCATCTCCCGCACCATTTCAACCAGTACTACCACACCTACGATAAAACCAAGTAATCGGACGCGCACCAATTCCATGGTCTCGTCCATGAGCGTATCTACGGCTAATATTAATGTGCACTCCTCGACCTCGAATACGCAGGCGCCTTCGACCTTGTCTACCGTTTTATCTTCTTCGTTATTCTTCGATTACTCGCAGAGGACCTTGGAGAAAGTCATTCAATCCCGCCTCGTGGAGACTTTCATTTCAATCACTGTTCCAGACACTCCGGATGTTTTTCCGCTCCCGTCTTCATTACCCAACACACAACGAACTCGTGCTGAAAGTGCTCCACGCGCACGTTCTTTCACCTCCAATGACTTTGTTGTTCCCAATTCGGTGGCAAGTGTGCGCAAAGCTTCGAAAACATCACGTCCGAACAGCGCGGAGTCCTCCAAGGCTGCACCCTTATTCCGACCGGAACCTTCCTCAATTCGCTCTTCCACCACCCTCAGAAAAGGTACACCGCCAGTCAGGACAACAGGAGCGTCCCTTACGACACGAGTCGTCCCTAAAACACATAAGTCCTCGACTTCTGTCCCACGCAACTTCACAGCGAGCCAGCTACCATCACCTCCAGCTTCCCCAGCATCTCCAGAACCACCTCTGCTTCACACCGTGCCGAACTATATATCACCTATCCACCAGCCCTCGACGAACCCTTCTTTCGTGATTGATGCACGTTCAGAATTCGAGTTTGCACCTTGGACAGATTTAGGTGCCGATACGGTGAAGATTGAATTATGGGCGAAGACTTGTCGGCATCTTACTAGTAGAGCCGGAGCTTCACTCGAGAGCAAAGGAAAACAAAAGGAGATGTTGGTGACTGATCCTACTAGAGAAGGACCCGAGTGGACCGTCCTAGAGCAATGGAATGTCACCCTTGCAGACCTTGTCCCATTGAAGCCTGAGGTATGCGTAATTGAACCTGTCCACTCATAGATTCTAAATGTTCTATCAGCTCGAGGCCCATCCGTCACGCCTCCCGTCCAATACCCTTTTCATATCATTCTCCACTCGTGCAGAAACATTCTATTTGCCAACTCGTTCAGTTTCAGGAGTCCATTCGCATTCACGCTCTCCTTCTCCGACTGCGTACAACTCTGAACCAGAGACAGGAATTCGGAAGTTCGGACACTCCGCCAACCCGACTACACCAGCACATTTTCATCTCACCCAGACGCCTTCTGAACAGCCCAACAAATCGCGCAGATCACGCAAGACAAATACCAGAACCGCAAGTTCGCAAGATTTACTTCAGTCAGTGTGGCTTATGATGGAAATATTATGCTTCTTTTAACATCGCCGTTTAGGCTCGTCACGCTTCAGTCATGTATCATCGACCACGAGGAGTCGCTTGCGGACGTAATCCGGCAAATAGATACAACATTGGACAATGATGTTGTCGCGATATTGGTACGTGCATTATGATCGAATTGTTTCCCGCGAACGGTTCTAAATGAGATTCAATAGAACCGGGAGGCTTCGGAACGTGAAGCGCGTATCGAAGATCGACAATCTGAAGCGAAAGAGATCTTGGAACGGGCATGTCTGTGTGAGACCCTTACGCTTGCCGATATGTATCCCGTGCTTATTACTTTATAGTACGCGGAGATATTGCTTCTCGCCGAAAGAGGCTAAAACATCGGAGAGACATACTTGCGACTGCTGGGTCAATGTATGCTGAAGACCAGGCCAACCTCCGGCAGACTGCCGTGGAGGTTGCTGAGCAGAAGTTTGTCCTCCTTCGTACTAACGTTAGTAGAAGCTGATTGGCAAATGTATAGGCGGTGTCTTGATGTCCTTCGGGCGCGTCTTGCGGTTATACGAACGTCCTTGATCTCAACGCTGTCATGGTTATATCCTATTGAACTGTTTTCTTCCTCAGAGCTACTCTTTACGATCCTTACCGTTCCGTTGCCTATTCCGTTCAACACTACAGAGCCTGCCCCACCATTGTCACTGGCCTCCCACAAGGAAGTGACTGAAGATGCAGTGGCCACCGCGCTAGGTTTTGCTGCACAGCTAGTACAGCTCCTTGCCATATATATGGGCAAAGGCCTGACGTATCCTATCACCTGCATAGGGAGTCGGAGTCTGATTAGAGATGACATCTCGGCCATGATTGGTCCAAGAATGTAAACTTCATGCCTCGTGCATTACATTTTTATCAGCTGACCAGATGAATTAGGTTTCCTCTATTCTCAAAGGGCGTTGACACATATCGATTCGAGTATGGTGTGTTCCTGCTTAACAAGGATATCGAAATGGTAAGCTCAGTTGTGGGCCATGTCCGTCAACATCTGACCCTGCCGACGGTGGCAGCTCATGGCAGATCGCGATTTACGAGCGCTGGATATGCGACACACGCTACCTAACTTGAAAAACTTGCTCCTGACACTTACTGACGGTGAATGTGCTAGTGTTCAGTGAGTCAAGGCTTTGCAACCTGTTCACACTACCTAATCTGTGTATTGAAGCAACTCTCGAGTTTTCGATTCGCCAGCTTCTTCTGGCCTTGTAACACCCCTACGGGCACACTCGCTACCTCCTACCCTGGTGCTTACGCCAGACAGTCCAAAAGCTAACCATTGTTCGAGCGAGTTGCCTGCAGATGTAGAGGCCGAGAACACTACACCAACCGAGAGCGGCTCGACTACGCCTACGGCAACTACACCATTTACTGAGGGTACTAGTACGTTTTCTCGGTATTCGAAACTGTCAATTGGCTTCCCGCCCCTGCCGGGATTTTTACGTTCGCGACACGCTTCTGCTGTCGGTCGGGTGTCGGTGAAATTGGACCCTGAGACCGGCTGGGAGGCGGAAGATGGGGTCCAGGGTGCTACATCAGGGTTGCCGGCCCCGAATTTGAGGATTGGGGAGGATGAGGATCGAGGGACTATTCGGGGTGTTGTGGTAGATTGCGAAGAGGGTAAGCCAGGGGAAGTGAAGGTTGGTGAAGGGGCAAAGGAGCCGATGGAGAAAACTGTGGAAGGTGCTTCTGCTGTTGTCAATGGGCCTTGCACTGTTGATTCGCGGGCTTTATGATTGGACCTTACGGATATGCTGCGACGTGTTATATAAATTGCGACAGCATCTTAATGAAGGCGAGCAATGGGCTGATTTCGTTTTGTTAAGCGCGCTGTTTTCAAAAGTTTGACAGCAGACGCTGGTCCGAGTTCCGCAAAACGACCGCGGGCGGCAAGCAAGGTTATGAGCTTCTGCAACGGCATAAGCTGCAACCGGGATAAAAAGTTACGTTTGGTGTAGCAAAAGCGTATAATAATTTCGATCGTTGTGAAGGGTCTAGGCTAGTATAGAATGGAAGTCGTGCTTCTAGTAGAAGTCAAACAAAAAATGAAAAAGCAAGGATGTGTGGTATACTACGTGTGGATTGTACTACTATGAATTCATACATACATGAATAGAAGAAGACTTGAAGAAGACATGCTTGAAAGGACTCTTGAATAACTTTTGGAGGATCGGCGATTACGCAAGATTGGGTGCCAGTACCGTAAGTCTCCCTGAACTCGCGGTTCCAGCGGACTTTAAAAAAAACGGGGTCCTTCCGGGATTTTTGCTCTGTCAATTCACCCACGCCGGCTAGCGAAGTGCCTTAAATACGCTGCTCATAACTACTCAAATTCAAACGTTCTCCCTTTCGAGTTTTAGTCGTTAAAAAACTGGAGAATTGAAAAAAAGGTGTGTGTCTTCATCCCGCACCACGTTCCACTCGCTCTCTAACTTTTGAATCATTCAGCCCACTAAGCAGCTTTGTACCATCAATCCTAATAGACAGGCTCAAAATTGGCTTGCAGGTCGGTGTTTACGACGCGCTTTGCTTTGACTAGGTTTGTCTGACTTATATTTTCTTCATGCAGGATCTTTGTGTGCAATTAGGCTTATTTTTTAATCCTTCGTCGCTTTCCTCGATCTGTTTTCTGTCGTTCACACCTTTGGAAGAAAAGCTGTCGACCTTTTTTGTTATTCGCAATGATTACCGCTGAAAACACTAATGCTTCCACCGATAATCGTTCCTCAGACGGGAGAAAGCAGAGTCCTCCTGCTTTCCTCGATCTCGCAGACTCGGTAAGTCCATTTTTCTTCCTTATGCTGTCTCACTTTTCACAATACGTCATCGTGTTCTCTAGGCTGCGAGACTGGGTACTAACATGCCTGATATGTCGGCTGTGAGTCTCATTCATAATCGCCACTCTTGGTTTTTCCTCTTAATTGACATTCCGTTCCGAAGCGCATCGAGCTGAAGCGCTTGGAGCACGAGCGTCAAAGGTTATTGCAACGGAAAATGTTTGAGGATCAAATGCGCGCACTCGAACAACAGCAGGCGCAGGAGTTGCTTAGCATTCCTTATGATCCGACTGCCTCGGCCCATCTCGCAGTCTCGGCGCCCACTACCCCCCCAAGAGTGAACGCGGTTTTGAATGGTGACAATCTCGTTAGGGCGGCTCTCTCTCACTCTTCTGTGGATGCGGAGACGCTTTCTAAGGCTGTTGGTTCTGCGGTTGCGGACAAAAGGAAGTCGGTCACTTATGCTCCTTCCGTTCATCGGTCCCCAGAGCTTGGGTCTAGTCATGGAATGAATGGCCACTATGGACGACCTGCTGGAGCCAAAAGCATGCCAGCCAGCCGTCGCACTTCAGCTAGCAGTCATGATGATGAACTTGCTAGTCATTTGCAAGGTCTCTCCTTAGTTGGAGAGCGTCCATCTCGAGCGACACCTAGTCCTGGCGCCGTGGCTCATTCGCTTTTGACTCGCGGGAGATACAATGACGAGGAGCGCCCTCGCGGCCAGCAGTATAATGTGGGAATGATGCTCGACGAGCAATTGGATCAGGAAATGCACAGTAAGTGATGTCTATACCTGGTTTGCTTTTCTCATCTTTCCTAGACGCAATGAGACATCTTCCAACCTCCGACGAGGACAAATTTGCATCCTATGCCAACAGGGTACTTGATCTGCGTTTTGTGCTGTTCTAAACTGACATCCAAACGCAAGATTACTACCTCGTCTGCTGCTCTGGATCTCGCTCATCGCTCCCAGACATCCCCACGGAACTCATTCTCTGCAAGAGGTGACAAGCACTCTGAGTGGCCTCAATTTTCTAACAACCCACGTGTACCTGATGGCTTGAGCTCCCGTAACGATCGCCGCACTGTCACCAACCCAACTTTGACGCTGACGTCTTCGCCTATTGATTTGTCTGCTACTACTACCCTTGGCGGTGGCGCTGCGACCCCACATGCAGGGCAACATGCCCAAGCGTCTCTGGGTTCAACTGGGCAAGTACCTGGATCTAGGCGGGGCTCCCCTGCCATGAGCACGACGCGTTCAGTGCCAGCTACGCCTTTGTCTATGGCGAACGGTGGCAACTCGCATCTTCTGCAGACTCCTGGCACTCCTCATACTCCTGACTCTCAGGCTTTAAGCGGACGACTTTCTTCGCAAGGTAGTTACCCAATAATGGAGGACTCTGGCAAGAGTGACATTCAACCATCTCTCTCTCGCATGTCATCCGGCCAGTACGACAGTGTTTCAATGGGATTCGAACAATACGGCGTCGAAGATGTTTATGGGTTGAACGGTCAGATGGACAGCGGTCGGTTTAGTTCGTATGACCTCGACTCGAGCACCCGGTCAGGTAACAGTGTCAATGGCGCGAGCGGTTCGACCGCCCTTTACCACCACAATGGCACCCGATACGGACTGCATATTGGCCGTGGCAATGGCGCTGATGGCAAGATGAACGGTTTACACGGTCCAAAGCACAAGAGGGGTGACATGGATAGTGAGCCCATTTGTGTTCTCAAGCTAGTTCTTTTTCACTTACCTTTTATGTAGTGAACCGTTTTGCTGGCACACGCCTTGAAGACCTTCAGGGCGAAATACCCACACTTTGCAAAGACCAGCACGGCTGCCGCTATCTGCAGAAGAAGCTAGAAGAAGGTGTTCCTGAACATCGGGACATGATATTCCGCGAAACATTTGGTCATTTTGCGGACCTCATGACCGACCCCTTCGGCAACTACCTGTGCCAAAAGCTTCTCGAGTTCTCTACAGATGATCAGCGAAACGTCATTTGCGAGTCTGTCGCTCAGGATCTCGTTAACATCTCGTTGAACATGCACGGTACGCGCGCCGTACAGAAAATGATTGATTTCTTGTCCACCAGACGCCAGGCAAGTCGCTTTTAGCGGATTTTTATCTTGCAGACTTACAGTAGAGCGCAGACTGATCATAGATACAACACTCAGATTCATTCTATTATTCTTGCGCTCAGCCTTCATGTTGTTGTGCTCATCAAGGATCTCAACGGAAACCACGTTATTCAAAAATGTCTCAACAAGCTTGCACCGGAAGATAACCAGGTGAGGAGTGTGGCGGTGTTGCACCGTGGTGTTGGTAAACTGACTTTGTGGCAGTTCATATACAACGCAGTCGCTGCCAACTGCGTAGAGGTCGCTACCCACCGCCACGGATGCTGCGTGCTGCAGCGTTGTATTGATCATGCTTCGGATCACCAGCGGGTCCAACTTGTGAATGAAATCACTTACAACGCGTTGACGCTCGTTCAAGACCCTTACGGCAACTACGTTGGTACCCCGTTGCTCATTCATTTTAATATCTGACAGTTACGTTACCAGGTTGTGCAATATATCTTGGATCTTAACGACAATCGTTTTAGCGATGCTGTCATTCGGCAATTCACAGGGAACGTTTGTGCACTTTCTGTCCAGAAGTTTAGCTCCAATGTCATCGAGAAAGTGAGTATCTTTACATCTCGATGGTCATTCTCATGCCGACTGGGACTAGTGCATCCGTGTGGCCGAACATAGCACCAGGAAAATTTTGATTGAAGAGCTACTCAACCGCTCCCGCTTGGAGAAACTTCTTCGTGACTCATATGGCAACTATTGCGTGCAGGTACTATTTTTCTTTCAAGCATTTGGGATTTGGACTGGACATTCTTGTAGACTGCGCTAGACTATGCCGAGCCTGCACAGCGTATGCTCCTCGTTGAAGGCATTCGCCCAGTTCTTCCTTTAATTCGCAACACTCCTTACGGCAAGCGGATCCAAAACAAGTTGCAGCGGGAACAGGCCAACGCTGAGAACTTTGGCTACCATGCTCCTCAAGGCATGATGCCCATGGGTAACCAAGGCCATCATGGTGGTAACCCCGGCGGCCATCATGGTCACGGTCACCACTCTGCAGGCCGGCACATCCCTCAAGGAATGCACCCTACTAGCGTGGCTGATGTCTATGCCCAGGGAGGCTTGTATGGTATGCAAGGCCAAGGCTCCTACGCCCACTCTCATCTCGGCCCTCAAATGCATGGCCTCCAGGCGCGTTCGATCGATGGATATGTCCTACAAGGCACCTCTCCTCATAGCGCGAGTCTGACACCCCCTCATACCCACGCCTCTGGCTACACGGGTGTTGCTGGATATGCTAACGTGAGCCCTTTTGGCACGGTCGGTGTTGCCGGGTCGTTGAATGATCCTTACCAGAGCTATGGCTATGGCATGTAGAGCGGACGGGCACATTACATGCTGCTTTGGACGTTTCTACACTTTCGTTCTTTGCGCACCTGCGCAGTCACTCTTTTAATGGTTTCAATGTATATTCTATGTTCTTGCGTTCGACGCTCGATACCTCACAAGCACGTCGGCTCGATCTCGCCATCTTCCAGGAGATTTTTCAATCATGAGCAAGGGCCGACTTTTATCATACCACTGCGCATTTGTACTTCCGCACCGGCATATTCCAAACCCCCCATTGCTATTAGTTGCTTTCTGATACATCTTTCTTATCTGCCACACCCCATTTGTATAGCCCTAATCTTCCCGTCATCTAAAGCAATGTCTGTTTAATGGTTAAACCGTCGCAGCACTACCTTCTGTACTTATTGTCCAATCTATGACGTCGCTTCTCGGGTCTTATGCTCAAGCTGATGGTCTGAATCTAGTATATTCAGGCATTACGATTCTTATAATACCTCTCGTCAAGCATTGAACCGCTCAATGCAGCGTTGCTTGTTCAAACCAGTAGGATGACTTGTGTGGTACAACAAGCATCGAATTTGCACCTCAGTGGTATGAGGCGATGTTTTCGCATTGGATAGTATGTGCATTTCATGCTAGTCTTGTTGACATATTATCATAGTGGCATACAAGACGACCAAATGATCTGGCAAGAAAAAGAAGTGTGACGAGAGAATGATGATATAAGATGCAGGTGCGCGACAGGGTACATTTCACCGGTTCTATTCGTTGAACATGAGTTCCTGCAACACGCTGGAATGCTACGACACCCACCTTCACGAAACCGATGGCAGCTGACTTTTCACGGAAGCATTGACGGCACAAGTCAAGGCCGTACTTGCGGATGAGACCAGCCTGGTGGGCACAGAGGCGGCTAGATACCCCCAGACCATCACTTTAACGACCCATAATGGCAAACGATGGCTGCGCAACTCACCACTGGCGGGCACCCTTTCCGTACTTTCTAGGACGAGAGAACCAAACGGCGTCGTGGGTCATTTTGAACTTTTTGCTTGAGGCTAAAACGAAGGTTGGACTGTGTAGCGAGGAGACGTAGGCTTTGGCTTACCTTGCCGGGCTGTTGCTTGCGTTGAAGGCTTTGCTGATCAGGAATCACCCACTCATAGCACAGTTGCCGTGTTTGGAAGAACTGTACAGTGGCTGAGATAAGGTTCGGTTTCCTACGCTCGCGTATTAGCTAAGGTGGCGCTTTTAATGGTTTGAATAGACGCCTTGATATCGCCCGCCTAGCTCAATCGGATAGAGCGTCAGACTCTTACTGCTAGGCTACGGTGATCTGAAGGCTGCGAGTTCGACCCTCGCGGTGGGCTACTATTTTTGCTTTTTCATTGTACTACCCTATGCGATTTCCTGTTCGCACGGTGTGCCGATGTTGATTGTGTAGACTCGGTGCAGCTATCGTAACAGACATACCAGTAGCACTAGCACTAGGTTAGTGTAGTCATCATGGTCAGAATGTGATTCTGATGCCCACACTATCCTCGTGCAACCAGTGTTATGCAACCGCATCCTCAAGCTGCAACTATGGAGGAGACAGGCGTCCATGCCGCCATGATTGCTAGTATCGTATCACAGCGTTCTGCCACTTGCAGCTAAGTGCCTCACATGCACATTCATTCTTAGACTCCACCATCTCTCCCATCGTCCAGATCGCTTTCTACGACACGTTGGTCACAGGAAACGTTCAAAATGGGAATCGCTATACCGCCCGCCTAGCTCAATCGGATAGAGCGTCAGACTCTTACTACTGCTAGGCGATTGTGATCTGAAGGCTGCGAGTTCGACCCTCGCGGTGGGCTATGGTTTTTGTGTAGGCCGCCGCACGGTGGTCTCAGAGGCTCGTTCGACACCGTACCCAGTCTCATGTAGCTCGCTGCCGATAAAATTACGGCTACAGCATATTTATTTTGGACTGCCTAAAGTTTGAACCGCATAGCGTCAAAATAACCTGTTACGATTCGTCCTTGCTCATATGAATTGCTATTCGCTGATGCCCCGGCCGAAGATCACTCCTTCCACATAGAAAAAAAAATATTCTTATCTGTGATACATACAAGTGTATCACACCAACGGTACCGCCGCAACGACTATATGGGGAGAGGCGATTAATGATTGCCAACGATATGTACACAAATGACGAAATGGGGTAGCACAGGAAAAATGAAGTCAGGGTCACGGACGTTATCTTGAGCCCATATTCGATGCTGAAGTATTTCCTAGCCAGTATTTCCAAGCATTTGACCGTCGTCGACCGTCTCCTGCAGCTTGCAAAAGAGCAAGTGACGCCAAATGAGATGATGAAAGGTGGTGAGAGTCCATGGGCAAATAACTGAATTGATCGAACTCTAATACTAATGTAGTAAAAGTCCAGAGCAAGTCCAGAAGTCGCGGTATTCAAATTCCGCTCGATGACACTTGGGCAGTGCTAGCGCCGCTCTTTCAAGCACTGCTCAGAATTCAAACCACGGTTGTATCGACATACCGGCGTCGCGGGTCATGGCGACCGAGCGTTACCGTTCTTTAGCGGCCAGCTTCGCGCACTGCCGCGTACAAACACCCGAACTTGAATGGACGCAACCCTGGCTTTATAAACCTCCATTCTAATCCCTACAAGTGACATACTTCAATACCCCACTTTCTTTCTTTCGCCAACTCAGGTTGGCACTCGTCACTCTCTAAAAACCCACATATATATTGATATTGGATCAATAATCATGCGGCTTACATTTGTCGCTAGCACGGGCCTTCCCAAAGTTCCCATACCGCAGCCTGATCGCATGCCCACAGGCTATTATGTCTATATCTCTACTCCCTATGGCCAGTATAACACCTTCGAGGTGCCGGCAATGGACGACTGCAGTGTTTCTTGGCACGAAACCCTCACCATACATGAACGCCCTCAGACGCTTTTCAAGCGGCTCATGTCCATCTTCAAATCTGAAGCAGTCCGCTTCGAAATTTGTGCCTCATATGAGCCTAAACCAACGCTCAATCAATACGAGATAGTGTGTGCGTTTGACACAACCTTCAAACAATTGCTGGCAGAAGACGGACCGCCTAGTGAGTTCTCAATTTCAGCAATGTCATTGTCTGCTGATGGCGATTCCGAAGCATTACATTCGGATGTTGGTGATAGGCGCGTATCCCTCGAATTGAAAGCGGGCGGTACTAATGAGGTACAAAAATGATTCAAGGCCTTGTGATCACCGCTAATTTAGTCCACTTTCCAGAAAAATGTCGTCGTATTCGGCGAAGCCGGCTCAGGGAAAAGCTCAATCATCAATACCATCGCCCAAAAGCAGGTCGCAGAAACATCAAATGATGCAGTGGGATGTACCTTCAAACCTAAACGCTACACAGTAGACATTTCCGGCCATAAATTCGCCCTGTTTGATACCGCGGGTCTGAACGAGGGTAGTGAAGGCAGGGTGCCGGACAAGCAGGCGAAGAAACAGCTGAAGGGATTGTTGAAAGAGCGCATGAGGCACAAGTCACCAGAGTCGGATGGTATCGACCTTCTAGTGTACTGCGTGCGGCGGCGCAACACGATTTCCCCTCCCACCATCCTTGACGCCTACAACACTGTTTACTCTGGGACCTGCCTGAAGAAGAAAGTCCCAATCGTCGTTGTCGTCACAGGATTTGAGTCTGAGACTCACACGGAGAGCTGGTGGGATGCTCACATGGAGACATTCAATAGCATGCATCCCGCAGGCCATGCATGTGTCACAACCACTCAGGAATATCTAGGCATTCCGGCAGACCTTACTCGTCGAGTTGCACAGTCGAGCGAGATTCTGCGCGACCTTATCATGAACACATGCTCGGCTCCGATGGTCGATGACAACTTGCCCGTGGGAACGTGGTGCTACTTGCCGTTGTGCTCGATGAACTGAATGGTTGTGGGTAGCGCTGTCCATCAGTATCGAGCAAAATATTATTCACGCTGGCACGGGACGCCTATTTGATCCTGCTGGAGACCTTGGATAGGTGAGCAGGACTTGCACGATCTTATGGGACGCACCTTTCTAACTGAAAATAAACAAGGGCGATCTTAAGCTTCGCAAGACTTTGGTATATAATGTATTCGTTGTGAACGGTCAATTTTATTATTATTTTATTCTGACGTCTTCCCTGTGCACATCATTTTTATGATTAATCCCCTCCTTGTTATGTTTTATATTCGTTCTCCCTCCTTTTATTCATGTTCTCTCCTAATCACGTTCTTGTCGGCAGTGAACACGTATGTATATAGATAGACTATTATGAGTATGCAAACAGTGACATGAAGGTCACCATAATCGGGAATGGGGACCTTCCTGTCAATATGATCATCATGTTATATGCTGCCATTCTGGATGCCAATCACGCCATCATTGAAGGAGCCAAAAGTCCCTGTTGGATTCGGGAAGTATCTCTTTTTTTATTCCTATGCTGCTCACTAAAGAAAGTCCAGCTGGTACAAGTCCATCTCCGTCTTTCTCGACTGAGAACAACTTACTTTGGATTTCACTAATAAAAGATAAATAGTTTTCATTGGCTGAGCACGCAGCTCAGGTGCCACACACCTCATCAGCTCATCGAGCAGACGAAAGGCATACCAACAACTATGAGCATGGATCAAGATGTGTAGGTAGATCAAATACACGCTAAACTTTTCCGATCGCTAGATCGACAGTACACTTGTAAGTTGCCCAGATTTGTCCTGAAAAACAAATACTCGCATATACCACGTGTGCGCAATTTTGGTCGCCAATACAGTTTGGTCAAGCGTGAAGAAACCCTTGTGAAAAAAAATCCTGAGCATGCGAGGAGAAAGTATTGTAGGCATGAGAGTAGGACAACCTCCGAGCATGGTGCCGCCGGTCCTCGCGCTCCGGTGAAAGTTGCTCATGAAGTTCATATTGAAGGAAGGCTCGCTACGATTATCTGAAAGTGATGACAAAAGTTTTGCAGTGTGCGCATGGAGCACATACGAGTCTGAGTCCAGAGGTGAGCTAGCTATATGGGCATTGACCCAGTTCCAGCGTCCGACGATGTTCTCCAGAACGATTCGTCGTTTTTCGAGACGTGTGATCTGTGGAGGCTGCAAAGGAGTGCGAAGGAGTTGGTTTACTGGAGTCAATGGATAGTTGCGGGGAAAGTCCACATGGTAAGACTGGAACCATCATGAGTGAAAATGGTGCGTAAATTGACATGCAGGGGAAAAATGAAGTTCGGAAGAGTAGACGGTGGTGGGCCCTTCCGATTGTCAGTTGAGTGGGACCAGCTTGTTACCGGGACGTCTCAAAGACAAGGAGAGTTAAGAACCCTAGTGCTGACTGAATTTTCCTCTGTTGGAGTCATCAGCAAAACCGGTATGACCTGAAGAACCATTGAGGAGTTGGATACCTTCTTTTGCTCACCAAACAACGAAAGGTGGCGTGAAATAGGATCCGTTGGTAGAATTGGCAGACGTGGCACCTGGCTTTTGTTCTTCGAACCCATCTCGGACGATGCCACTTGAAGGGTGAAGCTTAACCGGAGAACAAAGACAGGAGGGGAAAGATCTGTTTGTATTCCTTCAAAAAATGGTGGGGGTTCTTCTCGATCAGAATGTTCCTGAGTTAACTGCGAGATCTCCGAGAACAACGCGCGCTCTGCAAAGGGTAATTCAATACATACCGATTGCATATTGTACGCCTGAATTCGAGCCCTGCCCGCCAGTTGGGGGAACTCCGTGTGCGGAATCTTGCATTGTGCATAAGATAACACTGGAGAAGAAGACGACAGCAGAACCAAACTCCTGCAAGAAAGGTACCATCATGACTAAGTGTCCTCACCATCCCTATTGTAGGCCTGAAGAAGATCCTGACAGGTGGGAAAATTGAGGAGGGAGCCAGAGCGGATACACATGGACTTTCTTGACTTCTATGGTGATTTATTTTTCTGGAATGACCATGTCAGACAAGGTTCGCTTTCACGAGGAGAAAATTTTGTAGAGATGCACCCTACAACTTGGAAAGCCGCATTGAAACCATCAACATCTAATACATTGATTGTCCGCCTTGGAATACCAATTGTACCTTATGACATAGACACTTACACTCCCATTACTGGGGAACCAGTTACCCATCTTCGATGGACTGCGTATGAAACGACCAGCGGGGGATTCCCTAAGGCTATGGCATTCGCGAGTGCAGAGGTATAGCAGGAGCACCTTTAACTGGTTAGTACAAGTTGTCCGACATACGCACACGTTGCCCCAATGGACAAATATTGGAATGAAAAAACCATGTGTATTCGGGTGAACAATGCAACTCCGAGGCAGGCCCAAAATTTGCGCCACTGAAAATAAAATGGTAACATCCATATCTGAAAGGGTGTTGTCTCCGAGTACAAAAAAGCGAAAAATCAAGTCCCAGTGCCTCACCCCCATGCATCAGACAGACACGAACCGTACCACCACTCAGTCCGAGGACAATACTCTAACGGTCGTGAACCACGCCTACATGATACAGTGTGGCAGGTGTCAGACTGTTATCGAGTATGACACTCAGACTGACTGGCCCACGGTCAGCCTCCTTGTCAACGAGCACTTGGGCATCTGTCCAGCCAAACTCAACTTCCATGGGCCCGCCCCATCTCACCCCCCTTCCGAAACATATGACACACAGAACACGCCGAGTCATAACTTTGTTGGGAAAATGGATCCAAATGACAGCAAGCACGATAATCGATTCATCGCGGGCTGTCACAAGCGGCAGAGGAAAAGCGAGGGTCAGCGGAAACAGGAGCTCGAAGACGACGAGTACACCTACAGTGTATGCCCTACATCCGTCAGGTGCCGCGGATACGAGAAGGAGATCAGTTTGGACAAGCGCTCCAGATACTATCCTGGACTTTGGACCAAACACAGAGAGAAATGTCGAGGAATCCAAAAGATCGAGGTGAGTTGATTTCTCCTAAGAATGAAGTGAGTAACCTAAATTTTACAGGAAGATAAACTCGACAAATCTGCCACAAGAGAAGGTGTTTGCCCGTGGAGTGCGGAACGGTACTCGGATGCTGCTAGTTCATTCAAGACAGAGAATCCGTGGGCTGACGGCATTTTGCGAGTGGCGAGTTCTGTTGAAAGCAGCATCTCAAGACAGATGGAACTGTCGGATGACGAAGAGCTGCCGGAAGAGGGAGATTGGGGAGATCGGGATATTCCTTTCAGCAGTAAGCTAGTCCTCAATGTGAGCAAACACTGTTGTTCACCACAAACTCTAGCGTTGAACGAGCAATTTTATAATGAGTGCTGGCAAAGGGGAGATAGGCCATGGGCGTACCGCTACTCTACCACGAAGGAGATCAAGGAGAGGACAATCGGCACCGTTTATTTTGATACTGCGAGTGAGTGTCAAAGGCAAAAATTTAAAACATGCTTATCAACCGTTCGTTTTGTGCACTTACTAGTACCAAAACTCAAATGCCCATGTCCAAGACTCCAAAACGGTGTGACTTCGATTCAAAAGACAACCTCCTTTGGATGCTCTGCAAAAACCCAGTGATCAGATCACTACACAAATGAGCATGATGCATGTCAACGCGTGTGCCGGGATCCATCAGTATGGAAAGCAGGACCACCGCGCTCTATTTGTCAGCATTTCTGGTGCAGGACTCCGGAAACCGCAGAGACAGAGCTAAAATATAATAGAGTAAGTCCTGCTACGTACCTAATATAGATGTTTTTCAACTGTCCTTATTTTCCCCGGCTTCGAATCCTGGTTTTCCCGACTGTCTCTGTGGCTGTCACAACCAGCCATTGAAATGTAACCTCATGACTTAGTACCAGCTACATATGTCCATGTACGAATGTATGACTGTAGAGAGTTGAGACGAGCGGGGGACACGCGGGACGCTAAACAACGATGATAATCTCAGTATCTTTGATAGAACTCTGTGTGCTACATGACAAGTACCTAAACAATGATGATACTAAGTCTTTTGTGAGTTCGTCGTAAGGTAGATAGAATCAGATATACGTACATCTCAGTATCTTTGATAGAACTGAGATGTCGTGTCGTTCGTACTCGAACCTTTATACTAGTGTGCATAGGAACAGAAAATTTCAGTATCATAGGAATATAGTGGAATATAATGAAAAAGATATCGGCCGACGTCATATGCGTCACTCGCTCGACTCGCTAGTACGTTGCGCTCGCCTATACTCATTCCTCTTCTTGATCGGCCGTTTCGGATCCCAACACTCCCCCTCGAGCAGAACCTAGCGCCATCGATGCTCTCAGCTTCTGGAGGCGAGGACGCGGGAGGGGTTTCGTAAAGGCATCGGCTACGTTGTTCTCTGTTGGGCAATAGAGCAACGAGAACGTGCCGTTTTTGATGTGCTGGCGTACGAAATGGAAACGAATGTCGATGTGTTTGGTACGGGCGTGGAACTTCGGCTTGGAAGCAAGGGCTATAGCAGCCTGATTGTCGCAGTAAATGGGAGTAGGGGTACGGGGCACGTCGTAGAGCTCCTCGATCAGAAGCTGCAGGTACAGCAATTCGCGCGTGACCATAGTCAACACTATGTACTCTGCCTCGGCGGTGGACAGTGCTATGAGTGGTTGCTTGTGGGCACTCCACGCAATAGGTCCACCATTCAGCAAGATGACGTACCTGGAAATTGAGTGATGATGCAGCTGGGACGCCCAGTCTGCATCAACGTACGCCTCTAACCCTCCATCTGTCGTGCCTAGGGTGAGTGTATAGTCTGCTGTCCCCTTCAAGTAGCGCATCACGCGCTTGGTTGCTTCCCAATGCGCGTGCCCGGGGTTCCTCATAAATTGGGAGAGAGTGGCTACCGAAAACGCGATGTCTGGCTGTGTACTAGTCGCTGCATACATAAGCGAACCTATGGCGCGCTGGTACGGGACATCGCGCATCGTGTGGTGCTCGGCTGGGGTCGAGGGAGATTGGTCAATGGTCAATACGGCGCTGGTATCCATGGGCGTTTGGGACAATTTGCAGTTGGATAGGTTGAATCTTTCGAGGACAGTGTTGACATAGGTGTTTTGGGAGAAGGTGATGGTGCGTGCGATGCGGTCCTGTTCTACCTTTAATCCGAGTAGCCAGTTGAGTTCGCCTAAGTCCATGATTTCGAAATACTTGCGCAGGTCAGCTTTGAAATGTGTGATATGAGTGAGGTGCTTTGAGGTAACTGCCATATCGTCGACGGACACGGTGACAACCATGTGTTCGTCGTGGTCCCATTTGTAAAAGACGGCTTGATCAACCTGTGAGTGCATGAAGCCAATTTTTCGGAACACACCAGCAAGTTCTTCGGCCCACTCGTACCCTGCTTGCTTCAGCCCCGGCAGACTTCTCCTCAACCTCAAAATCTTTCCCTCATCACCTTCTTTTAGGTACCCTGGGGGTGCACGCATGTACACCTCCTCCTTCAGCTCCGCGTACAAGTAGGCGCTGTAGAGACTCATGCCTCTCATGGCATGATATGGCAGTATCCACTAGGGAGTACACAGCACGACTTGCAGCAATCACTCTGTATGCTACCTGCAGCTATTCCTATATGAGGCGCAGCTTTCCCGCACAACGCGCGCCATGCGCGCACCATTCCCGCGCTTTGCGATGTATACACGCGCGCGCTTTCCCGCGCTTGAGCGCCCTATAGCGCCAGCCATCCAGAAGCATCCATCCACTGTCCACCAAGCTCTCTAGTGCGTATATTCCCATTTCTCTTATTTACATATCGTTCCACCTCTATTTTTACCATGGACCCTTACTTACATATATCTTTACATACCTTACTCGGTAGCGAGTCGGCTCCGCATGACAGCGCTTAGGCGCCATATAAGCGCCAGCATCACGGACCACGAGGATACTTACTTTACCTCCCACTTACCCACTTACCACCTAGAGAATATAGTTGCAATCTATTCTTTGACACCTCGCGCTCGTATCTCTTGTTATTCATCTAATCACCACTTAAGCAAACTCACACTTACTCTCACTTGTCTCCGCTCATGCGTGCGCGCTTCCCGCGCCTCGCGCGTACCTTCGCTTTCCCGCGCCTCGCGTGTACCTGCGCGCTTTCTCGCGCTTCGCATTGGCCGACCAGTAGCGCCTTCAGCGCCTACTTCTAGAACCTTGCTGCACTCGCTTCCCCTTTAGGGTCGAACGCACTTGTCTTCTCAAGAATAGCAGACTAGGCAACGCGCGACCTCACAACATTATAGATACAGTTTGGAGCATTTGTTTGCTCCTCGCAGTATAGTTGTTTCTACAGCGTGTGATATTGGAATGTTGCGCACAAGGGATCCCTGACTCCCAAACGCATGCTTCTTGTTTCCTTCCCGTACGATTTCCAACACGGGATGACCTATACCGTCAATTATTGGGTGAAACAACATCAACCCAATGACTGCACAGCCAGCCAGCGAGATCTTTGACATACTTTCAACACGATGCCCAACGAAAAACTTGATGTCATTCGGCATGATACCACCGATGACTAGGCAATGACACAGGTATACCCGCGGGTGTCGCCAGTATCACCCGCACCCGTACCCACAGGTATACCCACACCCACATGGTGGGTGTGGGTTTTATGGTGGGTTGGTAGGTATCCCATCCATCCTCTCCGCTACCTACATGAGGGAGAGAGCGTAAGTCTGGCTGCCAAGTCCTGTTTGGAAATGTCAACATTATCCCATGCCATTTCGTCCTTGCCACCAAACGCGGTCCGGATGGACAGAAACTCAAACTCCGTGCTCACCTCATGGCTAACGGCCAACGTCAGCAAGAAGGTGTCGATTATTTCGACACGTTCGCGCCTACCTCCAACATGTCGACCATCAGGACCGTCCTAGCCATGGCCACGGAGCGTGACTGGCAGATCCACCAAGTGGACATCAAGAGCGCTGTAGAAACAACTATACTGCGAGGAGCGAACAAATGCTCCAAACTGTATCTATAATGTTGTGAGGTCGCGCGTTGCCTAGTCTGCTATTCTTGAGAAGACAAGTGCGTTCGACCCTAAAGGGGAAGCGAGTGCAGCAAGGTTCTAGAAGTAGGCGCTGAAGGCGCTACTGGTCGGCCAATGCGAAGCGCGAGAAAGCGCGCAGGTACACGCGAGGCGCGGGAAAGCGAAGGTACGCGCGAGGCGCGGGAAGCGCGCACGCATGAGCGGAGACAAGTGAGAGTAAGTGTGAGTTTGCTTAAGTGGTGATTAGATGAATAACAAGAGATACGAGCGCGAGGTGTCAAAGAATAGATTGCAACTATATTCTCTAGGTGGTAAGTGGGTAAGTGGGAGGTAAAGTAAGTATCCTCGTGGTCCGTGATGCTGGCGCTTATATGGCGCCTAAGCGCTGTCATGCGGAGCCGACTCGCTACCGAGTAAGGTATGTAAAGATATATGTAAGTAAGGGTCCATGGTAAAAATAGAGGTGGAACGATATGTAAATAAGAGAAATGGGAATATACGCACTAGAGAGCTTGGTGGACAGTGGATGGATGCTTCTGGATGGCTGGCGCTATAGGGCGCTCAAGCGCGGGAAAGCGCGCGCGTGTATACATCGCAAAGCGCGGGAATGGTGCGCGCATGGCGCGCGTTGTGCGGGAAAGCTGCGCCTCATATAGGAATAGCTGCAGGTAGCATACAGAGTGATTGCTGCAAGTCGTGCTGTGTACTCCCTAGTGGATACTGCCATATCATGCCATGAGAGGCATGAGTCTCTACAGCGCACTACATAATAAGTCTTATTGTCAATCCGACTACCATTCGTCAACCACATGTCCATCTTCGTCATCGGAAAACTCCCAGACCACTAGACCAGTGTGACCAGACTCGTCAATGTTGGTGTCTTCAAGGAGAGATACATCCGGTTCATCATCCTCTGCAAGTATGTCCAATTGTCGTGAATGAGATTCATCTACAACGAAGTCAGGTCTTTTTAATGTTGCATCCACGGAGAAAACACACGAAGGCCCAATCCCCCTCCTACACCACCCATATAATAAGCCCCATCATTCCCGTCGTGAAATGGCAAGTCCTCGTGGTTTTCCAAGAGCGGTAAGAAATCATTGTTCAGATTGTCATTGGGGAGCACCACTGGTGGCAACTGCTCATAAAGCCAAGAGATGATCTGGTGTAAGTCCAAATAGATGTTCCATGCTGAGCGGCGATCGACAACGGGGCGGCCAAGCTCATTATAGCACTGATGTATGAAATCACCAAAGTCTCGAGGGACAAGCTCAAAGACAGCGTGATTAAGATCAACATAGAGATTATGAACGTGGTCTATAGCGCCTGGTTCGAGAACGATCTAGATAGAAATCAGAATACTTGTACTTAGCACATGCAAATGAAAATAACAGGAGACGTATCACACACTTTGAAATCAAGTGCGCCAAAGTCACCTGGTGAATCATAAATGAGGTTTGGGACCCCATGAGGGAGCACCTTGAAAGTAGATAGTAGGCCATGTCAGCGAGAGTGAGGGAAAACTGGTATGAGAACTTTATCAACCTTGTTGCGATCATGTCGCTTCGCAGTGTTGTTTATACGGTCCTTGTACCCATCAAGCTCACGTTGCAGCCATGGAATAAACACCCATCGAAATATTAAGCAATTTGACGCAAGCTACATATACACCTCTAACCCAGTGGAGGTCGAATCCATGAGTTGCTTCAGTGACACTTTAAGCTATGGTACTACATCAGTAAGTACATGGCAATCAGGATGGAGCTCACCAAGTACCATGCCAGGTGGACAATCAGAACGTTCTACCGCACTGTGACACCATATTGAGACGTGGTAGTCAAAGAGGTTAAAGACTTGCTGCATTGAACAGATTTTCAGGAAGAATGATGATGACAACAGGAGAGCACTGACCTGCATACAGGATTCCAACCGGTGTACAACCTACCCGCCGCTCCTATGCCTTGAATCGGCAGAACCTGCACCCCAACGGCAAGAATAGAGTTGCATGAACATGCTGGTATCTTTGGCTTGAATCAGCAGAATGAAGATAAGGGAGCATGAGGAGAGGTAAGGTGCGAAGCTAATGTAGATGATGCTGCAGCCGCCTTACCCATCATCCGTGCTGCCAAGGACCGTGGATCAAAGCTTTCCACTGCTTGCTTATCTCATATGCCTAGGTTAGGCAGAGTTAGGCACAGGCGAAGTTAGGCGGCTACTTTGAGCCACCTACATAATGGAAAGCTTTGATCCGCGGTCTAATGATGTCAATCGCAACTAATCAATTAGCACTGTAGCCCAAGCGCCCTCCGACTCGGAGGAGGCTCTATCTACGAGGCCCTTGGTTGTTCACAGTCATGTGGTTGAATGGCCGCATGGTGTTGGCCACATGGCATCAGATATATAATCTGTCTACTTAGGCTAGTAATTTCAAACTGCTTTTCCTTCACTGTGTCTCACTGTGTCTCTACCATTGCTTTTCCTTCACCATGTCTCACTGTGTCTCTACCATGCCTGAGTTTGAGCTCATTTCTCAATTCACAGAAGATGCATTTGCTGCAGAAGATCGTGTTTGTGAACACCCTGTTTGTCGAGCAAGGATTGCAAAAGGTGATCCTTGCTTCTATGTTGGTACCGTCAACCCAGGCAAACCTGGCCGCTATGTCTGCGGTCCATGCCATTCCCACTATCTAACCATGCCAGCCACATCTGTGAGACCCACTGGTAGATCTGTTCCGCAGCCGCAGCTCTCCCATACCTTCCCTGACCCACGCACGATCCGGCAAACTGTCAATGCTGCACAGAGGAAATGTACATTTGTCGTTGATTACTGTTTGTGTAGTGCACTAGATCTGACCGAGACTCATACACACAGCAACAGTTAACCCCCCTCCTGTTATTGCATTTGGTCGTGGCATTCGTCCACCATCAATGACCCATTCCACTGGGCCAGACATCACTATCCCATCATCATGGGGGCAGCCGGGTCGCTCCTCAGGCTCAGGCTATTCGGTAAATCATGCACAGTATGGCACCGAGCGTGGGCAGCCAAGTCGCTCCTCAGGCTCAGGCTATTTGGTAAATCATGTGCAGTATGGCACCGAGCGTGAGCGTTGGTCGAAACTCTCATATGCACTTCCACCAATGGAAACCATCACACTCGACATTTCGGCAGTCCATGAGGTCGGTGCACGGAGGAAAGGACATTGGGTTGTGATTGGGGTTTGTTTTCAGCATCACTTGTTCAACCAGCATGTCACTCACTCATCAATCATCATAGAATATCCAAGAAGGCAAAAAAGATGTTGACGCACGCATTGATGCTCCTGGGCTCATGGATATTGCATTCGACACTATCCTTCCTAAGATTTTGACTTTTGGTGCAGGATTCCCATGGCGTATTGAGGAGTTTGTTGTCCGAGATGCAGTATGGGTTGACCTCTTTACGCACAAGGCCTCAGTCCCATATTTCATCTCACAATGCATGGTCCCAAGCAAGAAAGGATCGAAGGCACCCACATTCAAGACCAAGCAATTTGCGCTGATGGTCGTCGTTCTGGAGGCTCAATGGAATGAGTATGAGGAATGGGTAGAAAAAGCGGAGGAGGTAAGACAGGTCACCACTCGTCAAGTTCAAGTTCAACATCGGGTAGAAACAATGGAGAACGCAAGTTTGTTTTACACCTGGCAGCAGTTCAGATGATTCATATCTATGCTACAGGTCTCTACTGTATTGCAAAGCGCCTCCGCATCCACTCAAAATCTTACATCGTCAAGTGCCTTTGAGTCTACCAAACGGTCCCACAGGAACAATCTGAGCACCGCCACCACATCTTCATCACCACCTCACAAAAAGCTTGCAGTTGCACCACCCAAAGCGCTGTTTAGCTCGCCTGATCGCAGCGACCTAAAGGAAGCACTGTGGAGTGGAGGCAGTGCAACAAACTTTGATGTTGCACAAGGTGAGTTTGGCGTCCTGTTCACAGTGATGCACTGTTAACTGTTTTTCTACTGTTTTTCTTGCAGTGCTTGGCACATACACTGAGAACATTCATTTCTATGGGATCCCCACTCGTCCGCTTGCAGATATCCTTAGTAAGAATCTCAATTATCGTTCTTTTAAGGTAGAACCGGTGCAGGCGATAATCGGACAGCTGACAGTCAATTCATCTATGCGCAGCATGCTGGGAGCTGGTGGATTCAAGACTGCTCATCCTGGTTGGCTTTCTCTCACTCCTCTTGTTAAAAGTGGGCTAGGATCGGTTCCTGGTCAAAACGTTGCAGTAAAGCGACCATTTCATAAGGTGTTTCCATCTGCCTCAACCCTTATGTACAAAATAGGTCGTTTTTCTTCAATCGACGAAATAGCCAAGCTTGGCAAGGAAGCAAATGTTTTATATTGGGCTCATTCTCTCCTACAGCTCACATACGCCTTCATCAATCACTGTATTGCCTCCTCTGAGGAACCTCCACCATTTAACATCCCTTGTGTGCGCTTCGTTGATGCTGGCTTGGCAATCTCTTACTCTCAACGTGATTCCAAACCTATGAAGGCAGGCTCAAAAACAGGCTCACCGTGTGTGGGATATCTTGTAGAGGAGCTTATTGAAGGCGGGCCAGACATTTTTGTGAAGTTCATTCACAACATGGACTCTAATCCTCTGCTCGATCAAGATGATTATGGCTATGAAGTAGCTTTGTTCTTTTCTTTCACGCAACATGTGCAGTATGTAAAGACGGGTGGCTTGGCCTTCATCTCAGACTATCAAGGTAATTCATTGCTTTGCAGCTCGATACACTACTGACTCAGATATCCTGATAGGAAGCACAGAGCTGCTGACAGACCCGCAGATCCTAACAGACCCATGCATCAATATGTCATTCCATGCTTGCTTATATAATTTTTTGATTAGGTCGGTTGGCCAAGGGAAGGATCTTTTTGGCGAGGGGAATATGGAATGCACGGTTAGCATGTTTGAGAAACAGCACAAATGCAATGAGTTTTGTGAGTGGCCAGGGTTTGGATTGGTGCCCTTCGCCACGACAACAGAAGACGAAAGCACAGAGGAGACGGAAGCTGGAGAAGTCGGATGTAGGGAAGATGGTCCAATTGCTTCTTAGAATATTATCTGAACGGTATTTCTTGGACTGTACAACAAAACAAACTTCTTACGGTGTACGGGGTACTCGAGAAGCTCCTGCCTTATATAGTACGATTTTGGCTGACAAATAGAGCGCGGTGGTCCTGCTTTCCATACATCAGTGCTCGGAAGGAGCCGCCGGCTTCTTTCTTTGTCTTTGCTTCTCTCCGCCATTTGTTCCGGCAGCTGGCTCGCCCGACGCCGAGTCTACACATGATGTGAGGAACTGTCTAACATATAGTAACAATTATGAACAATCACATTGTATACTGCACTACTATCAGTATACAGATACTGAAATCTGTGCTCATCGATGTTGATTCCATCAGCTCTACATATAAAGCTCCTCTACAGTTTAATTACTTACCTACCGGCTGCAGGCTCATGGTATTCAATACGGTCCAAATGCACCCCATGATGCATGATGTGAGCCTGGCGCCAAATGATTGTTGCGTGACTTCCGAATCAGCTTCCCACAACTTCTTGGGGTGTCACTCAAGACGCTCGTAGATAGAGAGAATTGTCCAAAGGTCAATGTTATTCAAGCGAGAGCTATGAAGGAGTGGGGAGTGAAGGCTAACTGCTACTAAGTGTGTGGGCGAAGGCGCGAAGCGCTTCCGGCCCCGATCGGGGATCTGTCTGAAGAGAAAGAAGGTGAGCTGCGAATCCCCATGGTGTTAGGAGTCTGAAACGACGTGTCGCAGCGTGGCCGCAGATATCCCAACGAGGTAGGAGTTAAAGACTACTCACGTCTATGTGGTTTTCATCTTTTTTAGCGGTTTCTCGGCATTGAGAAACGAACGAATTCGTCGTGGAGAGCCGGCGTGGCTTGCATGAAGGGTGCTAGGATCTGGGCGTGTTTCCGAAGGTAAGTTTGGAATGCGTCGCTAGCCCATCTACCCTTTGTTTTGACGACTTCGAAAGGAACGTTTCGGAGTAAATACTCGAGGGTAGATCCTATGCGGATGCCATGACCTTGCAGAGGGTCCATACCTGCAGCCCTGGCCGCTTTGGCTAGACGTGTGATGAATTTTTGTTTCGTCAAAGGGCGATGACCATTCTTGTAGCGGTATGCAAAGAGCGCGGCTCCAGCTGGAGGGTTATTGATGGCTATATGCTGCAGAAAGGCTCTCTCTGGGTCTGATGGGCCGTTTTGCCTTGCGAACAATACATCTTCTCCGTCTGCTAATGAGGTCTTGGTCTGAGGTAAGTGAAAGACCCTCATTGAGAAGTTGTTTCGGTCCTGCTCCATGCGTACGTCTGAAGGTTTGACGTGACGATTTGGGTTAAAGGATGTGAGGGTGGGGATGGTAAATTCTCCGACTCTTGCTGTACAATAAAATGTGGACATTAGGCAACTGAAAACGGCCACGTCTAACGGGCACTCAGGATTGAGATGACTCTGGAGTGTGCAAATGAATTCGATCGTATAAGGGCGTCTCTTCTTACGTTTCGAGGAAGGGGGTGTTAAGTTCTCGGAAGCTTTGAGGAGAGCGTCGATTTCCTCGTCGTTGAGGCTCCAGCGTAAGCCGTGAAGGATGTGCCAAGCGCGGACTCTGAAGACGTAGTTCGCTATTGTTTTCCCGGAATATAAACCTGCTGCTGCTGCTATGAAGGTTGATATTAAGATAGAATCCGCTGGGGCGCGGTCTCGTTCAGGAATTGATCGTGAGTCGCAGAAAATGTGAAATACTAGCAGTCCAGAGCCGTATGATTCACGTGTGCTCTCTGCCCATGCATGTAGCATTACGTCTTGAATTCTGGCTATGTCCCCCACTCCAAGGGTGTTGGGAGTGAGTCTGGGGGCGAACGGAATCCACAAGCGTAGTCTATCTTTTGCCGCACAGTGGGGCCGTAAGGCCGAGGTAACCGGGGTCAAGTCGACTTTATAAGCTAGGTGGGGGGTAGGTTAGATGGTGGTTGCGCAAGGTAGCTGGGTATTTAGTAGGAAAGAGACCTACTAAGCTTGCGACGCTTTGTAGAGTTCCTCTCCTTGTTGCTCGAGTTGCCGGTTTGCAAGGGCTCGTTCTGCATAATCTGTCCGCTGATGGGTTCTGGTGGGAGCATGAAGCGGGATGCACTTGAGGTGACGGTGGGTCTCGCTTGGTAGTAGAGGGGCGTCGAAGTCGACGATGAAGTTCCTGAGAGAGGAATGCAAAGGAATGGGGGGCAGAAGTAGGGAGCGAGGAGGGTACTTTCCGCGTGAGGGGTCATCTGCTGGGTTGAGCGCACTGGGAATGTAGCGAGTGAGGAAGGTACAAGGTATGGCTTCGGCGATGCTGTGTATCCGCTTGAAGACTCCGTTTGTAGCGCGGTTTCGGCTGCGACCTTTCCACCAACCCTCAACGACTCCGCGGTTGTCTCCGAAAATCTTAATGCAAGGTACTGGGCTGGATCTGGAGGTTTGTGTGATGGTAAGGGCGAGGAACTCGAAGCCGATGGCTTCCGCCCATCCAATGTCGCGTCCGTCAGCTTTCCAGCCAGGAATGAGCCGCCATGCGCGCCACCATCCATTGATCCAAATTGCAATGCCCACGCCTGAGCTAGCATCTGAGAAGGCGTTGGGGTCGAAGACTTCGCAAGGGCCTGGGATGAGCCTACTGACTGACGGTTGCTGTAGGATTGCAGACCACCATCTGAGGTCAGCAGCACAGTTTCGAGGAGGGGTATGTGGCACGTAAGGGCGGTCACTGAAGATAGAGAGCATGGTCTCCAGTTCTGTGAGGTAGGCTCGACCAGCGGGAACAATGAGCGACGCATACAGGAGTTTGCCGAAGAGTTTCTGGGTCTCACTGAGCGTATGGCGCGGTTGGGATTCCCAGGTCGATATGGCCGCCAAGTATTTCTGTTTCTTGGCTGCCGGGATTTCCACTGTTCGAGCTCCGAGGTCCCAGGTGATGCCAGTGAACGGCGGAGTAGTGCAGAAGGGAGTGTCCTTTGAAAGTTCCCAAGGTGTCCCTGTTTCGGCGGAGAAGAAATTGATATCGTCCATACAGTACGAGAAGGATGCATCGTGTTTGGAACGGGGGGAACATTTGGAAAGATCACGGATGGGGAAACAACAATCTTCGTCGAATTCCTCAAAGGTGTCATCCAGCAGGGTAGCGCCTCGGTACCATTTTCTACCTCCATTGATGCGAAGGCCGCCATTATCTTGGATATTCTTGGCCCAAATTGCCCTTTGCACGTTGTATTCGGCAAGGTACTGTAGGAGAACGCGAAAGAAAAGGTGATCATCAACCCACTTCGAGAGTGGGCCGACACCTTCGCTCCGTAGCAAGTCTGCACCAGCGTCAGCGAGTCCCCCATAAGTGCCGGCTGCGGACGAGCAGCCAAAACAAAAACTAGTATCAATGGCAAACTTATCTTCTCCTGTACGGACGACAACACCTGGGTATTGGGAGGGGTGTAGCGGAATGGTCCTGTAAGCTTCGGCGACATCCCGTGTTGCTCCTTCTGAACCAGGAGGGAGGCGCCACACCAAGGTGCAAATGGTGGCAAATGTGCCATAGGTACAAGGGTAGAGATTGGAGTCGATAGCGGAATTGATGGAATCAATGGGACGAGGGAGGGAGTTCGATCTATGTGACAAGTTCTGGATGAGGCGATACTTTCCTGGCTTTCCGGGCTTTGGGATGAGCGACAAGGGGGCTGTCTGAAAGGGACCGATGAGGGTTTCCATGTCAGCAGTGGATAGCGGACCGAGATAGCGGCCTGTTTCGTATTCACGAGCGAGAATCGAAGCAAATGCCTCGGCATGTTCATCGATGGAGGGGTTATTAGGGGGGGTATAAGTAGTTTTGATTGTGGGAATACTACCGAGGAAGCCGTGTTGTAATGAATGTGGTATATGTGCGTAATTAAGTATGAGTCGCGATTTAGTGAGAGCGAGTAGCCAAGCATTGGGGTTGTAGGGGGTAAGCGCCTTAAGCTTCCTGCCCTCGAGAACAGCTCTGAGCCCCATGATCCGCACTCCCACATCCGGAACATTGATGAATGTGTTCCTTGCTGGTATTCGAACAGCCATTTGGGCGTTGCCAGTCGTAGCAAAGCTGCAGGCCTTGGGCATTGACAAGGCGACCTTCTGCATTTCGCCGGCAGGAGGTGGGAGTCTTGCCGTCCCAGAGGAACTCGCTCTTGCATTTGTGCACATTGTGGGCGAAGCGGCCGAGGCATAGAGCGCAGGCAAATAGGCCGTTTGGTGCCGCGCTGCTCTGAAAAGACTGCTTTTCTTGGGCAGGACGCTTCCGCTCCTGGCGAGGACGCTGGTGGTTAGGAGATGTGACCCGGGGAGGAGGGCGAGGAGCTGGGTTACGAGGTGGGGAGCGTGAACGGGAGTTGGCCCTGCGATGCCCTTCTTTTGTTTGGTTGCGGTGCGAGGGGGCACTGTCTCGGCTGGGGACACGCTGGTGTTGCGCCGTCTGAAACTGAGGCATGTTGGAATCCCGCGAAGGATCGAGGAGTTCACAGTGGGAGCAGGAGCATTTTGGAAGCGGAGCGGGAGTGGTGGAAGCAGTGGGAACGGGAGCGATTGTAGTGGAAGCGAATTTTTGTGGAAGCATTTGTAGCGGTAGCATTATGGGGTCATTGGAAGCAGGTGGAAGTGTGATGGGGAGTACAGTCAGATGCTGAATTGCTGAGAGCGACAATCTTAGATGAACTGACCTCTGTGAGAGATTCATGCCGCGCTCTGTTCCAAACTTCTTCGCTCATGTTCTTCAGTAGGGTGAGGTTGAAGATGCTAATGTCGAACGCATTATTGAGGACTAGGGTGTCGTGCCAGTCACGACGGACGCGGGCCGCATAGAGCAGCAGCGCTTGCTCGCCAAAGTGTTCTGAACGATACGGGTGGGCTACGATGTTCATGAAGAACATGGTTAGGGCTCGCTGATGTTTCTCCGGCCATTTCAGCTTGTTGATATGTAAGAGAAAGCTGTTCTTGGCAAGGTCGAACTGGCGCCACTCGAGGTTGTGGTCCTGCACCGCTTTGCGGGATGCTTTGAAGGATGCAACTGGCTTGAGCGCTACGAAGTCGTCGACCTTGGCTAGACCAAATGTATCTTCGGCGCTAGTTTTGGCGTCGTCTGCAGTTGTCTTACACCCATCTGGGCTGAAGTACCATAGCTCGACGTATTCGAACGATTTCAGCTTATGGATGGCGTACTGAGATGGGCGAGGGGTGAGCGTGTCACCTACAGCTGTGCCTGTCTGGAAGTCGTTGATTTTCGGCTTCTTTTTCTCAGCTTCGCGAAGCTCCATTTCTGCTTCGTGTTCTAGGCGTAAACGTTCTTGGTTTGCTTGTTCTCGTGCGACTCTGGCTGCATCGGCTGCCAGTTCTGCATCTTCGTCTACTTGCCTTTTCCACGCTGTTACTCTGAGGTCGCGGTCTAACTGCCAAGCAGTGATTAACTCCGTAGCGACTTCTTCGTGGGTTGTCTGGGTTCCTCCGATGATTCGAACCCTGAGACCTTCGAAGGTGGGTGAGGAAAAATCGGGTTGAATGTCGAATGCCGGGTCCGAAGCGATGCGGGCCATGGTTCGAAATAGAAGTGTTTTTATGATAGTGGATGTTGGGTGACCAGAGGGATGAAACTTATAACGAGAGATTATTGCGGTAGGTACGAAAATAAGAGAAGAAAAGAAAGAGCTCGGTGAGACTCAAGTCTTACGAGCAATATGGGAGAGCGGAAACAAGAGACGGTACCGGCGTTATCCGCTCGCCCAAAGACTATACTCTAATCCTACGTTCGTGCCTCACTACGTAATAGAGTGGCAATATCTCACAACGATCCAGTTACAGTTTAGGATTTAATTCTTCGGTTAAACACCATCGTATGTCGTCTGTCCTAACCATCGTTCTTGTGATTTCTAATTACGCAGTCAAACCAAACTAGCGCAATTTTTGTTGCCATCTGATTTTTGACCTTCAATGAGTCAGAATTGTCAGTATGTCCATCCAGTATTCCCTATCGCACTCTGACCTCATCAACAGCCCTTGGTGGCCCCCGATCATATGAAGGAACTTGGGAGAAGCTGTCGCAGGTTGCTGTCAAGGGTGCAGAGTATGACTCTCGTGAACGCCAGCCCCATCCGAAGTGTTTGCAAGGGACTCGAGTTACCCTTCTTGATCAAATCCACAGATTACTAGACAGCCGAGAGCAGAATCAGCTCATTTGGCTGCATGGCATGGCAGGCGTTGGAAAGTCGGCTATCGCATTCAGTATAGCTGAAAGGATGAGAGCGCTGCGAGTGCAAGAGCAAGTGACCAGTGAAAAGCGGCTCCTAGGATCATTCTTTTTCTCCCGCAAGCATGGGAAGCGCTGCACAACGGGTTACTTTTTCGCGACACTCGCCTATCAGCTTGCAATCAATTTTCCTAATATTCGGGAGGATGTGAACAAAGCTATCCGCGACAATCCTGCGCTTCTTGACCCTGACAAGTCTCTTCGTGACCAGATGGAAGAGCTTTTTCTTCAACCTCTCCGGAGGCTACGTTACAGATTGTGCCAGTGTTCGCCTTCGGTGTTTGTTGTTGACGCCCTTGATGAATGCATTGCGACTGAGGTTGCCGACCTTATCTCCCTGCTCGGCCAAGCTCTTCGTGAACCTGGTCTGCCAGTCATCCACATTCTGTTCACGAGTCGCTCGGAAGAGCACATCCATAAAGCCATCCAGAATGAAGACGTGCACGTGCTGGTCTGCGAGATACCAGTGAACACTTCTGGAACTGGTGTGGCTGCCACCATCTCGGTGGGCGATGCGAATGTTGACAATGACATCCATATCTACCTGGAACATTCCTTCAGGCAGCTGCAAGGTCGCCATCCCGATTTCCCGCAGCCGCCAAGGCATCAACTTGCGCGGTTGGCAAGCCGAGCGGGTAGACGTTTCATCGTGGCCTATACGATGATGAAATTCATCAATGATGAAGATTATGATCCCCGCGACCGACTGCAGCTTATGCTCGAGCTGACGAGTGACCTGCTGCCAGGAACGGAGGTATACAAGTTATATGACCAGATCCTCTCCACATGTGCTGACCCCAAGCGGGCATACATACATTTATCTATTGTCGCTACCCTTGTGGATCCTCTGCCAATTTCACAGATCTCGAAACTTCTTGGCCCTACTCAGGGGAGGGATGTCGAAACAACATTAGCACAGCTACGATCTGTTATGGATATTCCGACTGACAGCAACCTCCCCATAAATATACACCACTCGTCCATCCGTGACTATGTTTCAGATCCCTCAAACTGCAGCCTTCCTCAAGTGCAACCCATCAGCCCACCCCATACCCTGCTCGCTCATTCCTCTTTCCGCTTGATGATGCAAGATATTCCAGAAAGCAATGCCCTGCTCGATGCACTCTCGGGATTGAAGAGGCACAGCCGAGCGATGTCATCTGATGACCCACGCAGCTTAAAAAACTCGCTAGCCTTCATCGTCGAACCGCCGGAGCCACTGCACATTCTCAGTGGTATGTTATGGCTTCGGGGATATCGCAGTTCAGACCTACAGCCCTGGCTCGAGACCCTGGATGGACGGGCCTGGCTGCAAACTCAAGGAGGGAGAGACTGGCTGCACACCCATGGCAGGGAAGGCTGGTTGTATACCCAAGGTGGGCGAGACTGGCTGCATACCCCGAATGGGCGGGAGTGGCTGCAGACTGTTAGTGGACGAGATTGGTTACGGAGCCCGGGTGGGCGAGATTGGCTAAATGCCAGTGCCGGTCGAGAATGGCTGCAGACCCGAAGCGGGCGAGACTGGCTGCAGACCAGGAGTGGACGAGATTGGATCAAGACTAGGAGCGGGCGATGCTGGTTGCAGACTCAGGGTGGGCGAGACTGGCTGCAGACCCCTCGTGTGCGAAGCTGGCTGCAGACAAGGGACGGGCGGGACTGGTTGACAGGGAGTGGACAAAATTGGCTGCAAACAAGAAGTGGGAGGGGCTGGTTGCAGACAAGAGGCGGGTGTGCCTGGTTGCAGACTCAGAGTGGGCGCGAATGGCTACAAAAGCAAGGCGGACGAGACTGGCTCCAGACCCAGAATGGCCGAAATTGGCTCCGGACCAGCAGCGGTCAAGACTGGCTGCTGGCACCGACTCGCCCAGACTGGCTGCAAACCCATAGTGGGCGACATTGGCTGCAAACTCAAAGTGGACGACACTGGCTGCAGACTTCACGCGGCGCAAGCTGGCTACAGTCACGCGGTGGACAAGATTGGCTGCGGACTGAAGGGGGAGGGGACTGGCTGCAGATGAGGGGAGGCCAGGACTGGTTGCAGACAAGGAATGGATGTGACTGGCTGCAGGCAAGGGGTGGAAGATGCTGGCTGCAGAGCAGGAAAGGGCGATATTGGCTCCCGACAGAGGCTGGGCAAAACTGGCTGCACATTCAAGCTGGGAGAGACTGGCTTCAGACTAGTAGTGGGCGAGACTGGCTGCAGACACTCGATGGTCAAGCATGGCGGTCGACTCCTGCAGCATCTGTCTGGGTAGCGATGGAAGAGTTCTCGAGCATGTTCAAAGCAATAAGCGATTACATTATCGACCCGGAGATGCCTTTGCTGCCAGCATTTCAAGTCATCCAGCATTTCAAGAACTTGCCAGATTTTTTGATGTTTCCAGCGTTTCTCGCGCTGAGACAACAAAACTGCTCCACATCTGCAGCTCATTTTACACCAGACGTAGAGATCATCCATGCTATGATGGCATTTGCCAGTTTCGCAGACGAAGCACGGGGAAGAAGTCGGTTAGCTTCCAATGCTCTCAAGTACGCATGTCAAAACTGGGCTTTCCATCTCTCACAGGCACCTCATCCATGGGACAACATGCTCAACCATCTGTTCAAGTCTTTCTGGAATCGTCATCTCCTGTCCTGGCTCGAAAGGCAGTGGTGCTTGACGGATCTACCGTCTTACCTCGTTGTTTTGTCCGAAGGGCAGAGACTTGCAAAGGTATGTATATTTCATCGATTTTCGCGACTTAAACCTGACCCTGCTCCAGGAACATCTCCTCCAAACTCCAGGGTCATCTCATCCACGAGCCTAAAGCTGTCGATTCGATCACGGTCTCTTGCCATCGCCTATACTTGATATCTCTGTTCCTGAAGTTATTATAGCATTTATACACATAGGTATTTAATCCTCTGGTTCCAGCGCAAGTATTCAGCGATTACGGATTAACGACTAAACAAAATGATGATGTTGCTTTCATCATTTCCTCCAACTTGAGAGGAGCAGCATGCCAGGACGAGCAGCTCGAAGTCATTCTTGCAACTGAACCACCGTAAGACGTCATGTAAGATCAGATACGCGTACCCCGCACGCAAAGGTTGTCAAATAGATGCTTGATGATCATGCAGTCTTCCCGGTTGACTTGATATGATGCGGCGAGGTCCTGACGTATGCATGACGAACAGCTCCAAGCAGTGAGGCCGGCCATGACACCGGGGCTCTGTCATATATGGACATGACTAAGCTAGACTCTTCCCATAGGCCAGGTCAAAAGGTTTAACCCCGCCAGTCAAAATTATCTTGCACTGCAGTACATACCACCAACCACACGTTCCCTACTTTAAAAGGTCACAGCCGTCCACATCACTTCTCCATCCCGTTCCCAAAATCTCCGAGCGAGATATCATGCGAGCGAGCTCACGCTTTGTAGCTGGCCTTGCTCTAGCAGGCGCTTTTCTGACTGGCGTTGACGCTGCTATTCAGACGGTAACTCGCAATGGAAGATACCTCTATACCGCGGACGGGAATAGGTTTTATATCAAAGGTGTAGCTTACCAGGAACAAGGTAAGCACACATCGGTAAACATCAAGTCGACTTGATGTTTGCTACCGTCAAATGTCACGTCATTGCTCACAATGGGATGTAGGTGCCGTGGTCGCGAGCGCAAGCAATACCTTTCTCGAGCCATCCACTTTCATTGATCCCTTGGCCAATGGCACTGCCTGCACCCGTGATCTTCCCTACCTGCAGCAGCTTGGTGTCAATGCCATCCGTGCATATAGCGTTAACTCATCGTTGAACCACGACTCTTGCATGCAAACGTTCAGTAATGCTGGTATTTATACTATGTGAGTATCCGTGAAGCATTCCCAGCCCACCAGTCCATTGATATTGTCTAGCATCGATCTTTCCCTGCCTGGGAATGGTTCGATGGACCGCGACGCGCCATCCTGGACCACCAATCTACTTGATTTGTACATCGAGACCATCAACGTCTTCTCAAAGTACAATAACGTTTTGGCTTACAACGTTGGAAATGAAGTCGTCATCGCAGCTAATGGCACCGCTGCTGCTACTTTTGTCAAGGCAGCTGCTCGTGATGTGAAAGCATACCTGTAGGCTGAATTTGAATTTCTAGATCGGCTCCTATGAGGCTAAATGTCTTTCTTCCAGTAATTCTATCAATTCTGGCGCACTCGTTGGCTATGCGTCCATCGATGCAGATGCTACATGGCTTGACCCTTTGGCTAACTACTTGTCCTGTGATCCCTCTGGATCAAACTCCGGTGCAGCTGCCATCGATCTATTCGGGTTGAATAACTAGTCAGTTCGAATTGTTGATATTTTCATTTGTTAATCATTGACATCGTGTTGCAGTGAATGGTGCGGAAATTCAACCTTTGAGACTTCTTATGCTGGTGTAGAGGGTCAATTTGCGGGTTACAATGTTGCAGCCTACTTCAGCGAATTCGGGTGCATTACTTCTCCCCCTCGTCTGTGGACAGAAGTCGGGGCGCTTTTGAGTTCGGAGATGTCTCCTGTCTGGTCTGGTGGTGTCGCATTCTCTTACTTCCCAGCTGCGAGCGCTCAGGGACAGTTCGGTATGGTTACGATCTCACCTGATGGAAGTACTGTCACTACAAGCAGCGATTTCACCAACCTACAGAGCCAGTACGCCGCTGCGTCGCCGCCTAATACGCCTTCGCAGAGCGCTGCTGGTGCTGCCAGCTATCCATCGTGCCCTCAACAGAACTCAACTTGGCTTGCTTCCAACACTCTTCCTCCCACACCTAATTTGGCTGCTTGCCAGTGCCTCGAAAACAATCTCAGCTGCCAATTTACGCCTTCGACCAGTAACTACACAGCAATCGTTGGATCGTTACTAGATTACGCGTGCAGCCTTATTGGACAGTCTGGTGGATCTTGCAGCGCGATTTCTTCCAACGGGACAACAGGACAATACGGCGCGGTGTCTGAGTGCGACCCTAGTAAGTTCATGATGTAAGAACGTTGCACAGTGCAAGCCCTAATCATTTCTCATAGCTATAATGTTGTCCTACGTGATGAGCGACTATTATATAGCCACCGGGGCCAACGCTCAATCATGTAGCTTCGGTGGGAACGGGACCGTCAATAGCAAGGCACCATCCAGTGCCACCGCTGCAGATAGCGCGGCATCGTCTTGTCTCGCGAGTGCTTCGGGCACGTCCGTCCCCACTCTCCCTGCGGGAGCCCCGAGTCCCTCTGGATCATCATCAAGTTCGGGTGGCGGAAGTGGTAGTTCACATAATGCCGCATCAATTGTTTTCGCTGATGCTAGGACCCTGATGGGCATGGGAGTTCTTGTTGCAGCTGGTATCGCGAGTGGACTCTGGACCATAGCATAGCTTAAGGACCTTTCTCGAAATTATTTGACGCGATGAACTTTTGTATAAATGGATTTTTTTTACAGAGTATCGTATATCCATTGGTTTACTGTTACTGCCACAATACTATCTTTAATATTTGTAGACTTATCGTCCCAAGTCTGTTTGAACATGTTTTGTTTATAAGTTGTGGCAAGTTTGTTTATGACATGCTCTGTTGATCCCCTGAAATCTTTTTCAGAATATTTTTGCACCAATACCTCCAAGATGGCTGCATCACCGCTAGCAGCGCAAGACACCAATGACAAATGGGGTTTCGGTGAAGACCCAGATAACATGGGACCTATGTCCAGCGCCGACCCCCTCGTCGACGACGCGCCTCTGGCAGCAGACGAAACGACTTCCGGGCAAATGGCCAGCGGCTCTGGTCATAAACGTACCTCCAGCGGTGACAACGGCGTTTCTGGCAGCAAAACCGACTCCGGTCGCGAAAAGTTATCCAAGGTGCTTAGGTCTCCTCTTATTCTTGTTGAATCCTCCGCTAGCTTGGATCTCTACCGCCTGCGCAAAGATCTTGTATCCTGACTATGATACTGGGCGATTAGTTGATTCTGCGACTAAGCGATTTGCTACACCTGTCCCTGGTCGCTAAACCCTCACGTCGAAATTTTGCGTGCAAATTCCTCTGTTCACTGGTCTTGCCCTTGTCTTCTCGCTGTTCTGATTCGCTTCATTGTCTGGCCTCATGTTGAACACATTGTGCTGCACAGCCGAACAAAGTATACATTGGCGGTTTACCAGACCATACACGCCAAGAGGACCTCCAAAGTTGTTTTGGAAAGATCGGAAGGATCACACACATCGAGTTGAAGTACGTTCTTTAATTTTGCTTGGGGAGTTGGTTTTTATTTAACGTCTGTCATGTAGAATCGGATATGGTTTTGTCGTGAGTTATCACTGCCTCTATTCGCATGAGTGACCTCATGGAGGTTCGTTATAGGAATTCGACAGCCGCGAGGCTGCCGAAGAAAGTGTTGCCAAGTACAACGAAGGGTACTTTATGGGCAACAAAATACGAGTGGAACTTTCCCACGGTCGCGGGCGCGCTACTAGGCGCTCTGATGATCCCGGCGCTTGCTTCAGATGCGGTGAAACTGGCCATTGGGCCAGGTGCGTAGTTGACGATCACGGTCATTTGTTACTGACCGCTTTGCAAATAGGGAATGCCCTCGTTTACAATCGTAAGTTATCTTAACACTGCTGTCAAGACTACTCACTCTTTGCCAGGCGTCCTCCTAGGGGTTCTTCTCACGAAGTGGGGTTGATTGAACGATTACCACCTAGGGATTACTTACCTCCTAGAGATTTTGGTCCCCCGGCGCGGTATCCACCTCCACAGGATGCGAGGTATTATGATTATCCGCCGCCACCTCCTAGCAGAGATTTTCGACGTCCTGTCTCGCCTATAAGGGATCAGAGAGATTTTCTTACGGGGCCGTCTCCACGTCCGCGCGATTATGATGATTATAGAATGAGGGGACCTCCGCCGCCACCTCCTGCCCGGTATGATCGCCCATATGACAGAGATTTACCACCGAGAGGCTATCCTCCACCAAGGGACTTTGATCGGTATGAAAGGCGTCCCCCACCAGATGATAGGTACCCTCCCACGAATTCCAGGCCTAGGACACCTCCTGGTCCCCCTCCTCGCCGCGATGACTACGATAGACCACTCCGGTATGGCGCGACTTCTTGTATTGTGGTTGAAGTCTCATTATCTCCAAGGGATTACATTCCTAGGCCACTTACACCGCCCTTACGCCAATCGGACTACCCTCGTTCTCCTGAGCCGCCTCGCTATCGGTGAGTCCTTTATTACATCATGCTTTCATGATTCCTCATGCAACTGGAAGTCGCCGCTCATTGAGTCCTCCGCCCCGCTCTGCGCATTACGATGCCTACCCTGGCGGCAATGGATATTCTGGCGACAGGTCTGGTCCTCCGAGGGACGACAAGCGTGTCAGAGACTACCCCCCTCGCCGTGACCCGGAAATTGCCTATAGGAGAGCCTAACATTTTTTTTTCTTGCTCAGCAACTTCGTCTGTCGTTGAAAGTTATCTATATCATTTCTTGTTTTGTATATCTTCTATATGCTTACATGTAGCTTTCTTTCTTGTTTGTCTCTTTCCATTCGCCACTACGCCTGCTTTGTTTGCACATTAGCAGATACAAACTCATATTGGCTTGGATTCTAATAGTGATGGGCCCATCGTTGCTCTGCTATTGGACATTGCTCGTTGCAGTGGGAGGACCAGAGGCGCACCCCTGCCTCTACTTCCGTCGACGAGCGCTAAGGTCCAAGATGTTACATATACAAGTGGTGACCTCCAGTCGTTACTTTTTATTGACACACTCATATCATTCCACTACCAAAGCAGATATTTGAACACTATTTGCATAATCTTTCTATGAGTTTCGAAGGGCCTGGTTTGTTCCCTCGGTGCCAAATCTGATACGGAATCAAGTTGGAATTCCTGAATCCTCACATCCGTTTTCCGTCAGGATTCAAACAAAAGGAGGTCTGGTTATACTCTAGGTAGACATCGATGAGAGCTACTTCTAAAATGCTTTCCTTGCTGAATCACACTCGTCCGTCCAAAATGATGAGCGAGTGTTTTCCAGAGGATGTGCGATGGTATTGATAGGATAGTTAATAAGTCGGAAAAGACTCTGCTTATTGTACTTACCCTTGAGGGTGGTGTTATGACTTGTCACACATCGGATTGGCGTCTGGTTGCAGGGCAGATCCGTTTACTGTCGTGTTATGCATGTTGTTTTCCTCTGATTAGGGTCTGGTCAAATTCTCGTGTCCGCGATGAATGTAGTATATATAGTTGACCATGAGCAAAAGGATCAGTACTTATCTCCCGGTATCCCGGTATCCGGTTTTGCGTTTCCCCATGATGAAATTTCTTCTAGTATCCACGAGACTTCTGAGCAGGGATCGTCGTGTCATCTATCGTGGGCCGGATGCAATAACGGGTTTGAATTACACATTGCCAGCATTTCCTAGTGTTTCAATGGCAAGAGAATGTCGGAGACAGAAGAAGTCGAATCTGAGGTCTGCTGGCAATGCAGTGGCAAACGTCAACGTCCATAATCATTGCTGCTCTGGCTATGATTGTGTGCCAATAGTATATGACAGCGAAGCGAGTATGAGTTGTTTTCATCTTCATAACCATGTGACTCACCGGCCTGGTAGGGCGATGTCGTATTTGAGTGTAAGCCAGAGCAATCGTGACAGCGGTTCGTATTTCTGCTTTCACATCAGTGTAGTGTGGTCGACGCCATGACGCGTAAGTAGTTCTCGAGTACTTCGTTGCTGAGCGCGCGGTCACGAAGTTGTCGCGGTGAACAAATAAGTTCACCTTGCTTGAATATCGAAGGTTGTAAATTAAAGGAACATCTCGAACACCGTTAGCTGCATGAGATGTGACTGACGTACTCACGACGCGTTGTTTTACGTCTCGTTGTAAGATTGCAGAATATCAGTAATTTATAAAGGCCTTGCTTGAATCATAGGATGGACGGGCGCCGCCGGAATCAAGCAAGTTGCTAGCAGCGGTCCATCTCATGCTGTGCTATTTGCACGTGCCCTCCAGCTCCTTTTCTGCAAGTTGCTCTTCCACACAAAGATCATTCGTGAACGAGAAGTACTGAAGTGTCGCGTACATACAACGAATACTGAAATCGCGTAGGCTAGCACTAACGTCACCCATATTAGATCTTGCACGATGACACAACGCTCATGCATTTCGTGTGCACCGTGCAAGGTCCCCTCAATTAAAGTATCGTGCGGTCCTTGCAAATCTGATATCTGATATCTGATACTTGGCACGTAAGTAGATCCTTCGGCCTTTTTGTCCGGGGATGCACACACTGAGAACTAGCAAGAATCTGTTGGCATTTCTTGTATGTGATAAACCTGAATTCAAGCCGCGAACAAAACTTGCAGATGTATGCATCTTCGTGTATGCTATTACATCTATCCGGTGTGTTGGTGCTAAGTTATAACCAACCGGACCTGTCTGCACTAAGTAGAGGTATATATAGATTCTAATGCGCCAACATTCTCGACAGTAAAGGTCCTTAGGACCTCTCCAGTCGAGAATTATAGAGTCCATATCTTTACCGCAGCGTCACGTCCGCCCGACACGAGGTACCGGTCCATGTATCGTAGGCGCTCGACGGGTTGCGTATGGCCGTTCGTGGAAAGAGACGAGTGTTGCATACTCGTGCGATTATAGATCTGTGGATATAGGGAATTAGTATCCAGTAATACTCACACAGCCAAAAAGTCCACCTTCACGCCATTTTCACCAGTAGCAGCAATAACTTTGCGGGTATCGAACTGCAACGCGGTTACAGCATGATCATACTTGAGGGTTTCGAATGTGCCGCCTGTCCTAACGTCCCATATCTTAAAAACATATTTCAGAATATTACTGGTAAAAGAAATCAACGTGCATACCCGTATTGACTTGTCGAGACTGCCGCTGACGATATGCATCTCATCGAACTGTAGACAGGTCACTGGGCCGGTATGCCCCATTAACGTTCGGTGGGCCTGTCCCGTCCGCACTAGAGATAGAACTTTCATGTCAAATGTGGCAGAAATGAACAGAACAACTTACTGTCCCACATTCGTACTGCCCCGTCCCCGCTACCGCTCACGAGTCCATAACCCCAGAACTGGACCCCACCCACGAAATCTTCGTACATGTCCCAACTACCGTCTGCAGAAGGAGGTGTAGGAACGGCGAAGTGCCCCGCAGAGGCAGCGGCACTTGGGAAGGTGTGATTTGGTATGCCAGTGCCTGTTATAGTGGGCTGTGGATGGGAGATAGCCCATAGGATATCCATTGTCATGACACACTGTCCAGTCGCAAGGTCCCATTGACGAAGTGTCTTGTCCGAAGCACCAGTGACCTGCATGCGAGGTGAGACGACATGGAGCTGGAGAACAAATGAAAGATTTACCAAACACTCATCTTCAAAGTAAAGTGCAGTGACAGCCTTACTGTGCCCTTCAAACAACCTGATGCACGGTCCAGCCTGGTCAGCCGTGCCTGCTTCACTAGGTTCATTTGACCGAATTCCATTTGGTTTTTCGACCAGTTCCCCATCATAAGCGGTACCCTCGTCCTCTTCTGCAACATCGGCAAGACCATCTCTCTCCCACTCTTCTTCGTCTACTAGTCGAAGGTCCCAAAGGCGCACGCTGCCATCCTCTGCACCAGTCAAGCAAAGGTTATCCTCAACTTGTATGCACTTGACGGGACCGCGATGCCCACGTAGACGTCCGATTTCAGAGCCTGTCATCAAGTCCCAAAGCCGTGGTTGGGAGTCTGCTTGCGATGCGCTCACAAGCGTTCCATAAGGTTCGGAGAAGTCGAGGGCGGCAATTGGTGTTAGGTGACTTTCTAGGGTCTGCAACCAATTGAATGGGATTTGGAAGGATGAGTTTGGATGCTAAACTCACCATGAATGCGACCCCTGGTGGGAGCTCGTCATGTTCTGACGGTAAGAATACGGGACCTTCAAGCCATGATAAATATATGCAATAGACAAATTCGTAACAGGCGTACCTCTCCGCCGCCGTGAAGGGGCAACATGAGGTACCGGTGCGGTTTTGGTGTTGCCACTCTGGCGGAAGGCAGCTTCCTCGAATTCTATTCGTTCCTGCACACCCTCAACTGTCCACAGATCAGCGAAGTTTCGTATGCACAATTCAATTGACCCTTACGCTCATCATCCAATTCCAGCTCATCCTCGTGCAATTTCAAGAGGTCTTGTTCCAGACTCCCTCTTATTGAGTCCAACGCTTTGATTTTATTGTTGATTTCCGCAATTTCACTGTTAATTAGACTCTGCACCACATTAGAAAAGTCGGGATGTGAGACAGAGAAACATACCCGTCGAACATGAAGATTCTCCTTGTCAAGTATTATCTCCTGAGTCTGTCGTCGAAGTTCATCCTTGCCAAGTGCCTTTGCTGAACTAAGGCTCTCCCTGCCTCGTCTCTTCCCCTTTCGTTTCCCTCGTTCATCAAGACGTGAAACCACCACCACATCTTCTTCACTTGCAATGCTTCTCTCCTCTTCATCTTCAATCATCATCCCTCTCGCACTCATCCCTAGCTTTTTTAGTCCAATCCTCGGAGTCTCGACATTCCGCATCTGTTTGCGACGTGTCCGGTTTTTCTCCGAACTCGGAACAGTGGCATTAAACCCGCGAAGTAGGCTCACGTCAGACGCAATACCCCCCGCTTCTGGAATCTCAGCGTCCAAGAGCTCATCCGTTGCCTCGATGATCTGAAGATCTCGCGACGTGATGCGGCGCGTACCGAGGGTTAGACGCATTGGGGCGCGTCCGAGGGTTGCAAAGTCCAGCCGGGATCCTCCGGGAGCTGAAGCACCAAGAGAACTTCGCGAACGTGAAGACACGGTCGCCGCTGCGTTAATCATACGGGGAGTCATTATTACCGGAGCAACTGGAAAGAGTATATTAGATGACTGTGATGAATGGTACCGCATGTTGCTCACGGTCTGTAAGAATGCGCGAGGAGTCTTTCTTCTTGTTATTGAAGGGCGCAAATAGGGTTTTGGACACCAAGTCCATCTTACTGTGGACTGTGGACTGTTCCGGGTCCAACGCTGCACGGGTAATGTCTGGCCGGTTGGCTGACTTTCCCTTAAACTTTGAGGACATCTGATCGCATTCCGCACGAACACAAAAGAATGGGGAACTGAGTAGGCTGATGCAAGATATACTTATGCGAAGGAGAGTAAACGCAAGTTTTCTGGTTCTGAATGTCTCTGCCGGAACACCATGGCTGAAATTCACACGCTCGAGCATTCACAGAAGGCACACGAACTTAAAAGTATACAACAGGTTACAAAAGTAGTGCTTGTAATCTATAATTAAAATATTGATACAAGCAGTATGCGTCCTACACTAATTTTCCTATCGACCTCAAGACCAATGAAAGTCAAGAATGAGATCAAAACCGTACGGATTGAGGTCATATTCAAGTGGTCGACGAGGGAGTAGCGGCGACGACATCAGGGATGGCTTGGAGCTAGAAACTAACGTTGTTGTCGGTGTCGGTGTCAGTATCGTTGTCGTGGATGGTTCCGTATCTGTGATGGATGGTGAGGCTTGGGCCTCTGTTTGGCCGAACATCGAACGGAGCGCTGATAACGTGGACTTCTGGGTGGATATGACGTGTACGGTATGATGAATTGCCGAAAAATGCGTCTCCTCAGGTGATGATGTTTCTTCCTCGGCGTTTGGTAGCTCCTCCACTGCGGTGAGCTTCTCTGCACGATCCTTCATCTGCTGCACCATATCTGCAGCCAGTCTCTCCACACTTTCCCTCTCCCATTTCTGCGTATCATATGATTCGAAAACCCCCGAAGTAAAATCGCACCAACATCTGTCATTGACGCGAATTATGGGTGGAGTGTGTTCGCGCAGGTCGAAATTGGGTGGCAAGGTTACATTTAATGCGTCATAAAAGGTGGTGATAGTGGAGGACCATGGAATCGAGAGACGCGTCTCCAATGGGAATGACTGCCAATAACATGATGACAGAAAGAGAGCTCCGAGAAGTACAATGCAGTAGAAGCTATGAACATATCAGTATCACCTCAACGCACCCATAGCACAGTACCTCACCATGGTTTCGCGTGCAAAGCTAATGAAAACAGGAACAGCACCAAAAAGTATGGCTGAGCAGTTGGGAGAGGCAAAAGTAACAGCGGTAGGAACCACCTTGTGCACCTGGTTGATACAGAAATCACAATTAATAAGTCGTTTTGCCTTTGCTTCAGTCACTCACCACATGAATGATGATTTCTGACTTTGTCCTTTATGTAAGTACAAACGCCGCAATATGCAAATGTGTGACTGGTGACGGGATCTTAGGATGTCACAACTTATCACAACTGGTCTCAATCCAGATCTCAAAATAATGTACAGGGCATCGACATAAATATAAAATCATAAAATAATTAGATTACAGTGAGTAAATGTGGGTACTCTAAGTGCAAGACTCTCCCGTAGTCAGAGCTTGAAAGAAGGAAGTCAGTCATTACTTGTCAAGACCTGGCTCGAGATGTGGGGATCATAATGCTGTTCCCCGCTCGAAACTGGCCCGAATCTCTGGGGTATATTTATCGTAGTGTCGTGCAATCTGTTACTCGTCAGCTCATATTTTCAAGGACATAAACAGATACAATGACGCACCTTTTTGTTGAACACCCGATTCCGTTCATTGATATAAGTAATGTCCCCTTCATCCTCATCGAGTCTCTTTCGGGAGAATTTGCCTTTCTTGTCGATGCTACGGTGCGATGATATTGTCAGTACCGCAAGGACCAGGAAATGTACTAAGAACTCACTCTCTATTCATCTTAGTAACCACTCTATCAATGGCATCTTCAGTAGGCTTGTTGTCAGCATAAAGTATTGGCATCTCGGTAGAAGCTTTCTGCGGCCATCCGTTGTTCAGCAGACGGGACAATCTAAAAATATACAATTCAGTGATATGATAGAACGAAGGGGTCGGCAGAATTGACTTGTCCACCTGACGGATCAAAGGCTATGAGAGCAGATGAACTGCTCCCAGAATTGGCAAGCAAACCAGGCGCCAACCCCAGTACAACTTCTTTCTGTCGGCTGTATGCAGTGATGTCTGATTTAATTAGGTCAAGATCCTTCTTATAGCGTCGTCGAGCCGCGTGTGCAATGTGCATCGTCTATAGACTACACAAGACTTGAGCAAGAGTGAAATCATGCAAAGAAGGCCGCACCATGAAACTCGTAGTCTGCTCTTCGTGCTTTCTTCTTTTCCCAATTATCGTTCTCTTCTATTGTCCATTCCCAATTCTTCTGCCGTTCCACGTCCTCCCCCCGATCCTCGGCCTCAGCTTGCGTGCGCAACACCTCCGCAAGTTTTCACTGACGTTCTAGTCGTGCAGCATCCCTCAGTGTTATCTTTGCTCTGGCAGACTCCTCAATGAGGGAAGCACGATTGGCTTTCGTAGATGAACGCTGTGTACGTAGAGTGAACGATAAGTACGAGGTAGGTAGGACCACGCACCATCTTGGCTCTCAGCTGCTCCAATTTTGCTTTTCTTTCATCCATCGTCATCATGACTTCCTCCGCTGCCTTCTCTTCGCCATCTAATGAAGACATTGGTTAACCTGCCCAGGCCTCAAATGCCCATCGTCTTCGACGTTCATCATGATGTTGTGGAGTCTGGACTAGGGGAAGGCGACTTCACGTGATCTTGTGTGGCTACGTTTGCCGATCTAGCTTCAGAAAAACTGGACGTTTCTTCGTCTTTCTGCGTGATTCGAAGAAAACGTTTATAATCTCTTTCTCAAATTTACAATCACCCCAGACGCGATGACAACACATCCTGAAGTTCTATGGGCTCAACGTAGCAGTGATTCTGTTGCTGACAAGGTATGTCTTGACTTTCAAATTCCATCTTTGATCATTCCTGTGCTGATGATCCACTCCGCGATTGCTCGCCAGAACATCGTTTGGTTGACTGTGAACGTGCCAGACATTGACGAAACAAGTCTCCAATATGAATTGACGTCTACCGAAATTTCTTTCAAAGCAGCGTCAAAAACGTAAGTCAGCGCTCTATCAACCCTTTGAATTTGTGGCTCCAACATCATCTACCGACATCAGCGACAAGAGAGCATATGCATTCTCGCTCCCGCTATTCGATGAAGTAGACACAGAAGTATGTTTCTTTATCATATTGTCCAAGTATGCGCCACTCATAATCTCTTAGGCGTCTCTGAGCAAATTGAGCTCGCGCTCTTTCACGGCGGTACTACGAAAGAAGGCCCTCAAGGCTGAGTACTGGCCACGACTAACGAAGGAAAAGACGAAGCTGCCGTTTGTCAAGACCGATTTCAGCAAATGGGTTGATGAAGACGAGCAAGACGGTGCCCCTTTAGAAGACGATCTCGGCGGCATGGGAGACATGGGCGGTATGGGAGGTATGGGCGGTATGGGAGGTATGGGCGGTATGGGAGGCATGGGTGGCATGGGAGGTATGGGAGGCATGGGTGGTATGGGAGACATGGGCATGGGTGGTATGGGCGGCATGGGAGGCATGGGTGGCATGGACTTCAGCAAGGTAGGTCACTTCTGGAAAGCTCTACATCGTACTGATCGCAACAATAACCAGATGATGGCTTCCATGGGCGGGGCTGGTGGTGCCGGCCCATCAGATGAGACCGCTGAATCTGATTCTGATTCCGATGGCGGCCCACCCCCTCTTGAGGATGTTGAACCCAGTGCGTGACCGATGGAGTAGCCCCTAAAATCGGAAAAACTGTACGCTGTAGATGCGATTCCGTTGTTTGTCATTACCAATGAATCTGCTTATTGCACTATCATTCTCGCAAAATCCAGCAGGAATAAGTAGGTGAACGTGTACACGGGAAGGACGTTGTGTACCAGACACATCCCACTTTGCAATGTCAATTTTAGGCTGAGCACGATGGGTGAAGGATTCGTTTCCGCACACTGTCGACTATCGTATCAAGCTCGAGATCAGCCTGGCTTATACTCGTGCTATGGGTGTTTCAGTGACATAGCCCTTGATATACCCCACAAGACCGTCCGTATTTCTTAGTGGCGATGGGACAGGTCAAATAACGCGACCGTCACGTGATTCTGTGGCTTTTCAAAGAACACATCTCGAACCCTTCAAGAGTTCTACTTGAAAGCTTACAGCTAAGTACTTCCGTATTACCCTTGAAGTAGAAAGGGCACTCTTCCTGGACAGTCTGCGATTGAAGGCGAGAGTCCAATCATGCTGCGGAACCCTTGGCTTATCAGTTGTCTACAGTCTGAGCTCAAACACGCTACTTCTACTTTACAGTTCTCTCGCTTTCCGTTCGCTCGGTCCAGATGGTGGATATACGTATGTATGTATCTCGATCGGTACTTTACTCTGCTATCCGTGCGTCGCATGATGGGCTCAAACAGATCATCGCAAGGAGTCAGGACGCAAACCCGTTGCACGATTTGCACTCACATGGGCGATGGCGCGGCTCCGATCAACGTGTGTATGGATGTAATATCAGAATGTCGTGGTTCATAGCATTAACAGTCAGCTCCGAATCTTTAATTCTCTGCTCCGAGTCCCTGCTCAGCACACCTCATCTTTTTGCTATGTTCATTCGCGATAAAGGAACCACGAGTCCGCGCAATTTATTCCTGTTCCTTCAGTGGCCCGGATGGATGAAAGCGCATCTGAGCAACGATGAATTGTTACAGTCATCTCAGACAAAGGGATTCCGCAAACACGTAGAATAAACTGTCTGGGCATCAAGGGCCGGATTCATTGCTAGATGTACCGGGTAATTGCAGCTTGCCACTCGGTACGAGTGTGGGCGGGCAGATCACCGACTTCCAGTAGCGATACAACAAGAGATGGGTTTGTCTACATAAACCTCGTCTAAAATATACTTGGAGACCACCATAACTAAAATAAATACGACGGATCCTCGACCAAATATCTCCTCCATGCAGAACACTCGACAACCATTTCCTAGACAGTACTGCTAGTTTGTACATGCACACGCTCCTGGAAGACAATCGAATTCATGCTAGTTTCTGCGTCGGATCCGGCCACGAGTTTAGCGTGATATTGTCGAACGCTAAGGATGAGGCGTGGTCCCACCACAAACATCTGCACGGACCATAAGATTTCCATCACACCATCGAGTATCTCTGCTGCTGCAGAATTCGAACTCTACAGAAATGATGAGCAGTGGCTACATGTAGATGTCAGTGACATGTTGGCGCACCTGGACTTCTGGAGAGAGATTCACAAGCTGGAGGCAAGAGACACCGGCAAAGCTAGCACATGCGGAACTTGAGCAGAAAACGATAAGCACATTCGCATTACAAGCTCACCTTGCAAAATAAAGCACGTGAGATTCCAGGAGCACTTTGAAACAGTCCCCGATGGTCGATCCCGTCAATGGGCCGAGTCGTCGCAGGTCACGGAAGTGCTTCGCAGCGATCCATATCGAAAGACACAGTGCAAGGACCTCCCAAACAGTGTTGAGCATCCAAACCATTGATATCAGAAGCTGGGTATCCCCCTCATATCCGTCACCGCACATATGAATACCAGAGAGTATGAATTCTTCTGGTATTAGTCCAATGAGCTGTGTTCTTCAATTCAACAAGTTAAGCTCACCCGATACGGAATCATGCTTGAGTCCTATGATCGTGATTACTCCGCAGGTGATGTTTACGGCCAGGAAGATAATAACAAGGAAGATAAGCATCCTCCTAGATCTCTGATACATGGCATGCAACCGAGCAATCATGATGACTTGGATCATGTTTCAGTCAAGTCAACACCACTGAGGTATCGCAGCTGGGCAACTCACCTCCCAACATGGCAGTTACGATCACATTTGTCCCATTTACTGCATAGATTATGATATTGCCTGAAACACCCGATTAGCGGTCACCCTCGTACTAGGATGAAACGCTTCGACTCACACCTATTGAGTCATTATGTGGAGCCTTGAAGTCCGATGGTCAAATCGCACTCACCCCTACAAATGAATGTATTCATTGGATAGAATGAAATGATTGCGGGATACTCACTGCATCTGTCAACGAGGCAAACGTAGTGATTTCTGTGTGCCGCCGGTCAGAAGAGTCGAACACGGTGCGTATGAGACATACCCAGAATGCTAGCACTGATAATGAGAGATGGGCGATCAGTACAGCAACTACTTTTTGGCCTCGATTAACATACATACATAGAAAATGGTATTCCAACATAGTGTATCTAGAAGATTTTGGAGTCAGCACAACTGCGAACCATGCCATGGTATAACATGAAGTACGAACGACTAGGTACAGCACAGTCATGAGAGACCAGCGTTGAGTCTGTCGAAAATTCATTGTTTTTGTTCTGATATGGGACTCTGTGACTCACCCAAATGAGGTCAATCTATGACAGCATTGTTAGCAAGTTGGGTGCTCCGGCGGCGATAGCATCAACCTACCTCTTGTGGGAGTGTTAATACTGGAAATATCATGAGAATAGTATCAGCAATTTCAGGACACTGTGCTGCTCACTCCAATCGTATACCACCACGAAGGCTGTGGCAACTGCGAAGCCACAAGTCAATATCAGATAAAGACGTAACCAACTAATATGGCGAACCAAGCCAATAGCTGATCAAAATATCGAAATTGATGGTTGGCCACCAACTGGGATCATTTGAGACTACGGTCATATTCGAGGATGGGAGATGTTAGGAGTGTATAACGGTCTAGTGTTCATATACATATACCAGCGTTCAACGTTCAGCGCTCAGCGCTTGTATCACCAAAATGGGCAGGATGGTGATTTGGACATTCTCGAGGCCCTTGATTGATTGAAGTATGGCATAGTCCTCGATTGAATGAAAATAGATTTTCAAACCGACCCAGGTGAATTGGAAATTAAAAACGTTTCTATTCGTTGGTGATGTCGGCAACTACTAGGCTCGGGACCGAGTCGCTGACACAGACCGTACTATATATAGACTCATGAATCTGACCACAGGTTCAAGGTGATTTGCATGTGCACTTTTCCTCCGATGGAACAAGAACTACAGCATGATACCAGCTCAACTACTTGATTTACCCTCCTCCATGCGGGTACATGTCTATTAATGTTCACATCTTCCAATATTTTCTAACTGGTACCCGGTCTTGATATCAAGATCACAATACCCACTCATCCAACTTACCCTTTGCAGACCGACCCAGCCTCAATCTCATACGTTCTGTTAGCTGGCATAGCTTCCGATCTGATGGTCCATTATAAGACTGATTTAGAGCCTTTCAGAGCACAACGCCGCTCCTGCCTTCATCATCTTGTAAATATTTACTTACATCTGCACAATCAAACTTGGGCCTATTCTCCGTCGTAATCAATCCTTGCGGCACAAAACGAGTTCGCTTGGGACAATGTTCCCATAGTATCGTCTTCTGTCACTGCCCTACTTTGCATTCATCATTCGCACATGCCTCGAAACTGTATCTAGATACAAGGTAACCATCTTCTGTGAATGATCGCACACGTCTTTTGTCCTCAGACAACGCAACATTAATGATATCTTGTCAGGCGTGCTTTACTCCCTGCTCAATGGATCACATCACATTCCAATGCCGTGCACATCCATGATCGAATTGTATGCTCTACCCGTAAGTTTATTAGAACCATCATACTCCATATCGTTGAATCGTGCTTGAAACCAGATGATTGTTGTCGAACACGTAACATATCTGACAGTGGCCAGCGATTGGTTGGTTCAATCAGATGATCAATTGACTAGTGGTCTCCAGGACATTGACACCCTGCTTCTACCATTCATGCACATGCACGATTTGGCACTCCTTCTCTGCGGCCCAGATGGATCATGAAGGTGGCCAGACGTTCTCGCTTAGCTGACATAGTATCAGCCATCTAAGGTTTCACGACTCACTATCACTCCTTCTTCCATTCGCTCAGGTGCATGATTGGGCCACTGCGATCTGATCAAAAGTCCGTATATTAGAACATCGTAATCAGCGCCTTACTAATACTTTTCCAGGTTCGCTGCAATTCCTCAGTGATATTGACTTGGCTGAACATCATGCTAGTCATCATGATTGCTCGGTTGCATGCCATGTATCAGCATTCCAGAAAGGTGCTGATGATTCTCCTTATCGCCTTCCTGGCTGTTGCTGTTGTCAATATAGTGGTAGCCGCAATGATGATGAAGCATTTTTCAGGGGGTAAGTTTACTTATGGATGACAGATTTTCAAAGTGCATCCGGCTCATTGATGAATTCCAGAGGAGCTTGTTCTCTCTGGGACCTATCAGTGCACGATTAAATTCGAGGGAGATGTGGTCCTTCCGGGTTCCATATCTTGGATACTTGGCACTACATGGGAGGTCCTCACGCTGTGTCTCGCTGTCCAGATCGCTGTAAAGCACATCCGTGAACTACAAAGACATTCGGCAGGCCAAATTATAAAGGACTACGGTATTGTTGAAAACTCACGTGGGATACTTTACGAGGTGAGTTCATCATGATATGAACGTGATCAACTTTTCCCGCTGAGGTTCTGCAGGTGTTAGCATGCTTCCTGCTGTTTGCTTGAAGCTCGGTTATATGTCCAATGATCTCAGCGGCATGTCGATCTATCCCTGATCTCTGCATGTGACCACGTTTCATCATTTCTGTAGGAAAAATACTCACCGGAAACTCGGAGTTTTCTTCAAATTTTCACGCTCGCTCAGATGTTTGTGCTAGGACCACACCTGATCCTTAGTGTTCGAGAATATCATACTAGGCTCATGACCCATTCGGATGCAGGTCCCAGCATGATTCTAATGTCTTTCGAGGAGCGCGCGCATATATCAACTGGCGGTGGTGTGTAGCACGGGAGATACTCGATATGATTTGTACTCGTGGGCTATTCTGCAGGAAGCGGGAGGGTTTATTTTTATCTAAGTTTTGGGTGTTCCGAGTACTTATTGTTTAGCAAATACAGCGCTCTACATAGAGATGCAGTTTGGTTGTTTTGGAGTAGTGCCATGTGAATTTTGACCATAAATTATGACTTGCAAGCGGTTGAGTATCTAGTTTTTCAGGTGCTTCAATGATACGCAACAATCGATCGCACTTGTCACGGCCAACAGGTATTGTATATGGTGGAATGGCTGGAAATCTGGGAGAGCTGCGAGAACATTAAGCGCTCGTCTCAAGTCTGTTCCTGTGATGATACTAGGGCTGCCTTCTCCTGCAAAGTTCGAACGCTCATGATTGAGATGGCAAGTAGATAAGCTGGAGGAAGTACAATGAGGCCATCAGCTTCCAGAACCATCACTCCTGTGCAGACATCTTACAAGAAATGCTGCATCTTATGTGGTGTAAACCGGAGAGCCCTACTGGATTAATCTCAATGCATGCGCGCATCATTAATGACGCGACATGTCACATAACCCATTGATTTGCGAGGAGAATTGGGATTAGAGCGGCGGCGTGCACTGGTAGATAATTGATATGAATTATAATCACTGCATATAGTAAAGATACTGGACAAAAGGATGACAGCAAAACTAGCCGCCTACAAGAAAGGTTCCATCATGACTATCATCGGATCACGAGGCACGACACCAACCTGATCCTAAGATCTTGAACGCTAAACATCGCCAATGTGGACAAGTGACTCGGTGAACCATCTGTCCCAACGGTAAAGCTTACCATTGTACTACCGGGCGCGCCACACCACGATGGTGCGACTAAGTGTGGTCGATACAATAATTTGAAAGATGTACTCGATGCTTTCATCTTCTTGCCATGCTTTTTAGCTTGCTGCTTGGTGCAAGTCTGGATTACCGACTCCCAGTAGCGATACAACAAGAAATGAGTTTGTCTACATAAACCTCGTCTACAATATACTTTGAGACACCATAACTGAAATAAATACGACGAATCCTCGACCAAATATCTCCCCCATGCGGAACGCTTGGCAACCATCCGTTTCCTACACAGTACTACTAGTCGATACATGTACGCGCTCCTGGAAGACAATTGAATTCATGCTAGTTTCTGCGTCGGATTTGGCCACGAGTTTAGCGTGATATTGTCGAACGCTAAGGATGAGGCGTGGTCCCAGCACAAACATCTGCACGGACGATAAAATTTGCATAACACCACTGAGTATCTCTGCTGCTGCAGAATTCGAATGCTACAGAAATGATGAGCAGTGGCTACATGTAGATGTCAGTGACATGTTGGCGCACCTGGACTTCTGGAGGAGAGATATTGACAAGCTCAAGGCAAGAGACACCAGCAAAGCTAGCACATGCAGAACTTGAGCAGAAAGCGATAAGCACATTCGCATTACAAGCTCACCTCGCAAAATAAAGCACGTGAGATTCTAGGAGCACTCTGAAACAGTCCCCGATGGTCGATCCCGTCAATGGGCCGAGTCGTCGCAGGTCACGGAAGTGCTTCGCAGCGATCCAGACTGAAAGACACAGTGCGAAGACCTCCCAAACAGTGTTGAGGATCCAGACCATTGACATCAGAAGCTGGGTATCCCCCTCGAATTCCTGACTGCACATATGAATACCAGAGAGTATGAGTTCCGCTGGTATTTGTCAAATGAGCCGTTTTCTTCAATTCAACAAGTAAAGCTTACCCAATACAACATCATACTTGAGTACTATGATCGCGATTACTGTGCAGGCGATGTTTACGGCCAGGAAGATGATAACAAGGAAGATAAGCATCCTCCTAGATCCCTGATACATGGCATGCAACCGAGCAATCATGATGACTTGGATCATATTTCAGTCGAGTCAATATCACTGAGGTATCGCAGCTGGGCAACTCACCGCCCAACATGGCAGTTACGACCACATTTGTCCCACTTACTGCATGGTTTATGATATTGCCTAAAACACCCGATTAGCGGTCACCCTCGTGCTAGGATCAAACGCTCCGACTCACACCTATTGAATCATTATGTCGAGCCAAGTCCAATGGTCAAATCGCACTCACCCCTACAAATGAATGTATTCATTGAATAGGACTGAAATGATTGCGGAATACTCACTGCATCTGTCAACGAGAGAAACACAATGTTTTCTGTGTGCCACCGGTCAGAAGAATCGAACACGGTGAATATAAGACATACCCAGAATGGTAGCACTGATAATGAGAGATGGGCCATCAGTACAGCAACTACATTTTGGCCTCGATTAACATACACAGAATATGGTATTCCAGCATAGCGTATCTAGAACAAGTTGGAGTCAGCACAACCACCGACCATGCTATGGTACAACACAAGGTACGAACAACTAGGTACAGCACAGTCATCAGAGACCAGCGTTGTGTCTGTCGCACATTCATTGTTTTTCTTCTGATATGGGACTCTGTGACTCACCCAAATGAGGTCAATCTATGACACCATTCAAGTTGTGAGCAAGTTGACTGCTCCGGCGGCAATAGGATCAACCTACCTCTTGTCCGAGTGTTATCACTAGAAATATCATGAGAATATCAGCAATTTCAGAACACTTTGCTGCTCACCCCAATCATATACCACCACGAAGCCTGCAGCAACTGCAAAACCACCATGACAAGTGGATGTTAGATAGATCGAGACATCACCATTGAAGAATATGACGAACCAATCCAATAGCTATACAAAATACTCGAATTGATGAAGGGCCACCAACTGGGATCATTTAAGATTACGGTCATATCTGAAGATGGGGAATGTTGGGAGTGTATAACGATCTAGTGTTCATATACCAGCGTTCAGCGCTCAACGCTTGTATCACCAAAATCGGCATGATGGTGATTGGGACATTTGTTCATGCTCGAGGCCCTTGATTGATTGAAGTATGTACCTCGATTGAGATTTTCAAACCGTCAGTCCACTACCCAGGTGAATTGGAGATTGAAAACGTTTCTATTCGTTGGTGATGTCGGCAACCAGGCTCGGGACTGAGTCGCTGACGCGACATACGTCAGACTGGTCACGAGTTCCACCATTTTCAGCAATTGTTCCCATGCATACTATATTACTCATGAATCTGACACAGGTTCACAGCATGTGCACTCTTCCTCCGTTGGAACAAGAACTACAGCATGATACCAGTTCAACTACTTGATTTACCCTCCTCCATGCGGGTACATGTCTATTAATGTTCACATCTTCCAATATTTTCTAACTGGTACCCGGTCTTGATATCAAGATCACAATACCCACTCATCCAACTTACCCTTTGCAGACCGACCCAGCCTCAATCCACATGTAAGTATCATACGTTATGTTAGCTGGCATTGCTTCGACTCGATTTCCGATCTGACAGTCCATTATAAGACTGATTTAGAGCCTTCCAGAGCACAACGTCGATAGCAACGCCGCTCGCGCCTTCATCATCTTACTTACATCTGCACAATCAAACTTGGGCCCATTCTCCGCCGTAATCAATACTTGCACAAAATGAGCTTACTTGGGACAATGGTCCCATAGCCTGAGTATCGTCTTCTGTCACTGCCCCACTTTGCATTCATCATTCACATGTGTCTCGAGACTGGATCTAGACCATCAACGCACTGGCAAGGTTGATCATCTTTTATGAATGATTGCACACGTTTTTTTTTTGTTCTCAGACAACTGGTGCATTAGTGATACTTTGTTGGGTGTGCTTGACTCTCCGCTCAGCTCATCACATCCCCTTGCCATGCGCATCCGTGAATATACTCGAGCCGTAAGCCTTCTAAAACCATCATGCTCTATATCGTTGAATCGTGCTCGTTGCTGTCGAAGACATGACCTATCTGACAGTGGTCAGCGATGGGTTGGTTTAGTCAGATGATCGACTGCCAATCAGTTGACTAGTGGGTGGTGTCCAGGACATCGATACACTGTTTCTACCGTCAGCAGCCGGCAGTTGCTGTATTATGACCACGATGGCAGTGTTCATTGCCATGCTTTTCAACTTGCCATTTGGTGCCAGTGTGGGCGCGCGGTTCACCGACTTCAAGTAGTAGTACAACAAGAAATGGGTTTGTCTACATAAACCTCATCCTAAATATACTTTGAAACACCATAACTAACTAGAATAAATATTGCGATGGATCCTCGACCAAATATCTCCTCCATGCGGAACACTCCGCAACCACTTCCTACACAGTACTGCTAGTTGGTACATGTACACGCTCCTGGAAGACGATCGAATTCATGCTAGTTTCTGCGTCGGATACGGCCACGAGTTTGGCGTGATATTGTCGAACGCTAAGGATGAGGCGTGGTCCCAGCACAAACATCTGCACGGACAATAAAATTTGAATAGCACCACCGAGTATCTCAACTCCAATGGAATTTGAATTCTACAAAAATGATGAGCAGTGGTTACAGGCAGATGTCAGCGACAGGTCAGCGCACCTCAAGCTCTGGAGAGAGAATAACAAGCTGGAAGCAAGAGACACCAGCAAAGCTAGCACGTGCGGAACTTGAGCAGAAAAAGATAAGCACATTCACATCACAAGCTCACCTTGCAAAATAAAGCACGTGAGATCCTATGAGCACTCTGAAACAATCCCCGATGGTAGATCCCGTCAATGGGCCGAGTCGTCGCAGGTCACGGAAGTGCTTAGTAGCGATCCAGACCGAAAGACACAGTGCGAAGACCTCCCAAACAGTGTTGAGGATCCAGACCATTGACACCAGAAGCTGAGCATCCCCATCATATCCACCGCATATCTGAATGCCAGAGAGTATTAGCTTCTCTGGTGTTTGTACAATGAGCTGTGTTATTCGATTCAACAAGTAAAGCTCACCCGATACGAAATCATACTTGAGTCCTATTATCGCGATTACTCCGCAGGCGATGTTCACAGCCAGGAAAACAATGACAAGAAGGATAAGCATCTTCCCAGATCCCTGGTACATGGCATACAACCGAGCGATCATGATGACTTGCATCGTATTTCAGTCGAGTCAACATCACTGAGGTATTGCAGCTGGGTAACTCACCGCCCAACATGGCGGTTACGACCAAATTTATCACATTTATTGTGATGTACATGATATTGCCTGAAACACCCAATTAATGATCACCCTCGTACTAGGATTAAACGCTCCGACTTACACCTTATTGAGTCATTATGTTGAACTAAGTTCGAAGTTGAGAATCTTACTCACCCCTACAAATGAGTACATTCATTGGATGGAAATGAAATGGTTGCGGAATACTCACTGCATCTGTCAGCGAGACAATTGTCATATTTGCTGTGTGCCGCCGATCAGAAGAATGGAACACGGTGCATATGATACATACCCAGAACGTTGACACTGATGATGAGAGACGAGCTATTAGTACAGCACCAGCTTGTTGCTCTCGTGAACATACACAGAATATGGTATTCCAACATAACGTATCTAGATTATTTTGGAGTCAGCACGACTGCCAATCATGCTAAAGTATAACATGAGGTACGAACAACCAGGTACAGCACAGTCATAAGAGACCAACGTTGCGTCTGTCGCGAATTCATTGTTTTTGTTCTGATATGGGACTCTGTGACTCACCCAGATCAGTTCAATCTATGACACCATTGTTAGCGAGTTAGCTGCCCAGGCGATATCACCGACCTACCTCTTCTCCGAGTGTTAGTACTGTAAATATCATGAGAATATCAGCAATTTTCGAACAGTGTCCTTGCTCACCCCAATCGTATACCACCACGAGGCCTGCGGCAACTGCAAAGCCACAAGTTGATGTTAGATCGAGACATCACCAGACGATATAACGAACCTATCCAGTAGCTGAGAAAAAGATACGAATTGATGAACGGCCACCAACTAGGATCATTCGAGACTACAGTCATGTTTGAGAGTTGAGCGTGAACGAGTAGAGGATGTTAGCCCTTGGGTTATAACAATCTAGTGTTCGTGCTAGATATACCACCGTTCAGCGCTTCAAGTGAAAGGCTGTATCATCAAAATCGGTACGATGACGATGGTCATTTGTTCTTACTTGAGGCCCTTGATACAACAACTCTACATTTCAACTGTGACACGGTACACCCACGTAGCCCTTATGATTAGAGGTTGGTGTACCAGGTTGCCTGGGCGCCTCGGCACTAGCAGCAGACAGCTGGTTCCAGGTTCGAGCAAGGACGCTTAACAGCTTACTTGGCTGATGCGGTTGTATTAATTTATGCTGTCCAAGAGACCCATGATCAGTCAACGGATAGTTTATTTGGCCAAGTTGTTGATTATGTAAACAACAGTTGGATATAATTGGAATAGGACCCTAACGCCACAGGGGCTCTCGGATGATATTATCTCCGAGACCTCCGTTATGGGTCGGAACAACAATGACGTCATAGTCATTCCGTTCCACAACATCCGCAATTATATTGGCATCAACATCGTATAAAACGAAACTTGGCAAGCTGGTTATCACTGCTCACTCGAAATCTTCATTACAACCCTTGCAACAAGCTTTCTTCTACAAATCTCACCTCCAAAGTCAACAATGAATCAAGTTAACAACATCACCATAAAATTTATGGATGTCCCTGCCGAATTACTGTTGGATATTTTTGGTCACCTAGACGTATACGATCTGGTCCGAGCACGCAAAGTACGCAGAGTCTTTTTTGCCCAAATCGCTACTAATGCAGAATCTCCAGGTATGCAGTGATATTCGACAACTCATCGACTCTTCCTCGGAACTTCAATACTTGATTGATGTCCGATACTTCAATGCGATTCCAGCCTCGTTGCCTGGCAGCGACATCGCCGTTGCAACACGTCGCCAATTGCTTCAAAAAAGCGAAACTGCGTGGCAGAGAGCCGAATACTCTCAAAGAAATTCCATTCCGATGTCTTACTCTCCCGACAACTACCGTTGGTCGTGCGGCATTCTTGGAATCCCAGCGAAATCTCTCCAACAACTCAAGTTCGTCCAGCCCTCACTGTCAGATGGCGACACCCACACCATCGACCTGCAACAACGCATCTGCAAAATCGACAGCACAGCATTCGAGGGCTATAGTTTTTCGCCCGCACAGGATCTTGTGGCTATCCTTTCCAAAACAATCCGTGGGTGAGTGTCTTCTTGCGTATGACCATGGGCTATATTGACGGCAACAGAGAGAGTCATGCATATGACGTCACTTTCAGATCATTGTCTGAGGACAAACCTCATCCTGATGCCGGATCCCCCCTCGTGAAAGCACTGGACAATCAAATCCATCCACAGCTCTTCGACTCCCCCTACACGCAATCTATGATCTTCGGAGACTATTATGGCTTGTTCTGCAAATATGCTCACAAAGCAGACGATGAGCTGGTCGATTTTTTGCAAATTTGGAACTGGAAGTCCAAGGAAGTTTCTCAGGTGAGTCAAAGTCCCCTGTTTTGCTATGACTTACGACCAACTTGGCTTTTCAGTGCCTCCAAATTTTTGACACGGATTGCGGAACGACGAATTTCAGCTTTCTGACGAACGATAGATTCCTCGTCGCCAGCGCGAGGGAACTAAAGTTGTTCTCCCTCGACACTATCAATTCGGTCAATGCAATCCGGCTCGTTGCCAGATTCTCCTTCCCTGCATTGAAGGACCCCTTCATCTTTCACTTCATCACCTTCAGTCCTATTCCATTCCACGCCAGCGCTCATAATCAACTCATCGCTATCAATATGTGCATGTCGGCGCCCACGACCGACAAATCTCCGTATTTCACCTTCTATATCGAGCGGAACACCCTCTTGGAGCTCGAATCCACCTACATCAGCCGTTATGGAGAAGCAAGCCAGGATTCTCCTAGTCTGCCTTGGTCCGCCTGGGGCCCAAAGTACACTCGATTCTTCGAAAATTCCTACAGCTCCTGCACACACCGCATTTTCGGATTCCGTAGTGCGGAGTTGATTGGCGACCTTCTCTCTCGTGATGGGGTGTTTCAGCCGCGACCATTGCGCATCCGCGACTTTAACCCTCATAGGGTGACAGACTTCAAGGCTGGCAACATATCTACATCTCATCAACGACTTGTCGAAGGGGAATCACCAAATTCGACCCTTTTCTTGGATCCACTAGGACCTGGTCTCCCGTATATCGAGACGATTTCTCAAGAAAAGTTCCTTGCCAATGATATGACCATGGAAGCAAACAGGATAACGTTGTTATCCCTCAAAGTCGTGAGTCATCATCGAATACTGATTGTGGACATGGCACTTATAATAACGCAGGGAAATAGTATGTATGATATTTCACAGAGCATCGAAATGCTTGATTTCGAATAATCATTTACTACACCGAAACTGTTCAAGATACTTCAGTATCTCAATATATTTGATTGATTCATACTCAATGGACTGTGAGATGCGCATTGTGTTGCTATCACATCAACATTCTCTCATCATCCTGGTCCTCGCAGACCGTCTCAACATTGAACGGTTTGACCTGACAAGTACGTGTTTTTGGTCACTCCAACTGGTACTTATACGCAGGAGTCACAGCTTTGGACTTGTCCAGATGAGGAGTGTACCAAGGGGAGTCAAGGGAAGGTGGCTTGCGGCATGTTTGTCATCTGGCACCGCCGCGGCCGCTCATGGTAACGTTATCTGGTCCCAAATGCATTGCCTCACACTGCCTACTTGCACTTTCAAGGAGCCAAGTTAAACCAGAGTTCTCGTGGTGCATTTCGGAAGTTGTTCGCGCTCTCAGAGTACTTGTATGGTTCATCCCAGCTTTAGTGCAACTCAACCATGTGGGTGTCCTTCACCATTTATGTTTTTTTTTACCATTTAACTGACTCTCGGCCCAGGTTACCATGGCAGTGTAACCAGAAGTCTTATTCTCAGTCCGGTCTCCGCATATAGTTTGGCCCTTGCTGGAATTACTGGAGGGGTTGCTCTTGGAGTTTGGGTTCTTTGGTTGGTCCGCACGTACAAACTCAAGTCAAACGTCACATTCGATGAATCTTCCCCTCTCCTACGAACTGACCTCCAGGTGAGGAATTTGTTGCCATTCATGTTTACCCAGCGTCGCAGGACTGATCGAAGAGGGTGAACAGAGGGATCATGCCACCACGTCAGACAACAAGGCATTACTCTGTTCCATCTGTGCAAATCTCGATTTCTATCAGATCTTCCTCAATGGCATCCCAGAGACGGAGGACATCCCGCTCGACAATCTCTCGTCCATCTTACGAAAATCCTATCAATGCAATTTCTGCCGCCTTGTATCCTTTCATGTTCGCCGAACATGGATGTTGGACAAGTTTCCTCACGTCGATATCTCAGGGATCGAATGTAGGATGTTCACGAAAGGTTGTGGTTGTCTTCAATTGGCCTCTTATCCCCCATCCAAATTCCGTTGCTACCGCCTCTACGTCACGATGGAAGGTCTAGAGGACATCTGGAAGAGATATCCAGCTTTCAGGATAGCAGGTGCGCTCAACATTCACATTATGCAAGAAGACGCTTTCAAGTTTGGAAGACCGACCGACCTTCATTGTCGCAGGGTGAAAAACACTGTGGATATCAACATGGTGAAGAAGTGGATCAAACTGTGCCATGCGAGCCACGGAGATATATGTAAAAGTCTTTCAAGAATAGGCGAACACGACAAAAGGAAACTGCCGGGGTTTGTGAGAGTGGTGGACGTAGTATTGATGGCCGTGGTTCCCGCGCCTTCTGGTTGTCGTTACGTCGCCCTCAGTTACATATGGGGAGGCATCGGCGCAGAGTATTGGACGACGAAGGACAATATAGCAGAGCGCGGCAAGCCTGGCGGGTTGAGCACGGCAAAGCTCCCTGATACCATCACTGATTCGATTCTATTCGTTCGACAACTTGGTGAACGTTACATATGGATTGATGCTTTGTGCATTATTCAAGACGACTCGCAGGACAAGTTCGCTCAGATACACGATATGGATCTGGTTTACGGTCTCTCTTATCTCACAGTAATCGCTGCCGGTGGCACTACGGCTCGAGACCCTCTCCCAGGGTGCCGCCCACAAACTAGAACGCAACAGCATATCGAAGTCGTTCAAGGACTTCATGTCTACGCGGCACCTCCAAGACTTAAGGAGGCTCTTGCTTTGTCCGCATGGAATACACGTTGTTGGACCTATCAAGAATGCGCGCTTTCCCGCCGAAGGATCTACTTCACTGAGCACCAAGTCTACTTCGAGTGCCAGTTCGATGTCTTGTGTGAAGATGTCATTGCTGAAAGCAAGTGTGACTCCACCAACTTTCTCAAGTATTCACGGGCAGAAAACTTCCCTCAGTCATTGGACCCCTTCGCGAGTTACATGATGGCCGTGAAACAGTGTGCACGGCGCAATCTAACCGTGGAATCGGACATTGTTGATGCTCTCACGGGAGTGACAAATGCTTTAGCAAAAGCTTTTGGGCTCGGTGACCCAGACAGAGCTTTTCGCTATGGAATGATGTTGACGGACCTACATCACGCGCTTCTCTGGCAACACAATCCACACATACCTCGTACTCGTCGTTCGCTTCCTGATGGATGCAGTTTACCCTGGCCTTCTTGGGCATGGGCTACGTGGTGTGGTGCTGTTGACTACATGTCGGAGCATCGGTATTTGTTGACCTATCCTGAGGATGCATGGCTCGTGGACTACTTCGCCAAGCCTTCGGTGGTAGAAATGTTTGTTGATCCATGGTACATCGTGGACCATAGTGGCATTATACTGCAGCTTGATGTACGCAGGGGTTCTCGACGGGTCGTTTTGATTCGCGAGACAGAGGGAGAGGGATCCACATATTCTTCTCCGGGAGGGATTATAGACCCAACGGAGATAACCCCAGACATTCATCGAGTGCTCGACCCAGGCACTCTCATTTTCCGCACGACTTCTAGCCACTTTGCCATTGCGCGGCGACGTGGTGAAGAATCCCATCCATCTATTCATCACGGTCTTTTCGACATTCTCTCCGCCTCCTCCCCTCCCACTTGGGTAGGCACTGCCGTCCTCCCATTGGACGTTGCCCTGCCGACTTCCCTCGAATTCATCGTCCTTTCCCGTACCGGTATACTCGGCGCGTACGACAAAGAGAGGATTGAGTATTACCAAGAATGCCTGCTACATGTGATGGCGGTTAGTCAGAATGGGAATTTGATGGAACGTGTTGGATTGGGCGTCATTCATGAAACAGCCTGGATTGCTTCTGGAGCGGAAGAGAAGATAGTGTTTCTTCGATAACGTTGGCGGTGATGATAGTTGTTTGAATGAAAAAATTTCACATTCATTGTTCTTCGGGAGGCCCCGGCTTGTCGTATAGTCACGACGTTAGCTGAAGGGTATGCGTGACAAGGCAGGGAACTGAGTTACAGGATCCCCATACCGTCTGACGATGCAGGAAATCCAGACACGACAATGTTGTGGACGGGTCAACAATACCCTCGCTTCTCTTCCAAGTCGGACTCACTGCCTCATCAGCGTCTTCACCTTCTTTACAAGCTAGCAGATTTGGTCCTACCTCGTCGCATACTTGCATGCCAAACGAAGTGTATCTTAGAGATACCGAAACATCACTGAAATTCACTCAGCCTGATATGAGTCGAGTTATATTACCCTTTCAGCTAATTTTGTTTGGCCATGATATACCCTGACATACCGGTGTATTGGATTATCAAGTGCACGTGAGAATATCGTTTTTGGACCATATTCTCCATCCATGCAGCGCTTGATATGCCAATATAATGGTATATCGGGCGACAGACGAATGCCAGGATTTTTGCAACTCTCGGTCTCATCGGAACCCATTGGACATGCCATTATATCCCACTGGCAACAGCTTATCAAGTTCCGAGTGCTCTACATTGCACATTTAAGACACAAATCAAACTATTGGTTTTCGGTCTGTTTTCTCTTTTATTTTCTTTGTGATGACTCAACCATTACCACCTCATGTCAGATTTCTCGCTTTTAGTACTGGTGTTCCATCAAGGACACGGAAGCGGTCGAGCATCTGGCCTCACCGCATTGCCAGTCTGTGCATGTCCTGTCAATTCCCCGCAAGAGACCACTGACTCGCTGTTTGATTATGCATACTGCGATATAGCCGCTCTTCAGCCTCTTTTCCCTTCCGAGTTGATGTTCAAGTTCTCTACCATGGTAAAGGTTCGTTATTTTAGTCATTTGTCTTGATGTTCCGAGTCGAACTACTAGACACTAGTTTGGCAGGCAAGTTTGGTCTCATGTTCAAGTATGTAAGTACTCGAGAACCGAATTCCCCTTCAAGCAAAGCAAAGCGGTTCGGTTCTCCGTTCGTTTTTGTTGTCCGCTATTGACACCGAAGCTCGCAGCCCTGCAACCCTGCTCCATTCCTAACTTTAATAATGCAATTCTTCCTATTCTGAAACAGTTCGGTTCCCGGATCTGAAAGTAAACGAGGTATGTGTCGGCAGAGCAAGTCAAGACCTCAATCACCGCTCACCAAGTATATTTTCTAGTCATTTATAAGAAATAGTTCGTTACTCGTTATCAGACTCTATCGGACCTTCTTTGCGCCCCGGCGATGCTCTGTACCCACACAATCGCCTGCTTTACCTTTACTCACTCATTAATACTACTTTCTCGACAAGTCCTGCTCCAGAAAATCCCCTCCTGGTCCGCATTTCCCTCGGATTTGTAAAGTTTGTCTGTCTAGGAAACTTGGTTATGGCTAGGAACAACCCCACAGGAAACTCGGGGCGCTCGACGGTAGAAATTCGATTGGATGGCCAGCCCTTGATCCCATGGCTAACTCCCATTGCCGAACTGCATCCTATCATTGGACTTGATCATCTACTGCTGTGCTCGATGTTCTAGTATTGCTCTCGATGCTCTACTACCGCTCTCGATGCTCTACTACCATGCTCTGCTACTGCGCTCGATGCTCTGCTGGCGCACGAGTCTATGCCCTGCAAATCCTGCATACGAAATCAGTAGTACCAAATAACACCTGCATCTTGCTCGTGTCGAACTTCAAGATGCTCGCAGTACTTTTCATGGCCAACCATTTGTTACTGTCGCATTGCAAATGAGCTACCGGGATAGAGGCTAGTGCCAAGATACCATTGAGCTATGGGATACATGTGTAGAGTACCATACTCGGAGTCCTGGTATATACATGTAATAATTATGTAGATCGGCTGACGGCCACAAATGCTATGTATTTAAAGCTATATATGATGAGCATGCATGTGGGGTAGACGCGAATTGGTTCCGCAGAATCAAACATTCCGTTATATATATTACCAATATTAGCTAGCATTAGCTAGATAATCACCTTCTGCATATTTCAGTTGCTGTTGCTTAACGTCTGACTCCCCGTTGTGCATTTATAAGGTAGTGTATTGGGCAAAAAGGATGTTAATCTCTTCACTTACAAGCCATACTTGGTAGTCCGACAAATATGTATGATCATTATTTAAATTGATCAAGGAGGCTAGGTGTTTAAAGGTATATATGACATTATCTAACCGCTTGCCATATTTTACCAGATTGCGGGTATTATGACCATTATAAGGCAAATATAATGGTTTATAGCACATCTTGATTTTCAGTGATGAAGGTCTCAATGGATTAACGTTTAACGATGGTGTGGGGTGGTCCGCGGATACAGGGAACGTGCCAAACCTCGAGGCCTCGGCCGCCGGGTAGGGGCTTCGCTGTTCCCAACTGTAACTAAAGATGTTGACTCGCCGTACCGAGTATTTGTCAAAGTTTTCAAACACGATGAATTGATTCACAACAGCTGTTGAAGCTTGTAAATATGTGTGCTGTAGATAAACTAGTATTTACTTGTGAACGTATGTCGGCCTGCCCCGTAACTTTGGAAAAATGATCAAGGAGGTTTTGCGAAAAACCTCTTGCTTAATCCGGGGAGTGTACTCTCTGCCGCAGCGAAAGCCACGTCGCGATGCATAATATAGGGTCGCAATCACTCCCGATATGCTGGCTGCCACGATCCGCGTCTGTCCAAAAATATGTAGAACCTATGATTCCAGCCCAAGAATGATGATGAATGTATCTAAGAAAATTAAATGCAAATCCTAATGGGGGGTATAAACAAAAGCCATATGCTAAAACAAATCAGGGTCGTGGACGGGAGGTAAACTTCATGAGGCATCCGTCTTTAGGGAACAAAGTTGCGATGATTCTGCAAAACTTGTTAGCGTGCAATTAACGCGGGCGCGTCATGATACTCACTGGACCTGATCGCTTTCGGGTGTAACATGGTGCTCCCAGTCCATCAACACGCTCGCGGTGGCAAGAACTAGTCCAATGTTCATCGTCGCGTACTCTATACCAACGCATTTGTGGGGTCCGCTACCAAAGACCAAGTAGTTCCTCGGGTTCGTGTTAGCGGAGCTGTTGGGATCGAGCCAACGGTCAGGGATGAGCTTATCGTGCTCGGGGAAAACAGAGGGATCATGCAGGGAGTTGTAGAATGAGGGTATCACCATGCTATTTGCGGGAACAGTATAATCGTTAGAGATAGGGAAAGCCTTTGTTGTCCTGTAAGGAACCTAAGTGAAGGTGTTTCAGTAAGACACCGTCAAGTTCACACGAAGCACAAACCATGGTTACGGGAGGCTTGACACGCATGCTCTCCTTGACAAACGCCTTCAGGTATGGCATTTGCTCGAGCATTTCAAGGGTGAATGGTTTGTCGACATCTCCGGCACGAACACGGTACTGTTCTTCCCTGATTTTGGCCAAAATGTCGGGATTGTCTGCCAAGTGCTGGAACCCGTAAATCAACCCACTACTCATAGCATCCTGCGACGCAAACAAGAATGAGAACACAACCATAGCCATCTCGCGGTCGCTGAAATCCTTACGGCCCTTGTATCCTGGGGCCTCCAATTCTTTGACCCATTCGTCCAACATGCATTCAGGCTCGCAGCCATCGGCGACGGAGGTTTTGGCCTTGGATGCGGCAAGTTCCAACCACTTGATGGCGACCTTGCGGGCTTGTATGGCTCTGTATACTTTTGTACCAGGGACGGCCAAAGGGAAGTTGACGAGTTCGAGGGCTTGCGTGATGTCCCAGTACTTCTCGCTTATCTCAATAGCGCCATGCTCGGGAATGTGATTGCCGCAGAAAACACGAAGGGAAGTGATCATATTGAGGTGACGCGCGGTCATCATAATAGACTGTGGTGAAGGATCTTTCTGCGCATCAGCAAGCCATTGACTGAAGTGTTTGCGAGCAATCGCATCCTGAATACCAATGTAGATACTAGAGTGGGAAATTAGGAAAAACGATGTGACGGGAAATATTAAAAGTACTGACCTAAGAGCTTTACGGGTAAACAAAGTGTTCAGGACTTTGCGGTACTCGACATGAGATTTCCCATTTAGGAATACCCAATTGTCAGGCATGAGAATTTGCTTTGCTGAGTGCACCAGGCAAGGCTCAGCGTGAGCTGGAGAATTCAGGATTTTCCGCGAATACTCATTAGATGAAGCCATGACAATGAAACTGAGAGCACGTTCAGAAGAGGAGTCAATCATAACTAAAGTCGAACCAACATGTTAAACACGCTTATAGCACTCAAGGCGCCAGAGTTCCACTGTTTCATGTAGCCCTCCATGGTTGGTTTCATGGAGTCTGCAAACTTTCCAATAATTGGGATTGTCCATGAGTCGCCAGGTAAGTGCTTCTTCTTGGATCTGTAAACCGACTGTTCAAGCAAGAGGAGAGCACCGACGATGGCAACGGTTGTATACAACCAGGTTGCAGACTTTGAATTAGAAATAATGAATGATGGGATGGGAATATCAACGAATGAGTTGGAGGTGGAAGATGCTATAGGCAGTACCGCGGAAGAGGTGAATTGGCGGATAAATGATGCCATAGCCAATCAAGCGAAGAGGTGACCAGAAGTACTGTTCGTAATTTTGACTGTAGAAGGAATAAGCGTAACGAGGGTCGCCGAGAACAAACTCAAAGGCTTTAAGGAAAACAAAACATTGGATGATTTTGATTGGCTGGACTACAAAATCAGTCGATGGGCCTGGGAATGGGCGTCAGAGTCACGAGTGCGGTCCGTAAATAGCCGCAAGGCATGGACAACGTACCAAAGATGTTCTTCCTGTGTAAGAATGTCGCCAACGGAAGCCATCAAACTCCCTAGGTATCCCGTTGCGATACTACATCTCCTGAATTTCCATTTGAGCCAGGATGTCATTCACCAGGCCAGTCGCCTGGCTGTCCAAATTGATGCGACTTTAATCGTCATGGTGAATTCAATAGAATGATGTGAGGACGTTGGTAGGAAAGGTGAGTTTTCTGCGCCCCACTTTTGTTGATAGTTGATGTGGCTACTTATAGCTTACGCTGCCTAGACAAGTGGAGCATATCTTCTCCATATTGAGACACAGCACGAGGTCTGCGTGACTAGACATCATATTAATGGTGCTCCTGGAACCAACGCGAATGTCATCTCCAAGTTATCTGCGCGTGAACTGCTTTGCTCTTACTGAAAATCATCCTTCTTCCTTCATTTCTAAACGTCTGTCCAAAGGAATCACTACTGTGCACGTCCACACACAAACACATCTCAGATGTACAGCTGAGCAACGAAAATGCATACCACTATGCGAGCTACGCCAAGGTCGTCCCCGTTAAACGGTAGAGACAGCTTTTTGAATTGCTGCATCCTTCGGGGGGCTGCAAAGATGGTCTCAACCGTATACAAGAAGGAAGTCGTTCCTTCTTGCTGTTATGGCAAGCCAAGTTTCTGCTGACGAAGTCCTTGTGTCCCGAGATTTCCACGTTTTACTTTTTTTCATTAAACAGCTATTCAAGCCGCCTATTTTGACGAGAAGCGCTGAATCAGTTTGAATAATGCCAGCGTTACAGTACGTCCACCACATTCACCTCTCACTGGCACACATCCTCAAATATGACCCCAGTCTGTGGCCGTACCTTAATGCATATCGTTTTTTCGACTATTTAATGGGTGCGTGGACTCACTCGAATGATGGTGGTGATTTTTCATCTAAGTTTGATCACGGCCCCATTTCGCAGTTGCCTCCTCTGTCGCTATGATATACGATTGGAGTGAGCAAGATAACATCGAAGAACTATTTCCGTCATCACATCGTATCTCCAGCCTTGTCATTCGAACAGGAGCCAAGTTGACATCATTACAAGAACTTCACTCAGAATCGTTTCACAGATTAATTTGATCGGGGTGAGCAGGGTCCCACATCAGAAGAACGACATCATGATACAATTGTTTTGAGGCAGAACCAACGTTGGTCAAATGAGTATCTCAGTGTGAGTAGCTCGTGTTATCGATACGATTTGCAAGTTGTGCTAAGTTCGAAATATTCTACTAGGTGGGCTACATTGTGGCACCATACGTTGTGTATGTGTACAAGCCTACAAGTCAGCGCTGCGCTGGTAAACCGTCTCGCAATCAGCGTTAACATACTGTATGTTTTATCATGCGTGCTTTTCATGTTTTCTAAATAGTATACCATGCTGGGCAGTGAGTTCGATACCTCGGTGATATCGACTCAACTGAGTCATCATGGGAGTCATCATGATCACTCGGTTACATGCCATGTACCAGTAATCTAAGAGGGTGCTGATCTTCCCCGTTGTCATCTTCTCGGCCGTCTCGATCGCCGGCGCAGTGATGGTCGTAATATCAGATAAAAATACTTCAAGAGGTAAGCTTCAGCTATGGTCGAAAGATTCAAGGGCATGAAACTCATCAGGCGCATTCCAGAGGAACTCGGTTTCTCTGGCAACTATCAGTGCACTTTTGACTTTCAGGGAGATGACCAACTTCTGAGCCCTAAGACTTAGATACTCGGTACCGTATGGGAGGCCATCACACTGTGTCTTGCAGTCTGGGTTGCTTTGAAACATTTCTATCAACAGGATCAAACATGGGGGACTGTTTCGCGGTGTTGATGAAAACTCACATGCTTTATTTCGCAAGGTGAACTTATGATTTGAATTTGGTTTTCATCATAAGTTTTGGGCTGACATTCTGGGTGCGTTAGCTTTGTCGCTGGTTCTTGCTTCCACCTGGGTAATTTCGCTCCAAAAAGGTAAGCCGTCTGTCGTCGTATATGGCACCTGTTCATTATTTCCGTAGGAATTGTTCACTGTGGGAAATCAGGTTTATTCTCGCATTTTTGGGGCTCGTGCAACTGTTTGCGCTGGGACCGCGCCTTATCCTTAGCGTTAGAGAGCTTAATGTTCAGCATTTGGATGACTACGATGAAGGTGGGATGAGTTCTACTATTGAATTTCAGATGCATGTAGGTATGTCAACTGGCGATGATGTATAGGACGAGAGCGTGTATGAGGAGGCTAGGAGAATGATGGGCGACAAGCTTTTGATTTGTCTTTCTACATCTACCAAATGATCCTGATGACAAACAACAAAGGGGGGGCCACCACAGCTAGCTTCGACGCATGTTCGGTGCACTCTTCCGGAAGTTCCAGATCCTCTTGTTCGGCCCGGACTGGGGTGGCAACTCCAACATTCAGAGATGATTGATGAGTCATGACGAGCATCCCAGATCTACAAACATACAAATTTGGTTCACGTTCTAGATTCAGTCTGAAATGGAGTGCATCATAGCCCAATCGACTACGATAGGCAATTACAATGACCGTAGCTGTGGTGCAAGCAGTGAGAAAAATAAGTCGATTCCTATCCTGCATGGACGTACGTCGGCTGTCGTTGGTGGATGGGAATATAATAACATATTTTCCCCTGAACTCAACAAACCCACGCAGTCGTGACCCTGTCAAACGTGCGTTCTGACTTGCAGGGACATAATGACCTTCGCGCATCGCATTGCATTTTTCGGTCACAAAGTCAGACAATCGGAAGCAACCTGTCCCGCTTGTTCAATGAACCCACAACCGTCGAACACGGAAGATTGCTCATATATCTTCGAGCGTACGCTCTGATAACGAGAAATCATCGCGAACCTGGTGCTTTGAACGCCTTCAACCACTCCATGACGAACACAATCATCTCCCCATGAATCTTTCTAATTTCCACAGGCTCATCGCTGATATTCTTCAATCCGTACTCATCATAATGATGAACACCGTCTGAATCGACCGCCGTCAGATGCATACACATATAGCAGTCAGACTGTCAATACGTACTTGGAATGAGCTTAAAAGGTTGGAGGATCGTATCTTCGCGGTCAGCTGCGTAATCGCTGTGGGGCGTACAAGGCCTCCAAGGGTCGACTTGACACGAGGATTAGCATGTTGCGCCTAAGTGAACAGCACGATGAAGAAAACTCACCCTCGCCATCGATGATGGCTAGCCTGTCGGCAGAAATCGCGAAATCACCCAGTGCGTTCACAGCAGTGATATTGGGCATGGGCGGTACAATAAAGTACTTCCCAGCTGGGTAAGCCTAGTCGATGTCCACGTGAGTCCCGCTGCTTGCGCGAACCAACTCCAACGCACCTGTCTGCAGATCTTCGACGAGTATTCTAGTGTCAATAACTTGGAGACGATTCGTGGGTGGGCTGGGTCGGGAGGGGCGGTCTACAATGAAGGTATGCATGCATTCATGAACCGCCCGAGGAAAGCGCGTGTTTGACAACTCACCGAGAAGAAACCCCATTCTGTGCAGACCTGGAATAACCACAACCGCCATTCTTGGTCCAAACCAGTGGCAAGAAAACTGCTATCGTTGTAGGTACCGAAACACTGTTTTTCTCTCGTCAGAAAATGTTCGACATGCGACGATGGGGCTCACATCCTCGACAGACGTTTTGCATTGTGAGACATAGTTCTACTGGTGCTCAGAGATTGCGCCATACTAGCCAGATTCAGTGGTCCTTACCTCTTTGATGTATTGGGCGTAGTTTAGGATTGAGAAGTCGAGCTTGATGTCACCAGGAAGATGAACGAGGCGATCTTCATGGCCGACGGGTAACGACGAAACACTACCATTTCCAAGGATAGGCTTATCCAAGAAAGCACAGAATTGGTCAAATTTGGTGCTCCCTACAGCAGGGTCCCAGACTTTAGCTTGCCAATAACCAAGAGGAGACTGGTTTTTGCACCGTCAGCACGCGCGGACGATTCACAACGGGTTGGAGGCGTACCTCCAAAACGGAAATGAAATCATCGTCGTGCGCGAGATCCTCGAGACCAAACAATGACTTGATAAAGCGCTTCGCAAAAGGCACGCCCAGGAGGGCATCGATTGCTAGGGTGGTGTGCTCGAGTTTCCTAGCGCATGTGGGGTCTGCAGCGTTTCGAATGATCTCGTAATATTCCCAGTTTGATAGTGTGGCGTGCGTCACGCCTGTTGGCGAGTCAATTCACAGATGGACTTGTGTGTATCGTTCTTATAACTTACCGCTGGAAGCAATTGCGCCGTAGACGAGATCGGGGTATAGAACTTTCATATGAGCTGCTCGAGCGCCGGCATAGGAACCCTGTTAGTGCTGGTGAGGAACGTTGTTTTGTTCAGTGATTATAGTGCCCTACGCCATAGTATATCCACGGAGTATTCGGAGCTGTCAGATCCTCATCAATGCCAGGAAACGTCACTTTCGCCATGAAACGAGCCGAGTCAGCGGCAGCTTGATCGTTGTTCAACCATCTATACACTGTCAAATGCGTGTGATACGTGCATGCAGGTAGTTCACCTCAGGTTGTCAGTGGAGAAGTCTGAGACAGGTATAGACTTTCCTGCGCGATCATGAATACGTCAAATGCGAGTAAAGTTATCTGAGGATCCTCGGGAGCTCACCATAATAACGGTGCTCGAGTACAATTCCGATTCCTCCTGTCGCCCTGGCTAATATTTCGACGATACCAGTATCCAAGAAGGGAATACGGTCCTCGCCACTGGTCTCACCGCCATCCAAAACGATCACTGGGCCACCCGAACCTGGGGTATAATGTCGGGTATTGATCCAGTACCGCTGCTTGAACGTGTCTGACGAGTTTGCAAAATGATCTATGGGTTGCGTGAACCATTGGTCCGGGAACTCGTTGGGTTCTTCGATGTTGCTGTTATCTTGGACGACTAGAACTGGTCTTTGGCTGACATGGCTATCCTTTTCTCTTCCTTGGTTGGCGAGCCTCCAGAGGTTGACTCCTTGAGCACCATAAGCACGAATGTAATCTGCTCCGCTTGCAGATGCTGCATTAGCTGTGAGCAAGAGGGTTGAGGAGAACAGAGCGATGGCCAGCCTCATTGTGGCCTTTGGTGTCGAACAAAACTTGGTTGGTTAGTTACTACCAAGTTATAACTAGAGTGGATGACTGCTGAGTTGTGTGAGTAAATTCGGTTCGACGTTCGACGTTCAACACAGTGCGTTGGTGAGAAATGACGCATCTTAGCGGACGGGCCGCCGCGGGCGCGGAACCCCCGACTTTATCTTTGGGATCGACAGACTCATCAACGTTCAACATCGTTGCAAACGGCTAGCAAAGATTGCCACTGGCAACATCAACGAAAGGTAAACAGACTCAGCGTCAAAGTCATACATGAAATTTGAAGGACAATGATAGTCTGCGGTCTCGAATTCAATTACCAATACACATCGACGCCCACGTAGCCCGTACTAACTTAGAGAGTTGTCACCGCGTCACCTATCGTCACCACAGTACTAGTGCAGAGCCGTTCGACTCGGGGATAAATATACCCGCGCAGCCTATCTGGCGTGCCAGGCCCAGAAGGTTGGCTCATCACAAAGGCTAGGTCTCATACTGTGACGTACTAGCTGCACATATGATGTCGTTACTCGAACAATTTATCAGCTTTTCCCTGGCAGATTTCTTTCGTTCACTTGCCAGACAGTGATAGACCCGAAAATTCGTGTTGACTGTGTATCAGTGCATAAACTTCGAACAGACTCTGATTTGGATCGATGCCATCGGACCGCAAGTGCGATCAGTATTCAGTTGCTCGGAGACGGTAGAATTGATTACGCACGCGTACACATTTACACGGCCGTTTCAGTGCACGGGAGGTATAAAGCCAAGAAGCGGTGTTCCAACAAGATGTGGAGTAAGTGTGTCTAAAATTGGAGGTATATATTCTTACAATTTTTTAATAAATATATCAGCAATAATTGCCATATGCCCCACATTTCTGTGGACGACTCTTCTATTTAAAAGGTCATTTAATCGAGTTTAACTGTGCTCCTCAGCAGTCTTTAAAATTTGAAATGCGTACTTGAGAGTTAAAATTTAATAAGTATTAGTAAGCGATAGCAGGAAGAATTGCGTCATGGTCTAGAGCATGATCTGGCCCTTATGACATCAGACCCCGTGACAAAGGATAAGCTTGATTCTGTATCGAGTCCGAGCCAAAAATTCAAGTAAGAACGTAATTGCAGCCTCACGGTCACTGAGGCCAGGCCCTTTGTTACTGTTGTCTGCGATGAGCAACAAGGATTTCTTCACCAGCGTACCGTTCTCTGGTCAACAGGGAAGAGGACATCCAACAGATCAAGAGAATGTCGCTTCATTTGCTCATGCTATCGCAGCACGCTTCGGATCCGCTGATCTTCTCACCGCACGTATTCTCCCCGACGAACACCAATCACCTCCACAAAATTTCATTTTACCACCTAAACCAATTCTTCCACCCCCCTCGAAACCTGTATCGTCGTCGTCGTCATCATCCACCTTCATACCAGTTAACCCCTCCGACCTCGCAGCTTACCTCGCAGACCCCTCCATTCTCATCCTCGATATCCGCCCACATGCCGCTCATACCGCCGCCCGTATTCACCGAGCCCTATCCCTTAGCATACCAAGTACTCTCATCAAGCGCCCTCTCTTTGGTCTCTCCAAACTCATTCAAATGCTCCCTTCCTCATCTGCGCGTGCAAGATTCGCAGCATGGCCAACCGCAAACCATATATTGGTATATGACGCTGATTCTGTCCTCGTTCCTGACACCAGTAATATTGCTGGTCTGTTCAGAAAATTTCGCGCAGAGGGTTTTACAGGCGAACTCGCCTGGGTGAAAGGCGGTTTTCAGGCTGTGTGGCGAGATGCACGTCACTGCGCCACAACCGATCACCCTAGTCCGGACGAGGACGATCCAGAAGGCACTCCTTCCTCTGGAGCATTGCGCACAAAACATCTCCCCAAAGCCGCCTTTTCGCTTTCAACGACAACAGCTGCAAACGCAGCGTCGGGTACACCGGCAATCGCAAATGCTGCTAACCCTTTCTTCGATACCATCCGCCAGAACTTGGAACTCAGTCAGGGAATAACGGAACGTATCCCCCTCCGTCTTCCCAGGCGTGTGCGGAGACGCATCAAAGACCTCCCATTTCGTTGGCTTCAAGATATCGCTGGTCGTTCTGCCATCCGTCCCTCTCACTCTTCTCCATTTCCAGGGGAAACCAGTGTAGAGAGCGGCAGCGAGAGCTCTGACGATCCACATGAATCTGATCCAGACTCGAATGACCCTGACGTCGAGGAAGGCGCTGAGACTCTTGCCATGCAGTTTTACCGCATAGAATTGGCAGAGCAAAGGCGTCTGAGAAGCGTCATGGAGCACCATGCACGGGAAAGCGAGGTCAGCGCGTATGCTGCTGCTGGTCAAGCCTATACAGTGGGTGAGGCCGGGCAGGGTATCATCGGTGTCGGTGCACGTTCTGCTACTGCAGCAGGCGCAAAGACCCTTCCTTCCACCCCCGTGCAAGGTGCATTTCCATTTAGTATTACGGCAGGCGTCGAGAAAGGAGCCAAGAACAGGTGAGCCTTTTTATTCTTATTGTCATGTTTGTTTCGATGTCGTTTGGCTTCTTCATGATTGTATACCCCCCGATGTTTTGACCCCTCATTGCGTCACTGGTGTGACATGGCACACCTGACCAATATGGGGCTCCACACGTCGTCACTTGATGTCTTAAACGACTCTTTCGTGTGTCAAAGCCGCCCCACCAAGCTCCTGCTAATTTATGATCCGACGATCCTGGATGGGTTTTCTTGATGGTACTGGTGATTTTGCGCCTGTCATCGTAGTCATCGTGCATTTTTTTTGTATTTAAAATTTTACTTACATTAACACGACGTCTTTCCTCCGCACGTCCTATCAAAACCCCAACCCAAACTCATTCCGTTTCTTCAGGTACAACCATATATGGCCCTTCGAGCATGCTCGTGTTCGTCTTCATGATGTCCGTCACCGAGGGTCACATCCAGGGTATAGCCCCAAGCGAGACAAGGACGACAAGAAAAAAGTCGCTTCCGTCCGTGCAGCTATTGGGACGACCGGCTCCGAATCGAGTACCACGTTTCCATCTTCGCCAGAATCCCAATTCGCCTTACTTTCAGCAGCTCCATCGCCAAACGTACCGGAAGATGACCGGAATATGCTTATGAGCATCGATATAAATCCCCCATGTACGTCGTCATCGTCAGGTATGCCGCCTCCGTCTTTTGTGCCGATGACGCCGTTCTATTCGCAATCCGCTTTCCACACACCGCTCTCCATGCCTGTGACACCTTTTGGCCCTCCCTCGTCTACTCTGACGCGCGGGGGTATATCTATGACATCCTTCCATTCATTTCCACGCAGTAGTGGTGGCGGACGTGACGCCTACTTCCCAGCCTTCCCTTCTTCAGAAACTTCGCAGATCCCTCCGATTCCAGAAGATGCACTGCTATCTCCGCCTCGGCTGGACGCGCGCGCGCAACAACGATCGGGAGGTTTTCTGTCACCGTCTAGTTTGAGTACTCTGCCAAGATCGCCTCAGAGTGCAGGGCCCAAAACCGTCTCACCATTGGTCATACCCTCTTACACACCCCTTGGGTATCAACGGGAGATGTTCAACTTGACGTTGCCCTGTGGACCTATCAGCCAAAGACCGACTTCTGCCACGAGCACGATTTTGCCACAATTCAACATGACGGTGGTCTCTCCGAAAGATACACCACGCGACCCCTCACCCGTAGATGATTACGTCAACGCGTCATATGTGCAGCCCTTGGGCACGCGTAAACGTTACATAGCTACGCAAGGCCCGTTACCTGCGACATTCATTGATTTTTGGACGTGAGTCCTATTTACTATCAACCTTCTTTGTCTTCGTGAATGCTAATGAAACATTAGTCTCGTCTGGGAACAGAACGTTCATGTAATCGTCATGCTCACGCGCGAGATTGAGAATGCCATGGTCAAATGTGGGACGTACTGGGTAGAGTCATCCTATGGACCTCTTCAGTTACAGCTCCTCGACACCTCCCCGCCCATCTCACCTTCTATTTCCTTCAACAGCTCCGCTGACATTGGGTTCTTCATGTCCCCGCGCGAGCGTGATAAGGGCTCGACGCAGCCAACTATGATTGTGAGGACCTTTGCGCTCAGCCATCGCGGTTATCCAGGCGTTCCGCCTAGAAAAGTGACACATCTGCAATATCTGGATTGGCCCGACATGAATGTACCTGACGATCCTCGCGGCGTGCTAGAGCTCATGAAGCGCGTCGAGCGAGCTGTCCAAGAAAGCACTCCAGGTCCATCCCCTTCTGGTTATCAATCAAACTCCGGCTCCTCCCTCTCACCATCCTCTGGGTCCCCAGGGCGGAGCTTTGACTTTATGTCGCGAGGAGGGGACTTTTTCTCGTCCCCGCCGCTTGGAGATGCATTTTCTAGGAAGAAGCATGGACGCAAGGGGTGGCGGCATCCTGATCTTGACTCGAAGACTGGCATTGCTGCGTTTGCGCTTGGGTCCACCCCGCCTGTGCTGTTGCATTGCTCGGCGGGTGTGGGCAGGACAGGTGGGTTCATTGCTGTGGATGCTGTGTTAGATGCGATTAAGAGGGAGTTGAAGCAGAGGAGGGAACTCAGGGCTCGAGCTCAGGCTCGTGTGTGCGTTGCTGTTGGCGCTGATAGGCAAAAGGGCGAAAGTGTGGTTGTGGAGAGCGGAAGTGGGACGGAGAGCGGTGGGATAGATGTGGTTGCGAATCAGGTGAAAGAGAAGGAGATGTCGAAGGAGAAGATTATCGGGACTGTCCCTCTCGTCATGGGCGACCGCAAGAAATCTCGTCGTCATTACCCACACAAAGCTACAGCCAAAGAAGGCGAGACGAGCCCTTCAGAGTCGCTTGTCGTGCACGTGCCTTTTACAGGAGATACTGCGGATCTAGATACGAGATGGCAGAACACGAGCTCGTCGACGAGGGAATGGGCTGAGAAAGTGCTGGACCAAACGCACCCTGGCGAAGAAGAACAGGAGACCGAGTTGCCTCCACCTTTGCCCCTCTCGATGTCTTTGAGCTTGCCCACCCCTAGTCGCCAAGGCTCGCCCGGGAGCGCGTCGAATAGTAGTGAACCGTCTGCGCTGAACTCCGCTGACGATTCTGTGGGGAGTAATAGTGGCAGCGGCATTGGTGTGGACGTCAAGGCAGGGAGCGGGCGGTCCGGCTCCGGCTCTGGAAGCAGTGGTAGTAGCAGCATCTCGGGAAGTGGTAGCGGTGGGCCCTTCCCACCCTCCTCCTGTGTCTCCATCTCTCACTCCAGTTCTCAATCCAATTCAGTTCCTGACTCGATCTCCGCCTCCAACTCAGGCTCTGGGGCGAACACATCCAACTCTGGCTTTTGGGGTAGCACTGGCGCAGATTCAGGGTTAGTGGGCCTCATGCGCGCTCGTCTGAGAGACAGCTCAGTGACCTCGCTTTCGAATTTGAGTTCTGATTTTTCGAGCGAAAAACTTTCAAGATCACTGGCCCAGCCGTCGGCAGTGCATATTGGCACCGAAGAGGAAGATGCCATGGACGTTGATAGGCCTCCGCGTTCTTCATCTACGCCGCTGCAACTGGTCAACAGTGGTGGTGTTGTTTCGAACGAGTCCGATGCCCCCCAGGCCGACAATTCCAATTTACGTCCCTGGGTACGACAGATCATCGGTTCGTCTCCTATGGCGAGTTGCTCCACTTCCGCACTTCCTACGACGAGTGAGATTGGTAGTGGTCCTCTTCTCGAGGGTGAGGACCCTGTTTCGCGCACGAGCTCGAACCCTAGCTCAGACGAACTGTTGAGCCTCCCGAGAAGTTTTGAAAGCAGGGGGAACGGAGATTTGGAAGCTGCCAGCGGTAAGAGCAGCCTTTTGTCGTCGGATGAGTCGGAGGATGTGGTGTCGTCAAGGAAGACGAAGAGCAGCTTAAAAGCGGTCGAAACGACCTCTGCGAATAGTGCTGCACCAGACCAGGAAACAATGATCAAGCCTACCAGTACGCCTATGCAACATAAGCCTATCAACAAGACCACTGCAGCGCCAGTTGCTGTTGCGCCGTCGTCAATGCCACCTGTACCTCAGTTCGTCGAGGAGAAGATCCCTGACGCCGAGCAGGCATCATCTGAGCTGGACCAACGTACGGCAGGTTGCGCCGTGATCGACTATAAGCTTCCACGACAGCTGCATCAGGATTTGTCACCCGCACCATTAATGTCCCATACCAACCCTATCTGGACGGTCGTTCAAGATATGCGCGAGCAGAGGATGAGTCTTTGCCAGAGCTTGCGACAGTATGTGTTCGTGCATGCAGCGGTTATCGAGGGTGCCCTTATGATTATGGACGAGGAGAGAGGGTTGTGGGGGGAATGTACTGGAAGCGAGGGGAGTCCAGAATCGGTGAGTGTGTCGATTATCAGCGAGGGAAAGGGTAGATTGGATGATAACCATATCTGCAAGACGCCCTCCAGGAACCCCGATAACATGATCCTTAGCATAAGGCGCACTCAAGGTTCCCGGACGCGCTCGTTCCCTGTGGTGGACATTCCGAGCTCGGCTAGTGGCAGCCAGATGCACCACACGTCCTCGTCGCCGTCGAAGTGGAAACGTGGCCCCAGCCCCACCGAATTGCTTAGGGAAGATAAATCTGGTACCATATCCTTCGCGAAGCGCCCCAGTATCAAACCCAGGACATTTAGCGATGAAAAAGTCCTTACCGGTTTCGAGTTAGCCGCTGGCGCTCCACAAGTTTTGCCAGGTGGAACTGGTGGAGTGTCGAAAGTTGAAAGTGGGAGCACAGGTATGGGACATATGACACCAGAGTGGAGTGGACCATCTGCCACCGCGAGGTAACGATCGTGATTGCCGAGAGCCACTAGAAGTGAGTTCGCATAACTGCTTTACCCGTGATTTGTTCATGAATGACTTCAGTTTTCTGATTTTGATACGGCCATGACCCTTCCTATCTGCTCCCACTCCCGCTACCCACTAACCATCGTGCTCCACCCATCCCATGTCTGTGATGCCTATCTCCTCTGACGTCATCTGCATCTGGCTAGCAGGCTAGCTTGAACTTGCACCAAATCTCTATGATGCAAAAACGATACGAAGGAAGGAACAAAACATCACTCACAACGCTACCCACCATGTGATCCCTCGGGCAGACATCCTGTCTCTGTTTTTTTTTCTGTTTGTAGTTATAAATTAATACGACCTCATCTCTATCACATAGATGTACATCACTCACCATCATGCACCGCTAATATCCATCTAAATATCCACCCCTTGTATCCATGCCCCACCAGTCTTCCATGTAATCCTCATAGTCAACGAACGGTTGTGTTAGACGTACTACATAGTTTGTGTGTTGCAGGTGCTGAGAATCCCCAATAAAACCTCGCTTTTAAGCTCAAGCACTGACGTGACACAACCAAGCTCCACTCTTCTTCATTCATAACACCTGCCTTGTATATTCAATTGTGGAGCAGGGTGGAGCTCACTAGTTAGTAGCATTAATATAGCAAGTGTTTTTTTTTTCAAAACCGAAGTTCTACACCTGAATTTGGACCGCCGTGGGTCTTGGGCACTGGTATTATCCGTAAGCTGTAGCGACCATCAACGAGCTCTGATCCAAGAACTCCGGGAGTTATACCGCGATCCCCCTCCCCAAGAACTTTAATTGCGGCAGTAGACAGGCAGGAGTATTAATGGCGTAACATGAGCGCGTCAACTTTGATTATAAGCACAACCGCAGCGTCCGCGCAGGACCTACAAATTCAGATTTGAAGGATCCTAGCCGCCAAAGAAACGGGGGTGAGTAGACATGAACAAGCAAGGACTTTGAAGGAATGTAACCGAATTCGAAAAACCCAGGCCCATCAAACAAGCTTAAGGTTATAAATTTACTGGGAATTCGAAGAAACCCGACCTCCTGGCGCGCACTCCTGACCGGGTACACGAGACAGAGGGGATGCTATGTAGTAGTAAGTTATTTGTATACAATTCGGAGGCGAGAGGTGTCAGCGGACGCCCGTCGCGATGTACTAAGCGTAGGTTTGCCGATTTAAATTTTCAGAGGGTCGTTTGCAATTTATCCGGCTGCGACTAATGCACAATGTAGGTCGCCAAAAAAAAATTGTCTGGTGCGGGTACTTTTTTTCCCACGGCTAGCTTACCCTGCAGACGGTGTTGATATTACTGCTGAGGATAGTGCATCCCACAGACCACAAAAATACACTGTGAATCTGTTTCGTTTTCCCGCAAGGAAAGGGGAAAGCATTTAGTCTAGGTTCAAAAGACCGTTGAATGGCAATAGGTCACTGTAGTTGGAATCTCGATAACTGAAGCTTTATTGAATGGACTTGGGATCCGCTATGGAGAAATCGAGGTTCACCAGCTGGATCGCCTGCTGCTTACAAAGTAGTAACGAGCTTACAAGGTACCAGTTGCCATCATCCATATTTCACCCCGTTACCCTTTCACTGGTTGAAATGGATAATGCACCTGCCTAGCCAGTGATGATGACCTCCTTCCTGTTTCGTGGCGGTATTAGCCTTGTCGACGGGGTAAGAGGGAGGTCGCTGTGAGTTGATTTTGCATTACAACGGTGTTCCGTGTCAATAGTGATGGCAGATGGGGAGGGTATCGGAAGGGGAGAAGTGCCAGAAGGAGGAAGACATTAACAACTTGAGACAGTCAGTCACCAAGAACAATATGAATACTCACGTCTGTTGTGAAACGCATGTCGGGCACATTGAGAACGGCTTCGAGTGGTATAATTTTTTGTCACACCGTTTGTTCCTTTCCGGATCAATAACCCGATACTGAACGAAATAAAAATCATGGGCCAAACAAATGCCTCCCGAATGCCAATAGCATCCTGCCATACGTCGTAGCTTGGAATCATTTGATATATTTTGATACGACATTGTAAAAGCTTCCATGAGCGTTATCCGGGATCCTGGTACGAAGGAATTAAGCACTAAGAAAGAGATCAAAACTTAAAGTATGAGCCTGACTATTACCATACGCCCAAAATTCAATGCATAAAAATTCCCATTAGCTAACAGACTCTGACCGGTTGTGAACTTGTTCGACATCAAGACAACCATCACAAGATTGTCCACATCCACAGCCGTCGGATGGACAACCACACCGTCCTCCACAACACGCAAGCTTCGGCACGGTCACTAGTCCGAATACTGCACCTCGGTCCTCGTATTCTTTGATTGACTTTGAAAAAAGGTCGGCAGGATAGACTGTAATGTCCGTTGGATCGATCTCAACCCCGACTTTACGATTCACAGGAGGAATGGGTAGGGACGCGGCCCGCGCGAAAAATTGGTCGATCATGCTGTTTCCACTAGCACCTTGCCCTAAAGTTGGAAGCTCAATGCCTGCTGAGTGGTCGACGCAGTGGGTACACCCTTCAGTACAATCTTTGTGCTCCTTCAAAGCATGGATAGGCCCACGATGCTCCACGCAACCTGGACAAGCGCACCGAAGTCCGCAGGTGCACCCAGACCCGGCGATTGAGTTAAAAGCGCTGAATGGAGGGATTGTGGGGAACTCAGGTACTATCATCGAAGACGAAGGTGGCGACGACGTGAGAGTGTGAATGTGGACGGGGGGGAGGTCAGAACGGACTGAGGGAATGACTGCTGTTTGGGCGTCTTTAGTACAGCACGACTTCGATGATACAGAAGATTTCTCGGAGCGTTGGGTCGTTGGACACGATACGATATCCCCACAGATTAGTGCAGCCGCGTTGGCGAGCATGGCTAAACCGTTTGGAGATGATTCAGTTGCAGATGCTGGAAAACCTCTAATAGGTATAGATCGACAGCGTCCCAGGCACTGCCGAACATCCTCACAATGGCAAGGGTTGAGCAATGAATCAACTAGAGCCCTGTAAGTCATCGCGTGCGAGCAAGTTTGAGGATGTTTATCATTACCTGTCTGTCTTGTATTCGCAGGCTGCGAGGAAGACGAGGCTGACAAGGCATCTGATATTCCATTCGGCAGTGTAGGTACCGTGGGCATGAAGCGTTTCGCTGCGAGACACTGATTTAGAAATGATGGTGGTAGTAGTATATCAATATTGTGACATACGTTTCCTGTCAGGGCGAGCTGCTGGTATAGGGATTTTGTCGACTACCTCCCTGGGGTTACAGGTGCACTTTGAGTGGACTCGCTTTGAGTTCCGCAGTTCGCGGCATGTTTTACACTGGGATACTGGGCGGCCTTTCTTCTTTACTTCAAATAACGGTCGTTCAGAGTGATGACAAGAAGAGGATCGATGTCCTTTGATGCAGGACTCGCTGTGATGTCAAAGTCAACACGAACGAAGGTACAGACCAGAGGAATGTGGGTACCAGGCAAACTTCTTGTCATTGATGTGGACCTACACAAAGGCGCTGTGAGTCGGTCAAAAGGCTTTCGAAAATCATGATAGGGTATTCACCATCGCAACCAATACCAATATTTGCGGCTAGGACAACCCTTCCATACAGCTGAGAGTGGACACAGTAACTCAGTGAATTGCCACTGGGGGACGGTGCGAGGATATATGTAGTACGATAAAATTAGAGGACCATCATGGTCAAACAGTTACGTAATGTTTGGTGTCCCTGGGAATACCGGATCGGTTGAACGGGCCCCACGCGATAATTAGCTTGAGCTGTTTTTGCACGATGCATAGTGGTTCACTTCATTCAAAGCAAATGTATACATTCGGTACGTATCGTCTGGCGCCACTATGGAGTTTCTGACAGCTCATGATGGCCGCGTCACGCTGTGGCAGAACTGTCCGATTCATAGCATATGTGCGGCGTTCAAAATTTCACATCATACTCCACTACTGACCCGTCCTGGCCAGTGACTACTACCAGGCTCCCGCCCAGCCTGAAATCGATCAAGTCCTCTCTTTGATTTCGTGCCTAGCCCCAACTCTCCCAGACTTGACATAAGTGGACTTACTTTGTCACTCGTGACATCAGTACTCCAGGGACATCAAAGTGGGCAATAACCACGCTATTCTCCAGCCCTATCAGGCCTTGGTCACACCTATCGTGGACCACGATATAGTTAGGCTCTGTGAAAAGGGAAATCATGGTTATTTGCTCAATCCACCCCACTGAGTATTTATATCACGTTTGGTGTTTCTCCTGAACACACCTCAGAGTCAAGAATACCTTGGCGATGTCTTCACTCATCGTTGGAAGGCAGGAGACAACGATGATAACATCCCGCCAGAAATTTGAAGGACATACCGATTGGGTCACTGGGGCCATACATCTGCCAGCCGGACAGCGGATGATGACTTGTTCGATTGATGGCTCGCTACAGGTATGGAACTTGAAGATTGAGCTTGAAGAGTGGGAAAAAGATAGGAGAGGACTGGCGAGATGGAGACAGCGGAGTGTGGACCATCGCGTTGTCTCCGAACAAGAAGAAAGTGGTGAAGTATCGGTGAGGTGCCTAGGGTCCTAGATGAAAAAACCAGGTCATCCGACAACTCCATTAGCACTAAACCATAAATGAAAAATAACACAATCTTCACAGCTTTTATCCAGCAAAGTCCAAACTATCACTTATGATGACGGTTCTTAGCAGGTCTCGATGCCTCGACACCAGGACACAATGGGCATACAGTTAAAGAGTGCACTGGAAGCCTGAGCTGGTACGTTTTCCAAGCATTATCCTCGTGTTCACTTCACAGCTTACGGTATATGCTGTGTATGGCAGAAGCGCCCAGCTTCTTTTTTCGACTTTTGTCCATTGAGGAGGTTATCCTACGTGGGACAATACTTGTTAATCTACTGGACCACCATGTGTCGTTTTTTCCCAGAAATTGCGAATGCCCTGGTGTGAGGCGCACCCTCATCAGTCCGCCATTCCCGCAGGCCGTTTTAGACGCGCATCTCGCTTGGGGGTTGGGTAGATATGAGAAACTGCTAATGACTGTGTGTTTCGTGCGGTTATGTTTTTTTTGTTTTTTTGTGCGGAGACTTGCAAGCCTCATTTGTGATCATGATTCGCATTCCATCATTCACAATCTTGATCCCCGGTTCTACCTCTTAGACAGTCATAATCATAACGCCTCAGATCATACATCCATATTTCCCCAGCCAACTCCTCGAACGCGCTCAACGGTCATCTCCAAGTCGTCAATGCTCGACACATGTCGTGCGCAAGGCGTATATTTTACCGTGTCTCTCACTACACGGGAAACTTTTCGGAACTTTTGCAATAACTAATACCAACCACCATGTCTTCGGTTGGTGGGACAAGCTTCGCTCGTCATCAACTCAGCAGTAGCGCCGTCAGTCAACCATCCATACGTGCCGCCTACTAGTATTTCAGTGTGCTTCGTTCTGTTTTCGACCATGTGCTGGGGATCAATTATCAAAGATTTACGTGTTGAAAGACATGAGCATAGCATCACAGATTTATCATAATCCGAATGACTCGGAGCGATTTGGAGCAAGCAAAACTTTTGCGTATCTTGAAAATGAAAATGAATGCGCATAGCCAAACCTTTTGCATGTGGAACAACAGTCGGAGTTCACATTTGATGGTATTGACCAAATCATTGATCACATAAGGTTAGTGGCAGTAAAATCGGTAGTCTGCCCGAATAAAGAAAATAGCGCTGTAATGTTGATAATGTTCCGAGTTGGGGCGTTAAACGTTCAGTAGGCAGTCCAAAAAAAACAAAGTTTACGAAATATGCGTGGCGGGGCAGAGGATGTTATAAAAGCAGGCATCTAACTCCACCTGTAGACTCACTACTGCACGATTGCAAATATGCAGCTCTACCGCGATACGCAAAGCCACCAGCATCCCCCGAGGCAAAGCAAAATTGCATCGCAGAGGCAGTATCGAGTCAAAGAGGGGGATGGGTTTCAGGAACTCAGAGCAGTGATTCGCTCGGTGACAGGAAAACTACCCCAGACCAGGAGCGATACCTTGAAGAAAGGTATGCTTATTCTGAAATACGTGCTTGCATGATCATTTATAAATCACCCCTTCACAGCTGCAGAATTGTTGCGGCAGTTATCGAGAGAACTTGGGGAAAATTCTAGGCATGAGCCACTCTCGGAGTTATTGTCGGCATCGACCTATGAAGTTAACCAGGGGTCTCACACGTCTTATGGTACGCACTTTGGGATCGTCAGCGACGGGTTCTCATAGACATTCATAGAACCCCCTTTAATCCACAACAACGAGACATGGACAAACACTATTGCACCAGGGACAAGGAACAATAGTCCAATGTCAGATACATCGGTGACGAGCTCGATGCTAGAGTATCAAGGCCATCCTCAGACAGAGATCCACTATGTTGTCGGTGGTGGGGGCGACTTGGGCTGGAATTTACTTCAACCAACCCCTTCGCAATTTCAACATACCTCCAATTTTTTGGCGCAGCAGAATGACCCGTCATTTCTTCACTCTAACATAAATCAAGCTCCATACTACTGAGAAAGGGTAGGAGTAAATTAGATTACACGTCGGAATTCGAGTATCCCTGAATATCTAAATACATGTAGCATCTATAACTTATTACTTTTTTTTCGGATTCACATACCTTGTAGCTTTTAGTTGTATCATTTAGCGTATTTATCAGACCTATATACCGTTCGACATCCTGGGTGTTCTATGTTCACTATATTCGCGTCAGTCACAATATCCGGCTGCAGCAAGAGTAATTCATACTATAATAGTATTTCAAGTGTGTCAGATATATTTGCCCATATCATTTCGGGGCGCACAAAAAATATAGGGGAATGCACAAAGCCTTGTATGAGCAGCCCGAAAAAGTCTGCATGTGCAATAATAACTGCGCACGATATGTGAGAGTTTGTACGCACGTCCTTACCGGAGGAAGTCTGGTAAAAATGACATAGGTAAGATTGTAGTTGACTCTGATTCGCAAAGAACGGAATGAAATCACTGCGGTGTACTTGACGCAATTGCAACGATCATCAAAGAATACGTCCTGAAATGCAAGCGCGCAGCTGCTGTTGCGATCATAAGATACACATAGCGGCAAATGAGCACAATTTATTTGCAACTGGTAAAATAAGACGCCTCTACGGTATCCGAGGTTGCGGTAATGTAAGATGAGTGCAACACAGTGCACGGCAAACTGCGGGTTGTGCTGGGGTGAGATGCGTCGATACCTATTGCCGTCAACCCATCGCAAGGATCATTTCGTAAGATGCGTGGTTGAGCCGCGAACTGCAGATATGTCAACCACACGAAGAATGGCAGAGATGGATCGAGCAGCAATCGACCACTTTGACATGGGTGTCACCTCGGGGCCCTATCATGATGGTAGTGTAATACTGGGAACGGCGACTTGTGATCAAATCTGCGATGACGGGACTTCATTTGGCCTTAGGAAACCATCAACAAGTTGGTTTGCATGCCTTCGAGAGGCTGGGCGGCCATACCCATTTCCAGCGGGCCGATCAAGCACAAGGTTTTTTCAAGAGTCGGAGTGTGGCCTAACGGTGGATCAGACTGCCGGCGCACTGGAAGCTGATCCGGAGAGAATGGGGATTAAGCGCGCGCTTAAAGAACCGGTGCGAAAAAGTTGAAAGCGCTTCACTGATGCTGTTGAGTAATAGTAGTAGCATCAAAGGGCGGCTTAATTTGACAATATACCAGATTTCTTTGATTACTACAGAATAAATCTGTTACAATAGTGCAACAAGGTTTACTCAGCTCAATGCTGTATCGTGGCAGTCTTAAACTTCCAGTTTTGCTGTATGTAGATCGAATAGGATAGCGAATTGATCGGCTCTGTAATTAGGGTAAGTAGCAACATTGAGTCACCGCGGATTTGGACTTGCATCGTGTGGGTAACTGTTGCCTCAGCATCACAAAAGTCTTGAACGTTGTTCGATTTACAACCTGCCGAGTCGCAATCAGAGTGAATGCACCTACAGAACAATCTCATCGGTTGCGGGTGTGAAATTGCTTTTTGGCGACGAGGATGCGAATGCAAGCACGCTGTCTTGAATGTTTGCCTAAACGTAAAGAGATGGTGCCGCCGCACCTACTCCCCATCGTGGCACACCTGACGGCGTCCTTTCATCTACTGATAACGTTCGCTCTGATCCAGATTTCATTGTTAATTACCCGGTATTGATTGATGGCACTGAAAATTTGTTCAACTATCATGGAGGAACGTACTAAGAATCCGTTATGTGATACTGGCATTCTGATGAAAAGGAAAAACTCACGAATTCCACTTGGCCCCGCGGAAAGATCCAGTTGGATCCGGCGTTCGTGATGCTCCATCCGAGTCACTGCCAAGAAACTACTGCGCCTGCATCCTGGTATGAGCAAATTTCTGACATCGTTGGGCATCGCCTGGACGCCCATCATCTTTGTCCCGAGATATCATACACTAGTTGTAAACCTTACTTTTATGAAAAGTTGAGGCACAGTATGATTGAAGAACGTTCCAGTCGCTAAAGGGGGTACCCTTGTATTGTCTCCTTACCTTTGTATTTATTCGGACAGAACGTGCCCTCCGAGTCGTTACTACACATGCACGATCGCTGGGCTGTGTAGAAAATACCATTGCGTTTGTATTTCCTGGAGCCTAAGAATGTAGTAATTATCAGAATCAAAAAGCAGGGGATGTAAAAGTTAAAGTTTAACTTAAGCTCCCAGTGAAAATCGACGAGTAAGAGGTAGACATGTATTGGACATGTACGTGTATAGATAGAAGTCGAGAAAACCTAGGTATCGATCCGTTTCGAGGTCGTTCGACGAGGAGCTTATGTAACTAGACTCAGCCGGATCAGCCACCGGCGCCGCGGCTCCCATTGGTCATCCAATAAAAACTTCGTTTATCCTGGCAGTCAGACATTACGCGTACCAGCTGCAGAAGCAGTGAAGCACGTATACAAATGCATACTCCCTCTCCATTCCCATGTTTCTCTCCAGAACAGACTTGAGGGTTTCTTATAGTAAACCAGGATCATTATCTGGAAGAGAATCGGGACTCGGGAGGTGTCTCAGTCTCACACATCAACACATCAGAGGAAACAGCAGATTTGCTTGGAAACCGAATTTTCCTGTCCTGGACTCCTGGTGCAACGGGACGGACTGCAAAGGGGACCAAGGCCAAACCTCTATAGCAGGAGGCTACGGCTCTATCTATTGAGGACAGACTACGAGTCTACGACACGCGCGAGGACTACCGACTACGAGCCAGGACATTTGCCACCGCGCCCGGACCTGCCTAGGTCTGATGGGACGCCCCGCTCCACTGGGTAAGACAAATGTACGCCTTAGAACATCGGGAAGCCTGCATCGTCCTACGTAAGGTCAATGTAACGGTGATGCTGTCGAATTGAACAGTCCCCATCCAATAAACCTTTGTCATATCCGTTCTCCGTTCTCTCGTCCAACCTCTAACTACACTCATTAACTGATGTTTTTCTACAGCATCCTTGCAATATTCGTATCATATGTCCCAGCACCTGTCCCTTCCCCTTCATCTCGTTGTTCCTGCATCCCCCTGAAGATTACCGACTTCGATACAGTACCTGGCTGCATCGTTACCGCAGTGTGTTTTTAATCCTCAATTATTCAGACTTTCATACTGTCATAAGTCCGAACGCACTCCAAGTTCTCGCGTGTCGTTGTCTTCGAGACACGCTTTGAAGTAGTCAATGTCACAGTCGAGCCTTAGTATTTGCGTGCTTCCGATGCTTGTTTCTAATGATGCTATTGATTCACCCTGTATATCTGCTAAACGTTCTTGGTATGAAACAAAAACCGTAAGGAGAGTTTGGTGTACCTTTCCATTCTTGACAGTCTGCTCTGCTCAGACTGGGGTTGAGTGTATGGTCCTCCTAGAGCACCGCAAGGAATTCTGACGCTAATTCGGTATTCTTTCATTCGGTTGAATGGCCGTAACTACAGCCTGCCCTCGTGTATTCCTACTGTAAAAGAGAGCCTTTGGTTACGAAGTACGTGTATTTTCTTTACCTCAGATTATGAAGTTAAAACAAGACATATGGCTGTACAATGTATCATGAGCACTGCGGGATATTGATCTGCAAGACAGCTCCGTATGTAGTGCCTTGCAATAAAAAGGGCCAAAACGTCCGTTGATCATAGCTCCTGTCCATCAGTAAATTCATGAGTCCGTGATATTGTAGTCGTGAGAACTATAGAAGTATGTAATTCTGCTCCGGCTAAACATAGCTATCTACACCGCGAAAAATTCGAGTTGTTGGTACATAGCCATGGATGGATGCAAATTTTGATTACAATGAGGAGTTACTGACGACATTGCGACATTGCGACATCGCGGCCAACAAGGGATCGTACCCTAATCATGTACAAGTTGTTAAACATGTTTATTTGTCGCAATTTAATTTTTCAATGTCAAAGCTATTCATGCCTTTATCGTGAAAAGTAGCACTAGCACTAGTTGTCATATATATATTAATATTGCAGGCTATGACGATGCAATGATATTGTACCATCACAACCTAAAAAATTGATGGTAGGCAATTGTGTCTGGGCTGTTGAGCATTCGTGCTTTCCGTCTTCTGTGGTTTGATTTACCTGGCAAGAGATAGCTATATAATGTGCGTAATATTGCTACCACACTGTAACACGATATATAGGTTTCCGATGCGAAAGCGTCTCTAGTACAGCTGGCAGCGGCCGCAGTGTTTAACTCGCTGTACTAGTCCAAGCTTCACATCCATTTACAGCACAATGATGCTGACGATGACTTAACTCATGATGATTATATTCCTCGTCCATCCAATTCGCAACCGTCAGCCATGGGGTAGCTCATGACTGGAGAGCATGGAAGTGTTATTGCTTGGCACTCTTAGATTATGAATGTACTGAGTAATACGAAAATGCATGCCACCACGATATCTCTAGGTCTGGAATAGAAGAAAGTTCTTTGACTTGTGCAATAATATCATGATCTGACGCATTTCTCTTGTATTCTCCACCGCGCTGCTGTACTAGCAAAAAGGCGCCAAAAGTCTGCTCGAGGCGGGCAGTCAATCGCAACGCTTGATCGCTCAGTTCTGAATGAACCAACTCCAATGCCTCGTGGAACCCGCCAGGCGAATCCTGTAGTGGAGACCCGGGCGCAGACCATGACCTTCCTCGCCCTGCGTGTCGAAAAGAACGTTAGACAGTTCTGCCAAGCCAGACGGTTCCACAAAGTCAGGAAGCTCAAAATGATGATGAATTGCCAGCCATCCTCGCCAATTTTGTCTGTTGGACGCAATGAGGTGCTGCATAGAGTCAATATATACATTCCCAAGCCTCGAAAGCAGAGACTGAACATACCCTCGTTTTAAAGTTTCCAATTTGGTGCCGATACTTTCACGACAGTATTAGGAGCGCTCCTTCATTAGTAAGCAGAAATCGGATGCACCACTGTATCAAAACCAACGCCCTTTGAACACATACATCCCGTGATTATTCGGACATCATCTCTAGTCTCGCCTAAAAATGTGAACTGAAGCTACTTGCGTACGACGCCTGCGACTATAAGTCAGACTACGGGTGATGTGACAAGTGTCTGTATGACGAACCATTATGCCAGGACTACGCTGTCCGATGCGAGGATTGGGGTCTTTATCGATGATACGAACTGAGATGCAGGTCGTCAACGCTGCTACTAGACCTGTTGGCCCAGCGCCTACTTGAGAAAGAAGAGAGTGGGCACGCATACTCACAGATATTCAAGACTGGGTACCCGTGGTCCATTCTAACAGAATGTTGGACTCTTCCCGGGTCACTAGCTCTGCAGCGCAAGTGGGATACAGATTGAAGTGAGGATATACATGAGGATCTACATGCTCTGTGAGAAGAAAAGGGAGAAAAATGTGATGTAGAACTCACAAATTACCAAGAAGGGGTATGTGCTACTCGAAACGGAAGGCTTGCTGTTAGTTATGTCCGCCTCCCCACTCGCTAATTCTGCCGCGCGGGCAGGATACAGATCGAAGTGCGGATACACGGCAGGATCTACATACACTATGAGAAGATGGCTAAGAAAAAACTGAATGCGGAACTCACAAACGACAAGGAAGGGATACACTGGAACAGAGAACTTGCCATTGGTCATATCCTCTGACTCGTCAATTCTGCTGCACGGGCGGGATACAGATCGAAGTGGGGGTACACAGCAGGATCTAGGTACTCCGTGAGAAGTAAGTAAGAGGACATAATGTAAAACTCACAAATGACCAATAAGGGGTACGTGCTGCTCGAAATGAAAAGCTGATTGTTGGTAATGTCCTCCTCCCGACTTGCTAATTCTGCCGCACGGGCGGGATACAGATCGAAGTGCGGATACACAGCAGGATCTGCGTACTTTGTGAGAAAGCGAGTAGTAGGACATAATGTAGAGCTTACAAATGACCAAAAAGGGATACGTGCTACTCGCAGCGATGAACTTGCTGGTCGTCAGATCCTTGTCATCACTGGACACATGTATCTGAACACGTGGATACAGGTCAAAGTGAGGATAAGCGGGAGGATCTACATGAAGCAAATTAAGTATCGGGCAATTGCTCACTTTCACTTGAGCCAACTCACAAGGGCAAATGTATGGGTAAGTGCCCGCAAGGTCACCTGATACGCTATCGACAATGTCCTGAAAGGAGTAAAGATTCTGAATCACTATTCACCGAATTGAGTCTCCTGCTTTACCTTGGCAGACGCCTCTTGTTGCGAACCTCCGGACCCAATTTTTGGTAAGGTAGGATACAGGCCAAAGTGTGGATATGCCGCAGGATCTAGAATGAAAGGTTCAGTACATCAGACTCGAGGGTGAAGGTGAGGTCTTACATAAATCGAATGACGGGTAATACCTAGCTAAGGTGACTTTCACACATTCCGACTTGTAGTGAGTCTGAGATATGCTCATAGGGCTCTCGCACGTCTTATTTAACGTCGGGTATGGCTCAACAAAAGGGTAAACCGAGGGATCTAACGCGCCAGTCAGGGTGACTCGTTATGAAAAATACTGGGTGACTCACAGATGTCCAGCCATAGATAGCATGATGACAAGCGGATAGTGATTTCAGAGGCATCTTCGACTTCGGTTGGGGGATATACTGTTTTCAGGCTCCACGGATAGCCTGCAGGATCTAGGAGACAATGAGATACAAACCAGTAATCAATGCGCGCTTGTTCCACATACAGATATCGAAAACAGGATATTGTGGCCGAGGTTTTACTTGAACGGGCTGCGCAATCTCGTCTTTTGCTCTCCGGGGTCCAGCCACCTCAGTACTGGCTTGTGGATACAGGTTCACATGAGGGTAAACAGGAGATTCTAGCGCGCGTTAGACCTCGTTCAAGAAAGGGCGCAAGATAACTCACATATAATCAACCACGGATAGCTACTGGGGAGCACTACAGATGAAGATAATTCGATGGCCGGTGCCGGATAAATCGAATTGAGGTTATACAGGTAAAGCGGCGGGTCTAAAAACAATCAGCCCAGAAAAAAGTGTGACGCCAAGGACCACTCACAAAGATTAAATAGGGGGTAAGCTGGAGCAAGTTCCACAATGACAGATTTTTTTGGCTGAGAGGCGGCCGTCTTTTCAGCAGAAGTGATAACTGAGCATGCAATCGAAGGATATAAGTTAAAATGAGGGTAAACTGCAGGATCTATTGTTCGGGCTGAGCATCTAATGAGAATAACAAACGGTCACATCTTACATTGGAGACGGTCGATCAGCACAGTCGTAAGGAGGAGAATTGGCAGGGACTTTGTCATCGAAAGACGAACAGACCAAATTCACGTGATACCTAACACAGCCAAACATCGGCTTGTTGTCAATATGCAAACAACGCGTAAATAAACCCCTACTTACCACTAACCATGCCTCGGACACGCGCTACTAAAAACCAACCTACTCTGGCGAGTCAATCCCAAAGTACACCTGCTAAGCCCAGACGCATCCAACCACGCTTCGCCGTGCCGCATGTAGGATCTCGTTTGGGAGTTTGAGGGCTACGAGTTCTATCTAGTCCGAGTCTGGCGAGAGTGGGATGGTTGCACTTGACAGTACGTTTCAGCTTGTTTGATTTCACTTTTGATAATTTGGTGTGAGCAGTACTTATCTTATTCTATCTTCGATGCTTCAGTTTTGATTTCCTCATTCCCTCTGGTTTCGACGTATCTGTATGTCTTTTACGATAGTTTTATTTGCTTCATCTGACGAGTTCTTTTGATTTCTTTCCCCACACTTCCAATTCTTTTATTGAGTTAATTTTGTTATCATCTTTCTTTCGCTACTCACAACACTCATTCCAACGGAAGTTTGAATATTTACTTTCCTCCGTATCATTTGGAAGCTCTCGACGCCACAATTGCAGAGGCGCGCCTGCAGCTCCTCCGCAATCACGGTTTCTCTACAAGCACGCAGTACGATGATCTGAAGCTTCGAGTACTAGTCTCGGTTGCCTTGTGTGCACATATTCACTAACTTATTCTGGATGTTTGACGCGGCTAAAGCAAGGAAACTAGTAAGTACAATAGTTGTTGTTGCCGTTCTAACTAATTGTTTCTAGGTTCCCGAAGGTACTCAAGGGACAGACCATCCTCTCGTGACTTTATCCACTGCCGGCGACGCTAAACGGCTCTACACGCACATCAGCGGCTACATCCATTCTCGCCTTACGTGTCTACTATGGCAGTCTCAACGATTCGGAAGAGCAGAGGAAGGTATGTGACTTGATTCCCTGTGTACAGATATCCACTCATCTTAATCTCGGAATATGACAATGAACCGAACACGCTTGTGAGTGATATTGTTGCCGTCACTATCTATTCTGACGGATTGTTTCTAGGCTACTGGAAACAAATAGGACAAGACTGTCCAGTGTCAATACAGGCAAGATGTACTAGTAGATCTCCACTCCTTCGCGTTACACATTCAATGCCATTTTCCATCCTACCTGTCGCATTACGGACACTTTTAACACTGTTTCGATACTCACCCCGTACTACACTTTCGATGCTGCGATCAACACCTTGTTTCGCGTTTTCGTTGTCTGTAGTGTTTTTGAGCTATGCTAGTGCTACAGGCGTGTTTTACTTCCCCCGTCTGAATTGTAAATGTGCTAATCGACTCAACTACTATCATAAGCATATCCTGGCACACCTCGGCTGTTTCAACCAGTTCTTACTGGGATCATTCAACTGCGGGCGACTTCGGCTTTATATCAGCGAGGGTTTCGACATATACTCTGTGCTTAAGTAGTTCTGTTAACTGCAAACGACGTTTGCTTGGCAACGTCACGAGAATTTGTACAGAGACCAGCCTCGCGTGCAAGAGCCTCTTCCCACCCTTCCTCAAATAGTTCTGCATGCTCAGATGGGTGCACGACGCTTCCTGCGATCTTGCCTTGATTTTTAGTCCGCAGCTCGTCTCGCCATACGTCGACCACGTTAGGTACTTCGCTGTGCCGAAATCAGTTTTAAAATTACATTCACGGCTGAATCACACATACCTTGGTGCATATGTTCGTGCAAAGAGCGCAGCTTCTGGTGCACGATTCGTTTTCAGAAGTAGATCCACACACGGTTTGGCCTCGCCCAGTTGAAACAGCGTCGCAAACGCCAAATTTTCTGCACCCTTCTCTTCAGCCGTCGCTGCAAGCTTGTGCAGTCCCTCTCGATCGCCCATCGAAAGCAGAAGAAGCATCAGCGTACTCAAATCACCCGCCTTTTCGAACGCCTCCCGAGCCAGGTCAAATCGCCATACCATAAGGGCACGATCGCCGATTGCTTTCCACTTCGTCTCCGATTCTGGCTCTGAGACGGAGCGCGCGATCCTGACCGCCGTGTCTAGGTCATCGAGCTGCAGTGAGAGGTCGAACTTGTGATCGGGGTCTGTGGTGACCTGCAGAGCAAGCTCCTTGAGGTCTAAGGAAAGAGAGACTGAATCCTGGGCCCTAATAAGTAATTAGAACCATACATACCTCGACCCTCCAGAAACAGAGCAACTTTGTTTAGCTGTTCCTCGGGCAAAGTGGGTAAAATTTCGGCCGCCGAGTCCATGTCACCATGGAGGACGGCTGTCTGGTATTCAACAACGCTAGAGGACAACGAATGCCCAAGGTCCATGCTGTATGTAGACTCATCCAAGCCAAGCTTGAGAGGCATGAGATATGTAGACTGTAATAATAATATGGCGTCGGCGTCGTTCAGTACAAGTGACACTTGTAAAATACGCACGTGATGTAGACGGGTCCGTGGACTTGCAGGTGACGAATTTCGAAACATTTTGAGTGACTTGGAGATTACTATCATACGCATCATTAGCCCTACTAACGCCAGTCAAGTCAACCTTAAGTCACAGTTATGAGAGTGGCACGCGTACAGGATTTACATCAAAAGGAGAGGTCATTGTCCACTTCCTCTCCAGTATCATCACACTCATGATCAGATGCTTCCTCGTCCTCGTCCTCCTCTTCCTCGTCACGTTCACCTTCCTCTTCCTCAGCCGGATCATCATCCATCTGCTCTTCATTGTCATCTTTTTCGTTTCGGCCCTCATTGATTTGGCCTTCATCAACATCCATAGCTTCCACCGGTGCCGATGAATCGAAGCCAGAACAGTGTCTCACCACCCTCCGCAGACTTGCTGGGTGTCCTACCCCTAAGTGAGTATAACGCAGAAACATATCACGATCGACAAAACTAAGTCCAACAGATAGCTTGAGTCGCTATTGAAGCCAGAAGAAGACGCGCTGGACTCACATTCCAACGTAATATGCTTCCCAGTCATCTAGCTCCTCCTCGGCACGTGCTAACGATTTTCCGTGGCGAAGTGAACTAACACCGCGCCTTGAAGCGAATGCGGGAATTAAATGGGCTCCTCGAATGACTTGCCCCGGATCAAGAAATCCGAACGCGTCACGGTCCGACTCTTCGACAAATGCTACCTTGGGAAGGCGAGCGTGTTGCATGCCTGACTGGTAGCCTGACGATACTAATGGTGCAAGCCACCTGACATAGAGGACCTCGAGGTGCCGTGTCTCGGTTCGACCAGCGACATCTTGAAGCCACGTGTCCATATGATAAATGCCCAGTACACGAGCGTACCAGTATGGGTGGCTAGGTGAGGTTTCTCCTGAAAGTACCATAATATCTGCATGTGTCCTGGGATTGACGGTATCGTATTCGCGCCTCATGTCGTAGGTAGTATAGTGTACCCTCATCGTTTGTACCGAGTAAACCGTATTGTTGGGAATGATAACCGAATTACGTTCCTCATCTGTGAATGTATGGTCGCAATGAGTAACGTCCAGCTTCCTCAGCCTATACAAAATATGATCCTTTAGCTTGGGAATGAAGTTCTGCAGTAGTCATAAGCGAACTGGTGGTTAAATGGGCTGAAAAAATAATTTCACCTCAGTAGCTGGATCATCGTCGTGTTCTTTGAGGAAATGGAACAAAGAAACTGGAGCGTTTCGACTTGTTGCGATAAAATGATGGTCTTTGGACAATGACGAGGCAGGAGAGTCGGTCGGTGATTGGTTGCTCGAGGAGGAGATACCAGCTGCCTCCGCGACTCGCCGTAGTACACGGCGCCTGCGTTCGTGTTTCGCTAGCTGTGCCGGAGTGTCTAACTTGCTAGTTAGCGGATAGAATGCTTTCAAGGCTCTGTGCGCCAGCTCCCCCTAGCCAATAACATGATTTCAGAAACGCCCTTGGAAGAGAAGAGACAATGCTTACAATCTGAGTGGTAAAAGAATCTGTCGTACCGAAGAGTTTGATGGTTCGCACATAATCACCCATTGCATGAAACTTGTAGGTGTTCAAATTGAACCTTTTCACCTTTGGTCCGGCAGGTTCTGAAGGAGTATTATTGGGAGCATGCTGGGCAAGCCGTCGTTGGCGAGCTGCCTTCTCCTTCGGTAATTCCACAGTGGTAAAGGCAGCGCAAGTAAAGTTATGGAACTTCCGTAACTGTTTAGAGAGAATCTTGAATGTGTTCTCGAAAAGACCCAGCGTCGACTCTGAATGGATCCTTAGCTTGGCAAGTGCGTGCCACTGGCAAAATCTATATAAAAGAGACTGCACGATCACATCATGGCGAGGTGGAAACAACCCCTCGAATACAGGTATCGCACACTAGAGAGGCCGCCATCAGCTAAGTAGAGAATAGTAAGTAAAGCGAGAACAACCTGCAAGATGTCTTCAAAGTCTCGTGCCGCAAGTCTCTTCATCTCGGACGTGTCGTTCGTAAATGTTCGAATTACCCCATTACCGAACATCGGAACCTGACGAAATCTATGGTGGGATAGAGTTGTTACACGACAGAAGTGGTATGCAAACGCCACTTACCTCGAGTCTAAAGTCGAAACCAGCTGATTCCCCCCGGGAAGTGCATAAAGAATCCTGACGAGGTGAGTAAATAATGCCTTCCAAGTACCGAGCTCGCATTCATGCATAAAGTCTACAACGAGCATCTGAAATGGGTTAAGGCCCAGCGTGCCCAGCCTCTCGACGAATTTGTTCTGTGAGTTACTTTCTAAGCCAGTACAACAAAGCGGCAGACGGCTTGTACTTACTAATACAGGTACCCACGAGCCTTCTCCAAGCGTCTCTTCAACCTTCGCACCGTCAACAGTGTTTCCCCACGTATAGATGAACCCTCGGGCTTTAACAATGTTGGTTTCGACGTAGACCCGAAGATGATTCATACGGTTCTTCATGTCGTTAACAAGGCCTAGAGAAGAAAACATACTTTTCGGAATGAGACAACGGGGACATGGGCATAAGCCCATGTCCTTAATGGTGGCAATCAAGGCCCTGAAAATCTTTGAGTAATCCTTCAAATTTCAACGACTAAACGCACTTTTCGGGATAATCGGCTGAGTATGTGAATATACGAGGGTATATCCTGCGTAAGACACCATCGGCACATCTTAATATAATGCCATGGCGATATGCGTGAAGAAATTCTTTGTCTAGTAAGATATCCCAGCATCCGTGGAATAATTCGTGTCGACAGTGCGTGTGAAGGGCAGCCATGCCGCTTTTTGATATTCGAGGCAAGTCGTTCAGAACGTCCTTGATTTTATCAGGCAGCTAACACGGAATATGAAATAATGTTTAAACTGTACACATATGGCAACTCACCGATGGTAAAAATCCGACAAGGTGACACGCGCCAGACTTTGGTGCAGAACGTGCATACTTGGTCAGGTTTCCGAAGTACATGTACAGGGGCCACGCCTTTGCCGTTCCGAAGTTTGCAAGGTGCGTGGCATCCGAAAAAAACATGAGAGAAGCAACTACCCGTTCTAGTGTACATCCGGGTTCCCTCGGGAGCTTCTGCACCTCGTCTTGGGCATCCAGCCACGAGTCAGATGTATACAACTCATCGAATATGCGCTCTTCGTGGCTGTCCAACGGATCCTTCCACAGACGCTTGAATGGTGAAAGGTGAAACGCATTTGCTTGGATATCCGCGAAAGCTGACCGAATTACTTCGACAAGGGGACGAAAATGGAATCCGGGAACGGAAAATGGTCTCGCATCCTCCTCCTTCGATTTCGTCGGAATCTCGATGGTGACGCTGGCCTGGGTCCAGTCGTCCGGAAACTCTATGTTCTTCCCACTGGGATCGTTATCTAATTAACATAAACTCCTCTTCACCGAGAAGTCCTCCAGGTGACTTATGTCGAAATCCTCTGCCATGATCACTTCCTTAACGAGACGGGCGACCTCAGTCTCGGATTTCTGGTTGCTGCCAGAATTCATCCAAGACATGAGTCTATAGACCGTCATGTTAGGAAAAGGGTATGGAGGCGGGAGGATGTCTGAATAGGTGTTTTGCGTGACTGTCGGACACGTGGTCGAAAGTAGCGAGGACATGATAAATTTATCTGGTTCAAAGGATGGGCGACGAGGGTACAATCGGGAAAGTCCAAGAGAATTGAAAGTAGTCTGCAGTGTGTCTCGTAACGTTAATATAACTCTGCGTATTCCAGATTGAGGCGGGGCTGGATTTCGAGTGGGCAAAACACCAGCTATATCAAAGTCGTTTGTGTCCTCGTCAGAAAGAGGAAGATCCTCAAAATGTCTCGGTATGCGTCCCATCGAAGTGTGCGAAGGTTCTCCTGACAAGTGAAGCGCAAAACAGTAACTCGGGTATCAGTTGACTTGCTAGGTGATTCGTCGACGAAGACATACCCAAAGCATCAGCCTCAAACAGTGCTGTGTCGTCAGAACTATGAGATTCAAACTGCTGTGTCATACTATGACCCAAACCCGCCGCTATCCCGGTAGACATGCCAGCTTGGCTCGTCCGGTCCCTGCCAGTGCTTGATGATTTGCATGGAATAATGGGCTTTGAGCGGTCACGCTCTGCCAGCGCACGGGGCCGGTGAATGGGAGATACTTTCTAAAGGCCGTGACCGGTCAGATATGTTTGTGCTTCCGAATATGTAGAAAAGACTTACCAAAGAGTTGGTTGAGCCTGATTTGACGGTCGTAGATTGTGTCAGAGTGAGCCTGGCGGCTGCCTCTCTGGCCCTCTCTTGTCTTTTCTGGCTAGCTAGAAGGCTAGACCGCTGGTAAAGCTTGCACGTTGCACGATGCCTGTTGAGTCCTCGACCACTAGTACTAGTCCCATTGGTTGCTTTCTCCCATGAACAACCTGGGGCATTGCAGGATATCATTAAATAAACGAAGAGTAAAAAAAGAACGAGCCATATGACTCGTGCTGTGCCAATGCGCATTCGACTCGGACTTGCCAGATAGTGCCAGTGCCCGCCGCGCTTGTGAGCGCCGAAGCACATTCAATTTTCCACGGAAGTAATCACGTGGGCTTCGAGTCGGGGATACTTTTGTCCGCCGGGACTTCCCGTGTCAAGCTAGAATGTTGGCGATGACTGAACCCGCTGCACTCGTTAAATGGGTCAACGAACAATATCCCTGTCCAGCTTTAGATCCAGTAAAATTCCAATTGTTGGTTCGCATTTTTGATATTTATTCATCCCCAGGTCTGGCTTCGTGAATGTTGCTCATGGATCGCGTCCTCTTACACCCTTTCTCCAACTGATCATTTTCCACAGTTTAGTTCCCATGTAACTTCTCAACTTTTGCAGTCCGATCTTTCAGACTCCACCCTGCCGAACACTGGTCTCCCACAAAATATCCGTACCATCCAAAACGGTCGTCTTACAGGCCTTCCATGTCTCGTAGAAATTCGTGCCATCAGCGACATTGGCATTAGTGCGTTTAGCTTGATGACTGTGAGGCAAAAACGCATGGATGGAGGGGACATGGCTGGCCTTGTTAGCGAAGATAAAGAGGACGCAGAAGAGGACGAGGACCCAATCCCAAAGTATCCGAGAGGCATGCTGCGTCTCGAGTTAAGCGATGGTTTCACAACTGTCGAGGCTGTGGAATATCGTGCTATACCGCAGCTTGAACTTGGCGTCACACCGCTGGGGTACAAGGTACGTGTTGGTCAGTCACTTTGCGTGTTGTTTGAATAGAGTCATGGTCCGGCCGTTAGATCCTCTTGAAGGACGTACAGATTCACAGAGGCGTTATATTCCTTGAACCCCACACGATTGAGCTGAAAGGACATCAAACAGAAGACCATGAAGTAATGCAGGATGAAATATTTATGCGCAACCTGAAACGGAGGCTTGGGTGAGTTCCCTCCATTCAAACAATCATCAAACTGATTGATATCCCGTAGACAACTCGACCCAGAACTCAATCCACAATCACCTGGTGAGGCGGAGGCTCCACCGCAGGCGCCCCGTATCCTGAAGGTAGACACTCCCCATGGGAATAGACATTGAGATGGAGGATGTGTGTAATCGATTAGAGAAATATGCGAGCCAAAGGCGTACATAGAATTCCCGTATGTATGATTCTTATCTTGATGCAGCCAATCAAATCATTTTCAGTCGGTGAAGTCGCCACATTACAGTCACAAGATACATGCATTTCTAACTTCATTGGCTAAGGCTATAATCTTCTTCGGGATATTGTGCATGCAGTCATGTGTAGGTAGTGCGAGTATTTACAGAACACCTTCTACTTTATCGTGATCAGTATTCGTAGACACAGGATGATAATTGCCTAACCTCAACCATCCCATTCGGACTCTGACTCAGACTCCGAAAATTTCCTTCCCGCATCATGATGATGACGCGACTTGTGGTTCTCGGGCAAGTTGCGTGCAAGGTCCTCAATTTGTTCAAGTTGTAGGTCACCAACAGCAAGTGACGTGAGGTCATGACTGTATGCACCGACGTGGAAGTCTACAGTAGACTCAAGCTCTTGCTTGTCCTGTGGAACAAGTGTTTCCATAAAGGAAACTGCCGCAGCACGATCGGCAAACTTTTTGGCTTCGTCCTTGAAAATCAATTCAAGAAGCTTGGAGTGTTCCGATGAGGCCTGTATTTCCCAAGCCATTGTCATAGCGCGCAAGCGCATAGATTCACAAGCAGCCCGCTTGGCGACGATGATTTGAGCAATAGTCTCCTCAGATAGGAGCGCAATACCGCGCTCGAGGACGTCTTTGCCCTGGCATATGATTGCTTGTCAATAAGTACTGCGCATTTAACTAAAATTAAGCTAACACACCACTTGGACATCTGCTAGACTCATATCGGTCTCGCCAGGGTACCTCCCGCAAAACCTATCAGCATAGCGAAGCTCTAGTGCACTGGGCAAGCGACCATGCAGCTTCTCATACGGCGTGAACTTCTGTTGTGCACGAAGGACATATCGAGATAGCTGCTTGGTAATTGCAGGAGGTTTGGGTATTGCGGTGATGATGTCTGATATGTCTTTGGACGATGATAATCGTCGATGTTTGGATGACGAGTCGGATGTCATCGAGTCAGATGGTGAGACTCTGCTGTGCTTCCGTCCGAGGCGTGAGCTGCATGAATCCTGGAGCTGTTGTGAACTTCGACAAGATTCATCACTACTCTGACGGGCGTGGCCGATAGAGCTTGGAGGAGTATGTGTTTGCATTGTTTAGTGGTCGTGGATCATGAACTATAGGCCATCGGAGTCTAAAATTGACACCGCGTAGTAATTCAGTCAGGTCAAAGTCTGGGCCGGTGTACCATGGCACCCAACGGGTGCACGAATTTGTACGATTCACAATTCGCAGATTTACATGGGGGTGTCTCTTATTATTATCATGTACATCGCTGACCAAGTAGACGCGGGTCTAGTAGACATGGACTTTCGATCGCCCCTTTTGAATGAGCAATGTTAGTAGTGAAGATACGTTCCTACTAGTTGTGACATTGTGAACTTGATCCATTTCGATGTCTGTACTACTAACTCACTAGCTGGTCAAGCCTGTGCCATGATATATGTGTTGAGCGCATGACGTTCCTCGTCAGTTAATGTTTCGAAGAGCTGGACAAATGCGTTGTAGGTAGACTGCTTCGCAATGACATCGAATTCGATGGGAAAGAAACGTCCAGTAGATATTTCGTCCAATGCCCAAGTATGGAGTGTGCTCGTGTACGCGAGAAGGGGCCCAAGATTTTTGGTTGGGCTGATGTATCGCCAGTATTGGCGGTCATGAAACAACAAATGCTTGATAAAACTTATGATCGCTTGATGCCCGAATGGTAGGATAACCATCGTTCCCTGCACCTAGTAATGTACCACTGTGAGATATGGAAATAAAATGAAGGGGGTCTAAAGACTCACGTTAATAGCTCCTTTAAGATACTTATACTCTTTGACGAGCTCCTCGACGAACAGCTGAATCATCGGCGCAGTCTGGGTGTAGAGGGGAATTTGGTATCCCGGTATCACCCAAGCTCGCGTGAGCTCCTTTATACTATCTCTTATATTTCCAAGGACCTCCGAAATCTTCATTACCCCCGCATGCCCTTCTTCTGTCATAGCCCATTGGACGCCGTTATCGGATGACAAATCTAGACTTTGTCGCGCCATCTCAACAAGTTCGTGCGGCTTGGGCAAAAACACCCCATTGAATATGGAGTATTTCATGACTTCCAATACGTCACTTTCCCAGTGGTTGGGGTTACGGCGTGGAGGACCCATCAAAGGCCGAGTTTTTTCGTAAGGCTTATTACGTTGAACGAGACGTGAGGAGGCGCGGGTAATCAATAAGCGCGTGTGTGCTATCTCATCATCGAATGTGAGTCGTTGTGGGATATTGGGATTCGGCACGCTGCGGGAGGGTCCCGCCTCCTGGTAGCTGGCCTGTGGTTCGGACGGGAGATGGTCAAATAGACCTTCTACCCAGTTGACCGCTGGGACTGAATTTGCAGGGAGGTTGGCCTGATCAAATCGGAGGGGTGGTAGTGGTTCAGAGTAGAAGGAATCAGCATGTGGATTAGGATTGGGGTCACCTGTGTGCGGACCGGGCCAAGGGTTGATATCGTAGAGAGGGGATTCCTGGTCCGCCGGGGCAGGCTGCGAGTCGTTGTGACTGGATCGTCCGAGGGAGGCGAAAATTCCGTGGGTCATTAAATCACGTTTGATCTGCAAATATTCGAACATTGTAGTACAACGATCGATTATCACGACTTACCGGGTGGACTACCGTGACGTTCTGATGCACTCTACAGGACTCAACATCGTTGGAGAAGGTACGAATCAGGGAGTCCAGGTTATTAGTATTGTCAACACTCTCCGAGTTGAGCAGCTGCTGCTGCTATGTTGGATCACTAAAGCGACTCTGAGAAAATTTGAGACGAGCCTCACCGTGACCGCCTGGAGAGTGTTTCGGGCCTGCTCAACCTCCCGATTCAGAGTCTGTGGATGAGATCCGAATGAAGGTGGTTGAAAAGGGTAGATCACACCAGCTTCATGATTGCCATGGCGTTCTGAGTCGTCCGGTTGAAAGCGTGACATTGTACCTGATCGAGAAATTCGGAACGGCCCGTTCGTGTACTCAGCTTTGAAGTGAGCCTAAGAGTGAGCAGCCTACAGTGAGGTGGCCGCGCACTGATCAACCTTTCAATTGATCATTGAGGCTGACTCGGCGTGAGCCCAGACTCAACTGAAAGCATCTGATATAACTTCTTGCAATCGATAAGGATTGACTCCGAGTCAATTGAGTCGATGCTAACTTGGGCCGTAGTAAGTCCGAAATTTGACTTGACTAGTCAGCTTTTGAAGTTCAGAGCCTCGACTCGGACTCGCTCCGACTCTCCTCCAAGGCCGCAGATTCCTAGTACATGATATGTCAGCATCAGTAAGCAGGTTAGAACAGACGATGAAGTTATTTAAAGCAACATTAATATGATATTATCTGAGAGCGGCATCGCCGCAACAATCTTATATCTGCTGAGGGATCAAAATATTAGACTCGTGACCAGCCCGTCTATGAGGCAAGCCATCGGCGATTATCAGACACTCTCACCCCGCTGAAGCGTGCCCAAACATTGACCCCGTGGGAAACAACCAAATAAATCACAGCCACACTATGGTACTACGTCGCACATTAAATTTGTGAGTGTTTGTTTCTACGTGCAGCACGTACATTTCGTCAAACCGTTTTCAGTATGTTGCATATGGCAATAATAGTTACGTCGATGGAGAGGAATATACAAACACCGTAACGCTCAACTCTGACCTGGTCATTGATAACCAATCTATTGGCGTGGCATCTCAATTATCGGGGATGGAAGGCCTGGATGGACTTATTGGCCCTGGACCAGTTGATTTAACGCAGGGCACCGTCAGTAATGCATACGAAGTTGCATCACGTCAATACAAATGAGTAAACTATCGCAAGTAAGTGACGAACCTCGTGCACGAGATGTCCCACACCCGAACCAGCCATGACTTCGAGCCAGAATTTGCCCTTCATTTGACCAACCATGAGCGTCGTATCAAGGCGCTCTGCACCTGCTAACACTAAGAGCCATGCGGAGCGAAATCCGAGGAATAGAGACGAAAGTGACGGGAACCAGCCTGGAATATGAGCAGGTGGTGCAAGTCAAGGGAGCGAGCGTAGGTTTACTGTCCCAGTATGGCGCCGTCGACCGGAGTGGTGTATGTCACTTGTATTTATTTGAATCCAATATTTGCACGCGTGCTGGGCGTAAGAGGAGAATCTGCAGGATCGACGATAGATGGGATCGAAACACGGGTAGAAGTGGGGTTGTGGATAAGACGCTGTATGAGCAAACGTGAATGTAGCATTTACGAAGGACAGCGTCAAACACTTACTGCCATTTGATTGCTTCTCCAACGCTATCGAAACCCTCGGGTCGAGAGTGAAGAATCGCGTGCATGTGAGGCCGCGCTTCTATTGCTGTACCTATTGGTGATGGTTAATTCAATTTGCATGAAAGGGAGAATATAAGTTTACCATTAGATTTGGAGCTGCTGCCACATCTGGGTATATCGTCTGTAGCAGAGCACAAAAATCATCGCTTGGTGGTAGCTGTGGTAACTTTGGCTAATTGCAGAGCGATATAGTGAGCTCATCTCGACTAACGCAGGTCTTCGACTAATGAATGGGCACGTGTTCGTGATACAGACCGAACCAGGCCTAACCCCAAGAAAAGACCACGAGTTCATTAATTTCCTTCAAACAAAAACTGGTATGCTATCTATCCGTATCCTACATCCAACCGAGTCACTCATCCGTACATGAAAAGCGTTACGCAACTGTATGTCTATGTCTGCATCCTTTTATATGAACTTGAAGTGCATCTTGGCCATTCGTGGCCCTCCGGGCACCCCTGTACCGTACTTCTCCACCTGTTTCCTACTCGCGCGATCGTATATCTATGATCGATTACACAAAATTAGTTGAGTTACATTTGTGATTCATTTATACTTGATGCATTTATCCTTTTGATTTATAGACTATTGATCTAATAAACATCAAACAACCACCGTAACAAGTACCTTTGCCATCAGCTCGCCCGAGTTCCCGTTAAGGTCACGGTCGCTGCGACAGAATCGTTTCAAAAGGTGAATGGCAGTGCCGCAGCCTGCACAATCAAGAACGATGCTAATTGGCGATGAACACAGAGAGAAGCTGGTAAGAAAGGCAACATCTGCTTATTGCACGAAGACATCACAGTGGTTGTTATTACTAGGCAGGTAGCGGGCAAAGGATAGAGGATTCCTGGCGGGCACGAAAGAAAATGGCAGCTGCCAGCAGTGGCGGGAAAGGTGAGAGGCAGGAATTGCAGGATGCTGCAGGAATTCCAGGTGCTGGGCGAGCAAGGTTGATGGGTGGGCAGACTCGGACTCGGAGTTGAGGGAGAGCATGAGCTCGAACATACCGCGAGCATTAACCAATCATATGGTCACGGTAGTATGTTGGGTGGTGGGTGCGTTGGCAGGATGATTGGCATGGCCGTTCGAAAGTTGAAACTGATCAAGCAGGATTTAAACTCCACTGGGAGTGTTGTGTCGTGTCCCAAACTTTTTGGCCTGCACTTGACTCAGACGTTCAGGTTTTCTCAGACAGGCCAAATCTCTCAGGGAATTCTGGCGGTGTTATGCTATTAGAGTTACACTTGTAACTTCGAATTCCTGATCGTTCCTTACTATGTCAAGTCGGACGCTGACCCGAGTTGGTCCCGATGGCCGGGGGATGCGAACATCATTTGCCCTGGTATATTCGCCTCCGAGACAGTCACGGTGAGTTCTTTCTCTGCTGGGATATGTCCGGACGAATCAGTTGACTTTTGGAATATCATCAACATGTGACTAGCAGTCACGGTGGGTCAGCGTTTGTCGCGACTCACGACTTAAATAGGTGAGCAGAGTGCGTTGTAACATTGATCAAATTTCCCGCCATGTCCGAACTACGGTCCCCTAGGAGTCAAGTTCTTGAAAATGTCTCTCCGAACATATCTTCAAGAACTCGTGCAAAGCAGCGCTCTCAGGCTCGGCGAGTGCAAAATGCAGCCTTTCTACTCGGAGTGCGCTCGGAGCTCCCTGATGTCGATGACCAGGACTTGGAGATGTTGAACGGCATGCGGGGGGTTGAATGTTTCTATGATGGCATGGCAGACTCCCAGACGATCGAAGGGTTCTCCGCACAACCGCAGCGGTTCCAGGAGCTCGAGAAAGGTAATTTGAAAGTTTGTCTCCAACTGGGTCGGTGAGGATACTTATGTCGTGCTAGTCAAGTTCAGGATACCACTACACACCATGGATATCAACCAAAGTGTGACCTGTGTGGACCAGTCATACTCTGAATCGGATTGTCGCCTAGACATCTTCGACCGCATCAAGGCTATGATGGATGTTCCAACTACGTATGAGCACTTAGCCTGGCGCTTATCTGTTGCCCGCCGCAAGGACCCACCCCATCGCCTCCTGACATCATATGATATTGATGATGCGTTCAAAGCGGTGCGAACAGAACAGGGCTCTGGCAGGCGGAAGAAGAGAGTTGTGCTTGAAATTATCAACACCGTATGTGTTGTAATATTTGCAAGTGATTTGTACGAATTAATTTGTAGATGCCTGCACTGAAAGAAAGGCCGGTCAAACGCAGCTCCGAATCTTTTGTGGCAGACGAGCAGAGCCTGTCGTCAGATCGGACACGTGTCCAGGGACAAACTCTCTTGCCGCTCCAGAGGGCCCCCACCGAAATTATCTCTCCTATCATCCACAATCACATCCACGTTTCACCCGCCATCAGCGACACGGTGACCTCTGAAGGAAGACAACAAGGAGAACACCCGATAATGAGGCCCCAGCCACTCAAAAGGACATATGCCCTTTACATGGAAAGTGACGAAGACTCTAGCGACGACGAACCACTGCAAATCATCGAGGACTTCCTTACCAGTGTCCATTCTCGCTATCCTGCAATGGACTTCTTACGTTACGCCGGTAAACTGAAGGATCGTGGTATATTGTATTTGCCAACCGCAGCTGGGTTTGATATTGGATTCTACCAGAACAAGGTCGGTATGCCAGAGGGCACTGCACTTACCTTTCATAGCTGTGTCTACAGAGCTTACATGAGGGCGGAACGTGCGAAGGGAAGAAGGAAGACTAAAGGGAAAAAGAAGGCACGAGCCCAGCCACATGATGACGGCTCAGAGGATGAGTAAAGAGGCTGGACTCGCTAAAGCATCTTCCAGTATTCGGTGAGCAATGTCTGGGGACGGCAAGCGATCGACACTGGACACATCTGACCACCAATCGTCAGCAGGCCCCCAACTTGAGGAATTCAGCGGAGGCGCAACATTCCATCACACACGTTGACTTACAACTAGTACAGGAGGACGAGTTGAATTCACGTGTAGAATTCAAAGGTTTTTGAATCAGAATAATGAGAATAACAAACGGTCACATCTTACATTGGAGACGGTCGATCAGCACAGTCGTAAGGAGGAGAATTGGCAGGGACTTTGTCATCGAAAGATGAACAGACCAAATTCACGTGATACCTAACACAGCCAAACATCGGCTTGTTGTCAATATGCAAACAACGCGTAAATAAACCCCTACTTACCACTAACCATGCCTTGGACACGCGCTACTAAAAACCAACCTACTCTGGCGAGTCAATCCCAAAGTACACCTGCTAAGCCCAGACGCATCCAACCACGCTTCGCCGTGCCACATGTAGGATCTCGTTTGGGAGTTTGAGGGCTACGAGTTCTATCTAGTCCGAGTCTGGCGAGAGTGGGATGGTTGCACTTGACAGTACGTTTCAGCTTGTTTGATTTCACTTTTGATAATTTGGTGTGAGCAGTACTTATCTTATTCTATCTTCGATGCTTCAGTTTTGATTTCCTCATTCCCTCTGGTTTCGACGTATCTGTATGTCTTTTACGATAGCTTTATTTGCATTGCTCACTCCTCTTACCATGTCATTCGATCAGGTATGTCTTAAGTCCATGGATAGTCAATGGCACAGTAGACGAGTATATGATATGAGCGTTGATTGGGCGCGGACTCCCGTTCGGAGTTAAAGTGAGATATCTTGTTCTTTCTGAGGCGTTAAGCCACTCACATCGGCTATCAGATGCATTTATCTATGACTCGTATATCAGCGTTGTCGTCAGTCACCCTTCCTTTATGAAGCGTATGCGTAACACCCTAATATGATCGTCAAGCCTTACAAGGACTTCGTCAAGACCCGGGAGTACTTATACATTAGTCTCGAGTTAGTCTTCATCCCACTGGGTGACTCTGCTTGCAAATCAACTGGATGGTTTTATCGTCTGATGCATCGCCGCATTTCTGTCCGATAGTATCGAGCCCAGGGGCCTGCAATAAATTACATGCACGGCGGCTTTCGACGTTGTAAGTACTAAGTTTGAACTCGGCTGAATTTCGATCGCTAATGGACCTAGCACATATAACTCGGGTCACAACTTGAAGCGCTGGCGTGCGACCCCTTCGCTATCGAGTCTTTGGACTGTAATAGTAATCCCAACTCAAAGCGACCGGGAAATGCTCGCTTCAGGGTCACCGGGATCGGTTTGCAACTAGCGAACAAGCGCCAAAAAGGCTCGGGAGCTGCTCGTTTCGCGTGCTGGTGTTAACCATGTTGACCCGAACCACGTCAACAACTAACTTTCGGCCATACTCGGGTTAGACATTATATATAAGACGACCTCGTAAGCCTCGTGCTCTCCTCCACTTTTTTGCACTTCTACCTCATCTTTAGGCCGATATGCCGACATCTGATATCAACTCGGGACAGAGCCCTACTCCGGACGTCTCACTGTGTGTTCAAACTTCTCCGCATGCTAGGGCGAAGCGAAAGATTGCTGCTCTGACGGATGAAATTGAAATCTTGAAGCAGGACAAGGCAATAAAGCAAAGGTGCGAGGCACGTTCTCGCTCACAGCAGTATTAATACCTTGCTACAGGAAGACAACCTATTACGTTTCACAGGGACGGGCCATCCGTCGTATTGTTGCCCTTTACACCCCTATAGAGGATTTGATCACCGAAAACGACAGGCGGTGTGAAGACTGCGAGCCTAGCAGCAGCCCCACTACGGAGTAACTATTCATGTTTATATCACCGTGCTTAATTATAAAATCGAACAGGCAAGACCGTCTCCAACGCGGTTACATCGAGCTTGCCAAGGCACTACCGTGGCTTCACGATAAGCTAGCATGCCTTGATCACGAGGAGTCAGAGGACATGCTCAGAAAGGTTTTTCCCAACGTCTTTATCACACTTTTGGCTCATTCTTGATATAGCTCAAGCGAGGTGCAGACTCTGCTCGTGGCGACGACACGGGAACCCTTAAGGAGCTTGTTGCTTCATGGGTGAATATCGAGTGCCATCCGACCACACTCATCAGGACCAACAACAAGCATCATCGGGGTTTTGTGAGCGATCCGTGTGGCAGACTGCTCTGCCCAGCCGAATGGTGTTGGGAGGACCCGGCGTAAGTGGTGATCATCGTTGCTTACATGTTACTGATATTTTTTTCAGCGTCAGGACCGGCATTCGTGACCGCACAATCGCCTTCATTGTCTCTGAAAATTCTTGGCCGTCATTCATGTACGAAAACTACAAAGCTGATGCTAATAATCTAGAGTGCGGTCTTATGAAGTCGCGGTTGTTGGTCATGGTGAACAGCCCCGTTATTTCAACTGATTCGTGGCTCAACGCATAACAGGGATTCAAGGCCATCTTTACTTCGCCCTCTTCCGCTAATGAAGTGGACGGTGAAGGTAATGGTGCTGATATCATTGAAAATAACTGACGTGCCCGGAAGCGATCGGATCAAGCTAAAGTCAAGACATGTGTGGCCTCCATTATAGGCATGAGGAAAGTAACACCTCGCGCGATCGCATATGCAGCTTGCCAGGTAAGCAGCTTCCTTCTAACTACAAAGCTAGCATTAAATTCTATAGATTCGATTCGCACTTTCCAGTATCAACTCCTGGCGCACCGTAGACGGTGACTTTGACTATCAAATCTTCTGGAACAACATCGTTGATTTTTTTGAGGACGCCCCGGGTCCCGCTGCACGAACTAGGGTGAATGAGCTACTCGAGTGGTGGACAAGGTAAGTCATCAACCATTAGTGACTCGCCCTGATTCCCAACTCCCTGCGCAGAAAAGTTTTTGGAAGGAATCATCGTCAAGACTTGACACAGGACGTTATTACCCAGATGTCTGTGAGCGCTCTCGCTGCCCAGAGACTGCGGATGGAGGACGCTGCATTCGACTCGGACTAGTTGTTTGGTAAATTTTGCCTGCCCGTCTCATCTACATTACTATATGTAGTGATGTGCAAGGCCCGGCTTGAAGCCCTGGGCCGGCCCAAGCCGGGCCCAAATAGGCCGGGCCTAGCCCAGGCCTAAGTCACGGCCTGAGCAGGGCTTAGGCCTGGGCTTGAATTTAGAAAAGCCTAAGCCGGCGGCCCAAGCCGCGGCTTTGGTACATAGAGTATATGACACCTTGTCACGTCAGTGGTCACGCCCCACAAGTATGTGTTTGGCATGTTCTCATTACTGACTCTTACTATGACGCGATTCTAGAACTTGTAAAGGTGCAGCAGGATCTAACAGGTAAGTCTCATCTCAGTATCTTGGTCAGAACTCTTTATTGACGACGTATGTACCTAACAGGTAAGTCTCCTACGTCGCATCAGTACGGCTACTCGAAGTGTAAAGTAAAAGCTAACTCACGTCTCAGTATCTTGGTCAGAACTGAGACGCTCGGGTGGCTGGATGCTGCCTTTTATACGGTAAGTCCTTTTCTAATCTATATTGAAACGAAACATTGATACTTGGAAGATTTTGGCCCCAACGTCACATCTCTCGTCCCTGCGCCTCTTTTCCCTTGCGCTCGGACGATCTATTCACCATGTCGTTCCTCGCCTTCGGTCTCATCGGCAACGTTCGACTCGGAGGGTTTGGACGTCGACAGCGATTCCTCTCAACTTCAACTACATACGCACGTCTGATCTCCTTTCGTCCTGGGATGAGCGACGCTCGACGGAGACTTCAATGGGCGTCATCTCGCGTCACCACATTGCAAGAAGTCGTCGCATATTCATTATTTGGTATCTTCAGTGTCCATGTCCACCTACAGACATCACCATCCTCGACTGGGTCGGACAACCTTCCGAGTTCAACAGCTGTCTTCCGGCCTATATCACTTCTTACGCCACTCCTCCACACACCCTTCCATCCCTGTCCGAACGTTCTCCTCCTTGTCTTCTTCCCTTCACCTGCTCTCGTCCATCGTCCGTATTCGTCTGAGCCACGTCAGCAGTTGCTGACGTGTGCTGGGCGTTTGCGCATGGTGTTCGTGGTGTTGGGAACAGCATGGTGGAGCTCGGACATCGGTTTGGGCCGCGGCTTGCATGGGCCTAAGCCCCGGCTTTGGGCCGGCTTGGGCTCACGGCTCAGGCTTGAAATCTGGTGAGCCTAAGCCCCCCCCAGGCCGAGCCTAAGCCGGGGCTTTGAGCCCAAGCCGGGCCGGAACATCACTAACTATATGTTACTAAGATACTTAAAATGTGTATATGGAATGAAAATATGCCCACTTTCTGAAGTCAGATATACGAAGATTGCTGTGATGCTCTATGAAATATTGCTCTAAATAACCCGATTCGCGGATCGATGAAGCAGCAGTGCGTCAATTGTCAAATACAAATATTCCCGACCTCAGGTGGAAGGTTAGAGAACACAGACTAAGCTTATTCTCGGAGATCCAGGAGCTCGATCTTCTTCACGAAACAAGTCGTGACTTTATTGTGACGACGAAGTAGCAGTGTACCAATCGTCGAATACAAGTATCCCCGACCTCAGGTAGAAGGTTAGAGAACGCAGACTTAGCTTATTCTCGGAGATCCAGGAGCTCGATCTTCTTCACGAAAAAAGTCGTGACTTTATTGTGACGACGAAGTAGCAGTGTACCAATCGTCGAATACAAGTATCCCCGACCTCAGGTAGAAGGTTAGAGAACACAGACTTAGCTTATTCTCGGAGATCCAGGAGCTCGATCTTCTTCACGAAAAAAATCATGTCTTTATTGCGACGATGAAGTAGCAGTGCGCCAATCGTCGAATACAAATATTCCCGAGCTCAAATGGGAGGTTAGCAAACCCCGACTTAGCTTATTCTCAGAGATCCAAGAGTATGAGTGTTTTCACGGAAACAACTATGTCTTTGTTGCGACAATAAAGAAGCAGTGGGTCAATTGTCGAATACAGATATTCCTAAGCTCAGATGGGAAGTCAGAGAACCCTGACATAGCTCACCCTCGGAGATCCAGGAGCACGATCGTCTTCGCGAAAACAACCATGTCTTTATTGCGACGATGAAGTAGCAGTGCATCAATCGTCGAATACAAATATTCCCGAGCTCAAACGGGAGGTCAGAGAACCCAGACTTAGCTTACTCTCGGAGATCCAGGAAACCGATTTTCTTGACGAAAACAACCGGGTTTTTATTGCGACAATGAAGCAGCAGTGCATTAAATTCTACTGTAAGTTAGTTTCTGAATAAAACCGAATGACAGGCACCTGTGGGGTGACTGAGTAGTCTACAAGGTCTTCAGATGTTTCGGTCTTGAAAGGCCAAAAGGCTTCAACTTGTAAAGATGACAATGATGGCGTGAGATTACAATTTAGCACTATCGCCACGTATGCTTACAGCGCTACACCGAATTTCGAATCATTTACGAATATTGTCGTGACCGCGAACACTTTGAACTTAATCAAAATTGTATGCTTTTGATCTTGCACGAAGAAATAATCGGATGAAGCAATGTGTTGAAGAAAATTTTGATACGCACCACTCTGGTATTACTCTTTGTTTGCAAAGCAGATTCCTTCGAGTAGTGATATCTCTTGTGGCACATATTGGAACATTGTTGGCCCTTCATGGAATGTACCGCTTCGAGTGACGGGCAATCATTAACTAGTCAAGACTGGCGATATTTTCATTGAGAGGTAATACATACTCCGACATACAAGAGGAGTACGTTCTGCTCTAAAATATACCAGAGCATGCATCCGTGCTGCATGAAATATATTTCTTTGAGTGACATTCGACCAATACATGTGCAACACGTACAACACTATTGTTACGGTCTGACCGTAACATAGACTGCTATCATTTGCCCTCGAGGGAGTTACATCAATGGTATCATCACCCTGAGCTAGTAAAAAAACATTCAGTGAAAGCCAAATCATGTGTATCCGCACCGCTGGGGACATTTCCAAAGTGTATTTCACTTTAGCACATTGCAACCTCCTTCCTTGACCCTGTTAGTATCAATCTGTATTAAAGTTTATGAACCTGTACTCGCTCTTTTTTTCTTACATCCATCCAAACTCAAAAAGATTCCGAAGTAGATAATGCTATTAGGCTGGCATGCTTGTGCATCCGTCTTTCCTCGATAAGGCCAAATATTCTTATGTGAAACCGGTCAGCAGATATACGAAGATTGTTGCGATGCTTTACTATATATCACTTTACATAACTTTCTCATCTGTTCACCGGTTCTCTGATGTCAAAGGTCGGATCTTTGAGTGAAAGCACATGAAATAACGACTTGCTCCCATGCACTTCCTGGACTCCATCTCGAAGTTACAGGCTTCAAAGACCTTAAATATTAGTGTCCGCAACAGTCTGGCGATGAACTAAATGGCGGGTCATGGAATGTCAACAAAACATTAGGGACATGTCACAATTTCAACATGGTTCGGCCCGGAGAGTTTTTTTCTCTCAAGAAATATATGGCTTCAATAAAAAATTGTAAGACGCACAATTACATATCGTCTTCAGCATTGAGGACCTGTCATTGACTAAAACCAAGCGCGGGATAAGGCATCCGTGATTCCGCGAAGCATATGGCGCATCCCCGCGTGGAAGATCCAGCGCGACATTGTGACCTAAACGGTGATCTAATTGGAAACAGTAAGGGAAATCAACGCCTATTCGAGTTTCACAACTGCGTTGGCGTGAGGACTGCTGCACAGGAACTAAGACGCACGTTCGAGGCGGCCTTTCGTCGATTGTACGGCTTTGTCGCACCTCCCTTTCACGTGCCAAGGCACGGTAAACTCGAGATTAGGCGCACGCACAAAGTAACACAGTACCAGGCATGAGCCTGAGATTTGTGTTATAGTGCTAGTCCTATAGAGAGAGACGAAGGAACGTGCAAAGGGACCACATGACTGGATGACTGGGGCGGTGCACAAGTAGTAATACCGCGACCGTTTACAATTGGTGCCGGTGATGGTGGCCTATAATCGATATTACCACGTTCGTTTCTGACCTTCATTCCTCCTTATGACCTCGGTCCTTTGGTATAGTCTTCGAGCGCTTTTGATTCAGAGTCGGACAAACCAAGCTCCCACGCAACAAATATCAAAGCGTTCACAGGCGCATCATGATCACTTCATGGATTTTGACAGCCTATAAGTATCCTGGTGCGACCGCAATATTGAACTTGCCCTCCCGTGCTTCCATCTCGACGTGACAAGTTTCAAGCATGATTGCGCCATCCATCTTCGCCCTTGCTGTCCTTGCCAGGACTGCATCAGCAGCAATCGCATCGACCTTCACTACCCCAGCTCCTGCGTAAGAGTTGTAAACCTTGTTCATGAGACACTTCTGACTTCAGTCATGTAGACCGACTTCTGAATCATCATTCTATGTCGGTGCTGCAAACACCACCATCACCAACTCGCCCATCGTTCCCGGACTGGTGTTTGACCGCTTCATTCAGATCTGGTTGGAGAACACGGACTTCGCCTCTGCAGCCTCTGACCCAGTCTTCCGGGCCCTCGCTGAGCAGGGTATTACCTTGTCCGGGTACTACGGTGTAACCCACCCAAGTGAACCAAACTACCTCGCCGCGGTTGGTGGTGACTTCTTCGGTCTGGCTGCTGACGCCTTGGAGTACATTCCCACCAACATATCCACTATTGCGGACTTGCTCGACCAGAAGAACATCAGCTGGGCTACTTATCAGGAAAATATGCCCACTGATGGCTATGAAGGATACAACTATACGAATTCTGACAATTATACCTACTACGTGCGCAAGCACAACCCATTGGTCATCTACGAATCCGTAGCGAACATCAGTACCAGATCGGCACGCATTAGAAACTTCAACGACTTTGCTGTCGATGTATGCGCTCATTTAACTTGTGGTCTCAAAGCTAATATATTCACCCTGGAATAGGTTGGCAACAATTCGCTTTCTCAGTGGATTTTTATCACCCCGAACCTGCGCGAGTACGTGCATTTTCAAATCACTACCTTTGGATTATCTTAATAAGGTCATGCAGTGACGCTCACGATACCAGTGTTGGATATGCTGCTTCCTGGCTTACCTATTGGCTCCTGCCCTTGCTCAACGATACGAACTTCAACACCGAGAGTACGCTCATCTTACTTACATTTGACGAGTGCGTTTCTTCCCATTGTATCATGCTCGTTGAATTCTAATTCCTTGTTTGCAAAGAAACGAGACCTATACGATTGGTAACAATGTATTCAGTCTCCTCTTGGGTGGAATCATTCCCCAGGCCCAAAAGAATACCACTGATGCAACGTTCTATACACATTACTCGACGTAAGTATTGAAATTTAATGTAGGTGTCAGACTAACAGATCTACGAACAGACTTACAACTGTCCAGAACAACTGGGACCTCGGTAACCTTGGTCGTCAGGACACTAACAAGACGGTGTCTAGTGCGTACGCTTTGCGCATTTTTTGCATTGCATTCTGATTGTGTCATCCAGATGTTTTCGACATCGTTGCTTCGCACACATCATACAAGAACAACAACCTCACAGCTTCTTCTACCCTTCCCCAGCTCAACATCACCGGGACCATCCCAGGACCGTTGAACCCTGACTACTACGTCCCCTATCTAGCACCCACAAACGGTACTGGTGGTGGTAGTGGACCGACCTTCTTTGCTTCTAACGTCAACATGAGCCTGAACGCGAGCGATGCTCCCGCACCAATCAATATAACTGCTGCCACAACCACCAGCTCTGCTGCTGGTCTGACAAACAATGCAGGCAGCATGATTACTGCAATCGCTGTTGTTGCAGTCGCAGCAATGCTGTTCTAGTTGATGTAGCTACTAGTATGTAGTATTGCAGTAAAGTTTATCCCACATTATTTTTATTGCGTCGGACAATGACATTTGCTAATGTGCGAACAAGAATTGAGGTGTCGTTGTACAAGATATGTGCCAGTTACCATCAGAGGTCCGAATGCCAACCTTCGTTCAGTTGTCAAGACCCATCCACACTCCAATGCGTTCCCAAGTTTTCTGACGCATTCTCGTCCAGGCTTCCCTTCTTGCCCGCACACAGTCTGAGCACCAGCCTTCTTCCTCGTCCCATTTGATGTCGATGAGGGCTTGAAGTCCGCACAAAGGGTCAAACTGATACTCGTCGTAGAGCCCAGAGTCGTGCACGCGCCTCTCCCAAGCGTCTTGCTTCAAAGACAGAGATGGACATCCGGGGAGACGCGGTGAAGCAGAGGACGACCCAAGGATGTGGGCTCTCCCGGCGGTCGTCGTTTCTTTTGACTGGTTGGGGCATTTGAAGGAACGATCCACGCGCACTGCAACCTGTGACCAGGCCGAAATGAGATGCTCTCTCATGCGTTCCAAACGCCTTTCGTCTGCGCGGCTGATTTCCTGAGACTCTTCTCCGTTGTCGCCGTTCAACTCGCCGTCACCAAGACCATAGCCTGTTACCCGAACCATTTCATAGAAAGCCCTCTTTAAGACGCTTTCGATGCCACAGGTCCGCGCAAGAATCACGACTTCTACTGCATTAGTTTTAGTTTCCGTAGTGATATCCATGAGAGATGAGGACCAAGCATTCTCTAAGAGTTTCACGGCAAAGGCTCGATACGTGTCGAACTCTAATCTAGTTGCTGCGCGAAGGATAGCAGCCAAGACCTGGAATGTAGGAGGGCTGAAATAATAAGCCCTGTAAAAAGTAGTAAGTATCAAACAAAAATGGAGAGACGGATTACTTACATTGGGTTCCTATCGAGCTGTAGTAATGCCTCGAGATCTGTCGGTGTGGTATTCGACAGGTGGTATACCAAGCCATGCTCGTCGCTTTCGACTACGACACTGTCGTCCATAAACACATCTTGTTCATCCAAGAGGCCAGCAAAAAAGGTTGACTGATCAATGAGCCTAGAACGGTGGAGTTTGAAGAGCACGCCTCCAACCTCGAGGACCGTGTTCCCATCAAGGACCCAGAATTGTTCGTGTTTATGCGCTACAGGTACGGCTAGTTCCAACTTTGAGCGCTTTGTGGGACGGAGGTTATTCCTTGAGATATCCTCTTTACAGCTGTGAGAAGATTCGATCGAAGCCCTTCTCTTCCCCTTGCCATTATTCTTGTTCTTTTCCCTATCTTCACCGTCAGAAGTAGCGGGATGGGATAGAGTCGAAGAGCTCTGAGGCTCAATCGGGAGAGCCCGGGGCTTCGCCTTGCAAGCCACAGGACGTGGACGCTTTGGTGCTGGCTGTGAGGAAGAAGCTGCGACACTATCAATCGCCATCGGCGACTTTGATATGTTCGAAGAGATAACGTCCTGAGAACGGATAGCAGAAACATAAGCAGAACCTTCCACACCACCACTTTCAAAAGTGGATTTTGTAGGCTGCGATGCTGAAGGACGCGTCTTTGCGAGCATTTGTGACACGGAAGGAAAGTCGGGCTCGGGAGAGGATTCTAGTTCTGCCTTTGGTGGTAAATCGCCCTTCAAGGAAAGATCAATGCTCGGGTCTAAAGGAGTCATAGGGTTATACGATGGTAGGGGAAAAGGTTGTGACCGAGAAGGCGCGCAGGGAGGTGGTAAAGAAGATGGAGTACCCCTAGTGGAGCTAGTTGGTAACCTTCCTTTTGACTTAGCTTGAGGCGCATTGCTGCTGTAGCCAGGCCTAGGAGACACTGGTAACGACCTTGCAGAATTAGTGTTTGCTGCTTCGACGTTGTCTCTCAGAGAAGTATGAACTGTAGCGTGGCCTTCACGGTTGTTTCCAACCTTTTCGTCGCTGCCTTCAAGTTTGACGGCTTTGTTTTCAGCTTCGTCTTCATCTTCAGCTTCGTCTTCACCTTCTTCGGCCTCATCTTCGTCTTCACCTTCTTCTTCATCTTCATCTTCATCTTCACCTTCTTCTTCGTCTTCACCTCGACCTTCCTCATCTTCCATTTCTTCGTCTTCACTAAGATCAAAGTCGCCTTCGCGTACGGAGTAGTCTGTTTCAGTGTAAGTCTTGTCGTCGTCTTCATCTTTAGGCTCATAATTTTCGTCGTCTTCATCGTCTTCATCATCGCCATCATCTTCGGGTCCCATTAAAAGGTCGGATGTCTGTGGCTCTCGAAATTTAGCGCTGTTGTGAACGCCTGCATATTTTTTGCTTTGATAGGATGGCGACGGCACATGAGCTAGTACTGACGCGGATGAAGCATGGCCAATGTGGCCAGACAGCGACAGCGATTCATCTGTAGCCATTTTTGTGTGCTGGTCAGAAGATGAACCAAGCCTGTTTTGCGCGGAATTCCAAAATAAAAAAACGTGATTTTATCTTAATTACAACCGTGACATCATAGTAAATAACCAAGAAGCAGTCGTACCTCGTCCTAATAAGTCTGGAAGACCTTCAAGTTATGTGGCATCGGGCAGGAGGTATATTGTATCAACCATCACAATGCCATTGATCCTGCGGTAGTACGCTTCTGTGATTGTTCGAAAACGTTCTTAATGATGCAATTCAATATTGCGAGCGCGCTTAAAGCCTCTTAAAGCTTAATCGCCCAATAACCTTAATTGGTGTTTAACCGACACGTGACCGTGTTGCTCATGTGATGCAACTGTCCAGTGTAAACGACTCAACTTCGTCAACGAGATTTAGTACGCCCCTTCATGCTCCTGGGCGCTGCACCTCGTGGAATTCCGTGGCTACTAAGGGCACTTTTGGTATGTCTTCTTTTTTGAGGTTGAATCTTGTGCGAGGGATTTTGAGCCTGTCTATGTTGGTTTTGCGTAACAAAACTGCATTGTTAACAACAGCAGCATGTGTACAGTAGGTGTGTGGCAACTTCAAGCTCGAGTCTTTCTCATACTCACTATTGTTCCGGGTTAAAAACACGCTCTTGTTCACTCATTATATGATCTACTGCGGTCAGCCATCCCATCTATAATGCTCTCGCAAACCCTCCCTGGTGCTTCCACTTTTTAGCGCATCCTTTCAGCAATTTATATTGATTCTACTATGAATACACTGGATTTGGCGTTTTTCCTTACTGTGTGCTAAGTGAGTGGTACGACTCGGTGATTAAAGTCCAGGAGTAGCAAGTATCACAGGATGCGCATGTCCCTTCTACCCTTAACGTGCCACTCTCACTGATGTCTCTGACCTTGACATTACCTATTTCTTTAGCATGCACAGGTACTCCCGCTAACACTATGTATCGGCTATATTTCTCAGCGCTTTGTGTAATCGCACAAGCGTTTATTGTTCAAACAAACAAATACCATGGAAATACATGTGTAACAAGGCCTGGATCATCAACCTTTTCTCATTCCCCCGTCTTTTCTTACTACTCACTCCAACCATTAAGCATATCCTCGATCCTCCTCGTTTTTTCACCACACCAGCATGTTTGGTGACTTGAGTTGTGAGTCTGCATATTATCCTCGTATCCGTTTCATGATCCTCGCGCTCGACTCAGAGCAACGCAAAAAAAATACCTGCCAATGCCCCCTCCTGGCGCATGTCCGCTAGCAGTTGCCTATACATCAGTCTCGACTCGAGGAAACGCTGGAGGCCAGCTACTAGAGTCTGTCATCTACGAATATATCACTAGGGTGGAATGAGATAGTGACTCTGTAATGTCCACGGGTACTTTCGGATGGATCTGTCAGTGCTTGCATCCGTTTCAGAACCGAGTACTAATCTGCAAACCAGGCGTTCTGACCAAGGTATTTGTGCTAGAGTATACTTGTGCCCTACAATCGCACGGTCACCATTACGAGTCGAATCTTCTATATTGAAGGGCCATTGAACGTCTGTGCTTTTAATTTACATCACATTGAAATGTACTTAAATGAAATCACAGATGACGTGTGGGTTCGTGGTCAGGTTGACGTATACTACCACAGACAAGTTGTTTGTCAGTCTAGCCCATACGCATGATTATGACTCAAACACAAGAGACCTAGTTACAGAGAAAACATAAAATCGAATGCAAAGCTCAAGCCATATGCATTGGAATTCCCAACGTCATACGAAGCCTGCTGAATATGATTTAGATGTACGAACAAGCACATTGACACCACATTCGGCATTTTGCCACTCGCATGCGACTCCTTGGTCCATGGAACAATCGTATGCTTTCGCATTCCATCTTCATTGTCCATCGGTAATTTCTGACGTCCCACAATATGTTGTCCGCTGTCTGTCCCTTGGCTCATACTCGAGCCACTTTTGCTTTGCTCATTATTGCACGGACCTTGTTCCACAGTTCCACATTCCACATTTCCACACCTCCACACTTCCGTTTCTCATATATAACCCTCATGGATTCCCTGATACCGACATCAGACCTTTTCCATCTGCCGAAATCAAACTTTCCCCATCTACTTTAATCAAAAATGTTCTTCCTTCCCCCCTTCACAGCTGACCTTCCAAAGCTGCCTTTGGAAAACATGGAGGCACACGCAGTCAATCGCCTGACCTGGATTGCAGGATATGACATCGAAAAACACGTAGGCACGTTGCACGTTTTTACTGATCTTCAAACTAACCTTGGTGTCCAGGAATGGGTCACATTCCAGGGTCTAGATTGCGATGAATCTTCTTACGATAACCGTGCGTGGAGAAAGCTGGTCAAGGACCAACAGACTATGGTATGGGCGGGAGTAACTCTGGGATCCTTACTAACGTATTTGTTGCAGGAACGCATGCAATCCTTATTAGATACCATTGGATGTTCACCTGATATTCCACAGTCAGAGAGAGTTCTCGAAGGCATGGTATGTTTTGAAAGCGATGCTCCTGCATCACTCTCGTTTACCTTTACCATTTGCAGAATGTCGTCCTGAGAGGGGCCTTAGGGACGGGCAAAAAGACAGTTGCTCATGCAGTCTGCAATATGCTCAAGCGCCCGATGCTTGACATTCGGGTGAATGACATCCCATACCTTGCCGATGTGGAACTGTGGGCCGCCAAACTAGCATCGGTATGTACCATCCGCAGGCCGTGATGCATCTCTGACGTGATGTGATTTAGCTTGCGATCAAGTGGAATGCCTTGGTAGTCATAGACCGCGGGGATGTAAGTATAGTTTCTCACAGCGTCCATTATATTCCTTCTGAACACACGTCGCACAGAATATCATGAGGTCTGAATGTGCAAACAATCGAGTATGTCCTTGACTTTTGTCTCGTGAATGCTGTACTAGTATAGCTAACTCTTCCGTCAGGAACGCATCAACTTGATGATTCGAGCATTTGAGTCACCCGGATGTATCTGTCTGTGGCCCTCGGTGTTGACGGACGAGCAGCAGGCACTACTCAGGCCGTTCTCTGCTGGTGCGTGCCTTAGCTAACTGACCCAAGTGTATCACTGACTTTTGCCCGTTACAGCCATCGAATTCCCCGATCTCGATCTAGCAGCCCGTCGCCAACGTTGGCTAGAACTCTTTGGCCGAGACGACCTGGTGGCAACTATCTTTAGCACCAAACGCGCATCCGTCCCTACTGTGAGGGACACGGAGGTGTGTACCTTCCTTCGAGAGATTGAGAAAATCTCTTGGTACGAACTCGATGGTAATTGTCATGTCTGGATAACGTGAGGCGGTGCTGATGACGCTAATAGGATCGGACATCCAAGACTTCATGAATATGGCACGAAGATTGGCTGGGTAAGTTGGTTGATATAAGTTGTTCCTAACAATTAATCATTGCCGCACAGGGAACAAGATCCAACCCCTCAGCACGTAAGGGAGTGTCTCAGATTGTGGGACGTGCCCCTTTCTGCACGGAGCAAGGTAGTGCGGTTTTTAGCACTTCGTGAGATGTATCTACGTGAGGAACCCAGTTTATTGAGAACACGGTGAAGATGTTGTGCCTGTTTGAAAGATTGGCTTGCTATTTTGTACTCTATATATGTGTTTATGGCTCACGATACTCCACTGGCAGTCACTTACTTATCATTATGTATATGAAATACCCATGTCACGAAAGAGACGGAGGACCTGAGGCTCGTGATCGTTAGCTTATTGCTTCTTGCATGCAACACGGTTTGGGAGGGCACTAGGTCTCATACATAAGCTCCAAACTAAACCCTGCATCATCGTAATCAGTAATTCTCGTCATATCACCGAATCTGCATCAACCACGATTTTGTATGCCTCTAATAGCTAAAATACCTGAATCACCAATCAACAGGATCTGCGAACAACATTAATATTAATCGTCGATGGCCTATTGGTTTCTTCATTACTAATCTTGATACAGAGATCCAACGAATGAAAATAAACCTCAAGTCCCGACTTATACTCACCCAGGTTCACAGCGTTATGGATGAGTTTGAACATGACCATTGTGCTACTTAGTACTGATTCATCATTATAACATTTATATGCGACCAAAGCTAAACTGAAGCAAACTGGTAGGTATACGTAGAGGCTTAACAATGTTCATGAAATAATTGATTGGCGAGTCGGTAAAGTAAGCCAGGTAAGGACGACAAATTAGACAGAAATCTATAATGGTGGAGTCTAATCAGCAGCCGGTACACACGAGAAGTAGTCACATACACCATGTCTTAGACTTATCCGTCCATCTGTGATGGTATATGCAGCGGAGGCATCTTGCTCGAAAATTACTCAATATCAGGGATCAACTTGTCCATTTCCGTCCATAAGTCTTGTTGCATCTTTCTCCAAGCAGCTCGTCTTGATCGGATACAATCTGCGCACCAGCTTTCCTCCTTCCACGGGATGTTGATCAACTCCTGAGCACCGCACACTGGGTCGAACAGGTATTTTGTGTACAGCCCAGAATCATGTACACGTTCGTTCCAGGTAACCTGTTGGGTGGTTTGAGGTGGACACTTGTCTGGAGAGTCCCAGTCTGACGCAAATGAAAAAAAAGCTAAGAGGGATTGGATAACCACGAAGCAATGAGACAGTACCTCGTTCTACAAGTGACACCCTCCTAATTTTGTTCGAGAAGGGTTGGTCACGGCAAGGAAACGTATCGATTCGCACAGCGACCTCTGACCAAGTGGTGACCAAGAGCTCTTTCATGAGCCCCACGCACCTTTCGTCTGCACGTCCAATCTGCGGGAGCACTGACTGCCCAGGAACATCATTATAATCATACAGACTAATCCGCCGGGTCCTAGCAAGTTCGTACAAAGCACGCTTCACAACACCATTCAAACCACATGAACGTGCAAGAATAATGACACCCGCAGCGTCTTCCTTGGGCTCAGGGGTTAAATCCTCCAGGGACGATGACCATGTCTGTTCAAGAACTCGAGCTGCCCAGGTACGATATGTTTCGAAGCGCAAGGCAGTCGCCGCGCAGATAATGGGGGCAAGAGTTAAGAATGAGGGAGGTTGGAAGTAATATTCGCTAAACATAATCAGACCGATCCATGCAAACACAAATGACGAGGATTACGTTGGGTTATCATCAAACTTCAAGAGAGCCGCAAAGTCGTCCGCCGTAGTAGTGTTGCCGAGGTGGTATACCGTCCCTTTGTCATCGATTTCTACCCGCACGTCGTCGTTCGGAAAGTTATCTTTGTCATGATTTTCAAGCAGCTGCGCGAAGAATAATGACTTGGAAACGAGCCTCGAGCGATGAAGCTTGAACAGTACTCCATCAACCTCAATAACAGTATTGGCATCCGAGATATAAAAATCTTCGTGTTTTCGAGGGTAACATAGTTGGATTTAGCCCGCTTGCGAGAGTGTCCTTTGCCGGGCTCCTTGCCGATCGTTCCATCGGTGGCTTTCCTCTTTCCCTTGGTCTTACAACGTGTCTTCGCATCATCCTTGTTGGCGCATACAGGCGTTGTGGAGTCATCTGAGACCTTCTGAAGAGCTGTTAGGTTCTGTTCCATTTCACCAACGTTGATCTGCGAGGTTGACGATGGTGGCTGGGACCTCGAAGGACTGCGTTCCAATACGTCTGTCCCCTGATCCTGGTGAATGTGAGATTCAGCAGCTTCGAATTTAATTGCACTTGCATCTGGTGCTACGGGAATTGTTTTGGTGCAACACTTCAGACAGTGAGCACTTGCCAAGCAAGACTAACTGACCAAGAGATGTTCCTTCTGCCTCGAGCGATAGAGCCATATAATTATTTAAACTTCGAAGGGGGTTTTCAAAACAAAATTCTGAACGTTCTGAAATAATGGTTTGTTGAAATTTAGCTTATATAATTTATACATGAACTCCGCTCAATTCATGCATCGTAAGCGCGCTAGTTCCCGGGTCTTTTCCTTTTTCAACGCTAATTTCAACACTCGTTTGCGCTCGATTTTCAGTATGACCTGCTGTCCTAACTAGAGCTAACTCATCGCACAGAGATCTCCTACTGTGTAAAAAGGTTCCACTCGTGCACCTGACTGTGACGCCAATTCCTTTCAACAACTATGTACGGTCTGCCTTTGAACCTCCCGTTATTCGTTCCGAGTCCTCGATGCTTGATGTTGCCAATGATCATCAAACTGCGGGGCCTTTCTCCATTGTCGCTGTTGTATTTTACACTGCTTACTCGTAAGCTCTCTGTTCTGTTCTTCTGTCTGCATTAGCCCACCCCCTCCCGCAGTGTCCGCCTGCAAAGTCCCGTGCCGCATCACACGCGTGCTTGACGAGCGTTATTTTCCACTGCATGCGGTTGCCCATATTACCTCATTTACTATGATGCACTTGATTATCATCCGTCGTGTTTCGAACCCCTTGAAAACTTATGTTCATGGCTTTTGTGATCTTTCGTTGAGCACCGTGGTCGTTGTCGTTCGTGCACTGAATCACAACAACGCGTTTGTGTCATGGTCTCTTGTCTTTCGGGCATCCAACTATACTCGCTGCGCTGCGCTGCATTGGTTGGCTTCTGATCATATGTTCTGATGTGGTGACATCTGTTATTACATCCATGGGTCGTTTCCCTGCTTGTTTCCGGCACAGTCCCGCCGTAATCGCAAGACATTTGAGCGGTCTGATTGCCTGAGAACGTCCGGGAAATGGCCGACTCTAGGGGGCTCTGCAAACAGCGGCAGAACCGTTATTTGAAAACTCTCAATTGGATATGAAGATTGTATACTCAGCGCTGCCAAACACCGCATGTTTGTAGTGACCGGGACATTTGGTGTGCTCTTGGTAAATACAACAGTAAGTATGGCAGTGGACTCTGAAAATGATATGCACGGTAGCACGCTAAATCGATTGTGCAGAAATGGAGATCGCTATCAAATCGGAAATTGAGATGAAACTATGACAGCTAATGAAACAGATCTGTAACTCACATGCGGATTTGAATCAAATGCAGGCCGCAGGTATTGCAAGACCGGGGTCGGTGCAGAGATAGCTAGGGGATGGCTGATATTACATAAGACCGGGTAACGCGATATGCCCGGAGGGTAATAAATAGCATGTGTAGTAGCCTAGTACCTATCATCATAAGAGTAGTTCAAATGCTGTGTTAAATCAATGACTAGTGCATACATACTACATAGGAACTCCTCAATTTTTGCAAGCTGAAGATTACCGCGCCGGTATCCAAGTATAGTCACGTGACTCGAAATAACTGGGCCAACTCGCTCAAGGGCAGAACAGGTATTCGAATCACCATCATGCCGATTTTGGCGATACAAGCGCTGACCGGTCGACCGCTGGTATATCTAGCATGAACGTTAGGACAATAATCGTTATACACTCTCAACATCCCTCATCCCTCGAATATGACCGTAGTCTCAAATGAGCCCAGTTGGTGGCCGTACATCAATTCGGCTCGTTTTGACAGCTATTGGACAGGTTTGTCATACAAGTTAGTAACTTATAATGTATTGATTTGACATCGACTTGCGGTTTCGCAGTTGCCGCAGGCATCGTGGTGGTATACGATTGGGGTGAGCAGGACACTGTTCGAAAACTGCTAATATTCTCATGATATTTACAGTGCTGACACTCGGAGAAGAGGTAGGTCGGTGATATTGCCAGAGCAGCCAATTTGCTAATAATGGTGTCATAGATTGAATTGATCTGGGTGAGTCATTGGGTCCCATATCAGAAGAAAAAACAATGAATTCGTGACAGGCGCAACGCTGGTCTCTCATGACTATGCTGTACCTCATTGTTCGTACCTTATGTTATACTATGCCGCAATTGGTAGTTGTGCTGAATCCAAAATGTTCTAGATACGCTATATTGGAATACCATATTGTGTGTATGTTATCGAAGCCAACAAGTTGGTGCTGTGCTAATAGCCCATTTGTCATTATCAGTTTCGACGTTCTGCGTATGTCTCGTATGCACCGTGTTCGAATCTTCTGACCAGTGGTGCACAGAAATTATGCCATTGGTCTCGCTGACAGATGAAGTGAGTACTCCGCAATCATCTCATTCCCATCCAATGAATATATTCATATGCAGGGGTGAGTGTAATTCAGGCCATTGAACTTGGCTCGACATAATAACTCCATAGGTGTGAGTCGGAGTGTTTGATCCTAGTACGAGGGTAATCGCTAATCGGGTGTTTCAGGTATCATTATATATTGCGCAATAAATGGGACAAGTGTGGTCGTAACTGTCATGTTGGGCGGTGAGTTACCCAGCTGCAATATCTCAGTGACATTGACTCGACTGAAACACGATGCAAGTCATCATGATTGCTCGATTGCATGCCATGTATCAGAGATCTAGGAAGATGCTCATCTTCCTTGTTATCATCTTCTTGGCTGTAAACGTCGCCTGCGGAGTAATCACAATAATAGTACTTAAGTATGATGGTGTAGCAGGTAAAGTTTTCTTGTTGAATCGAAAAACACAGCTCATTGGAAAAACACCAGAGGAGGTAGTACTCTCTGGCATTCATATATGCTATGTTGAATTTGGAGGGGACTCCCAACTTCTGGTATCAATGATTTGGATGCTCAACACTATTTGGGAGGCCCTCGCACTGTGTCTTACAGTCTGGATCGCTGTGAAGCACTTCCATGATCTGCGACGACTCGGCCCATTGACGGGATCCCGATCGACCATCGGGGACTGTTTCAGAGTGCTCATGGAATCTCATGTGCTTTATTTTGTTAGGTGAGCTTGTAATGTGAATGTGTTTATATTTTTTTGCTCAAGTTCCGCATGTGCTAGCTTTGCCGGTGTCTCTTCTCTTCAGCTTGTTGCTCTCTCTTCAGAGATCGAGGTGCGCTGACCTGTCACTGACATCTGCTTGTAACCACTGCTCATCATTTCTGTAGAATCCGAGTTCTGCTGGAGCCGTGATACTCAATGGTACTATTGACATTTTATTGTCCGTGCAGATGTTTGTGCTAGGACCACGCCTCATCCTTAGCGTTCGACAATATCACGCTAAACTCGTGGCCGAATCCGACGCAGAAACTAGCATGAATTCGATTGTCTTCCAGGAGCGCGTACATGTACCAACCAGCAGTACTGTGTAGGAGATAGTTGCCGAGTGTTCCGCATGGAGGAGATATTTGGTTGAGGATATGTCGTAGTATTTATTTACTTTATTTTATGATGTTTCAAAGTATATTTAAGAGGTTTATGTAGGCATTTCTTGCTGTGTCACTACTGGAAGTCGGTGAACCACCCGCCCAACCTTGCACCAAATGGCAAGCTGAGCGGGGAGCAGAGAACTCGAGAATCCTAGCTTCAATCTAGAAGGTCTCGAGTACGCCTGTCAAACTATTACTTTTATAATGAGGCATTGACTACATCTCAATTTTCACGGAGTTGCGCCATAGCCTGCATTGCGCACATGTAACAGTCTGCAGATTGTGCGTCGGGTTTGCGTCCTTGCAGGATCTGTCAGAGTCCATCCTGCTAAGCACGAGTAAAGCACCGAACGAGAAACATACATCCATATATTCATCATCGACACCGATTTTAGGGCCAGCGGATGATGGGTGATCAAAAAGACAGTGTATCACTTCATGTGATCATCTGCTAGCCCAAGTACGTGAGTCTAAGCCCAGGTACTGGCAGCTGATAGACCAGAATGTCTGCGAGCCCGCGAAATACTTTGCAATCATCTGTCCAAGAAAATATATGGAGAAACGAGTGGTTGTGCGAGGCCAGATGACTGGTGATGCTGCCATGGCCTTGTTAAAACACGTTTATTCAGAACCATGGAATTATCAGTCATCTCGACCGAACGAACGGAAAGCAAGTGGAATAGAAAGTAGAAGTAGCGTGTCTGAGCTCAGGCAGCTAATCGCGCATAATGGCTCCGAAGCGTAATGAATCTCGTCTTCTGTTTGAACACATAGATGAAGGAGGAATAAGAGACGTGGAGGCGAGAATCTTGCAATGAACATTGTCCAGTCTCAAGGCACGCGTGAATGAAGAACGCGATGAAGATGACATTATGGGACCATCATGATCGTCCCACGTAAACTCGTTTCGCGCAAGGATTGATTGTGCAGAAAGTAAGCAAATATTTACAAGGTGAAGGCGGCAGCGTTGCTGTCGACATTGTAAAAAAGACGCTCTAAAGGTCTAAATCAGGTCTTACAATGGACTATCAGATCGGAAATTGAGTTGGAGCTATGCCAGCCTCTAACGTTCAGAACGTATGATACTGACATGTAGATTTGAATCTGATGAGGCCGGGTCGTTGCAAAGAGAGAATTATATTAATTTGGATGAGTGGTATTCTTGATATTTGGCAAGACCGGGTACCGATTAGAGAACGTTCTGGATATTGGAAGATGTGAACGTTGACATGTACCCGCATGGAGGAGGTTAATTAATGAACTTGTCACCGCAGTTCGAATGGCCCTTGTTCCATAAGAGTAATCGGAGGAAGAGTGCAGCACATCATGATGCAAGTCAAGCTTAGACCGTTGAGTCGCGTGAGAAGCCGATTTCCAATTCGGGTAGTGCAAATCAAATTCGGTGACCTTCATTGTCACTACTCCAACCAATTGCAAGGGCCTCCCTTGAGCATGCATAGACAAATGTCCGAATCACCATCATGCCGATTTTGGCGATACAAGCGCTGAATCCTGGTATATCTAGCATGAATGCTAGATCGTCATAAACTCCCAACATCCCCCATGCTCGAATATGACCGTAGTCTCAAACGATCCCAGTTGGTGGCCCCTCATCAATTCAAGTATTTTTTACAGCTATTGGATGGGTTCGCCATATCAGTTGGTTATGTCGTGATCTGATATTCACTTGTGGCTTCGCAGTTGCCGCAGGCCTCGTGGTGGTATACGATTGGGGTGAGCAGCAAAGTGTTCTAAAACTGCTGATATCCTCATGATACTTCCAGTATTAACACTCGCACAAGAGGTACGTTGATGCTATTGCCTCTGGAGCACCCAACTTGCTCACAATGGTGTCATAGATTGACCTCATTTGGGTGAGTTGCAGAGTCCCATATCAGAGCAAAAACAATGAATTTGTGACAGACCCAACGCTGGTCTCTCATGACCGTGCTGTACCTAGTCGTTCGTACCTCGTGTTATACCATAGCTTGGTTGGTGGTCGTGCTGATTCCAAAATGTTCTAGATACGCTATGTTGGAATACCATATTCTGTGTATGTTAATCGAGGCCAAAAAGTAGTTGCTGTACTGATAGCCAATCTCTCATTATCAGTGCCAGCATTCTGGGTATGTCTCATATTCACCGTGTTCGATTCTTCTGACCGGCGGCACACAGGAAATATGACAATTGTCTCGTTGACAGATGCAGTGAGTATTCCGCAATCATTTCATTCCTATCCAATGAATACATTCATTTGTAGGGGTGAGTGCGATTTGACCATTGGATTTGGCTCGACATAATGAGTCAATAGGTGTGAGTCGGAGCGTTTGATACTAGTACGAGGGTGATCGCTAATCGGGTGTTTCAGGCAATATCATAATCTATGCAATAAATGGGACAGGTGTGGTCGTAACTGCCATGTTGGGCGGTGAGTTGCGCAGCTGCGATACCTCAGTGATATTGACTGAAATATGATCCAAGTCATCATGATTGCTCGGTTGCATGCCATGTATCAGAGATCTAGGAAGATGCTTATTTTCCTTGTTATTATCTTCCTAGCTGTAAACATCGCCTGCGGAGTAATCGCGACCATAGCACTCAAGTATGATGTTGTATCGAGTAAGTTTTAGTTGTTGAATGGATTAACACAGCTCATCGGACAAATACCAGAGGAACTGATACTCTCTGGGATCCACATGTGCTCTGACGGATTTGAGGGGGATTCACAGCTTCTGATCTCAATGATCTGGATGCTCAACACTGTTTGGGAGGTCCTCGCACTGTGTCTTTCGGTCTGGATTGCTGCGAAGCACTTCCGTGACCTGCGACGACTCGGCCCATTGACGGGATCGACCATTGGGGACTGTTTCAGAGTGCTGATGGAATCCCACGTGCTTTATTTTGCAAGGTGAGCTTGTGATGCGAATGTGCTTATCGTTTTCTGCTCAAGTTCCGCATGTGCTAGCTTTGCCGGTGTCTCTTGCCTCCAGCTTGTTATCATCTCTCCAAAAGTCGAGGTGCGCCAACATGTCACTGACATCTACATGTGACCACCGCTCATCATTCCTGTAGAATTTGAATTCTGTAGCAGTTGAGATACTCGGTGGTGCTACGGAAATCTTATTGTCCGTGCAGGTGTTTGTGCTGGGACCACGCCTCATCCTTAGTGTTCGACAATATCACGCTAAACTCGTGGCCGAATCCGACGCAGAAACTAGCATGAATTCGATCGTCTTCCAGGAGCGTGTGCATGTAACAACTAGCAGTACTGTGTAGGAAATGGTTGTCGAGTGCTCCGCATGGAGAAGATATTTGGTCGAGGATCCGTCGTATTTATTTCAGTTATGGTGTCTCAAAGTATATTTAGATGAGATTGATGTAGACAAACCCATTTCTTGTTGTATCGCTACTGGAAGTCGGTAATCCAGACTTGCACCAAGTAGCAAGATGGCAAGAAGATGAAGATGAAAGCCTCGAGTACATCTGTCAAACTATCAATGAGGCATCGACCACACTTAGTTGCACCATCGCAACGTGGCGCGCATGCGACTGCAAATCGTGCGTCGAATTTGCATTTTTGCAAGATCTGTTGGAGCCCATACGGCTAAGCACGAGTAAAGCACCGAACGAGATACATACATACATTCATTATTAACGCCGACCTTAGGGCCAGCAGATGATGGATGATCAAAAAGAGCATGTATCACTTCGTATGATTATCTGCTAACCCAAGTACGTGAGTCTAAACCTAGACAGCTGATAGACCAAAATGTCTGCGAGCCTGCGAAATACTTTGCAATCATCTGTCCAGGGAAATATATGGAGAAACGAGAGTGGTTGTGCGAGGCCAGATAACATGGCCTTGTTGGAAAACGTTTCTTCAGAACTATGGCATTATCAGTCATCTCGACCGGACGAATGGAAGGCGGAATGGAAAGTCGAAGTAGCGTGTCTGAGCTCAGATAGCTGATAGCATAATGGCTCTGCGGCGTAATGACTCTTGCCTTCTCCTGAACTAGCGTCTGTTTGAACAAATAGATAAGAGACGCGGGGGCGAGAATCTTGCAATGAACACTGACATTGCGCTCATGATACAGCAACCGCAGACCAGGCCTTAAGAAGCGTGATTCCGATTTTCAATCACTTCGCCTCTGAACACTCCAAACTAGGAACACTTCTCACCAGCACCGACGAAGGGTGGGAGCACGTCATCTACCGGGCCTGAGTTGAAAGGTAAGGACTCTGTACAGACACTGGGCTAAACTGAAATCGGTGGCAGGGGTGCATGACTGGAAGCTGAAAAAGGCCACTCTAGGACAGTAATGAACCTGTACAACGCTGGTGACATACCAGATGAACTTTTGCACCAGACAGCAGGCGCACTGTATCTGCCAAACTTCTATGAATTCGCTCCACTTGCTCCCATAGAGGAGGGATTCAGCCGCGTAATATCAGAATCAAGTATACGGTTCTCAACAACGGATTTGTAAATGACATTGGGCTACTATCATTCCATATGATACATGAAGATAAGAATCATTTTTTGTAACGGCAAGGTTGGCAAGAAATGATTCTTATCTTTATGTCTAGCTTCATCTCTCGAGTTTATGTGGTGCGACTGAAGAGGTTGGGCTGTGCCTACAGCGTTAGCTCTAGGAGAGACACGAGTGTGGAACGAGAGAAGAAAATGGCTGTGGCTGTGCAAACTAGGTGCCGGTTCCTTCCGCAGGCTGCAGGAACCCTGGAACCGGGGTCCGGTACTGAGATACTTATCTACCAATGATAAACACTCAGCGGAGCCGGGGACTTGGTGCGTGAGCACCGTACATATATTCATCATTGACACCAACCTTAGGCCTTAGGGCGAGTGGATGATCGATGGTCACAAAGACAATGCATCGCTTCACGTGGTTATCTGCTGGGGGGTCTAAGCCTAACAGCCGGTCATCTGTTATTGCATTCATGGATCACTTTCCTGCTCGTTTCCGGCACAGCCCTACCATAATCGCAAAACATTCGAGCAGTTTGAGGGCTCCCCTTCTGGCTCCCTCTCTGGCAGTAGTGTTCGTCGCACGAAAGACCCTAACGTTGGTGTTATTTTTCTCGAACGTAGGCGGTTTGGCGGTTTACCCGTTGATGCTGTTTTGAAACAGTTGGCTAATGTTCGTGTGCCCCCAGACTGTCACGGTGTGCGTAGCCTGTTGTCGCTATTGTGTGCGCATCTTGCTGACGTTTGTGATATTGAAGTGGCCCTCCGTCTGCTCGCTCGGCTGCCCTATGTCCCTCTTCCATGTATGGATAGCGAAATTCTGTAGTCAACTCCTAGTCTTCGTGCCTTGGTTCGCCGCCCGCGTGGCTCTTCTATTGACATATTATCAAACGTTTGCCAGCACAAGTGGCTGCGGCCAATGTCATCCTGTCGTCCATTCTCATTCTCATACTAAGACTGGTAATGCCAGATTGGTGCTTACATTCAAGAACGCCTTTTGTTTCTACAGTCGGCCGGCTCTCAATCATCATCAGTTCCCAAGCGAAGACGAGATCACGGTGTAATAAAAGGGGCCTACTACACATGCACAGTTTTGAAACCACATTCACCCCGGCGCTGCGGAGCAGGTTAACCTGACCCCACTTACAGCTCGAGCTTATGCCTTGACTTTCTGCCAGTTAACTGCTATTTTCTCATGACCTATACTACTACATCGTGACATTTGTGTACGTGGAAGCGAGCAACCAAGGCTAAACTGGAACAATGAAGTATATTACTGTAAAATCGTGCAAATGATCGTTGCAGAGGAGGCCTAAAATTGTTCGTGAAACCCTTTACTGATGAGTCAGAATAGATGTGACTAGGTTCGGAACATCAAACAAGAGTATATAATGGCGAAGAGCCAAAGTTAGCAGGTAGTATACTGGGAAGTGTTCACGCACACCGCATCTCAGACAGTCTTGTCTGTTCGGGAATGGTGTAAAGCCATCTTACTCCAGAATCAAACATTACCAGGGATCCAATTGTCCATGTCACTCCAAACTTTTTGTTGTATCTTTCTCCACGTAGCTCGTTTTGACTGGATGCAATCCGAGCACCAGCCTTCCTCCCCCCACGGAATGTCGATCAATGCCTGGGCACCGCACACTGAATCGAACAGAAATTTTGTGTACAGCCCAGAGTTATGGACACATTTATCCCAAGTAGCCTGTTGCTTGCCGGATTTAAAGGAACATGAATGTGTTTCTGATACAGATCAAGAAAAGAATACGAGTCAGAAGTTTTAACTGAATGGGAAGGAATACAGCAGTACCTTGCGGTGCAAAAGACTTCTTCTTTTTCTTGGGGGAAAACATGTCGGCCTTTGACGCACAATCGTGCTGGCAAGACGACGTGCCAATTCGCACAGCGATCTCTGACCAGGTGGTAACCAACAGTTCTCTCATGAGCTCCACACATTTCTGGTCTGCATGACCAATCTGTTCGAGCCCCGGCAGACCAATCCGACGAGTCCTGGCAAGTTCGTACAAAGCACACTTCACAACGCTATTTACGTCACATGAGCGTGGAAGGGCAACAATTTCCACAGCATTTTGCATCGGCTCGGGGGTCAAATCCGCCAGGGAGGATGGACATGTTTGCCCAAGAACTCGAGCTGCCCAGACACGATATGCTTCAAAGCGCAAGGCAGTCGCAGCACGGAGAATAGGGGCGACAACTGAGAATGGGGGAGGTTGAAAGTGATACTCGCTAAAGATAGTCAGACTGATTCATGCAAAAGACAATAATGGGTGTTACGTTGGGTTATCATCAAATTTCAAGAGAGCCACGAGGTCGTCCGCCGTAGTAATATTACCGAGATGGTACACCGTCGCTTTGCCATCATTTTCCACCCGCACACCATAGTCGAGGAAATCATCTTTGAGGTCATATTGAAGAAGCTGCGCGAAGAATGATGACTTGGTGACTAGCCTCGAACGATGAAGCTTGAACAGCACCCCATCAACCTCGATGACAGTATTGGCATCCAAGATGTAAAAATCCTCGTGTTTTTTGGGACTAGCACATTCAGATCTAGCCCGCTTGAGAGGACGTCCTTGATCAGTATCGTTGCCGGTCGTTCCGGGGGGCTCCCTCTTTTCCTTAACCTTATCATAGCTCTTCGCATCGTCCTTGTCTACGCATGGGGAAGTTTTCTGAGAAACTGTTGACGCCTGTTCCACGCCAATGCTGTTTATCTGCGAGCTTAACAGTGGTGGTTTGGAGCTTGAAGGACCGGATAGGCTTATCTCCTGATCCAGTCGAATAGGAGATTCAGCTTCTTTGATTTTACCTGTGCTTTCATGCGAAACTACACAAACCCGTGTCGATTCAGGTAGCTCGGTGCTATGAAGAGTGGAGAATGGGTGGACGATATCTGCCTTTAGAAGGGATTGTACACCTCTTGAATCGAGGGGTTTGCCGAACATAGTACCATCTTCATTGACACTGTCACTGGATTGAGAGAAGAGCCTCGGCCATGACCAGTAGCTCTATTTGAGACTTTTAAATATTTAGTGAAAAAAATATTAAATGCAACTTACGAGCAGAATTCAAAACTAGTACTTACTATATGCTGTGCAGTTGCATCAACAAAAGAACAGTTTGCGTGTATGGCTGGTTACAGTATGCCTTTTATGGCTTACAAACCCTGGTAGATGGTTGTATGAGATTGTAGTACATATGCAAGTAGTAACAGACACGTGTAAGATGTAAAACTTGTACCGGAAGTGTGCGAAGCTTGTAAAGTAACTAACAGAAGTGCGGAGGTATGCATGAGATCGCAGCATGTATGCAAGTCATAGCAGATATGGGCGAAATGTAAAGCTTGTACATAAATGTGCGAAGCTTGTACAGTGATTAACAGAAGTGCAGAAGTATGCATCATCAAGATTGCATGTATATATACTAGCTATAGGTCTTATATACATTGGTCTCATGCATATGCATGCATCATGTACCGATCCAAGACGTGCCACAGCTCGAATTCGGCCGACAGCAACTTGACACGTATGTTATAATTTTTGCTAAGTCATTTACCTAAGACCCCGAACTCGAAGCTTTTCCGACTTCGAGATCCGTCCGTCTCTAAGATTTTTCTCACATAAGTACCACCCACACGGCACACGGTGGATTGTGCTGCCTACCACGCCCTACTATGACAGCCTACGCCCTGCCGCTGCCACCTCTTGCATTTTGTCGCCCCTCACTGCATCTCTTGCACCCTCTTGCGTTATTCGAGTGAGTTTATTGAAATTCCCACATTTACCTGCTAGCTAGCATCTCCCGCACTCAACTCTACGGTAAGTTTTTTTTTTCAATTTTTGTTCACTCCCTAAGCTAACCAAAGCTCATACACATGTAAGTTCTATCTTTTCTTTTTGTCTTCTAACTTTGGTAGCCTTCAGCATCCCCCGCATCCTCTGAAACCTTCCTCTACCCTTTTGCACCATCTCGCACCATCCCTGCATGCTCTTGCACGTTCTTGATCCCTCTCGCGTGCTCTCATACTGTCTAGCGCTGTCGCGCATTATTGTTGTCTCTGTATAGTGTGCCTTTCACTTTCACTTTTTCCCTTGTCTCTGCTGGCTCACATCATACACCTGACTACCTTCGCATCGTCACTTTCATATTCAGTACTTTCCCTTCGCATATTTGTATCTCTACTTACTATTTTGCTTCCATGCTCATTGCCTATAGCCCAGTGTACTGTAGCTACTGCAGTGCAATTTGATGTGGCCGTTATTGTGATCAAACAGAGCCTATAATTATTGCACAATACAGTGACAAGACTAGTTGGAGTATGTGTATAAGTTCATTACCTGTACAAGGGACTGCCAGGAAGCACAATTGTCACAAGAATTGTAGTCACTGGCATGTATCGAATTTCATCACCTAAACAAGGATCTACCGAGTGATACAAATATAACAAGGCTGGTAATAGTATGTATAAAACCTCGCTGCATGCAGTGGCACGGACTTGTATGGAGACTGACAAACTCAACACACATCTGTCATGTGTTTGTGGGGATGGTAGCAATTGTGTACCTTGTACTGGCCAGTTACTGGCTGTCACATGGGATGTACGGTTGTTGTGTTTTTTATGATGTGGTACCGTGGAGTGTACATTGATGCTGAGTTTAGAATGACGTCGATGATAATAGTATTACGTCAGTTCATTCATCGCTTTTTCAAACGTTGACGCGACGCGACTGGACCATGACAGCATTCTAGTACCGTTTGAAGTAAAAATAAACTTACAGCTTTCTCATCCTCTCAGGAACATGGCACCGCAGCTCAATGAGGTCCGTACTAGCCCATTTCCCACTGGTTCCTCCCTACACCATCCATGTCTCCCTACACCTCCTTCGCAGTCGCAGGCGCAGGCCCCACAATCGGTGGCCGTATCGTGAAGGCAAGATTCAACCATATTGATTGATACTTCCTCAGTTTTATCTGACTGTTTGATAGGCTTTGGTTGAGCAAGGCGCTTCAGTAGTTGCTCTTCTTCGACCGTCGAGTGCATCGATATCGAGCCCACTTCTCGAGGGCGCCAAGATTGCCACGGCTGACTATGCTGACGTCAAAGCAGTCGCCTCCATTCTCCGCGAGAATAAAACGCAGGTCGTCATTTCTGCATTGGCATATGGCGCGTTGTCTTCGCAGTCTACTCTCGCAGATGCTGCCAAGGAAGCCGGTGTCAAACTTTTCGTTCCCTCTGAATTCGGTATGCCTACAGAGGGAGGGAAGGCTGCTCACACGGTCACCAAATCACAATTTGCTGGTGAGACTTTTTGGTGCTTGGTTTGTCAGTTGTTGAACGCTCACGATATTGTAGACTATTTGAAGTCATCGGGCATCCCTTCATTGCGAATATATGTAAATGCTCGTTATCCTATATATCTGGCAGAGCTAGTAACACCTTTTGACATAGACCGGGATGTTCATGGAGTTCATTCCACAGTTCACTGGTGTTGACATTGGGAAGTTCTTGGTCCTGGGCAAGGGTGATGCATCATTTTCTACCACTGCCTTGGACGACGTTGCAGGTATTGTGATACTCCTTTTTAGTGATCATAGTAACATATGAGGCAATCTAGGTTTTACCGCTCACGTTCTTACAACACTTCCGCCGGCCAAACTCCATGATACTTCGTTCCGCGTCGAGGGAGAACGCACATCCTTCAATAAAGTTGGCGCCCTGTATACTGCATCCAAGAACATTACAGTAGAGCATGTCACTTCTCTTCCCGAAGGATACGTCAAACAGACTCTTTTGCAAGGCTTATTTGAGCAGGGCCGGGGCAGCTCCGGTTGGGACAACTACGCCGACAAGGACGTCCCGGAGAACGCTAATAGCGGTAATGCAGCCTGGCCTGGGCACCAGTGGAAGACTGTCAAGGAGGTGTTGGAGTTGTAGGCCTCACAGCAGCTGGTAGTTCATCTGCATTCTAAGTCGTTGTATCTATCACGAGTCCTCTCTCTAGTCCAGGTTGCGCTCAACCGTCTCTACGTTCAGTCGTCCTTACGTTCAACCGTTCGACGTACATCCACTCTCTACATAATAATTATCCAGTGCGCATGACTTGCAAGAAGATATGAGTATGCCTAAAGACTAGTTGGCCACCACACCCCCACCCTGCTGTGCGCATTGGTCACTCAAATAAGATGGTATCTGTAACTGCTGGATTTGGCTCGGCAGATCCGCAAACTGCATCAGCAGCCCTGCAGCCATGTGCCAGCCAATGTGACAGTGGAACGCCCAGAGCCCTGGGTTGTCAGTGATGAAGCGGATGGCGACCCAGCCGTAGCCGGGAAGAGTCAATGTGTCGCGTCTCGGCGGGTTGGTTGTATTGAGTTGTGACACCCCAGATGTGTAGCTGCCATCACCTTCACCGAGAATCCAAAATACGTGCCCATGAAGATGGAATCTACACAGGGTGTCAGTCAAAAGAGACTAGGACTAGTGCATAACCAATGGCACATACGGGTGGCTAGCATCATCGTAGTTGTTCAGGATTAAGTCAAAGACAGTGATATTATCGTTGACGACGACGAGTTGGTTTGAGTCGAAGGTAGTCTGAATCCCGGCCTTTGACATCTGCAGCAAGGTAGGATTTGTAGTATCAGACAGCCAACTCGTGCTGTTCATGAATGCCAGTGTTTGCGTCCCGCCAGATTGAGTTGTTTGCTGAAAAGACATGAAGATTTGAACAACATCTGTGCTGTTGGGTGGGTCCATGGCAATTTGGGGTACGATCATTGTGCTGTTGAGGTCGAGACAAAGGGCGGGGATTGCGTCCGACCAATCCTGGGTGTTCGGTGTCGTTGGCGAGGCACCGTATGTCATCGTAGCCAGCACCATCGTGTTGAGGTTGGGATTGCTGAGTTTGTAGCAAGAACTCTGCATCTCTCCACGTACATTGTACGATCCTGCCGTTTGATTTGTCGTCAGGATAACAGAGTAGCGCTGTGCGACGTGTATAGGGACGCGGTGCACGTTCACAGGTTCAATAGATATCCCATCTGCTTCAACAACGCTCAGCACGTGCGAATCTACGCTAAACATGAACTCTGTCAGCGTGCCCATATTGATGATACGGAGCCGATAGCTCAAATTTGGTTCAAGATCAAATGAGGAACCGTTCATCTTGCCGTTGATAAGACCGCTGTCCGGAGGAGGTTCTGCTCCAGGATTGACTCCACCATAGTTAGAGCCATCAATCCCAGCGGAGCTCAAGTACTGAGTGAGCAATCCGGAAGACATTACATCATACCAATCTAAAAGAGAGCTTCCCTGAGAATACAGACAAAAACAAAATAATGATACGAACCCGAAAGTATGACAAGCACGTCGCGATCATATTGGCCAAAAATAGGCTCACTGGGAGAGTGAATTACAAGCGGTCCGTAAATGCCGTCTGTGTACCTTGTTTTATTTGCGTTAGTCTCAAGACAGAAATCGCCATGTGCTGCAGATGCTTACTGTGTAGACGCATGAGCATGATACCAGAACGTGCCGTACTGGCTCGGATTAATGGTGAAACGATAGGCTAAATAAGTTAGACTCATGGAACGTGGTCACAAGAAGCAAACCTACTGAAATTCATTCCCGGAGGAATAGGGCACTGAGTAATACCGTTGGTGCCATCCATGTAGTTGGTTCCGTTTTGAAGTTGACCATGCCAATGAATAGTGGTGCCGTTGGGTAATTGATTGAAAACGTTAACCACAAGCTCATCACCGCTATTCACCTCAACAAGAGGGCCAGGGAATTGGTCTGAAATTCCGAAGTCAGTGGGATCATCATCATGTATGGAGTAACGCGGCGTACTGTTCACCACTAACATAGTTCTCTCGAAACCATCGGGTGAACCTGTTGCTTCAGATATGACGAATTCGTAGTATCTGGTTGTCGTTGTATTCGTGACAACAAAATTCTGATCCAGGAGAAATGAAGAGTTTGTCGTGACGTAGCTCATATTCGACGTCTTCTTCAGTCCCAATCCGAGCCCTAAACCAAGAGCCAAAGCGAGCACGACCACAATGGCGCCAGCTATGCCAGTGATTACGAACAACTTTCGACGACCTATTGAAAACTCTAGTTGAATTCAAATCAAACAGGTGTGACGCAAGTCCACGAACCACTTCGCCTGATGGGTGTGATACGGGTCTCTTTTAAAGTCAGACCCTCATGGTCGCCCGAGCTACCCTCCTTGGAGAGCGACAACAGGGTAGACATCGTGAAAAAAGATGTTGTCCCTAAGGCGCTAATTCGCTCTATATGGGCTAGAGATTCATCGATGCACGTTCGTACGGATTATTGATATGAATTTGACAGGCATGAATTGATGGTAAAGATATCCATCTGTGGGATTATGAAGGATGGCCGATGACCCAATTTATAACGTTCGCACGTCCATGCGCATAGTCCATCTGCCACGGTGGGAAGCAAGTAGGAAAATCCAATGTGTCCGCTTGACTTTGAATTACCTTGGAGAAAGGTGGCCGCCGGCATGCTTTCTGCTCGCTTTCGTGGCATAATAGAAAGTTTGCCCTTCCTAGTCAACGCACCTGCAAACACGTGAAATCGCGCAAATTACCGGATTCGCTTCAACTTCAAGTTTGCTTCAACTCTACCACTAGTTTCTAATACGAATGCACCCTCAATTGAAATATATGTACATCACTGCACAGTGCCAGCATCAATTTATCTGTTCCTCTTACCTAGTATTATCTTCGACTGGCGAGGTCACAGAGATACACCTGAGCAGGTTTGATTACGTCCGCTCATGTGTCTCACTGGCACCCCTTGTGTCTTCTCAATCCCCCGTCAGGTCTGCGTTTTTATCATGCACAGTGGCCCATGGAACGGGCGGACACTTGCTGGTCAGTTTATCTACTAGTGCTCTCGTCGAACACGTCCCAGAGTCATCCACATGGTCACGTCACCTCTCGTAATACCAGAGTACCTCTTTCAAGGTCTATATCTTTCCAACGCTTTTGACGCATGTGTGACTCATCTTGGAATTGTTACAGGTGTTTTCGCGTTGAATGAAACATGGCCCAACACTAAGATTCTGACTTCAAGCGCCCCATTATTTGATATTTGTTCTGGAAACAAACCACCTTCGATGACGAGAGTCGCTGTCTCCACCTAATTGCGACCTAGAAGCTGAATTATTCAACAAAGGTTTCCGGAAGTTGGTGAGTAATCATGCGTTCTGTTAGCACATCACTCCGTTGCAATGGACCTGAGATTCTAATAGAATACTATGTAGGGGTGCCTTACAACCGAGCTGTGTTGGGGCATGTCAGTTACTCGTAGCGGATGCCGCCACAGTCTACTTGCTAGACATCTTTGGGGAGATCCGATTAGGTCGAGTTGTCCCATGAGGATTTAGTGAGTAGAAGCAGTTGTTACAGCATGAGAAGGTACTTCAACTTCGTACCAGTTGTCAGATGTATCCGAAATTATGACAAGAAAGGGACATGCTGTACCCGTTAGGAGCCATGATTATGGCCTCAGATACCCTGACTTACTAAAGTTCTTACGGTATGTCCGTATTATATTCTCAATTAAACTGCGCTGGCCCCATTATTTCATCAGATGGTTCGAGGGCTGCGCAAGTATAAAAAGCCTCGCGAATTTGACACAGCGACAGGTGGTCACCCCCCTCGATTACGATCATGCAGCTCTCATTTATTTTCACGACACTGATGTCCTTTGTCGCTATTGTTGCAGCATATCCCACACCAAACTTGGGCACGAAACGTACTTGTGAGATTCATGCGTCAATCTAGTTAGTGAGAGTGATACTGATATGCTTGGCAGCTTTGGCTAGACGCGAGGGGCTTGACTTTGACCTCACTCACTATTTGAACGCTAGGACGCCTGACGACATTAGTAACCCTCCTAAGTTCAAAGGTCCTGACGATCCTGACGACCCTGACGAACCTAATTACTTCGACTGATGAGTGGCAATGAGCAGTGAGCACGTTGAATCTAGAAGTGTGAGGAATGTAGAAGAAAGGTATCGTTGTTTCTTTCTACCTTTTTCTGATACGTGATTTATCACTTTTCAGCTGTACGATAAAGGTGGACCGTAGGGGGTGTTACAGCGCCGTCGGTTACCGACTACAGCTTTTGTTTACAGAATAATTTCTTTGCGCTTCGCTTCCTATCTAAATTCCAGACTCTTCAGAACTTTCGGCCAAGCTTGGCTATGTTTGGAGGGGGGCTTTCAATGACTGCGACTCTACGATGTATTTAGTTGTGGCCTGTGATGTCCCGCGCGAGATGCACTGTCGTATGGTGTCACTGGTCATATTCAACAATCAGCCTGAAACTTACAACACCGCGCGTTCTCTGCGAATAGTTCAATTCGACCTTCCCGTTGGACAATTGTATCAGGAACGATAAGAATGAAACAATAAACTTCCTGACCTATTACATTGCAACGCCAAACAGCAGTTTTACATGATACGTGAAAGGTAAGTGATGTCGTGCACTCATTCAAGACTAGGCCTTATATGTCATTAACTTAGTTCTACTTAGGTTGATGTTGTAGATTTGTCTTTCCTCGACAATCGTAACGGCGCTCACGCACCAAGCCACCAACTCCTCTTTCGCACAAATTTTCATTCTACTTATCCGTGTCATATACTACTGACTCGGATGGCTAACTTATATCTTTACTTGTTAGAACAGTTCGAACGGAAGCCCTTCAAAGGCGAAGGTAACCGAAATGGATATACTCTTCCTACATTGCGTCATCCATACTGAATGAATCTGATTACGAGCTGCCTATGTTGGTCTACATAACCGCGAGCCTGCAAGAGATCACCAACGAAGCGGTCTCCAAATCCTGTTTGTTGTTCCATACCCATCACTCGCCGTTCGATCCCGCAGAGTTAAATATCGTCGTGAATCGCCACCTCATGTGATTGGCGAAGGTGCTCTCCGACTCTTACAGCGCGTCCGAGCGAAATCTCTACTTGCCATCCATCTTATGAGCATTGAAGGTGTCAAAGCTATTTTTATGGACCAGATTTCGTTACTGTGTCGAAGGACAGCGAAAACCCATGGGCAATCCTCAAGCCAGAGATCTTTTCAATACTTATGGAGCATTTCTCTGTCAGTTTGCCGCTTTTCCGGTCGGAAGAGGACAAACAAGCTGCTGCCCTGAGGACATACTCGGATTCTTGACATAGACTCTGAGACGGTAGCAATGATCAAAGAGCTGCTTGAGACTCGTATCCGTCTAGCGATTATGGAGGACGGTGGTGATGTAGAATACCGAGGGTTTAGTGATGAAGGCTTTGTGAAAGTTAAACCCACTCATCGAGGACACAGATATAGCAGTTGTGAAATATGAACACTACAATCAGCTCGGTAAACAGAGACTGTGAAATCGTCTAGCGTCGTACGAAGGGCGAGATGTCGCAAAGGTACAAGGAAGATTAGTGGAAGACGTTACGCAGGACCGCTTAGTGAAGGTAAAACCGAGTTTGAGTGAAAAGCCTAAATAAGAGTCAGGGTCATAAATGGGGCTTGGGCGCTTCAGCCGCACAGCCTATAATACTAGCTGTGAAATAATCACAGGGATGTCACATGTGAATGTACCAGCTGACTTGACCCAAACTCCCATCGTGTCTTGGTGTCCAAACATATCATAGTAAGTGGTGATTTTGGACTTTGTAGAATGAAAGCTGACATAGCGATGCACTCGGTAGTTGACACTGAAGATCATGTCTTCATCCATCATTAGGATACAGGATGCATCGAACATGACGCCCAGCCAGAAATTCGAAGGACACACGGGTTGGGTGACTGGGGCCATACATCTACCAGACGGACAGCGGATGCTGACTTGTTCAAGCGACGGCTCGCTGCGGGTATGGAACTTGAAGAGTGGGAAACAGATAGGAGACGACTGGCGGGACGGAGATAGTGAAGTGCGAACGATAGCGTTGTCTCCGGATGGGATGAGAGTGGTTAGCGGCGGGAGTGTAGATGGCGCAGTGAAGTTGTGGGATATCGACACAGGTAAAGTCGTCGCGAAATGGATGGGACATACAAAGGCGGTGTGGTCTGTGTGCTGGAGTCAAGATGGTCGGAGAATGGTGAGCGGATCCTATGATGGGACTGCAAGGCAGTGGGGCGTGGAGAACGGAGAAACGATCCTCGGTCCAATCGAGACTGGGCACGAACACGTAGAGGCAGTTGTCTACTCACCGGACATGAGCATGTTCGCGACTGGTGGAGGCACTTTCTCGGTTTCTGATACTGAGCACCCAGTGAAAATCTGGGATGCGAAGACAAGCTTGCTTGTCGCAACTCTCAACGGGCATACAGATTGGGTGTTTTGCCTGGCTTGGACTCTGGATGGAAAAACGCTTATTTCCGGGTCAGTCGATTCCTCGATTAGGACATGGAATACAACAACCTGGACGCAGCTCGCTGTGCTCGATGGGCACAGCAACGCTGTCTATGGCATTGCAATATCTCCGAATGGCCGCATCCTCGCAAGCGCGTCATACGACAACACAGCGCGATTGTGGAATCTCAACAACGGCCAGCCCATCAGTTCGCCCCTCCACCATGCGAATTTTGTGAACCGTGTGTCCTTTTCAGTAGATGAAAAGCTACTAGCCACTGGCTGCGATAACCATAACGCGTATACATGGGATATTTCTGCAATATTAAGAGATGTTGACCTCAACGACCTTCCTTTGGACCAGCACGAGGAGTCGGTGCTCTCTGTACGTGATACTTTCGCAAATTGTTCTCATTGCACCCAAGCTCATGTATTCTAGGCTGAAGCTACACAACATCCTGTGACTCCTGTCTGTCAAACAATTGACAAAGTCTCCACTGGAGTACCCCAAGGGTTCGCGCAGCAATCCAGTGGCACAGCTCAAACCATGTCGTCTTCGCAACCCCATACTGCCGTCTCTACCTCCACCGTACCTCCCGTCGTCGCGAGTACAACTTCGAACATTAATCCTCATGCAAAGATAAAAAGTGTCGGGTGTTGGACTCGCTTCTGGCACTCTATCTGTTGCACCTCCCCTGAGTATACCGACGGCCATCATTAATCTTTACCACAATCTCTCGCGTCCCATATGTTATCTTATTCCTCGAACATATACAATGCCATAGAGGTATACCGTTATTTATTGCATGTTTGATGTAATTATCGGGACCTCACGTGGAGAGCCCCGCACATAGGATTGCTTCTACGAAACGTTTCGTCCGTTCATATAGTAGGTGGTGGAGTCACGCGAGTTGCTTCCACGGAACGTTTCGTCCTTACACATGGTAGATCCGGTTTCTAAACTTCGTTATCGGCATGATTACTTGCTACATGTTTTATAAGGACATGATGTGCGACGTCGAATTTCGGTCGGACTCAGATGTATATTTTGTCGGTGAGCTACTCCGTCTCACCCACTCAACCTAGGATTGATGTCCTGAAGGCCTTCGGTATTTGTTTTCAGTCTCCCTACTACTCCCTCAAGGCTCAGAGGCATTGACATCGAATGTTCCATTCCTGCTTGTATCAATGTCTCCTTTGAACTATATCTCACCTCACATAGAGAAATACTTCAACAAGAGAGAGAGACGGAAGCCAATTCCCGGACAAACGCTACTGCAGGTAGTTCACGCCCTTCCAATAGCACTGTCACCCAGCAATTCAGAGGCACAGCTCAAACGCAGTCGTCTTCGCAATCGCATGTTGCTGTCTCTATGGCGCCTCCCGTCGTCGGTGATACAACTTCGAGCGCTACTCCTCATATGTGTTACTATAAAATACCCTGCACGCTAGATTCGCTTCTGGCTTTTTACCTGTCGTGCCTCTCCTAAGTATACTGACGAGTGGTCATTAATTTTTAGCACAATTTTCTGACTTCCTATGTGTTATCTCTTGATGCAAGTATGGCGACCTCATGTGGAACTCACGCGAATTGCTGGAACTTTTAGTCCTTACATATGGCAGATGGTAGATGTCTGGGCTCCAGCTTCATTATCGACATGGTTATTTACTGTGTAACGTGTTTTATAAGGACATGATGCGCACCGTCAGATTTCGATGGGACTCGGACATCCATTTCTGTTAGTGAGCTATTTGCCAGGCCAATGTCAGTCAACTTGGTAAGGATGTCCTGAAGGCCTTCGCTCTTTGTTTTCAGTATCCCAGCTCCCTCAGAGGCAATGACATCGTCATAGATCCAGATCATGATATGAATCAACACTACACCACTACATCGTTAAATAAAAGACTTATTAACATATCTACGAGCGGTAGGTAACCTTGTAGACAGACGAATTATGGAAATGGTATCATTAGGTCCATTAAACCGACATTCCGCTTCGTGACCGAACATGACTCTCGTTCACTGGCGTCTCGGTGCTCACATCTGAGGCCTACTCAAAAGGTACTCATCTTGATACGAATCTGCAGACTTGTAATCTTCGTTGAGGGGAAGCACGATGCCTGCAACAGCATAGATGATCACAACGGCGTACTCCATGAGCATGTCCATTACGAGGTAGATTTGCCATTCGCCCGTCAAAATATTGAATTTTGCCAGATCGCTGGTGTTGGACTCGGTGGTTCCGGTTATCGAGAACGAATCCGAAGAGAACGTGGACAAGACGCTGTAGAGCGTCCGAATGGCCAGGAATGGAAGTGCGATAGAGATGGCCTTCAAGAGCTAAAGATAAGGCGTAAGAAAATAAGTCGAACAGATGATGGCGCTCCGGAAAGCTCACCTGCTTGCGGTATCTCATGACAAAGCCAGCTTGGGTCCATACGTGAACGCAAATGCCGACAAGGATGATGTATAGGGCGCAAAAGAGGATCACACCGACCCTGCGCATGGTGTTCCAACTCGAGCTTGAACTGGAACTTGTCTCATTGGAGATGCCGGTGATGGTAAGGATGAGAGCGATCATGCCGAGGATCTGAAGAAGGCGAAATTGTCTGTTATATCTCGAAAAGCCATCGGGAGTTTGGAACCTATAATAGTGTTCAGCGCATTCGATCTACGATGACAACTGGATGAACTTACATTGAGTGCAACAGACCCAGCGTGCAGAGCAACAGTGGAGATAGGCCAGATGACTCTAGGGCATAGCCGCCGATGTAAAGTCCAATGTTTGCGGGCGTGATATCCTCAGCTGCAACAAGCAAAGCACCTCCCAATACTCGGACTGAAGGTATAACAGGGTTAAAACTATAACTGCGATAAATTAAACAACTTACTGATGCTAAATACCAACAACAAGACCCAACCATCACCTCGCGACATTCCGTACTTCATCACCAACCTGAGGGAAACGAATAGGAAGGGAATATACATTGCGATGGTCACCGCTGCAAGGATGCCCTGAGTGTCGAGAGCCATTTTTCCTGAGAGACTGGAATTGAGGAAGGAGGAAGAAGAAATTGAATATGTAAAATGATGGGACAGTAGTTGTCAGACTTGTCTGCCTTTTGTATGAAATCATAGCGGAATCAGTTGGACAGCGGGCAGTGGGCACTGCCTGTGCTGCCTCGTTGTATTCATCTCCAAAAAGGTAAACTTCCTTGAATTTGACAGAAGGCTAGCAGCTGCGAGAGGCTGTGATATCGGAAGCAAGGTTGAAGCGGAATCAGACGGATGCAGATTACAAACATCGCAGAGCTGCGCGGAACACCTGTGGCTCCCACGTAGGCCCTATAATTAGAGGTACCTGTGGACCGGGTGTGTGCCCTCTAATTCGAGGGTGATCGAGTAATATAGCGCTTGGATGGATAATTGCTATCTTGGGACTTGTGAGAATTGATGACTGTGTACCTCGGGAACACCCGTACGTGCTATTAATATCAACACCGACGTAGTTCTTGGCTTCGGTAACGCTCGGCACCAGCCGGAAACCTTTGAGCTCGCTGTTTGCCACAGCGAGCTCGCGTTTTCGACATTCCCTTGGCCGTTTTGCTTCGCACTTCTTGCAAGGGAGACGTGCATGCTTATATAGACTAATTCACGTACATCAATATCAATACTGTTGCCAAGGACATGATTCCTGGCTCTGGCAATGCTCGGGACTTTCTGGAAACCTTTGAGCTCGCATTTTCGATGTTCCCTTGACCATTTTGCTTCGGACTTCTTTGCAGAGGAGACGTGTAGGCTTATATAGACTAATTTATGTACATCCTGTGTCTACAGCTACTCTAATAAAGGCCATGCACATACAGTAATACATACTAAGAGCTGTCAATGACCTGTTCAACCTCGCTGTCCTCGATGAGTTCACAGCTCCTTGGCTGCACTCTCTTCAGGTGTGATGACTGCTTGCCAGCGCGTGATTTGCGCTTCTTCTTGGATGATGGTTCATTCTCCTTCTCACCAGACACATTTGCAGAGTCGTCAGCAGGCGTCTTGCGCTTGCACACCTTGCCTGCATCTGCGCATTTCTTGTGAACAGTCCCAACAACCTCCCCTGCTTCTTCGCGCTTCTTGATGTCTTCCCAAAAATCTTCAAGCTTGCATCAAGTAAGCTTCTTCCACTGACAAGCGCCTGTCTTCAGAGCGTCGCGGAGTATGTGAACTTCAATGATGGTGTGCATGTGGGAGGGCGCGAGGAAGGGCAGTCCTACAGGCCATCCATCAAGCTTGATTCCATAGATGAGGACAATTGATTTGTTGTAGTTCTGATAGTTCATGGTAATGTCCATTTTTCCGGTTGCACGTCCTGCCATATTGTGAGCACATAGCATTCCAGTAGTTAAAGAAAGCGCATGGAGTCCACTCAGAATCAGTGTAGCGACCTGTCTCTGCAGGCTAGATAGATCTTCCCGCGCGAAAATATCTACTTGCACACATTATTAGTAGAGTAGACTATACCAAAGAAATACGCACTCTTTTTCTGAATGCAAGCCCATTCCTCAAACTGACGGGCCACATCGTCGAGGGCTACCTCCATCCGATCCTCCCAAAACTCCGAAGCATTGTCAGTTGAGTTGCAATCCATGTCGACTGGATTTGATTATTGATGTGTCCACGAACCATGAGGACCATGGCATAGATGCCGGTTCTGTCACGTAGTGCATGAAGCTGTGAAATCTCAAATCTACAGTCAAACATCAAGACTAACATATACTCACCTCCTTGGAGACACCATCCATCACAGAGACTACATCCCGAGCAGCTGCCACATTGCTTGCTCGAACACTGCTGGTTTAAAGCTCACGGTGATCCATCAGCTGCTTTATAAACTCCTTTTTCTCCTCACAGGTCAAGCTATGCATGTTGGGATCTTTGGCGACCATTTTTTGAACTTCAGCCATAGTATACTTCTGTCCGTGTGCCAGACCTTTAAGAGTACGTCAGATATCGATATCAAAGAAACGTGAAGTGCATACCTTCATTGACTTCCTTGGATTTTGCATGTACAAGCGCATTTCGAAGCTGCAGTTCGTGTGTTTTCTTGTAATGAGTTTGAAGGCCGATCAGGTTCTTAATGTGGTCATCGGAGACATGGTGAGCAAGCGCCAATTCATGAAGCTTCTTCCCATAATCCTGAATGAACTGTGTAATGGCGTCTTGAAGTGCCTTTGAATGCTCCTTGTTCTGTGCAGTTTTCAACGTGCGGGATGCTTTTTTGGCTTCAGTCAGACGTGCAGGATGGGATCATGTAGGTATTACTGGGTGTGTGGGGTTATGAGACACCCAAGAGGAGCTATCCCCTCTCTCCATGATTCGGTCAGTGAAGGAAACAGTGGGGTCATCATCAGCCGGTAGAGTCGGTGACACATCTTGTTCAGGACTTGGTGAATGAGTGTGTCCATCAGTGAGACTGGAGACCTTGTCCAGTACAGTAGGTGACATGTCTCGCTCAGGACTTGGTGAATGAGTGTGTGGGGATGGCTCGACATGTTCTGGTGAATCCCTGAGGCAGAAGTACACATCTGGTGGCAGCTCGGAAATCATTGCTCTCATTGCATCAAATAGCGATGGATCGGTCCAGTCGAATGAGCCCATATTGAATAAGCCGTTATGGGGGTCATTGATGTTGCCTAGTGTCAGGGGCTCGACTGGCAGAGAAAAGTCGAAGGAAAAGGGCCGTTGACTCGGAGGGACAATATAATTGTTCTGAGCATCTACATAATGAGGACAGTGAGCGCAAGCCATGTGACTGAGTGATATAGGACAAACATACCGTGACTACTATCAGTCATTTGCACATTGTCAAAATCAAAATCTGGCAAATCCATGGAGTCAGCAGTGGCAAAATTTTTGAAGGAGCATATGGTGTTCTGTTTATTGGGTGAGTAAAATTTCGATTATAAAATTAGGATAAAACATACCATATTTTCGTCGAAATTCCAAAGGTCCGATGCCAGTGTTATCACATGGCCACTGGCATTCAGCCCCTGTCAGTCGTGGACTCTTACATCAATTTCACGATATCACAAACAACTTACTTGCATATAACAAAAGGGCGACGTGTGACAATCTGCAATATGTACATCTTAGATTATACTAACAACTGTTGGTGCCAACTCACCTTGCTCATGGACCCTGTGTCAAATGAACGACGGGAACAGCAAGATACTGTGAGTAAGCACCCCCATGTCCATGTCATTCGGCTGTTTGGTGAATGGTCGGTTTCTGTGCTGCTGTCATCATCCATCAGGGAATTAGACTTTCCCAGCCTGAATTCAGAGAGTGGATGAGGTGCAGAAAGCGGATGAGGTGCAGAAAGCGGATGAGGTGTGAATTCAGAAAACGGGTGAGGTGTGAAGCACTGGAGATTACAGAGTCAGTAGACTAGCATATATACTAGTTTAGCTCACATAGTAGTAAGCCTCGTGGAAACCCACTGTGTGATGTTGGTGAATGATGTGGCATTCAGAGACTGATCAAATTCCACCTACCTGTAAGTTGAGTCAAGTACAGTCGGATGTGAAAAATGTAACAAGCAAGATGAGAGAGAAAGACAAGAGAAAGTAAACGTAAATGATCATGCACAAAATCAACTGTGAGAGACACGCTGAGAGCTGCTGCAATCTAAAGTATGTAATCCGATGATGCAGTGTATCACTTTGCATTACTTAATGCTGTGTTTTCCTATTCTTAGGTTTTGCTTCTGCTTCTGCTTCGGACTTAATCTTGGGAACCGTTCAATCAAACAAACATCAAATCGTGTTTTGCACATCTATTGTAAGTACTACCTCAGTACTACCTACTTGACTTTATCTAATGCGCTGTAGGGATTCATTTCTGGCTGGGCTTGTAGAGACTGTTTTTACCTTACCTTATGTTGGCACTTTTGTAGCTTACATAAAAAAAGTTATCTTTTCACCAGTTATCAGTACGAGTCTGAGTCTTCAGCAAGTTTTCATGATATTTCCTCTCCTCTGAGCCTTGAGCCTGGTCCAGAAACCCTTTAGGGTCGAATAGCAGCTAGGTTCTGCAAGACCCAACATTGTTCAGACTCACCATCTGAATTGTTGTACCTTCAGCGCCTTATAGGTGGCTATCACAGTGGGACTTTATTGAACCGCTGTAGAGACTTGTGCGTCTCATTGCGTGATATGGCAGTTTTCACTAGGGAGTACACAGCATGAACTTGTAGCATCACTCTGTGTGCTATCCACAGCTATTCCTATATGAGGTGCGGCTTTCCCGTGCACACTTCCCGCACTTCACAATGTATATGTGCATGCTTTCCTGTGCTTGAGTGCCCTATAGTGCCAGCCATCCAGATGCATCCATCCACTGTCCACCAAGCTCTCTAGTGTGTATATTTCCATTTCCCTTATTTGCATATCATTCCACTTTTATCATTATCATGGACCCTTACTTACATATATCTTTACATACCTTACTCGGTAGTGCTTCGGCTCCGCATGACAGCGCTTGGGCGCCATACTTAAGCGCTAGCATTACATACTATTACGCACTTTTACCTTTCTACCTTTCTAACTTACCAATTGAAAGTCGCAGTAGCAATCTATTCTCTGACAACAAACAGTCTCACCTTGCACTTGTATCTCTTGTCTAGTATCTAATCACCACTTAAGCGAACTCACTCTTACTCTCTCTTGTTTCTGCATACACGTGCACACTTTCCCGCGCTTCACGCAATACGCACGCACGTTCCCGCGCCTTTTCGCCTTGCATGCACCTGTGCTTTCTTGCACTTCGCATTGGCTGACCAGTAGCACCTTCAGCACCTACTACTAGATCTTAGCTGCACTCGCTTCCCCTTTAGGGTCAAACACACTTGTTGTCTCAAGTATAGCAGACTAGGCAATGCGCGACCTTACAACATTTATAGATACAGTCTGGAGCCTCAATTGCGCCTCGCTGTATTGTTGAACCTTCACCGCTCAATCCAACAAACATCAAATCGTGTTTCTATTGTAAGTACTACCTACTTGAGTTTATCTAATGCGCCTTCTGACTGGAGTGAAGGCCCCTCTACCGCATGCTGCATGCACAGCAGCAGCTTGCAACAGTGCGCTGGCTGGCAAAGCCTGGAGTAAGAGATGCACAGAACAAAAAGGCCCACCTTCAAATGGCAAGGTGAGTGTCTGAAAACCATACTAAATCTCACCATTACTCAAAAAGCCACCCCAGGAAGCAGGCTAAGGAAAGGACTCGCCAACCAGAGCCGTGTGACTACACCACCCTCTCTGACCCCCATCAACATGAACCTACAACTATTGAAGCCGTGCGGTTTGCAGTCAGTGAGTGGCAGTTTGAATGGGGCCCCGAAAGTTAATGGGAGAAGCAATTTAATGATCGACTCCAACTTCACCGAGAATGACTGTCTCGTTCTGCAGTGGACGACTTTTTCAGTTTATGTGATACTCATGTGCAAGCAGGGCAGGAGATACTCCATGACTTGAGAGATCTTGCAAATGCAAACTGCAGGAGCGGGAAGGTGAGAAGAGACAGGTTTATCCAGCTGTATGACATGCTTGAGACAGTCTTGCCTGAAGTTAAATTTTTCGAGGTGAAGCTCGATGAGTATGCCCCGTCCATACCTAATTCAAGACTATCTTCTGTACACTACTATGAACGGGCTTTTTAGTATATGCAGTATTAGTAGTAGCCACGCCTCAACTACAGTAGGTAGCTTTGCCAAATGCCATGACCCTATCAAGCAAGAATTTGCCCACTTATCCATCAAGGATCATTTGCGACCAAGCTGTAATGATGCTGGATTGTGAATTGTTAATGCGGCCCCTAATATAGAACATAGTGAACTGCATAGTGAATCTGTTCGCTATCCTACACAAAACACAGTTGGAAAACATATTGCATCACTGGTTTTTTATATATACTGTTGTAAAGTTGTAAGGATGGCCTGTTGAATCATAAGGGACGATTCCAAGATTGCAACATGTGTGGAAGGGCACTCTTCTGATTTGTTGATTTGACAGCAAAGGACTCATGTGTTCAAATTATGGGAAAGATTTCTAGCTTGGAATGGCGGATGAAAACTTGATTCAGCTCAAGGTCACTCAAGGTCACTACAATAGTACTATTATTGAAATCAAGCACGACAATTCACACTGTCATGAAAGCTGGCTTAATTTTCGTACGCAAGTGTCCAGTACATACAGTTTGTGAATCCAACTTGACATTTGTGAGTACTACTACTACATAACAATGGTACCTATTATATTCCTACTTGACTCATATGCTCCGACAAATCCTCAACACATGTCCAGATACTATCCTCGCTGGAGGTTGATGACGGCGTGGGTGAAGGTAAGGAAGGTGGAGACACTGCAGCTTGAGAGACATGTGGGGGCCAGAAATGCCCGCCCACAGTAGGCCATGCCTCCACAGTGCCTTCGTTATACTTCCTCATGTAGAGGCCCAGAGCATCCGCCCAAGTCTCTTTTCTGACCTGGATGGCACCACTAATGCCCAGTGTGCGTTCAGCAACATCCACCCTAAAATCAAGCAGTACTAGTCAATAGAAGTTAGTTAGTACAAGATTGGTCACATACCAATAATAAAAGATGCCAACCTCCTGGCCGATGGTGATGATCCAGTAGGCATTGGGTTCTTCATCAGGATGTGGCGCGAGAAGTTCACTGGGGTGAGGTATGGGTGGGACGTAAGTGACCACATTGACGGCAGTTGCATGAGATGGATGATGAGATGGGGAAGTCATGGGAGAAGGTGAGGATGCATGAGGCTGGGAACCGGTGTAGAAACAACTATACCGAGTGGGGCTATACGAAGATGGCTCCAAACTGATATATTTGTGTTGTGGTCTTTGCACTGCCTAGTCTGCTATACTTGCCTGATAAGTGCGTTCGACCCAGGGGTCTGCGGTCTGGGAATAGTCTTGGGGGTAAGTGAGTGATGTGGGGTCAATAGTCCGAGCGCGGGAAACAATGTCCAAAGGTATAATTACGATGTCCGATGCAAAAGCGTCGGGTCCGATGTTTTCGGGGTTTCGGGTTATCGGGTTCGGGTTCGGGGTGTCGGAAACTAATAGTAACGCTATAGCGAGCGTCGGAAAAGCGAGCGGTATGCGTGATGACAACAATGATTGATACGGATAATGAAAGAGCGATGATATTCGCAATATCAACTAAGAACTACGAAATATCGGGTTTGACCACTAAGTGTCGGGGAACTGCTCCCCTCTACTTGGATAATGAATAATGCTCGAGGTCAGTCCAATATATATGTAAGTACGTAGAAATGCGGAACCCGTAGGCGAAAGTAGCGGCGGAGTATTTCGGATCCGAAGTACATGTAAATAAACATGAGGCGCTGCGGACTATGGGAAAACATGTAATAGCGCTGGCTACGACGTGAGTAATGTGCGAAATAATGAACTACACACCTAGTGGGGCTAGCAAGACAGGACGGGACACAGATAGGACAAGTGCGCGGGAAAACATCGGGTCCGATGCGGCCTAAACGTCGGGTTGGCGGATTAGCGTCGGATAACATCGGGAAGTGATTAGCATGTGACGGGTATTTGACGTGTACTGTAAAATAGCTCGATACGAGCCCAGCGCCAGCTCGTGTCCTACACCGGAGGAACAAGACATGGTGACTATTTCTTCATTAGTTGTAGCTGTAAGTGTGCTGGTATACGTGATTGTGTCAAATGAACAATCTAATATAGTACATTCAATACATCAGCTTCATGTAGTCAGAAAAGATAAAATGTTCACACACCAGATAATGTCATGGCCTGCAAGAATCCTTCTAACCCACACATGTGCCTCCTTGAATTGCGTGATGAAACTGACATGTGTTGCGCTGCTGTGTTAATGTTGCTGAGTGAATGAAGTTTGACAGACATTTGACAAAGGTATGACTCACGTGATATCCTCGTGTATGTTGTGTTGATCATAAGTGTAATAACGCGCTGTACAATATTTCCGGGACACACTTATAGCAGGTGTGCTGCTGTTTGAAAACTCACCTCTTCCCTCAAGCCTCAAGAGCTGGCACTGCCACAAAATGTCAAGCAAAGGACACCATCGAACTCGACTCACAACGCTAAAGGTCTGGCAGTTGAGCGCGAGGCACAACAAACAAGGTGTCTGTATCTACACCAATGAAGTCCTCGGACCCAAGGCACTTGCCTCTTGTGCTGTCAAAACATGTGAGCAACAGCGCACATGTCTTCAAGGTATGTGAAATGATTGTTTAAAATTTGCAGACTTCGGTTACTCACTCTTTATGTAGCTATGTCAGCAGAAGAGCGCCAGAGGCTCAAGGCTCTTGCAGATCAGTGGGCGCATTCGAGCCCCAATGCATTTGACACATGCGACAACAATGTGATGGACTTCAAGAACATATTGACTGGTGCTCACCCGATAGACATCAGTCATGCTGGCGGTGAGTTTCAGGACCTCGTGCGTGAGATCTTTGGAGATTTCTGGACACCATCAGTCTGATCTATTTATATATTGAACATTTCAACTAACCTCTAAATGTGTATAGTGAGACAAGGCAACCCAACAAATGAGGACGCCGTGAGGATCACAGGACCCGACAAGATCGTATCCAGCGTCACATGGACACATTCCTTCAACAGATGCCTGCATTGACTGACGCCTACCTGGCTTGGAGTCTCAAACAGGCTAAAAAGGGTGTTATGAGCTTTTTGAAGTTCTTCGACACTCAGACCCTCATGCTCCATTAGACCCTAACTATGACGCTTGGAATCTCAAAGTTGTTGACACATTCTGTAAGTCCTTGTTTACATATATTGTACTATTTGCTGATTCACTGCATAGACGCTGAGAATGTCTTGTTAACCATTGCATCAACGGATCGTTTCGTGGCTTCTGCTCTTATCCACCATGGTGTAATACCCTGTTCCCCTATATCTCCATCTGTGGCTATCTCCATAGATGCACTGGAGCTTTATTGTGTTGCCAGGTTGCACAACCCGCATTTTTCGATACAGGCATATGTTAAGTCAATCTGTGATTTGCATGGGGTGAGTTTTTTTTGCTATTTGGGTGCGCATATCTAACCAGCCATTTCCAGACCATCTTTCATAGGTACCTGTCTCACCAATTTTTGATTGCATTCAATCTTTACCTTCACATCCACACTCATGTTAACTCTCTCGTTGACATTGCTCTGGGTCGAAATGCTGTGGACTGGCACCTGAAAAACACATGCCCCTGCTGCACCTATGAATTGGAGGACGATGCACCAATGTCATTCAAGCTCCTGTACGCTATGGACGGCAATGACTCACTGAAGAGAGTATCGCATCAGCTAATGGGCACCAACGGAGATCATACAGGCCCTTCTATCGAACTTCCTACAACCCAGCGAGTCAATGACAATTGATACCTCCTGTGCAACTACATAAACTCATGGGCCAACGCTGCAGAAGCTGAGGGGCCAACTGATGACGAGAATCTCTGTGCTGGCCATTGGAAAAATATGGACGAGGATAAGACTAAGAAGACTTGGGGGGTGTATGATGAAACAGGGATCTTTATTGCTGTTTGTCAGCATGGTTTCTATCTACTGATTGCAGATATGGTGCAGAGTGGAGAACGGTAAGTGCCCCCTCCCCTACTTCACTTTTTCCTTCTGAATCTTGTTTTAAAACAGTGCTAAGTATCCACTTGCTGTGGTAGCCAAGCTTCTCAACAGTTTTGGTGCTGGTCTCGGTGGTGGGTATGATATAGGGTGTCAGTTCAAGACCACCCTCGACAACAGCATTTTAGGTCCTCAAGCTCGCGCACTCCATCATTCCTGCCTTGTGGGAGCCTTCCACGGATATGCTCATCAACGAATCTGCCAATTGGACCACTTGGCAACGTATGTTGAAGGTCTGGGCCTGGAAGACCTGGAAACCTGTGAGCGAACATTTTCGAAATCAAACGCACTGGCATCAACGATCCGTTATGCCAGTGTTTTTCACCGTCAACAACTCATATCAGTGTACTTCCAGCATAATGATGAATTCGATGTCTATCCTAATCTCAGTGGGTTGACATGACTTCACGCAAACTTCGACTGACTCGATTTTTTAGGAAACTTCTTGTATAATCACTATAGGCAGGCACTTGATATCCTTGAGAACAGCCAGATCAACCTCTCAAGAGTCATGCAAGATCTCAACATCACAGATGTCTCCATGTTCAACCAATGGATCACCGATGAAAAGGAGTACCTACAAGGTCTGAAAAGTGAGCCGGAACAAGAGACACTCCAGATGGAGTATTGGCAGAAGCTAATCCATCTCGCGGCAAGCCAGTAAGTTCTTTTTTCATGATCTATAGCTCATCAACATTGAATATGCCAATAGAAGCAACATGGACACGATGAGGTCCATTTGGACATCATCAACACCTTCAAGCACCTCATTCTGCGCATCAGATGCTGCCACGACTCGGAGACTCAAGATGACACGGAGACACGCCCTTGAGAACTTCGAGAAGGACCTGCAGGTGGTACAAGACCTGGAGAGCAAGCTTAGAGTGACTCAATGCTGGATTCCTAGCACTCCCAAGTGGGAAGATGTGGGACAATTGGTTGCAATGAGGAAGTATCAGCATGCACTCGATGCTCTAGAGGGCCTTGTAGTGGCTTGCATATTTGAACTGACAAAATTGAACCGCTCAGGAACCAGTGCATTTACTTTTCACTGTTTGGTTTATTAATTAATTTGATTCAGGTTACAAGTTGCGCAAGCACATCGCAAAGGCCTTACAGACACGCTCCTCAACCATCCGTTCTGCCTTTGATCGTTACAATGCAGCAGCATTATCTCTAATGCCTCCTTGCAGAACCCTGAGATGGGATGAAGTCATCGAGTACGTGTTCCTTGCTGATTTCAACCTACTACGTGATGCCCGTCAGGATATCTCGCAGCGTCCTTGGGCAACACCAGCTGCTCACCAAGCCACAGACCTCTATTTCAAGATGTGTCATGCCAAGGAGGAGGTCCTGCACCTCAACAACAAAATCCGCCGCCTGGTTACATACATCCACAACGAAGAACACTACCTACAAGACTGTTATACTCAGCTTGAACCCTCTTGCCCTGCACTAGCCCACCAGATCAGCCTGTGACATCTGGTTCGTAGTAGAGCGAACGCACACCTCCTACAGCACATGGCTGACATTGCTCGGCTGCAGGGGTTCAGTGGCTCAATCAATATTGGCGAGTGTACCAAGAAGTCTCTTGGGGACAGTGCCAGCATCCTGCACGCTCAAATTCCTGATGAACTCAATGTTCTGCAGGACTTCAGGGAGTCTCCCTCCTTCAGAGTCACCTCTGACAGTGCCGACATGCAGGACAAGCTGGAGGATGAAGATGATGACACAGTGGCTATTGAGGAGGCAGCGGAGGCGTTCCACAATATCCTCCATGTCTCAGCAGACTCATGAGCATTGACAGGCCCAAGCTCCATATCTTCAAGTTTCGATACACACATTTTGCCTTATGTAGACTAGCTATTATGATCATTTGCATGTATACTGATCCATATGAGCAATACTTTCCTTTTTACAACTTGTCCGAAGCAAAACGGCCAAGGGAATGTCGAAAACGCGAGCTCGCTGTGGCAAACAGCGAGCTCAAAGGTTTCCGGCAGGTGCCGAGCGTTGCCGAAGCCAAGAACTATGTCGGTGTTGATATTAATAGCACGCAGTCATCAATTCTCATAAGTCCCAAGACAACCTTATCCAGCAATTATCCATCCGAGCGCTAAATTACTCGATCACCCTCTAATTAGAGGCACACAGCCGGTCCACAGGTACCTCTAATTATAAGGCCTACGCGGGAGCCACAGGTGGCGCGGAAAGCTGAAGTAATACTGCGCACCGTCTCCAGTATTGTCGGTCCTTGATCACAGCCGATCATTAGGTTAACCGTGATGTGGCTGGCAGGACAACCAGGTACTATCCCTTCCGAGATCGACAATGCCATTGTACAGCATGTTACATAGTAAACCCGGTTTCAAAGTCACTGAGCTCGACCGACGACGGTGAAGCAAGAGCGCGGATTCAACGTTCAGTATTCGGTATAAGCGAGCAAGTACGTACGGTATTCACTAGTAGACATGTCTACAAGTACGAGGGTGACCATTAGTGCTGTAGGTGACTCGGATGTTAAGACCCGGAGCACGTACATTGTACGTATGTTGCCCGTACGCATGCAAGTTCGATGATCAGAATAGATTGTGATGGAGGCCTAGCTATATTAGCAGAACTGATAAAGGGTGCTGCGCACAACACTTCCGGTATTGAAACTCCGTCACGGCACCAAGTCACATTTCTGCGTGACTTTGGCAAGTGTGGTTGAACTTGTTTAACGTTTAACCTCTGTCAAGAACTTTTGTGCAAGTAGCTACATAGAAAAACGAGTTTTGTCAAAGCGCCGATTGCACCGGAAGGAATAGCACTACATTGTACGGTCCATGAGTTGCGGCGCGCACAATATGATTGGATTGCAACATAGTAGTTCCTTTAGAAAATTAATATTTGACCGTAAATGCACCGACACAACCAAAATAACAGTGGCTGAACAGCCTCCAAGTTGGCAGTGCAAACAAACAACTGGCACAGACGAGTCGTCGGTTCTTAGGCTCCTATGACCCTAGGTAATCCAAACAGTGTTCTGCAGCACAGTTTCTGAGCCTACTTCTTCGCGTCTCGTTCAGCTTCCGAGTCACTGCGGACTTTACTAGGCTTTTGAAGATGCTGACGGGCACATGTTTTTCGGCAGGGATGAGCGAGATGACGCCACACACGTTCAGTGGCTCGACAAGCTACTACCAGGCTATGGGGGCTGTAGTCGGAGACTCGGACACGAGCAACTGCTCGATCATTTACTAACTCGTTGGATATACTGCTCCCCTTCCATCAGAGAACTCGCGAGTCTCCCCAGGGTGCTTTACGTTGATTGTGGTGGTTTTCCGACGTTATACATGGCTTTATATGACTTTATATATAACAATCCCATGAGTCAAGTTCGACCGACCGAAGACAGGTAACGAATGCAAAGCAACATATGACCATGTGAAAGCACCGTAATCAGCATGTTTGATAGCGAGAACTCATCAGTTCATTGACGTCACTCAACTCAACGAGCTTTGAACGTCGTCCTCGCCTGCACCGCGACAGCCAGTCATATCAACCAGCGCCCATGTCAGTTGGGTACGTGGGAACCCAGCCTATCAAACAACCACAAGCGTATCTTTCACATCTTTCATTTTACATGTCGATGTCAATTAGTGACAAGTTCCTCTGATGTTCCCGCAAGTAAACATAACTTATGTGTGGGTACTGCGGATATGGGTCTGTTATCCGAGTCTATGTATGGATGCATTAATGATAGGGCATTTGAGCGGAACGATGTCAATTGAACTGACAGTTGGTCGTGGTGATAAGGTTTGATAGACATTGAACGGAGCCAGCTTCCCATTGGGTGTGCCCAATAGAAGGAGGTCGGATCCGTATGAGCGAGATTCTGGCTCATTCTAATTGCGGCCAGTTCGGCATTCGGCAAGTTGTTTCGAGTTGAAGCTTGAGGCCTAAGGCTTGATGCGGAGTGCGAACGCTTTATCAATTTGACCGTTGTGCCATGATCCGTTACAGGAGATACCAACAAGGACTAAATCCGTGAAGTAGCATGTAGCTAACGCTAACTAGGGTTCAGCATATCTCCTCATACAGTAGAATGTACATCTTACGCACGAGCATTAGTGACTCGGAGATGACGAGTTCGTGGAGCAGTTGGTTGGTGAGAGGTAGATGTGTATGATCTGAGGCCCAATTTTGGAATATGATATGATTGGCCAGGCAGTAAACACGATCAAGAGGATGTCACATGCAAAACGTAGTTCGAACCTCCAGTGTACTTAACTATGACTCCACCTTTGACAAACGCTCATTGTGCCTTGGTACACCAACATTGAGATCTCCTCAGACATCGTCGCAAGTGATGAGTTGAACTTTGTTGGGATGAAAGCTGAGACGGAGCTGCGCCCAATAGTTGTTTGTGTCTTCACCCATCGAAGGAAGGCAGGAAACAGCCATGATAAAGCCCCGCCAGAAATTTGGAGGACACACCGAATGGGTCCAGATTTACCAAGTGGATAACGAATGATGACTTGTTCAAGAGATGGCTCGCTTCGGATACGAAACTTGAAGAGGAGACGACTTGCGGGACGGGAATAGCGGAGTACGGACCATAGCGTTATATCCGGACGGGAAGAAAGTGGTTAGCGGAAGTGATGATAGTGGAGTGAGGTTGGGACATGCAAAGTCATCGGGAGACGGACGAGGCATACAAAAACAGTGAGGTCTGCGCGTTGGGATCGAGATGGCCGGAAAATGGTATCCAATCGAGACTGGGCACGGAGTAGAGGCAGTTGTCTACTCACCAGACATGACCATGTTCGCGACTGCTGGAGGCACCTTCACGATTGCTGATACCGGGGTGCACCCGGACAAAATCTGGGATGCGAAGACTGGCAAGGAGCTCGTCGCCACTCTCAAACTTAAAACACACCAGTTGTGTGAAGTGGCCAATTGGACCCAGGATGGAAAAAGAGCACAAACATATGCAAACATTGTGTTGCATGGAGTTGACCTTATGCACTATGTTAGGCTTTAGTGTTGCGGCTGTGAGCAACGCTAGGGCGAATCAGAATCATCGTCTTCTGTTATCGTAACGCTACCATACCTCCTGCAGGCACCGTATTTCTCAAAGGTGCTTAAACACCTATTTAGCAGGCGAAATCGACATTTCAACTGTGGAGGGGGTGATAATAACCTCCTTCCGTGATCAATTTCGGGTGCCTCGAGCGAGCGATCCGCATTGAGCGCACATTGATCTTCATCGATGTTTCATCGACATTCATGATGGCAAATTAGCTGGCGATTCTGGCCGGCTGAACAACTGTACAGTTTTTAAAATTTTATCTTACATTCGGAACATCTCATCCAGCTCTCATTCTCGGAGGTCAAGGCTTACAATTCGAACACAGTCCAGACAGGTTCAAACGGTTTATACGAAAACCAGAGAACTATGAACATTGAACCTAACTACAGAGAACATAGGTTGAACCAAACGAAATGTGGACCGGGCCCAGTAGTTAGTTCCGAAGTGTCCGAACCCGGTCCAGACGGTTTATGAATCGGACATCAGCAACTTCATTTGTGGAGTGCCGATTGCGCCGGAAGGGAAATACCAGCATTCTGTCAAATTGAGAAGGTGCGCCTTTCTAAACGCAACGCCTCAGACACCACAGGGGTTAACCGGTTATCACTCACCGCCTCTTGTCCGCCATGATCTCCTACAAAAGGCAGGCCAACATCCCATCTTTTCCCTTACTTTTATCCCTCCTCCTTCTTTGACTCCAGTCTTCCAGGAAACATGGCTCTCAACTCTCAGGGAATCCTTGCAGCGGTGACCATCGCAATGTATATTCCCTTCCTGTTCATTTCCCTCAGGTTGGTGATGAAGTACGGCATATCGCGAGGTGATGGTTGGGTCTTGTTGTTGGTGTTCAGCATCAGTAAGTTGTTTGATTTATTGCAGTCATAGTTTTAACCCTGTTATACCTTCAGTCCGAATATTGGGAGGTGCTTTGCTTGTCGCAGCTGAGGATATCACGCCCGCAAACATTTCACTTTACATCGGCGGCTATGCCCTAGAATCATCTGGCCTGTCTCCACTGTTGCTTTGCACGCTGGGTCTGTTGCATTCAGTGTAAGTTCATCCAGTTGCCATTTTGGATGGAATGTGCTGAATACTATCATAGGTTCCTAACACCCGATGGCTTTTCGAGATATAATAGACAATTCCGCCTTCTTCAACTCCTTGGCACGGTCGCTCTCATTCTTGTCATCGTTGGTATCTCCGAAGAGTCAGGTTCTAGCTCAAGCTCGAGTGCAAACACCATGCGCAGGGCCGGTGTCATCCTCTTTTGTGTCTTATACATTATCCTTGTCGGCATTTGCATCTTTCTATGGACACAAATCCACTTTGTTTTGAGATATCGCAAGCAGGTGAGCTTTCCGGTGCATCGTCATCTATCTGACTTATTTTCTTATGCCTTATCTTTAGCTCTTGAAGGCTGTCTCCATCGCACTGCCATTCCTGGCCATTCGGACGCTCTACAGCGTCTTGTCCACGTTCTCTTCAGATTCATTCTCGGTAACCGGAACCACCGAGCCCAACACTAGCGACCTGGCAAAATTCAATATTTTGACGGGCGAATGGCAAATCTACCTCGTAATGGACATGCTCATGGAGTATGCCATTGTGATCATCTATTCTGTTGCAGGCATCGTGCTTCCCCTCAACGAAGATTACAAGTCTGCAGATTCATATCAAGATGAGTACCCCTTGAGTAAGCCTCAGATGTCAGCACCGAGGCGCCAGTGAATGAGAGTCGTGTCCAGTAATGAAGCGGTTAATGGATTTAATAATACCATCCTAATGACACATCTGTTTGCGGGCTCACTCACCACCCGTAAATATGAATACGATAGACGTAACCGCGGCTCTAGATTGAATTAGCGCTAATACAGTACGCACCTTTACCAGCCATGCATCTAGTAGGCACATACAAGTACTTATGTCGATGAATGGGATACTTACATATGTCATGCAGTTCAAAAGTTAAAACTTGTCCGATATTTTCTTTGACCTCTTAATTCACATTTAATTACCTGTCGACATGACAGTTCGCTTTTGGGCCTCGTGAACGCGCTAATGTAACTTTAGCTAAAGCACCAACAGAAACAATGTGCTTCCTTTCTGAGCAACACCACGCTGATTGAATTTCAATAATTGTTATGCACATCGATTCTACGTGGCCACGCGCGGGCGCCGACTACTAGCTGTAATCCAAGAATGCCACATTCATTATCTCAATGAATATCAGGCCTGGCCATCTTCAAGACATCACACCACTGCGATCCGGACTGTTTGGAAGCCACACTGCCTTCATCGCTAAAGCCATGTAGTAATATTCACGCGTGGAGATGTTATATGTAAAGAAAGATGGAACATCAGGGTGACTATTATCATTGTTTGCGAAAGTTCTGGTGGTAAGAGACACGGTAAAATGTACGTCTTGCGCACCAAATGAGTAGCGAGCATTGGCGAATCGGAGATGACGGGAGTAGTCCGTGAGTGAATCATTGAACATGCACGGCCCAGCTATGATCACAGCTTCCTCCGATCAACAATGGTGGATATACAAATTTCCCTTGTTTTTATGCATACAAAGCAGGATCCTATGTATGATACTGGTCACGTTGGGTAATACGCAAACCGTCGTATCAGGCATACAATCTCTTCGTGTACCTGCAGAAAAAATCAGCGATACATTGCAATGGGATGTCATCATTACTCACGAATGCAACCCATGAACACCCCCCTCCACCTGAGCACTCGGCGTCCTTACTTCGAATCTAACACGACCCTCCTTCACACCTGCCTGCAACTCTGAAACACTGCGAACGCCAATATCCTGGAGACTGTGCTGGACACCGACGTGTAGGTATGGAACAAATGCCTTGACGCTGCCCTTGTCTTGGACGTCACCTGACACACCTTGAGCTACTTTGACAGCGGAGGACTCGGAGAAATAGCGCGACGTGGCGGCATTCTCGTGTGGCTTGCTCGAAAGGTGTGGAGTGTGCTTCGTGGAACCAGGCTTGCCATTGACCTGACCAGACGCGCCAGGTCTACCCTGCTCCATAGCCTCAAGACTACCCATGCCTCGGTAGGACTTCACACGCTTCCCATCGTGGTAGAAGTACTCTCCCGGAGCTTCTGTGGTGCCTGCAAGAAGCCCTCCCATCATCACAGCGCTCGCACCAAGCGAGAGTGCCTTGACAATGTGCCCGATATTGCTGATACCACCATCTGCAATCACCGGGATACCGAACTTGGATGCAAACTCGGCAACAGCAAACACAGCTGTGGCCTGTGGACGACCAACAGCCATGACCTCCTGCGTGATACAAATGGAGCCGCTACCCATGCCGACGCGGAGAGCGTCTGCCCCAGCAGCGATGAGGCTGGCAGCTTGCTCACGAGTGACGACGTTGCCTGCGATGACCTCGAGCTTGGGGAACGTCTGCTTGATCCATTGAATCATGTCAATCTGAAAGATGGAGTTGCCCTGCGATGAGTCAAGTACGACAATATCAAGACCAGCCTCAACGAGAAGCTTGAGGCGCTCTTTGTCGCTGGGTCGTGTGCCGACTGCAGCTGCTGCATATAGCTGCTTGCTGTTAGGATCCTTACTAGCAAGTGGGTAGTTTTGGTTTTTGAGGAGGTCAGAGCGAGCAAGGAGAGAGATAAGACGACCTTGGTCATCGACAATGGGGAGTTTGCCCTTTTTGGAAGAACGGAGGATCTGGTTGGCCTCTGCGAGCGTGACACCCTGGGGAGCAGTGACAAGAGACTTTGTCATGACTTCGCTGAGGAGTGTCTGAGGCGACTCAAATTGTACGTCGCGTGAGGTCACGATACCAACAAGTTTAGCTCCCAGGTGTCCAGTTTCTAAAGAATTCGCATTAGTTTTGATCACACGAGCACAATAAACAAAACAAAATGTCAGATGGCCAAAGAAAATGATATCCGCAGATCACAGGTGAAACCCGTTACTCGGAAGAACGAAGGTTATTGGTAAATGTATTCATCAAGGAGACGCAGGTGAAACTCATGACGCACCTGTAATAGGAATACCACAGAAACCAAGACGTGCCTTGATATCAAGGACATCTGCAACCGTGTGATTCGGAGAGAAGACGACAGGATCCGCGATGAAACCATTCTCATGCCTTTTGACGGCTCGAACCATAGCGGCTTGAGATTCGGGAGACTGATTATGATGAATGACACCGATGCCACCCAGCAGCGCGAGACTGATGGCCATGTCAGTCTCTGTAACGGTATCCATAGGACTACTCATGAATGGGGTTCTGAGAACGACATTACGAGTGATTTTGGTGTCAGTGATCACATCAGAAGCAGGGAAATCGATCTTCCCGGGAAGCATAAGAAAGTCGTTATAAGTGAGGCCGCCATGGATGCGGGAATCCATGAGATCCTTGACGGAGAGACCGTCTAAGCATTGGTAAGATGCTAGATGGGCGACGGCGTCTGAGGAAGATAGGACAGTTGTTTTCGATTGGGCAGGCATTTTCAAATCGTGGAAGTGGGCAAAGCCTGTAAAAAAACGCGTGACGCTTATATAAGCGAAAACCCCTAGGATTGGCCGAGTTTTTTTTTCTCAGCATGAGGCGCGCGAGTAAGCATCATATGTATAAACTCATTTGATATCACATTGAATGTCATGCATGATGATCAGATTAATATTTGGGTGCGTAGTACAATATTAAATATTAGAGGCTAGGTGTGAGTTATACAGTCTAGGAAATCATCACGTGAGGACACGGCGAGCAAGAGGCGGGCTCACCCTTTCCTCTTATTTGCAGCTGATCAACCCGCCATCAATACCTCCATTCTCGACTATACAGCAATTTGCACAGTGGCAATTTTGAATGACCTCCACAGTGCGGTCTTCGGAACAGTGAAACAAAAATGCATTGCCGCTGTTATAACCCGCGAGGTTTCCGCACTCATACTGTCCTGCAAATATCTTTCAGTCGAGCGAACTTATACGGTATCATTGAATCTCATCAAGTGACATCGATTCGGGTCTCGGGACCTTCGAGATTGTCACCAGAGACTACTGCAAGTAAAGGAACATCTTGAAGCGTCCTAGAACTAATGGTTCTCAGAATTTGCTCAGAATCATGCTTATCTGAACCTTTTGATGCCTCCTATCGAAAAAGTGGCCTTGAAGTGTGTAAGAGTCGTGCTAAGCCAGTGAGTTACATCGCATTGGTATCAGAGATGCAGACGCTGCTCAACACTGAGGTGTTTGCGACCCACCGGCATTTTCTTCTGTCTATCTTCCAATGCCCGCCGGAAAAGGGTTCTGATGGTAGGAAATGTCTTTTTCAAAATTTCAAATTATCAGTATACAAGTCCCCGCCACCCATCCTAACAGTATCCAAAACGGCCCTCACCAGCTCATTCCATAACTGTCTCACAATCGAATCACCACGTGCTTCCAATAATCTCCTCCGTACCAAGTCCGCAGGCATCTCTAAGCGTCGCCATCTCCGAAGGATCAAAGACAGTAGGGCGCTTGACCAACAAAACGATTCGCTCTGCAATGCACAATGTTGTCCCGACATCAATCAGCCCTCACAGAACCGCAGACTGCAACTGATACTCTCAGCGTGCAGAGAGGATCCTGTTGAAGGGGGATCGCCACGGAAGATCTGTAGTTTTTGTTCTTCGTCTGGTTCGCCTGAGCAGCAGCACAATCGTGGAGGAACGCATGATGTTGACATGACGTGGAAGGTTATCTATAGAAAAGCAATCCACAGAACCAAGATACATAAGGGATCACATTCTCAAGAAATCATGCGTGAGCATGCAACTTCTAAGCCCAATAGTCTAAGTTGGTGTCGAATTATATGACGACGCAGGCGTTCGGGCGCTCGAGTCTGGTACAAGTAAAATAGTATAGTCGGGAGATAGACGAGATTGTGATAATATGATGAGTTAGACATCGAGTATAATTCTAAATTTCCACTACTTCTTGCTGAGTGCTTGAAGCTGGACGAACTCGTAATAATCTCCTCTCCGTGCAAGAAGTTCGTCATGGGTTCCGGATTCGCTGACTCTGCCTTCCTTGACAAAATGTCTGTGAAGTAGTGAGAAAATGTTCCGGAGTGACGATGATCTCGATTGACTCACATGCAATCAGCGTTCTGGATAGTCGAAAGGCGGTGGGCGATAGCAATTGTGGTGCGACCTTTGGCAGCTTTGTCAAGAGCTTCTTGCACTACCTTTTCTGAGTTTGAATCAAGGGCTGATGTAGCTTCATCGAGCAGAAGAACTTTTGGGTTCCGAAGCAGTGCGCGAGCGATTGCTATACGTTCTGCATCATGCTTTCAGCGCACAAAGAAGGATGTTTGCCATGAATGATACACACGTTTCTGACCTCCAGACAGCTGGGATCCCTTGCCACCAACTTCGGTATTGAACCCGCTAACATTATCATGTTAGTAAACCTCAAATTTTCGTGGTATTAATGTCTTACTCTGGAAGTGATTGAATGAACTCCAGTATATTGGCATCACGGCAGGCAGCCTCAATCTCTTCTTGCGTGACCTCAGATTCTGGTCTGGCGGCACCGAGCAAGATATTGAAGCGAATAGTTCCTGCGTACAAAGTCTGCAAGGCAAGCAGTCAGCTCTCTCTACCAAGAGATCAATATCACGGCCGTATTTACAGGTTCTTGTGACACGAGTGAAATCTGCTGCCGATATTCTTGGATGTTAAATTCATCAATAAGCTCTCCATCGAGCGAGATCCGTCCGGAAAGCGGATCGTAAAAACGCTCTAGTAGTTGGATGCTAAATGGACTCTTAGCAGCCTGTCTGAATACAGTACGATGGCGGGACTCACACCGTGCTTTTACCGCAGCCGCTAGAGCCGACTAAGGCAACATAGGTTCCGGGTTCGACGGTAAGCGTGAGGCCACGAAGAACTCGGGTTCTGGGACGGGTAGGATAACTGAAATGAACGTTCTCCAGTTGTATGTGACCCTTGATAGTCTTGCTCGGAATACTTTTGCCTTCAGTTGACTCGGCATCAATCGCAGGAGTTGAATCAAGGAGCCTGATAGTTGCGTCGGCGGCCCCTTTGGCCGATGAAATGTCAGGCACAAAGGCAAAGACATTACCGGCCTGCATTGAGGAAAATACCGTGCTCTGCAAATGCATTGTTCACTTCAATAATGTCCGGAGGTCGACAAAACAACCTTACCACTAAAGTAATGAAGAATGATTGTGTGGATATCTCCAGCTGCGAAACGAGTGTCGCGCCATACCAGACGACTAGAGAAATCACCCAGAAACCCATGGCCTGAGAGAGTGCATACAGCAAGTTACTCCAGAGCGCTGTCCTAGTGGATTTTCTGATGGGTCCTTCCAAGCTCCGTCTGTACATATCAAGGCAGTGCTCCTCTCGGGTCAATGATGCAACAGTGCGAATGGCTGCAGCAGCTTCGCAGGCAATCTGAGCAGAGCTTTCTTGCGCTTTCTTGTTCTTCTGATCTTTCAGAACAACTACTTGCTAGAAGACGTTTAGCACGATGGGAGCTTATCAAGCAGGTCACGTACCAAACGTATATAGCCACCGCACACCAGGACAGGAATACAAGCTAAGTAACGACAAATTTTGTAAGAGAAATGCGTAAAATGGAAAAACGGGACACACCCATGCCAACAATAGCTGCCTTCCAAGCGTATGCAAAGCCAATCACCAAGCCAACAACTAGAGTTGCGATAGATTGGATGATTCTAACCAAAGTCAGTCATTACACCACTTTGGAATGAATGGTGATACTCACGTTCCCAGAGTTATACCAGCAAGACCATTGATCCTCTGGGGGTTTTCGCTCAAGTTTGACGTCAGAGTGCCAGTCTTATGTAGAGTCTAATGAGGAGCCTGTACGAACTGGAGGAGTTATAGGACTCACACTGTTCTTGTCGTTGTCAAAGTACTCGACTGCCTCCATGAGCAAGAAAAATAATGTAGTGATTGGGCACTCACTGTCTTGTCGGAGGATAGCTTTGAAGCTCATTGAACGGAGCTTGGCAGTCAAGACAGCGGCAGCAGAAGCAAAGAAGTAGTTCTGGAAACCCATACACAATGCGCATAGAATGGCAAGGATGAAAAACCTGGCTCGGGATAAGCACCAGCGTGATCTCGGGGAAAATATGAACTCAACCAGAGAGCATTCCGGTCGCCTTGGTAGCTTCGCTCAGAATTTGTGGTCGCGCTAAAGCCGGAAACTGCGTGCCCTGCCAATAGATATCAGGATAAATGGCATCCATTTTGATTGACAACAGGACTTACCATAGATTATGCCAGAGACAGGATAAGCGGCACCGTTGCCTGCGGAAACGCATGAGCGTAACTGATAATATATGCTTTGCGAACTTACATATGGCAAAGAAAGATCCAATGAAGTATCGGCGAAGCCCTTCAGGGTGAAGACTAGCAATTCGTCTCATCAAATAAAACAGACCGTAGGCTTCCTCTGGAGCCTGGTCCCCTACATTCTCCTTTAATTGACTGGCGACGTCGCTTCTGACAGAGCGAATAGTGCTCTTCCGTTCGAGGAGTTCTTCTGACCTTTCCAAATCTGACTCGTCGCCTGACACCCCTGCATCCAGATCATCTTTGTCACTCTCGCGGAGAGATTGAGCTGCGACGAGACGAGAGTATGCGCCATTCTCATCTGCCAGAAGTTCCGCATGAGTCCCTCGCTCCAGTACGAGTCCCTCGCCCATGACAAGTATGCAGTCGGCATCTTTAACCGTGGACAAGCGATGAGCAATGGTGATGGTAGTTCGACCGGCAGCTGCCTTGTCCAGAGCATCTTGTACGATTACTTCTGAGCGAGTATCGAGGGCACTTGTGGCTTCATCAAGGAGCAAGATCCGCGGGTCCGACACAATAGCTCGCGCAATTGCGATGCGCTGTTTTTGCCCTCCCGACAAAAGAAAACCTCGCTCACCAACCATAGTGTCATATCCTTGTGGCAGGTGGCTAATAAAGCTATCTGCATTAGACTTGATGCAGGCTGCTTTGATGAGTTGAAACTTCTCCTCATCAGATGCATCCTCGTATTGCGTGCCAATGAGACCGTGTGCGATGTTCCCCCTGATAGTCGTCGCGAAAAGCACAGGCTCTTGTGAGACCAGACCGATCTGAGAGCGTAACCATTTGATATTCAACTCTCGCAAGTCAATTCCGTCAAGCGTAACGGAACCACTCAGCGGATCGTAGAAGCGTTCCGTGAGAGATACGATCGTAGATTTACCAGATCCAGATGCGCCAACGAGAGCAGTGGTCTTGCCAGCCGGGAAGGTGACGTCGACGCCTTTGAGAATTGGAACATCCGCGCGAGACGGATAGCTGAATTTGACTTCCTTGAACGTAATCTCCCCAGTGACTTTTGAAGGCTTTAGTCCTCCTGGATTTGCAGAGTCGATATCAGGGACACGCTCGATCGTAGCGAATAGTTTGACGGCAGCACCACAGGCACGTGTAATGGCTTTAGTAAAGCATGATGAGAATTCCGAACCAAAAAGTAGGACTACGATTACCTTGTAATTCAGGCGCAAGTATAGCAAGAGATAATGATCCGGTTAAGATTGCAAAGAAGACATTTACAACCTGTCCGGCGTTGGCTGCCAACCAGTGTCAAATGCTGTTTCACGATACAGAAATAGGAACAGACCTTGGCCCTCATTTATGAGGGTAGTTCCGAAATCGAACGCGAGCGCATATCCAGCGTAGTTCACGAAGAAGAGGCAGCCTAACCCCACACCTTGCGAAATACTTGCTTTGGCATTAACAACGCGAGTAACGTCGATGTTCTTATCGTATATTCCAGACAATACTTTTTGTGTCCCGAAAGCCTGTGCGGTGCGAATCGTGGATATGACCTCTTCAGCAAGACTACCTGCCTCAGCAACATGCTTCAAGGACAATCTGGTATTGAACGGAGATCATAAAGCTTCAGGACGAACTCAACAGCAAGTACACTCACTGTGTGTATTTGGAGAGACACTTTTTCATGACACCGCCTATGATTATGATGCACACAATCATGGACGACAATGCAAGAGCGAGACGCCATGACCGGACAAACGCAATAATAAAGCCAACGACGAATGCGCTGATGCAAGTGACTGCAACAGTGACTTTTTCGGATATCCCCAGTTGTACCAGATCTATTTCAAGTTCGACCATCCGCCTTTGAAAAGTACAGAATGACTTACGAGTGTCGGTTTGGATGCGTGTCGCAACCTCTCCAGCCCCCACATCATCAAAATAGGCGATTTCCTGTCTAAGGATGGCCTGAAGATATCTCTCGCGTATTCTTTTCCCATTAGCCTCTGAGGTATAAACCCAGGTGTACATATATATATACGTGGAAACAAACATCGCGATACCTGGTACGAATTCAGGTCAGTACTAAGTCTGATTCTTATTTAATCAAGAACTTACCAAGATAAACGAGATAAGAAGCATCCAGGCTAGCGCTATGAACGAACGTGGACGCAGCAGCATCTAGTGCGGCCTGCGCCTGCTCAATCACGTTCGTATCATTAGACTGTAGCGATTGATAGTACTCGTTCTCTGCTGAATTAAACGTGACGAAATCTTGGGTCATGTCGCCGAATACTAAAGTCATCAGAGGCTAGGATAGGAAATAAGAAGATGTCACTCGCAAATCTGAAAACTCACCTGCGAAGCACCAGCAGCAACAGCAAAGATCATGCCAAGAAAGTCCAACATTATTTCAAAGCGAGTTGAATACCTGCGTCGGTAAATTATGGTGTTCGGTCAAAAAAGTGGGATGATCTCACCGGAACAACGATAAGAATGGCGCAGAAACGGATGTGTCTGCTGCCATTGCGTTATCGGCCTCGCTCTCCATTTCCTTGGATGCTTTCTTGGCCCAAGGGAGAAAACCTCGGATGCCCTTTGAATCCTTTTCCATGTCCAGAGTAACGTGCTCTGGGGGTGTGAGCTCCTTTGAAACGGCAAGTTTCTTTTCGTCAGCAGTGGCTGGAAGGCCCTCCGACGTATGGGACACAAGTAAAGTGGGTTCTGTGCCCATGCTTTTGAGCGTGCTTTGAGTTTGAGTTGACCCATCTGCAGGGAATCCATGAGTTTATGTAGGTCACTGAAGCGGTTCCGACGCATCGGTGCGGCGTCAACGAGTCAAATTCGGCATACTATTAAGACTGCCACGGTGCCTTGCGTGAGAAGTGAGGAGCCTGTGGAAGAATTAATTGATGGGGAACATGTACTTACCTCACGTAACTGCAGCCAAGTTAACAGTTAGTTGCTCCTTCTTCCTAGTACGCGAGTCACATGTATGTACCATACGGTAATATGGCAACTTGCCCGATGCTCATTGCCTTCCTTATCACATCGTACACGCATGTCGGAACGACGTGGCTGAAGCTGGATTTTATTGTATCAAGTCTTCTTTCTGAAAGCATCGGAGCATTCCATCGGACTGTCTTGCTTGAAGCTTGAAGTCCATCCGATACATGCATGTTTTCTAAACGTGAATTTCGAAACACGAAGGCAACTCAATCATTTGCCAGCCATGCTTATGTCATCCCGCTGCCAGTGGATCCGACTGCGTGACTCTTCGTAGTGACTCACTGCCACTAGTACTAGTGACTCCTCACTGACACTTGCAATATTAAGAGTAGTAATGACTCACAATGTTCCGTGTTAGTCGTATCAATACTACAGTTCGTCAGCGTCGTCACTGATAGGCATGTCCATTGAATAGCCGTTTACATGATGAGAATACCTTCAAAGTATCATCCACACTCAATAACACAATTTCTACTTGCAATCCCATTCAACTCAGACTGGACGTAACTTACTAGGTATTTCCGAGCACCTTCGGGCCAACAATACAAGTACTTTCGTTTGGCCGCGAATTATTTTACCCTCCTTTGCGTTTTGGTTGCCTTAGTACTTGAACGGCTTGTAACTGTTAGGAATACCTTAAACCTCCACTGCACCAAGTTTTCATACAAACTCGAAAGGAGTGTACATCGTACACAAGAGGTCCTTACAGTAAGATTCGGTAGGCTAACAATGTCCCACAAGGACCGATGGGATGTGATTGTGAGCAACCACCTTGACAAGGATGACCGGTGCCTCAAGACTGGGGTACAAAGTGTACAGACTTGAGCTCGCATTCGACAGATACGATTGTAACATACATGCTACAAGCGCCGTACCCTATACATGAAAAATGGCTTTAAGCTGAAATATTGGACGCACATATCTGCTGATCTGGCGCAATCATTCACAATGACGAACCTTGACATCACTGCTCACAAGAGGTGCGTCCCATCGGTTGCCGATCCTGAGTTGAAAGAAACAGAACGGTAGGCCTGCGTAGTTTCATTTCTCGGGCGGTTCTCGACTTCGTGCCCTGGACGTAGGACACAATGGTAATAGAATTGCCTGTGACGCCGCCTTTGAAGTCATCGACTTCAGCACTTGTTGACATCGAAAGAATGGATAACGACGAGACGAGGATCGGATGGGACTGGAAAGGTATATGCTTTACAGTATATCGTTTACCGCCAGCGACGATGTATTTCAGTTGCGCAGATATCGCAACGACAAGTGATCGGTGACCGGTGACGACTCGGCCACCGTGCATGTTACAAGAATGAGTTCATCGTTGGATTGTCCATTCCATCGAGGACTCACCTTTGTTGTGATTCAACTAAAAGACCAACTTCAGCAGCTCTAAGATATCGCATCCTTCAACTGAGGGAGTTGTCTCTAGGACTCTGGACATCAGCCCCTAGTGAGATAAAAATGCATGACTGGAAGAAGTATTGAGAGTTCATGGTGATTTTTCGTCAACCGAGAGACACAATAATGCATGTCTTACGCACCAGATGCGTACGATCATCGGCGAAATGACGACCACCTTCGAGAAGCAGTTGAGTGGGAAGAGACAGGTTTACACTGCGTTGGTTCCATATTAACGAGGACAGCGGAGTGAAGTCGTGTCAGGCGATTTCGAGCCTCGCGAGGATAGTGTCAGAATCATATATATTTCCGCCTCCAACCAGTCTGGTAATGTAGATACTACCCTATAGTAGGGGCATAGTGCTGTGCATCACTACGATGGATCACAGTGTATGGGTCAGTGTTGGCTGAAGCACCAACATAAGAGGCGTGGAAATTGCGGTGGTTGGTATCAGTGACTGTAAAGATTCTGGATAATTTCCCGTGTATTGAGACACGGTAAAATGTATGCCTTGCGCATGAGATGTGGTCGAGCATTGACGAATCGGAGATGACGAGCGCGTTCGAGGACAAATTGGCTGGGAAAATATGGATGTATGATCTGATGCATTATAATTACGATTGGCCAGGCAGTAAAAACGGGGATGAAAACAGTGAATGATGGAATGAGAACTCGTGCCCACAAATGAGGCTTGGGCGCTTCAGCTGCGCAGCCTATAATACAAGCTGTGGAGTACTCACGAGGATGTCGCATGCTAAACGTACCAGCTCAGGCTTCCAGTGTATTCTTGACGCCCATTGTGACTTGGTGTCGAGACCTGCTAAAAACATTGTCGTGAGTGATGGTTGAGACTTTGTTGGATGAAAACTGACTGAGCTACGCTCTATAGTTGATTATGGCTTCGCCCATTGTTGGAAGGCAGGAGACATCAACGATAAAACACTGCCAGAAATTTGAAGAACACACCAGCTTAGTCAATGGCGCCATGCATTTGTCAGACGGACGGCGGATGATAACTTGTTCATTTGACGGCTCACTGCAGGTATGGAACTTAAGGAGTAGGAAACAGATAGGGGAAGACTGGCGGGACGGAGATAGCGAAGTACGGACGCTAGCACTGTCTCCCAACGGGAAGAAGGTGGCTAGCGGGAGTGAGGTTGTGGGACATTGACACAAGCAAAGTCATCGCAAAATGGACGAAACATACAAAGGCGGTGCAGTCTGTGTGTTGGAGTCGAGATGGTCAGCGAGTGATGAGCGGATCCTACGACGGGAGTGGGACGTGGAGTAGGGAGAGACAATCCTCGGTCCAATCTAGACTGGGTACGAAAACGTGTTCGCAGTCGTCTACTCGCCAGACATCATGGACCGTGTTCGCGACTGCTGGAGGCGCCTTCTCGATTCCTGATTCCGAGTCCACAGTCAAAATCTGGGATGCAAAGACTGGTAAACTTGTCGCCGCTCTCAAAACTTGTGTTTTGCTTGGCTTGGACCCCGAAAAATCCTGATTGCCCAATAAGGAAACCATGTAACGGTATCACACAGAATTTAATTTGTGATAATCTATACACGCACCATGGCTTCGAGTTCAAGAACATCATTCGTACTAGCTTCCCGGGCATCCAAACTCGCACAGATCCAAACGAATATCGTCAGAGATGGCCTCGAGACTACATTTCCGGCCCTTTCATTCAGCACGTCATTTATGACGACCGAGGGCGATAAGAACCAATCTCAAGCGTTATATCTACTCGGAGGAAAGGCGTTATGGACAAAAGAACTCGAGGTTGCATTGAAGGAGGACGTGGTTGATATGCTGATACATAGTTTGAAGGATGTCCCCACGACCCTACCGCACGGCTGCGAAATCGGAGCGATATTGGAGAGAGAGAATCCTGTCGATAGCCTGGTGGTGAAGCAGGGCTTGCCTTACAGGACACTGGAAGATTTACCAGATGGCAGTGTCGTGGGTACGAGCAGCGTTCGGAGAGTAGCGCAGTTGCGGAGGTCTTTCCCTGGCTTGGTATTTCTGGACGTCGTAAGTTTTCGCAGCCCACGAGTATATCGTACACTCTAACATATTTGCAGCGAGGAAATTTGTAAGGCCATGTGTTTATTTTCAAGCTAAACTTAATATCAATTCCAGAAACACCCGTCTTGCAAAACTCGACGCCCCCGATGGTCCTTATACGGCGCTTATACTAGCCAAGGCCGGTCTTGTACGACTAGGCATGGGGGATCGCATCACGGCAGATCTCACCGCACCAATACTCTTCCACGCTGTCTCTCAAGGTGCTTTGGCAATTGAGATCCGCGCAGACGATCAGGAAGCACGGGAATTATGCAAAGCGCTAACCCACCAGGAAACACAGTGGAAGTGCCTCGCAGAGAGGGCATTATTGAGAGAACTGGAAGGTGGATGTAGCGTTCCTGTTGGCGTTTCTACATCGCTATCGCAGATTGATAAAAGTGCTGGGAAACTGACGCGTGCAACCCTCGAGATAACGGGTTGCGTCACATCACTTGATGGTTCCGTACATGTCCAAGATACTCTTTCGCAGGAAGTCGAAAACATACAAGGCGCAGAGGAGCTGGGTAAAAATCTTGCAACAAAATTGATGGCGAACGGTGCGAAAGTGATATTGGACGACATCACTCGAGATAGGCGGAAGAGGGCCAGTGAAGCAGGGACAGCAGAATGAACAAGAATTTGCAATTGTTGGTATTGCAAGTTGATTTACATTTCATATAAAAAATCATATCCTATGTACTCGTCGAATACGCGTTGTCTCTTGCAGTTCAAGTACGCAAGATCATGAAGACGATGAACCAGCAATCCTGAAGAGCAAGAAGAATTATCTACCTTCCCGCGAGCGCCTGCAAGTCCCTGGACAATTTCGAGCAGCAGGTGACTCTAAAGCAGGAAGGAGTCAAAGACATTGAAGAACGAAAAAAATTGGAGAGCGTTCTTATGGGAGGCCTTTATTTGCGCCTGTTTACATATTCCCTAATTTGGACCACCGTTAACCTCTCAGTTAACCGGTTAAGGACACATCCTAAGGCTTGGACTCCAACTGGCATGACCTCAATCTCGTCTCGCCGTTTACGCAAAGAGCTCACTGAAATACAGACAGAAGGATGTCCCACAGGTACGTCCTCTCACCTGTTATACGTGCAGCTGACCGACCCGCCGTCGATTACAGGCATCACACTGCTCAGCGCTGATAACTTTGAGACGTGGTACTTCTCCATAGAAATTCTGGGCGAAAGTTTATACCAGGTCTGATGGGAGCTCACTTTCATCATTCATGGGTCCTTACAAAAATACGGTTAGGGGGAGGTATTCAAGCTCATGTTTCGCTTTGACTCAAGCTACCCTATCTCGGCGCCTGCAGTTCAGTTCGTCGTCAACCAGGAATCAACAGCACCTGTGCATCCGGTGTGTTATACCTATAGTTGGAGTTTACGGTGATAACTGACCGTTGATTAGCATGTATACTCAAATGGACATGTGAGTTCGCTACATGCCGAACTTAGCGTGCTGTCACGGTAATATGTCTGATGTGCCGTAGATTTGCGCCTCTATCCTTGGAACTGAATGGTCACCAGTTCTGAGTGTTTCTGCTGTGTGTGTAACCCTGCAAAGTATGCTTGCATCATGCAAGGTGAGTTTTTTCCTCAGTATCCACGATACAGTCGTTTTAGTAACACGGAACATGTTACAGTCAAAGGAACGGTGAGCTCACATTTCATCTAACGGCATCTTCCATTTATAACGTGAACTCTGAAGGCCTGTAGACAATGACAGGTACGTTCGGTACGCACCCGATAATCCAAAGAAGGTACGTCTTAGCGCCCTGTTAGACGTTATCCAGGAACCTCTGAACTTTTTCAATGTGCAGACTCGTTTCCACTACGACGGTAAGTGACCATGCACTGCATATGTCCGTCGGCTTATGGCGGCTATCCTGCGTGTCTGCTTATCACACGATTAGATGATACGTATGTTTTCGTTCTCAATCATTCATGTTCAATCGCTAATATTTTTGATGATAACCAGGGTGTAGGATTATTGATAGTTATTGAATGTATCTTGAGCCTAAAGGCAGATGTTGTACTACCAAGGAGATCATCGAGGCAATGCGAGGAGTCATATTCCAGTTCTTTGGGTCTATTCATAGGATTTTTGCTATGACGGAGCTTAGACCCCACGGATGACATTTGTAGACTCCATGATTGCATGCTTCATTTCCACAAGTCCTGCTCGATTTTGATCCACCCGCTTATCTCTGACGTTGGTGAGAAGATAGCTTGGTAACACGTGCTGGATGGATTTGAAGAGATAAGTGGATCAGATGCCCGCAGGCTTGCTCACCTAGGAGGAAATCTACACAGGCTTATCGATCCTTCACGAAAGGAAACTCCGGCACAGTATTGACGTGCATCAGTAATGTCAGGAGATGCTTGCCATTGGATCACAGGTATAAAGCAGCTCAGTGTCCGAGAAGTAAGATGTATTATACGCGCTCCGTGAATTACCGGTCAATCTCCCTCAGCTCATCAGTCAACGTTAGGAACGTATGGTTCTACCAGCATCTTGCTAAATTCCTTCAACTTCTCTGGACCGCGGACTTCTTCCGTTAGTAATGGTAGCTGAACGATGTGGAAGAATTCGTCGTAGAGCTCGTGGGCCTCGCCAAGATACTTTTGCTGCATCTTTCTTCGTACTTGACAATGCTCGCAGTTGGATGCTAAACTAAGATTAGAATTGCATGACGTGGAGCAGTAGGAAGTACTTGCATGTCTTTGGGAAGAGCAGCTGGTTGACGACGATGTTATGCGTATCGATCTCATAAGCCGTCAGTTCCTGAACGAGACGCTCCGTCTCGTACAGGGACAAGAACTCGGAGATGCAAACACAAACGAAAGTGGTCTTTTCCTGAAAATAATATGAGATGATTCCGGTGTGTGCAATGACAGACGTACAGGGTCCTTGAATTGTGTGTTGACTTCGTTGATCACAGCACGCATAGATTCTAGCTTTGCAAACATGTCCTCTTGAGAGTCCTGCTGACCGCCCATCATACTCGACATTTGTCTAATCATGGGCCCAAATTGACCACTGAGCGTGCTGAGTTTGCCCAGGGCCTTCTCCAGTACAGTAGGAAACGAAAGGAAACGCAAGGTATGACCTGTCGGTGCGGTATCAAACACGATGACCGAATATTCCATCGACTTGACGTGTCTGTGGAGACATTGTCTCGTCAATCCATGGAAGTGGGAAGTTAGATAACGAACTTCATGATCTCAGCGAAACTCATTGCCTCGTCAACACCAGGAATAGCGAATGCAAGATCCTGCATCATCGAGCCCATCATGCCGTTTGAATCAGCTGGGGTTGTGAAGCGTCAGCAGGACAAGAGTGGGTTTGGGAGATGCCAACGCGTACATTGCTCGACCATCTCCTGGATTGCACTTGTAGGGTCGATTTCCATAGCGGACAGGTTATCGAATCCATTGACCTTTGTCGCGTCTTTGGAGAACTTCTGTCCGAAAGCATCCGACAGATTATGTGCTGGGTCGGTGGACTATAGCTGAGGGTGGACATCGGCCTCTGAGACCGTAGATGTGACCACGTACGATGAGCAGTACCGATTCTCGGCACTGAGCAAGTTGGATGGCTAGCGAACACGAGGTGGTTGTTTTCCCTGTGCGTATGGATCAGGTTTCTGATAGTTCAGATTCAAGGGGCCACGTACCGACACCACCCTTACCACCTGCATCGCATCCGAGTTGACCCCAGAATGTCAATGAACTGGGTGAGCAGTTGAATAATGAAGCACATACCACAGAATATCCATTTCAAGGACTTTTGATCCAGAACATTTTGCAGAGTTGGCGGTAAGGTTTCTTCTGCCATTTGAGATACTCGAAAGTCGTAAAGAAGATGAAGCTATGTTGCACTTCTTCAAGTATTGATCAAGCCGCGTTTGGACGAGTAGCCTCTTTCAGCTTCTATATCCTACTGTGACATTCTACACATCAGTAGAATAAAATTGCAGATTACGTCGTCCAGCTTTCACTCTGGGCACTATGTCAGAAAACAAATTATCATTCAGAGGTTAGTTACACAGGACTCGTCGGTGAGACGGACTCATATCCCCCAACAGCTTTACAACTAGCCAACGAACAACGGACTGCCTATGGTCTCCGGTACAATGATTTCACGCGATACAGGAAGCACTGTGCCAATAGAACGCATCGTCTCCGGTCCACCCTTAAAATGACCCATGGCAAGGGCCGAGAATTCAAGAAACTGCCTCCGTTAAGCACAGATAACATCAAGGATGGAAAGTGCGTGCTATCATGATATCACATCTCACATATCAAGAATTAACGAATCTCGGATAGCTTGGAGCTTTTACTCTTCGAGTCAGAACGTGCCTGGGCTTACTCTCAGGATCTCATCACTAAATCCCTTCAGCCCGCCAATGAAGACCAGGCTGGAACCCTGCGGCATAGCGCCACAGGACGCTTTCGCCGTGCAGTACACTGGTCGACGCAGCTTCTATCGCACTGTCAATCTTTATATGCGTCTTCACACCTCTCCGCAGAAGGGCTCATGCAGATCACCATCTACACTCTCATCCTCAACGGTCGCTTCCTGCGATACCGGGACAGCTTTGAGGATGCGTTGATCCAGCTCAGCGTTGCAAGGCACCTTCTCGACGAACTTGTTGAATGTGCTGCGACAAGCAGAGACCAGGCTCTCGCAACGGTGTTTGCAGATGAAATTGGCCCTGAAATCAGGTATTGCGCACATGAGCTTGGAAGGGAGAGGGCGTACGATGTGGATGCGATCGCTGCTGAGTTGTCGGAAAAGCATCGAGGGGAGATTGTTGAGGGATGTGATGCTCTGATTCAGAAATTTAGGCAGGAGGGAGAAGTGGCTGGGAAAGGTGTGGGGAAGAAAAAGTTGGCGACTTTGATGTGGGAAGGACAGCCAGTGCCGGTGCGCAATCCAGAGTTGGTGGATGTATTGCTGCGGGTGCAGGAGGCAGAGGCGAAGATTACGCAGTCGCATGAGCCTGCTCGGGCAGAGGGTGTTAGCGATAAGGGGAGGAAAGGCAAGTCGGGCGGTCATGGGTCCAAGAAGGGTGTTGCCGCATATGATGCTATTCTCCTTGCTCTTAGCGATGCGGAAGAGGTGGGCAGGAAACTGGTTGAAGCACAACAGGTGTGCGGTCACCTTCGTCGATTCGTATTTATCACTAATCAACTCGACAGAATTCTGGAAGTTCATCCACCTCTGCGGCCGGTACGCGTGATATCCATTTTGTTCACGCTTACATCGTCTATCAATTGCTCTCTCGCCGGATCCAGCGTGATCTCCTCCTAGTATCTGCTCTGCTCACCTCGCATCGACCGCAGGCCTCTGCAAAACCAAAGAAAGAGCATGTCGACGCCCGTCTTTATCCTGCAGTAGTCAAGCTCCTGGATACTGTCATCCAAGGTCTTACTCAGATGCGCAACTTGAGCATCGTGGACGAGAGCCCTGACTTAGCGGCTGCTGTCGAAGCCCGTCTCACATTTACCAAAGCCCGCAGGTAAAGATCAATTTCTTCTGTATTATTTCCACACGCTGATGGTATTTCAAGATGTTCTTATCTCACACATTGCTATGTAGCCGTGAAAAAATATGCCGAAGCGCTCTCGTTGATCCAACACGCAACCATTTATCTCCGTGAAACGCGTTCTACGTTGTCCATCTTCTCAGAAGACCCTATCTCATCCGCATCACCTGCCTACTACCCACTCACGTCTTCTGATCTAGATGCTCTAGAATCCGTCATCACTCAAGACGGACTGACGATCAAAAATGAATGGTTCGCGTACAACGGCGGTTCTATCGATGCGGACAACAAGATGTACAAGAAACCATTGTTTTTCGACATCGCGTTGAACTATGTGCAGCTGGATATGGATAGATTACTGGAGAGGGCGGGAAAGGCATCTGCACCTCCACTTGTTCCCGTGCAAGCCGTGCCTGCGAAATCACGTTTGGAGGAAGTGGCTAGACCAAAAACACCAGAACCACAGGCGCCTGCGAAGGGTGGACTTAGTAGTTTGCTCGAGGGGTGGTGGGGACGGAAGTGAGGTACGACAAGATAAAATTTTATCGACATTTAGGCGAATAGTCAAGTACAGTAAAACATACACAAAGCAAATGGGTAGCATATAGTTGGGCAACTACTTCAAAAAAGAAGCTCCACAATCATTGAGTGATGAACTAAGATGCAAAGGGCTCAATCAGGTGATGTTCATCAACAGTACTTTAGAGTCAACTTACTGCTTCAGATGCAGATTCGGAAAACTGAGAATGACCCCCTAGTTTCCTTGCCTCGGGCTCACTGATGAGACTGAGGCTGCGGCCAAGCTTTTGCACTTCCTGCCAGAACTCGGAGTTTCCAGCCTCCCTGAGACACGATTCCTTCAGGTCCTTCAGGAAACTGGTAACAATGAGCATTTGAGTGCCGAGGCGATTCAAATACTTACGCATTCCACGCATCAATCTCATCCTCCTTCAAAGACGTATCCCGCATAGCGATCATACACTCAATCATCTCCTTATGCCGCCTCGACGCAAACGGCCTCAACACCACCTCTTTGATGATGACGCCGATATCTTCCACAGCCTTCGTCACCATGTCCCCTTGTGCAAGGTTTGTTTTGAAATCGCGCAGAGGATACGTCGAGCCGATGATACGGCCCGGCGCACGACCAGGGTCCACATCAGGCGACATAGAGCGTTCCGGGGTGGGCAGCGCGTTGAAGGGCCGCTTTGTGAGCAGGAGTGGTTCCTGATCTGATTCTTCTTCCGTCTCAGAGTCTGAAGCGGCGGATTTCTTGGCTGGGCGAGCGAGTTTTGGGGAGACGGGTACTTTAGACGCGGCAGGTTCTTTTCCTTTGCGCGATGCGGCAGGTTTTTTGTCGAGGAGAAGCATGTCTTCGTCTTCGTCCACGGCGCGGACGTGGCCATCTTTGCGGACTTTCGTGGCTTTCTTAGGTACTGGGTGAATGTGATAAGTACGAGTAGTGAATCATGAAATGGGAAATAATTGAGCGCGTACCTTCCTTGACTTTGAACACTGCCTTGCATTCTACGATTACATCTTTGCTAGCTTCGAGGGCCTGCCGAAGAGGGTTGATGTATTTGAGGAGTTCTGGATGGGGTGGTGGAAGGGGGTTACTGGTGATATCATTCACAACTGCACTGTGAAAGAGCGCCTGTTTCGTGCGATGGATAGCGGGGTTATAGGACTGTCGGGTGTCATACCATGGAACTGGTTTCCTGTTTAAGGACTGGCTCAGCACAAGAAAGCGAGTTTCTGGTGAATGAAAAGCAAACCCTTTATCGT